TGATTGCATTCAACGTACAAATATATTTCTGGATCATCTTGCGACTGCTGACCATCATTCCACATGTATGGTCCTTTATCACCATTCGGTAGATCATTAGCCCCAATCCACCAACCCCTGCTTCCTGCTGCTCCACGTATTGTCCAAAGCTTGGTTATCCGATCTTTCAACCATGCCTAGCATTAAAAATGAATAGTAACCATAACAAAACAACTATAACAACATCATGATAATAATATTTTTATGCAAATGTTTATAGGGGAGGGGGACTTATAAATGCATTGTAATGAATACAATTCTGAATACTCAACGCATTGTCAAGGTTAAATATTAACTTTTTAGTTTTTCAATTTACCGCTTCTGCAGGAGAGTCAATCCACATAAGATCAGCCCCAGATTTAGATTGCTGACACAAAGATCTGGCAGTGTTCCAGTCTGTCTTCGTTGTGTCACTCCTAGTACTGATATAGTAACAGTTTGGACCCCCTTGAACCCAATCATGGTCACATTGTGCTGGAATTATATTACAAAACAACGAATGAATATATGGCTACACATTCAGGCGTCGTTCATTTTGACTTCTAAAAACAATATTTTTCAAAAAATATATTATTCACTATAATTTGATTATTTTCTGACTTCGCTTTATTAGGAATAAACATATCTTTTTATTATATTTAATCGTACATGCGCCATTTGACAATTTGCAGATGTAGCCTCTTCTTGCTGCACAGTTGTCATCATTAGATAGACCATTCTTTAGAATCTCAACACAATGTTCGACACCATTCATGTTATTTGGCTCTTTTATCCAATTTCTAAAATGAAAACCACATGAATGTGCTTATTAATTAAATATTTAAATGACAGTTAAGGCCAGGGTGCATGTTTGGAATTTTTCTGCATTCCTCAATTGAGTCACATGTTATTTTTCAAACAGGAATCACTCCTTCCACACATTGTCTACATCTTCCAGTTTTGCGCAAAAGGTGCACTTATGTGCCTAGAAAAGACTGGTGAGAAGATTTGTTTTGTAAAATGTATAAAAAACGAGAAAATTCAGTGAAAAAAATTTCTGAAAATTTTCAGATTTTTTCACTGAATTTTCTTGTTTTTTATACATTTTAACAAAACATTCTTCTTTACATTCTTTTCTAGGTACATTAGTGCACTCGCTGTGCAAAAGTGAGAGATGTAGACACTTTGGGGAAGGAGTGATTCAAATTCGAAAAATAACATGTGACCCTGACCTTAATTTTGGCAAACACACGACGTATATTCTTGAGAGTGCATATCTGCATTAGTTTGTATAATCTTACATGTTGGTTGCCATGTTAGGGTCGTCATTCCATCTCCATTTCGGTTGGCACTGGACGCTGGTTGACTTATGAAGTCCCGTCCACCAGAAACCAACGGGCCGTGTTGACAATTCTTGAGCAATAGCATTCTGCATTATAAAATACCACAGTCTATAAAATGGTTAGTATATTGCTAATTTTTATGTCTTTGGACATTTCCTCAAGTTAATACTGAATCACAGATATTATGCTTACTTTAGGGATCTTCTCACCTTCATATTCATGTCTTTAACATGCAGCAGACTGCCTCCCTTAGATATGCAAGAACTCTCAGCGTTTGGCCACGTTGACCTCGTGTCATCAAACAGGACGCATTTTCCTGCTAGACTTTTCCAACCACCTGGGCATTGCCCTTGAGCTTTAAAGTAGATTTGGTCGATTTATAAAATGCCGGTGAATATATATGATTATACATTATGGCCGATCGCACCCTCCCCCACCCCCTCAAAAAAGAAAAAAGAAAAGAAAATTTGTTGAAAAACACATTGATAAATTATAGTTTGGAATGCTTTGAAAGCACCATACATGTATATAATGTTGTAAAATTTCCGGGTGTACCCCTTTTTGGGGATCGCTTCGCTCGCAGTGATGCAAACCCAAAAATCGTCCTCTCTTAAGAATTGCTGGCTACGCCCCTGTACATAAACAACAAATCTAACACTCGTTGACTACATTATTCCATGCAGGTGTAAAAGGGTAGGAGGTCCTATCAAATCCTATCAGGTCCTAGTTAATTGCATAATGGTCAATGATATGAACGTCGTCGATATATACAGGGTGTTTCATAATGACCGTCCCCCCATCCACAGGCAATCCTACTTCACATGCCCCCATAATCTATATACCATAATAAAGCGTATTCAATTCTGGACTTATGTGCCAAATATTAGAATGCCTGGTCTTTGAGAACATAATTTGTGAACTTATATTTTGTAGCCACTATCCCCTCAATTTGCATGATTATTTGTGGCTACTATTCCTGATGGATTTAAAGAGAAAAGCAGATCGCTATATTATCCATTGTATTATTTAGAGCTCTCTGGGCATTTCTTTGACTATTTCAGATTCTATGCTAAAGCTAAAATGGGTACCTTTTATAGAGATATGTATCAAGTTGTAAAAAATGTTAAGCTTAATCAAAGTTGATTCAATAAGTCCAGAATTGACTAAGCGTTCATATGATATATAACACATGGGGGTATGCTATTCAGGATTGGTGGTTGATGGGGGGACGGTCATTATGAAACACCCTGTATATCACAGCATTGCCTTCAATAAAGCGAAACGTGCGTTGTTGTCTTGCATTTGTGCCAAATATAATGAATTTACTCACCCGAATATATGATTAATGCAATAAAAAAACAGATGCAGATCTTTAATTCCATAATTTTAGTTATGCCTGAGATAAAAATTGAATAATTGTGAATCCTTATAGCATTCCGCCTCCTCGGGGGTGGGTCCGGGTTTTAAATAAAGCAGGTTATAATTCGGATATGATTCTCACATGAATTTCTTAAGAGCACTTTCGAATAGTTTGATTGTCTCAGGGCCTCTTTAGATGTGTTCAATGCCAATCAAAACATTTAAGTCTTGATAAAGAGGCCAATCATATATATGATACGATAGGGGATCGTTAAGTCAAGGGTGTTTGATAGACTCCAAAATAATAAATCGTGGAGCCAACCAGATCCATTTTGTGTATTATGCAATGACGCTGATCGAGTAAAAAAGAAAAAACACAATGTCATCCAAAATAAAAAATTGACAACGTCTAACACATGTCAGTATTTGTCAATGTTTTAATTTATTGATGAAACAAAATTGACATAAAAACAATTAAAGATAAAGTATGTCACACCAAGCACATCATGTCGCTCTGAGTAGTAAGATAAGGCTGTGCGAAGGGGTGATTGGCCGCGTCAAGTTACATACCCACAATCGTTATCTGAAATTTGTGACTTTGATGAGCATAATCTCTGTTTTTTCACCTATTCCAATCAATGATAAATAATAGCTTATTTTACGAATGGTTTTTAACAGTGACAAGTGATAACAACAATGTAACATTGATTACATATAATGTCAAGTACCTTGTTTCATGAGTAAGCAGAAAGATTTCTTGAACCACGAGTAAACATGGGTATACAAGCTTCTCCACAAATATCAAAAACCAGCTTATATGTCTCTCAGCACCCTCAGCACTGTAGATGTGATTGAACTGGACAAGCCGGACAAAATATTATGACATAACATCCTGGTTGAAATTTTGGCAAGATTTTTTAACAATTGTACGAGATTTGGGCAGAATCTTCATTACCTTTTGGTACAAACTTCTGAATGCATAACCCCATCCTGAAATCTAAGTGTTGAAATCACCCAACATCCGAAATACCGTACACAAAAAGACGTCACACCTTTGTGAAGATTGGGACTCGGTGGATCAAACGTGAACTCCCTTGATTTTTGTCTCACTGCAACCCATCGAGGTAATGAGAAGCCAGTGAACCTTAAAGACCAACGGTAACAAGTGGTTTTCATTTTCAGAAATTCTAAATGACTTTATCGGCAATACCGTCAGCCTCTGGGCAAAACGTTTTGAAACTATCAAGTAAGAAGCAGGACTATGGAAATGACACAATTAAGAGTTATTAATTGCACTGTGTCTAACAAATAACATTATATTATCTATTGTCGTAGTAACGTTCACATTTTGCCGATACATTTTGACGTCTAGCGAACTAATTCGGTCGACAATGCTTAGCATTTCTGAAACGTATAATCCTGACATACGTTTATGCCAAAAAGGTAGTGGAAATTCTATCAATTCAATCTCAAAAAATCATGGAAGAGCAAAAATCTTTACACTCCGAGAGGCTGTGGCATTTTTTTTACCATTTTCATTACCGACTCATTGAACAGTAAAATTCCTTCATGCACTGGGACACCTTGACAAATAACAACTCCGGTATACTATATCTAGTATACCGACCATAATGAGTATATCCCTGATTCAGTTTAAGCTTTGATATACAGGAATTTTTGAGGACAAGCAACGGCTGCTATGGCTACGATATGTCATTAGTGATCCACTCGATTACGGTGGTTACCGAAACGGTTCGTTTCGGTAATAAAATGTCGGAACATCGAAGGTACGATTTTTCTTTTTTCCTTATTTCACACGTTGTAGGCAGATTTCCCACATTATTTTTTATCACAAACGTGTATCAGTAGCATATGTTTAAGAAAATGCACATATTTGCGAACAAATAGTTCAGAAGACAACATAATCGTCGATTTAATTCCTCACTTAAGTAACACAAACGGTATTTTGAAAAACAGTTAAGATCTGCACTTTTAACCCAAACCGTTTATGTAACTTAAGTGAGGAATTAAATCGACGATTCTGCTGTCTTCTGAGCTATTTTTTCGCAAACATGTTCATTTTCTGAAACATATGATACTGATATACGTTTGTGAGAAAAAACGTCGTGGGGATTCCGCCTACACCGCGTGAAATAAGGAAAAAAGAAAATCGTACATTCGACGTTCCGTCATTTTGTTAAACCAACATCACCAGTGATATGTGTTGAGCTTGACATTAATGTTCCGATAGAATGTTTTCATTCATAAAAGTTAAAGCAAATATTAAACAGTTGCAAATAATGATTATGACAAGCAGTGCTTTATTCTATAATACATAACAATATAACAGTATAATGGTCTGATTTGATTTTTAACATATTGCACATCATAAAAAGGATTGCAAGAATATGTTTTTGCACATTATAAAAAAGATTGCAAGAATATGTTTTTGCACATTATAAAAAGGATTGCATGAATATGTTTCAGCTATTGTTTCATTTTTATTCACATCACATGATATTAATCTATACGACGGATTAACACACAGGAGATCAGGTGATTACTAATGTAAATAACCTCGTGAACAGTAACGTTGGCCGTGGAAGTTATAAACCAATAGCTTTAACAACGGTTTAAGCATCTCCCTCTTTTCCATATAGAATGTTAGCGATGCCCCCTGTGGCCTTTGGTGGTCTAGGGCCAGTCCTCATTTTATAGACAACCAATGCTAGAACAGCCAGCAAGGCTACAAGCACAATTACACCTATCGCTATTCCTGCTTTTTGCCCTGGCGTTGTTGCAGACAGACCCGAGGCTGAAGTTAGAATGAAGTTAAAACTGTTAAAGTGTCATTTACAATGGTTCACATGATTTATGAGCGACTAATTTTTTGTTTATGGGATATTGTCCTTGGGAATTCTTATTTAGAAAAAATAATACTTATGAGGCAACTAAGAAATTATTGCATAATAAGACTTTCAGAATTTAAAACTGCTTGAGGGTCCAAGTGACCAATTTAACTATGTTAGTCACGAGTATCGTGAAATCTGATTTGCTTCTGTAATGTTACAATCAATTCTCTTTCAAATATATAACATACTTTGAGGACCTCCTGAGCCAGTCCCTGTAATACAGATAGATGACCGCCTTGAGGTACAATCAAAGGCATAATACATTCCTTGGGTGTCAACAGCTGTGCACTCGGGGTTACCGAACACTTCGGGATGGCGAACCCATTCTCTGAAACAATGTTCAAGTAAGGTTATAGTTCTGTAACATTTGATAGTACACGATAATTCAATTACGATAAATGGTATGGATTGTAGTAAAACAAAATCAAAAAGGAAGGCTATCACCACTTACATTAGACTGTCTTTATATTCACTTCCATCGGTCCATTTCCAAGGTCCTTTGTCACCATTGGGGAGATCATTGAGCCCTGTCCACCACCCAGGCCATTTAGGGTCATTTATCCAAATAAGCCCAGTGACATCACGTATATATTCCTTAAATAAACACACAAACTTCGGTAATTCCACGTTCATATATACCTGATCTTATTATATAAGCCCGATTGGCATGGTGATATAGTATATACGCAAACGCTTGTAGTATGATGTCATGCAGAGAAAGGTCCGAAAGGTCTTACCGATTCATCCTGGTTCTCAACGGACATGAGCTCACCACCAGCCATCATATTCTGACAGGATTTCCTGGCATCATCCCAGTTTAGTCGTGCTGAGGAGGCTTTGGAGCTGAATAAATAACACTTCCCATCCCTCTCACGCCAACCAAACGGACAGCTTGTTGTTGGTCCACCGGCTAGAAGATTTAGATGGTGATTGTTTTATTAAAACAAAACAAGACTCATACGTGATGTTTTAGCATTGGTCAAATGCAATCATTTGGCCTCTTTGCAAGACTGACATTTCCTAGAACCACTTGCAAATTTCGTATTTAGTCATTCTTTTATGGGAAACTCTGAGGGGCTTTATCAAGTTGAGGCCGTTTTGTTGCTGAACATCTGTTTGATAAATCAAAATTATACTTACTTCCTCCAACTGTTTTCTGACATATATATCCCGTAAGCCACTGGGCCCCACACTGGACAGTGTGATAGGTGCCGTCCTTGTAGATGAAGTTGCAACTACTTCTGTCATCCCAATCATTCGGCGATTTCTCCCATTGACTAAAACAAATTCCAATATTAATAGTATTATGAATAAGGTAATGAATCAAAAATATATGTAATTTATAATATTGAGGGTGCGAATGATTGTTATACCATATTTTAAGTTGTGTTGTTTCATATGTAATAACATTCTGTTGTTTTATCATAAAAGAATAATAATCTCTATAAGAATAACAACTCACACTAAGTCCTCTCTGAATGTAGTTCCATCTATCCACTTCCATGTTCCCTGAATATCAAGGTCATCTAGTCCCACTCTGTAGGTCATAGATGTGGGGGTACTACCTGTGATTTTCCATAGAATACCAACTATTTCTCGTAACCATTCCTGTAATAAATAATAAATTGCTATGACAGCCAATATGTTAAGTTACATTTCATTTACTCGTTTTACTGAAAATTATTTTAACGAACACACGATCTCTTTTGTGAAGTGATAAAGATAGCATTTCCTAGATATACAAGGACATAGGATACATTGATAAAAGCACGATTGTGGAATACTATAGTATTACACTTATGTAACGGACATACCGCTTCATCAGCATTTCTAAAGGTAGCCAGGTCTCCACCTGTCTGTTTCTGACATTCAGCTCTAGCATCTTTGTATGATTTACCATCACGATTCCTATTAGAGAACATATAGCAGGAGTTGCCACGCTTCCTCCAGTTACCATCTACTTGGTTGCAAGCTGTGATGCCTATTGGAAATGCAACACTCAAGGTTAGGTGACAGCATGAGTTATAAGCTATGGAAAGCTTTCACCTGATAATGGGTACTATCTAGACGTCCTTGGTACTATACCGTAATATTAAAGTATAGTATAACATATTATAACAAAATAAAGTAAGTATTAAATGTATTCATTACCATTCCATTTTTTAATGGAGAACTCAGTGAAACCAGTTGCTCCTGCATCAAACAATAGTGGGCCTAGTTTCTGGGCCTCTGCCATGTTGTCAATGGTTGCTAGATCAGCAGCTGGGTTCTGTGCCTTACACCAGGCAGTGTTATCAGCGTGGGTTGTCCAGGCACCACCACGGATTTTGTAACAACTTGAGTCTACTTGGATTGTAAAGTCAGATGGACAAGCTGTAGGCAGAAGAGAAGTCATATTTTTTACTTTCTGAACAATTACGTTCTAGGTGAGTACCATTTTCGCTGTAAGATTACTCATAGTTAGACTATAGGTATATGCAGTGAAACATATGGTAGTTGTTAAAAGATGGGCAGAACCTAGGAAACTTAAAACAAGTAATATTGATGCAAAACTTATAGAACCATGTTTTTGACTGAAGAGCAATATACTTACTTCCTGGGTTGGGCATTTCGCATAGCGCCCTAGCTGTGTCTTTACAATCCTCCCACCACCAACTGTATCTCTTCGGGTCTGTGTCCCTGTACCTCCAGTTGGTCAGAATCAAACATTTACCATTTGTACCACTCACATCGTATGTTGCTGGAATTTATCAAATAACGAAATTGATTTTTAGGTTCGTCAGTTTGGTTACTGGAGTCTGATCTTGTATATTTAAGATGCTACTGTTTGTGCCTTCTTCTGCTAAAGACCCATAGAAATGTGTACTGTGCAATCTATCATATCAAGTTTATAGAAAATGTCAAACTGCGTTGTGACAATACCTGGGGATGAGACGCTTGCAGGAAGGTCATATCTGCATATGTATGCCTCCTGTCTGTCGCAATTGCCATCATTCATAACACCATTTTGCAGCATGGTCACGCAGTGCTCATTCCCATCAAAGTTGTTCGGCTCCTGATTCCATTTACTAATATCAATATATAAATCATACGGTTATAGCTACATGATTTCTGAGTCATGTAATTACTTTAAGTGTCATTAAGCGAATTTATTTCGTTTAAAAAGTTGAAAATTCGCTCACGAGTCGTGGATTTCGGGACGTCATACTTTATATGATATGGTGCCTACAAGTCATTTTAAGCATTTTTAAAGAAAGAATCTATCATCGTGGTCAGTTGATACTTACATGAACATTGGATTAAGTCGAGTTCCATCTCTCCATTCCCAAGGGTTACACCTGGATTTCTGATCGGCGTCGTTCAACCCTACCCAGTAGAGTTTGTACGACTGATCCGCTGAGAGGGTTTGTTCAACGAAATTCTGAAACAGGAGAAAATCTGATCAGAAAGGGTCAATGCGAAACTTTAGGAAGGGGGAAGTACTAATAAAATAAAGTTTGTTGAATTTAGTTTAAAGGTAAGATCAAAATAACATTTGCCCAGGGACATCAGGGTATGTGTTCCTTTGTATTTATCCTGTTACAATGACTAGGTACCTTAGTATTGTCGTTGTTAATAGCAACGAGATCAGCCCCCTGTGACTGGCACTGTGTTCTAGCTTTAGCCCACTCAAGTCTAGTTGATTTCTCTATGTAGTAACACGAGTTACTCTTTGAATCGTAGGAGTAGCTGGATGGACATGAAGAAGTTCCTGGAACTATTTGGAGACGTAGGTTTGATTGACGTTAATGACACGTTGAACAGATTTTTGGGTTATAGATTAATTTCGAGTTCATTCATTTTTTGAAGCGATAACAATGTAGGTCTAGAATATATATTAAACATCGACTATATCCATTTAGCAATAAGGGCGGTCCTGGAAATCAAAAGGGAGGGAGGCCAAAATTCTAAAAAAATATCTGGGCCCCAATTTTAAAATTTTGGCACGAATTTCTTTAAGTAGTAAATCTAGATGTTTATTATCATTTACTAGTAAATTAAATCATTATCTGTGAAATGTTATTTGTTGGTGTGAAGTGCAGTTTCAAACGGAGACTTTAGATCATATAAAAACGACATGAACTTACTTTGGCAGATAAAACGTTGTTTGGAAGAGCAATCCCTTGCCCTATATATGGCCCCAATGTCACGCATAGTTGCACAAAGTTGGTTGCCGTTGAAATTATTAGGTTCTGTGTCCCAAGTTCTGAAACACATAGACAATAATATGAAGCGCAATATAATATACTGAAATCCAAATGTTTGGACATATTTGTTTACAATTTAAGAATGGGAGGCATGTTCATTTAAAAATATTGTCAGAATTGATGCAATTAGACTTAGCCTTTCATTTCTAATTCTATTAATTCGTAGGGTTTCTAAATGTGTTTAGTTTGAGAAATAATTGAATATTGCCCTTGTGTTATTCTGACAATGTCTATCAATTACATCAACTAAGTATTGTTTTAAATACATACAAGATCGTCGTATCTGCCAACTGGGTTTGGTCGTTCCACTTCCAGTTCACAGCATTATCATTTGGTCCGTTGTTTAGCCCAGTCCACCAACCCAGTTTATTTGGTAATATAAGTGAAATGGATTTCACAGACTCGGCCAGGAAACCCTAGATACAAAGTGAAATACTCAAGTTTGAACAGTAATCATTAAAATACAGTTATGGATATTGGACAAAGTTATGAAAAAAATATCTGCAAATATCTTTTTGGGATTACATTACTATTCAACTCTAAAAACAAAAATCTGGTGCCGTTTGATGAAACTCTATGTATATTCCCACGTGACTTACATATTGTAATAATGACCTGAACTCACATATTCACTTCTGGATGTGATCCAGACAAGATCAGAACCACCTTGTCTTTTGTCACAATCTGCCCTGGCGTCCGCCCATGTCATCATACTGTTTAAGCTGCGTGTACTAAAGAAATAACAGCTTTGCCCGAAGTTAAAGAATTCTGGCGCACATGCAGACGTTCCTATAATTAATCAAGGCAAAACTTCTGTACGATTAATTACAATAATGGCAGCGACCCACAGTTGACGAGAAAGGTGGATCCGGAGGTCCATCCAATTAAGAACTCGAACAACACACATAAAAGTAAAGTTATATAAGCCAGTGATTACTCTTACCAGGTATCATTTCATATTTGCAAATGTAACCCCTCTTTGCGGTGCAACTAGCATCATTAAACACGCCATCTTTCCAGATTTCACCACAGTGCTCCTCTCCCTTCAGATTGTTTGGCTCCTTTTCCCATGTGCTAAAGAATTAAACAATTAAACATATTCAGATTAGTTCAGATTTTAGGTTTCAATGTCGATAAAATCATTGTCTCAAAGTGAAGATGTCTCTACAATTCAGTTGATTTGATGACACGCCCAATCAGTTCATGTAATACAACACCTGTAATGCAGATACACGTTTCTTTATAATTATCTACACTAGAATATTTTCAATTTTGCCTTCTGAGACAGGACTAACATTATATACGCACATGAACTTTGTATCAGATGTGTACTCATCAAGCCATCTCCACTTGGATGTACATGATGGTTTGGCATCTCTCTTTAACCCTGTCCACCAGTTACCAGGGTTCTTCTGTACAAGATCCTCAACGGTAGTCTGAAATACAAATCACACATGTGAAATTGGATCCGAAAGTACTTCTTCTGACTTTCATTGAGGTGTCTTCATACATACAAATAGTCCAGCGTTAAACACATGTGTTAGCAGCGATGCTTCAGTCACATTTGAGCCACGGCAACCATACGGCGGTCGTACCTTCCCAAATTCGAGAGAAATATGCAGCATTTTTTTATATCAATTTTGTGAAGCTACGGCCGCCGTACGCCAGTCGTAGAGCAAATGTGACTGAGGCTTTCACTTAAATTTTTTCTTCGTACAAATGATCTATGACACAATAGAATCCCCAAAGACTTTACACAGAGTTAAACCATAAACGTCTTGTTTCCCTACCTTTACGTCTGATGAAACAACATTGAGGAGATCGGAGCCCCATGATCGACACTGACTCTGAGCGTCCCAACTCCTAATGCCACCCCTTGTAAACTTGAAACATCTCCCTGCACCAGCTAACCAACCATCAGGACATGCGGTGGATTGCCTCTTCTTCCCTAATAGTATAACAAGAGAGCGTTTATCAAATCGACACTATTTTATATAAAAGTCCTGCATTTGGATTAATGAATTCTAATCTATATTACGTTTACGTCAAACGTATTTAGTTTAGAATTTTGATTAGTAAATGAACAATTTTACTGAGATGATAAAACTGGGCGTTCGAACAATTTAAGGCATTCTCTTACTTTGAGCCGGAAGAGGTGCCTCGCAAATATAAGGCTTCTTTGCTGCACAGTTAGCGTCATTGAAGACACCATTTCTGAGGATTTCTCCACAATGTTCTACTCCACCAAAGCTGTTAGGTTCTGTAGCCCACGTGCTAGAAAATATATTCCCTTATTATGTCATCACCAAAAAGTCCCTTTTTATGACTGGCGATAGGCATGTGTACTTTTTATATCAATTGGCAATAATCTAAAGACATCTTGTCATGTAACTGCAATGTTTTAGTATGGTATTGTCATCTTTTTGCTTTGGGTTGCATGCCTCAAGATTTCTGATCTGAAACTTTTATCAATTTACTGAGGGATCAAACAATATCTTAGGGGTAAATTATATTCTGAGGGAGCTGAATTTCGACGTGAAATTAGATTATATTTACACTATTCCGGGAGCAGGTTTTGTACTGTCCGCCCATGTGAATGGGCTGCATCTTTCACCCTGGTCTCTATCATTAAGTCCGGTCCACACCCACCCGAGGTTCTTTTCTTTCATCTTCTGAGTGATAAATGTCTGCAAAAACATCATCAATATACTTTTTCTTTTGTGAATCATCGCTCTCCTTTCCCGCGCCACTGTTTTGCTATCCTTTAAAATTAACCACTCCTCGACGAGGCTACTTTTTGATAAATATTTATTCCATATATAAGTAAGATTATTTGAATCGAATGACAATATGACATGTGACCTACCAGTATTTCAGGAGAAGTGATGGATACAAGTTCAGCTGGTTGGCTGTTAAAGGTTGTCTGTTGGCATTGGACTCTTGCAGCGTTCCACCGTTTCCACTCATTCCCAAAGAAGAAACATTGCTTAACACCACTTTCCCAGCCGTCTGGGCAGTTTTGACCATTACCTTGAAAATATTACAAACATGTCAATGTGTTAAAAGGACAGCATATTCTTATTTGGATGTGAACTATTTTGTATTACAACTAAAATACTGGTATTAAGCATATTTTGATTAAATACTTTAAACGATGAGTGAGTTTTATGGTTAATGTTACTTTGATTTACCTTGACAAATGAATCTGTGCCAGCCCTTACAATCTCCATCATAGAAAACCCCACCGTCCATGACTCCACAGAAATTAGTGCTACCTGCAGCATTGGTAGGTTCTTGGTCCCACTCCCTGTTAATACAAATAGTCTACTCAATTTCGACAAGAACCTACTGGTCACGTGACACTTCATTTAAATAGTACTATGAATTAATGGTCGCTGTTTTTCATGTCTTCAAAGTGCTCTTATGTGTGTGTCTTATTTGGACTTACAAATACTTCTCCGGGTTTTCCACAGATTGCTGTCCATCATTCCACTTGTATGGTCCTTTATCGCCATTTGGGAGATCATTGGCCCCTATCCACCATCCTCTACTGTTGCCAGAGCCACGGATGGTCCATAGCTTGGTAATCAAATCTTTCAGCCATGTCTGGAAATATTTTCATTGTGATTATCTCGTGTTGTTTTCCTTTTTCCAATCGGTTATGAACAGGTGTTTCCCCAAGACGCAGAAATTGAATGCGCATCAGATGTGATGTGTTATACAGTAACTGAGGTTTCATTGTTGGAGTAATGTAGGTACAGTTTAAAAGTAAAGTTGATAATATTGTATAATGTGGAGGAATTGTAGAAATCATTTTAAACTGTATTTTATGATTAAATTAAATGATTTATGATTCAACATCTAAAAATAGAGAAACAGCATCTCAAAGCTTTCACCAAGAATACCCAGAATAATTCCACTCTCCACCAAATAAATCGAACAGTTTCTCTGGTACTACTGTTCCAACTAGATCTTACCGCTTCTGCAGGATTGTCAATCCACATAAGATCGGCACCTTGTTTAGCCTTTTGGCAAAGTGACCTTGCAGTATTCCAATCTGTCCTGGTTGTATCACTCCGCGTGCTGATATAGTAGCAGTTGGGACCTCCTCGTACCCAATCGTGGTCACATTTAGCTAAAAGGAAGGGGAACTATTTTTGGAAAAACAGTTTTTAGATATGATTTGTTCGTTTTTTTGTTTCCAACACTCTTTAGTGTTATACCTGAGAAGCAGAAGTGTCAAAAGGTAAAGCCAAAAGGGGTTTAATTTTTAGAAGCACAGATAAAAAATTACAATCGACCATAAGAACGAATCTTAACGAATTATAAGCATCTATAACAATGGCTTTTTATACAGTTCATTTGAAACATTTCAATCTTGAACAACGCCAACCATATATTCTATACAATACATTCATTTTGTAAAACAAGATGTTTATCAGTTAACTTACGCAAATGTTCTGTACACAAGGGGAAGGTGCAAAACAAAAACAAAGACATTATCGGGCCATGCGGTGAAGATATAGTAGATGCATTATATTCTCGAAGATAAGGAGAATTAACTTACTTGTTGAGGAAACAAATTTGCAGATATATCCCCTCCTATTCATACAGTTATCATCGTTGGAGAGTCCGTTCTTGAGAATCTCAATACAATGTTCCTGACCATTCATGTTATTTGGCTCCTTTAACCATTTTCTAAAACCATATTTTCACACTGTCAAGAATGCACAGTTACAAAATAAGAGTACATGTACAAGGTGGTAAAAAATGGAAATCCTGTCGCCATTTTCCTCATATCTTTGTCATTTTAGGAAATTACTCCCTGATATTTAGCACATTTGTACATCATTTAATTTCCTACCGGCCTACCATATTTCATGACCATCAAATTGATAGTCACAATGTTACAGCACTTTAAACAACATGCTCCATTGGCCAAAATTGCACTTTCGGCAAACCTGCACCTATCATCCAAAATGTCCCTACCTAACTTCAACCTGTGGTGATACACCAAATAAGAGTGTACGAGAATAACCCCAGGACAACTGCAAACCTCAAAAGCAGATCATCCCTGTCATTCAGGCCATACCTGCTGAAAAATTTCGTCAGATCATTGACAATCTGTTCAGATTTGCCAATAGCGCGATGGTGGCCACACTGGGGCATCTTGTTCAAAGTGCTGTACCATTGTGACTATCAATCTGATGGTCATGAAATATGGTTAGCTGGTGGGAAATTGAATGTTGTACATGTGTGTCGAATTTCAGGGAATAATCACCCAAAATGACGAAGATATGAAGAAAATGCAGGGTTTCCATTTTTTGACCACCCTGTATATTTTTTAAATGATGGAAACTATCAACTGCTAATCGTCTTTTGTTTTGTGTCACACTGGTTTTGAATAGCTTGCAAAGTGTCCATTTAATTCTTTAAAAACAATAAAAAATAATGCAGTATTCTTTGTTACAACTGCACGAATTCTTTAAAATAACTACAGTTCATTATTTTGTGTTACTACATGTGCCTATGTGGGATTTACAATTCAATAACTTACACGTTACTGATATCACTGTTTGGGTCATCATTCCACCTCCAGTTAGGCTCACATTTTGTATTTGTAGATTTTGTTAAACCTGTCCACCAAAATCCTGTCTTGGATCTCTTTGGTAGCTCTGAATTAATGGCATCCTGTTGGACGATTCATAAAATTGATGAAGATGAGACTATATGTTATAGAATTTTAAAATGAAACTATTATGTTATTATAATGTAAAACTATACGTATGTTTGCATTTTGTTTTTTGTGTAATCGAGTATATGATAAATTAAAATACAATTGCATACAAAACGTCTAAATTACATGCCATGTACAGTCTTGTACCTTTTTTTAAAAAAAAGTCAATGAAACATCATTTTTTAAGAAAAGTCGCTAAAAATCGAATGGTGAAACTTTTTGAGAGTTCAAGCGACATACAAATAAATGACAAGATTCCATGAGATCATGTTCGACAAAAAAGGTTCACCTTTAAGCCTTTATCAGCAACCTGTAAAAGGCTACCGCCTTTGGAGATACAAGCCTGTTCGGCATTTGGCCATGTTGATTGGGTGTCATCAATAAAGATACATTTCCCAGCCAGACTTTTCCAACCAGATGGGCATTGTGCATGAACTGAAAATATTTCTATCAGTTTTAATTGCTGTAATTAGAATCAGATGATTTAGTTTAACTTTCCAATATCTGTGAACTATATCAAATACAAAAAGTGATGTTAAAAATATATTACTTACCCGCTGTTAAATATAAAGTAAAAAGTGCGACACAGATCTTTATATCCATATTGATATTCGTTATAATTATATTAAAAGTGTTGGCTAGAACATCGCTCTTCTATTGATTACTAATCGGGGGGTGTGTGGACCTTGATATGCTATCCCCGTGGTGGATACGGGTTACATGCTCATGTGATTACATATACTGTAGGCCACACGAATTATCAGCATAAAATGATAATGTTAATACCATCAAATAAATAATTAACCCTAAAAATTCCAAAGACCGCCACTGGCTATATGTTGCCTAAATTCATTTTAAGTTCTGGAAATATTATTAAGAATTGACAGCTTAAATAGCTTTGTGTATCATGCATATTTGGCTATCAATATTTTTTTCAATTAGAGATGTAATTCATAAGTTGGTCAATGATTTTTACCATCGCAGTGTGGATATCTTTTCCATGGACAAATAGTGTTTGTTGGGGTTTCTGGTATTGCTACTTGGATGGTAATTTGTAGAGGATCATGAGTTAATCATAGATTTATATTCTTTCTAATCCATATTTAAAGGGTTCTTGTCATGTTCTTAACATCTAATTGTTAATTACAGCCTCATTTTTAGTCAAGTAGCAAAAATCCGTTAACCATCGAATGCGGCGTATTTCATTGTTCAAAAGCCACTGTGTTACATTTTTTTGGATTTGTGGATCTTTTGACTAACTTACCACGGCTGTATTAATGGTATTGAATATTGGTTATTCATTTTATGAATACATTTTTAATAATCTATGCCAAAAAATAGTTATAATCATCTTTTATATCTGGATATTATAATTTATGAAGTTTTTTTCTAAAAATATAGAGGTTCCGGCAGGCGGGGGTTAATGGAATTGTGTTTGTCAATACTGTACGATTCATAGATAATCACAAAAGTATGTGTTGTGTAAAATATAGGTCATATTGAAGTCAACCCCTTCTCTACCAATTTTACACATATGTAACTCTGATTGAGAATGTAGGTAGAGAAAGTTTGATAACGCTTTTGTATTCTTTGATTTTCAGCTTAAGTGCAAGATATCAGCGCTAAGGGACCATTGTATTCATATAAATGTAAGTGATGTGTCCTTATCCTAATCTATAAATACTATTGTATTGACAATGATATAATTCTTTGTTTTTGGTAACGGATCAAAGTCTGCATATTGTGAAACTACTCATTGATTTTCATATAAACATAAACAATATTTCGAAACATTTCTAAAACAATGAATTTTATGGGTTCTTGGGCCATCCTGGTGTACCGGGGCTCCTCTTATCTGCCGTTCGCGAAAGACTTTGGAATGAAAAAGACAAAGGGGTGCGGCTATCGCGATGGGATTGCGGTTTTTATAGACATCCCAGGGCTCTGTGAACCAACAAGAGGGGCTTAAATTTCAGGTCAGAGAAAAAAAAACGTCCACGAAAAAAATGTTGGGCCCCTAAACCCAAAAGCGGGCCCAAATTTGAAATTTGAAGACCCTTTTCCTTTTGGTCTGAAATTAAAAAATAAGTCCTTAAAAGGCCTAGTAATGACCAAAAAGGCCCACTTTTTGGGGTACTTTTTTCTGGGCCCACCCAAGGGGATGTTAAAAACACAAGCAAAAACATCGTAACACAAAACAAAATCAGTGATGATTACATCAATTTCATCCCATGCCCACAATTTCTTTACACACAGAGATTGGCTTATCTCTCCATGTCAAAAATACCTCTTTGAATCATTTATAGGTTTTGGCAGAGAGCAGCAACCTCATTGGTGAGTCTCTGTCATAACTTTTGCAATGTCTAAAACTTGGTCCGAAGCAGATGTTGGCCTCCTGTTTTGCAAAAGGAATGATCATTCAGTGGTCTGGGGTCATGTATGAATGGATGACATACCATTCGAAGAGAAGACAAGTGGCTTTTATGCTAAAACACATGAAATTGATGTAATCATCACTGGTTTTGTGGTTTTACGAATTTTTTGCTTGTTGCGTTTTTTGAGGGGACGCACTTTATATAATTGGCTATCATACAGGAAAACTGTGTATTTTGCTTTAAAACTAATAAACTAATTTTATTCAATCTTTTTCCCTCATAAGAAATGAATATGTTAATGTAAACAATCATAATATTAGATCAACGTGAAGCAAGCAAATAGTGTGTCAGCTAGAATGCAGCCGTGTCCTTCAGACATTAACCTTGCGTGAAAAGAGCACTAGTTAGATACGTCAAAAAGATGTTTAAATGTCTCTGGTTAGATAATTCTCAACCCAACCATCAACCCAATTTATTCTTGGCCCGCATGTAATTTTCATGGACCAATTTTTTGGCCAATATTTTATTCAATAAAATGTTTGATAATAACTTTGATGATCAACAGGGATTGATGGGCATGGATTTCCATTACGTTAGATTGCCGATTGCATGCAGCGTGTTTAATTCAAACATATTTTAGTCAATGTTGAGTTTTCTGAAGCTTGCAACTTCGTCTTGTCCTTTTTTCGGTCGTTTCTTCTCGTCAACTTTGAACTGTTCAGTGCTCAATGTCTTGATTCTTTTGTGAAGCTCTGGTGACGTCACGCGCTCATACCAGTAGGCTGGAATATACAATTACAAAAACCTCATACGTCAGATCTAGTTAAAAAGCAGGTCCCTAGGATGGGGGGAGGGTACAGCACATAGAATTATCAAAATTATCAAAATAAGTATCTCACGTGGAATCTATTTTTGAGATTCAAAAGGAGAAAGAGGAAAATCTTGTGATCCCTAAATGAGTTACCTCTCCATGGGTAACAAAGTAGCGTGATAGCAGCGGAAATGTTCGACCCTATTAACACACCGGAATAGCCTGACAACAGTAGAGTCAGATACCTTTGTCACAATTACATAACCGTCGCTTCAACTCTTTAATCACTTGTTCCTCGTTTCATTGGACTTTAATGTCGCTAATTCTGTACATGTGTTATTATATTAAGCTCGTGTGATGATGTATTATATGAAATCCCAATTTCTATCAAATGGTGTCGTGAATCGCTACAATATAGCGTCTTCGATATCGTCAATGACAACGGAATCTGAATTTGAATTTACAAAGACAATGGCATATGGTAAGATGTGACTGTTTACTGTTGTCACCTCGATCTTACATCACATTTGACCCACACTTACCGTTGTCATTTATACAGTATCCGTTGTCCGGTGTCATATTCCGATCGGTAAAATTAAAGCCTTTATTTCGATGGTAGAACATATTTAACTATATGATCAGTAGAAAAACACTTTGAGTGATTGCAGTAGCAAAGGAATTAAATCTAGTTGCTCTATTAAACATAGAGTTCATAAAAATCTAATTGAAGCGACGGTTGTGTCCGCCATTTGTGACAACGGTATCTGACTTTACCGTTGTCAGGCTATTCCGGTGTGATTAATATCTTAATGAAATCATGACCACCTTAAATCGTTCAACAATGTGCCAATCGATTAGGTGGATTTTATCGAATAGGAGCTTTCAGTCACTACGAAGCTTTATAAGGGACATACATTTTTTCCGAATTAAGAATTTTCGTTTTTTTAAATTAATTTTTTTGATTTTTGAATTAGATATTCTTATTCTATTTTCACCTCGGTGGAAATTAATTCCCACCGCGGTGAAAATTATTTTCACCGCGGTGAAAATTATTTTCACGGAGGTGGAAATTAATTAACTGCGCGTGAAAGATAATTTCCACCGCGGTGAAAATAGTTTCTACCGAGGTGGAAATGATTTTCATGTCCCTTATAAGGCTTCGTAAGTCACTCACTAGATATCTGGCTGAGAGTCCCAGCATAATTTCCACCGCGGTGAAAATAGTTTCTACCGAGGTGGAAATGATTTTCATGTCCCTTATAAGGCTTCGTAAGTCACTCACTAGATATCTGGCTGAGAGTCCCAGCATGAGGACCTGTGTAGTCATCTGGTAGGTACTCCTTTGGAAATAACTCCATAGGCATCTTCTTATAAAGTTCCTCTAAATTAGAATAGTAGCTGAACTGCAACACAAATTCAGGGTATTTGAATGATTGTAAATGAGTTTTGCGTAAAAATATTTAAAATCTACCCTAAATAGTGGTTTGCAAAATCACCCTATGCAGCCTGAAATTACATTTCGTAAAATGAAACTCGACATTCAGCAAGAAACTAGAAACATTTTGTCACCAATGTAGCAAATTATTTTTATACTGATTATAGTTATTATATTAATAAATGGTGAATGACAGTCATATAAGTTCTACAAGTATGAGAATAGTACATGACGTTCTGATATTTCAAGTTAACTCGTTTGCAAAATGATGGTGCTGCATTGAAATTAAGATGTGAAGATAAACCCGCGACGAAATATTATAGATTTCTTTGAAAAACTAAGAAATATACATCACTTATCGAATTTTTCAAAACAGAAAAAGATATGACTGTATAAAAAGTAAGGCCTGCAGGTCCAATTCCTCAATTCTTCAATTTTGGTAGCATTAACATTGGTCTTGTATATGCCCAACAATTAATATTTGAAACACAACTATTACTCAAACTGATGATCGGTCATAGGTACGATGTGTACTTCAAGGTAATAAAGTAACAATGCACAGGTAAAAAATTTGCTCAATGGGTGATAAAATGTTTCTATAATATTCTATTCTATAATATTCTCGATACGCTCGCTCGTGCAGATATCATATCCAATCGTGGATAAAAATCATATCACTCATAAATCATAGGATATCCTCTATATATTTCACATATTGCCGAATGCCCAAAGTCCAATATTTCGCTATTTTGCGAGCAGAAATGACCCTAGTATTGCTACAACTGTTTATTATGCCTAGGTCACATATGCACCGGGCGCCTGCCGATGAGTAGTCATCGGCCGATTTCTGAATCGACCGCGCCGGGCGCCGGTGACTTTTCCCAGATGTCTTGATTTCGCCGTGACTATGGTCACATTATGCCGTTGTCACATTTGCTCAGATTTTTACAACGGCGCCCGGCTGATTGAGTATTATTAGTGGTAGGTGGTAAAAATGTACAATAATTCGCCATAAGTGAGATCATGTACGGTAATTAAATCAAATTCTTCTCAAGCTTTGTTATTAGATCGTTATGACTGAATTGGAAACACTTCATGGTTACTGAAGGTCGAATTTTAAATACTGTTTATAATTGATTAATTCCTACAGAAACGGAAGGAAACAATATTTACCCTTTCCTTTATTTTATTTGATATGAAAGGCCAAATGATGGCCATAAACGCCTCCATGACGGTCCCCATGTTGTACATGAATACATCCTTGATACGGGCGGGAAAATTGTTCTGAAAATACAAAGAAAATATGTAATGAAATAATTCTTCTGGGAGGCCTCATTGGAGATTTAAGGAATAAATTAAACCATCAGTTTATGTAAAAACCAAATAACTTTGATTTGGGTTGACCTTTCTATTGTTCTAAACATGTGATTTCACAGAAATCTGAGAAATTTAAAGAAAACGGCTTCGCTTAGGATGATACTAAATGTTGGTTTAGTCAATTAGTAAGTGGGTGCATTTAGATAAAGTTTAAAATAAATATGCATGATATATAAACATAGAAATAAACGAAGTGACAAATATTGTTAATAATTATTCCATAATACATTCCTCTAAAATGTTACATTTGGATAAAACTTTTATCAATTAGCCAAGGTTAAAAATAACCGGGAAACCAAAAATAATAGGTTACTACGTTCCGATACGATTTATTCCCAGGGACAATATGAATCTAAAAAAATGCTTCGATACGATTTTTCCCTGGGACAATGCGATTTTTTCATGAAATACGCTCCAATACTATTTTTCCCGGGGACAATACGATTTTTTCGTGTAATACGGTTCAATACGATTTTATTCCATCATATTTCCCTGGGAAAACAGTAGTATTATGGAATATATATAGGGGTTATGCACTGGGAGGTTTTGGATACAGGGAATATCCCGAGGGATATTCCATGTATCCAAACCGACCGTGCATAACTGGTGTATCTCATACTTGAGTGGGTTTAGGGTAGATATAACCTTTTCCACCTTTTTCAAATGACAAGATATTTATATTTAACATTTTCGTAATATTCTTTTTGTTCAATACAATGAAATTGTAACATTTAAACTTAAAAAAATTAAATTTTAAAATTAAAAAAATTAAAACTTTTGATATTTAAACTTTTTTAAACTTTTGAAAAATTCCCGGGAGCGGGATGGATATATTATATCTGCCCGCATTTGGCCTGGAGCGGGACATATACAATATATCCTGCCCGCTCCTCAGATACGATATATATTCCCGGGTGATATCTACCCCAAACCCACTCAAGTATGAGATACATCTATCTATCTAAGCACAAGTGCCAAAGGGAGAAGACCAAAAACTGTAAGAAACCTAGCAACAAAGCAATACTTTAACATACGTAGAATAGCCCAGGCCCATTTTTCACGTTTTCAATTCCAAAGAAAGTAGTATGCTTCAAGGTTTGTCCAGTTCCATCTTGAAGAATTACAACTCCATTAACCTTCAAAAATAGATGAAAACTTTGTGTACAGTACAATGTTTGCTAAATCAATGTAGCTTTGAAATCTGCACTTTAAACCATAAAGACCAACATTTTTCTTCTATATTTAAATTTTGTGTTTAATTTTCTATTTTTAAAAGTTCGGCTCAAAGTCCCATTGACACAATGTTAACACTTTTTAAAAGTTCACGGACTCTTTTAAGTTTCACGTTTTTTATGTTGAATCACGGTCCATGTGTCAACAAGTTACTCACTTCGAGAGCCATGTTAGATTTTGGCTTATGGCTCTCAAACGGAGAAGTGAACAGCGCATCAATAGTGACCTTTGAAATCGAATTAAGTCGATCCGCGGCTTACTTTTGGTCTCTAACTGTGTCTTACATCAGTATCATCAATCCGTGTAAGTATTGGAGCGCTGGAGTACTTCTTTTTCGATCAAGACTTGTAAATTGTTCATCGAGTGAACGTTTTTTAGACCTATTTCCAATATGGCGGTTTGCTAGGAGCGAGATACGCAACGAACGAAATGAATTCTGAGAATTAGTTAGGTTCGGACAACCTCCGGAGATTTACGAAAATGTCCGAGCAGAAACCGCCATATTGGAATTTGGCAGTAAAACGATTCACTCGACTAACAATTACAAGTCTTGATCGAAAAAGAAGTACTCCAGCGCTCCGATACTTACACGGATTGATGATACTGATGTAAGACACAGTTAGAGACCAAAAGTAAGCCGCGGATCGACTTAATTCGATTTCAAAGGTCACGATCATTGAGCTGTCCAAATGCTCCGTGGGAAAGCTATTATATCAAAATCCAATAGTTTCGCAGGAAGTAATCAACAAGTTCTTATTGTCACATGTACATGCTGTTTGAGTACTACATAAGTTCAAATGATCATACTTGATAAATCTGGAAATACGTGACTTTATAAATAGTATTCTGGCCCTACCAACACACGTACTGCCATTATATATATTTAGCAATGTTCAAATGTTATCATAGATAATGTCAGATATCGTATATTACAACACCAAGATTTTTTCAAGCATGTCAAAAATGGAATGATACTGCGCCTTTTACTGTCTTTTGTCTACAAATAGCAGATAGGAAATAACAAAACTTCTACGAAATAAACGCCAAGTGGGAAATGCTGGGAAGGTATATCGTGAAGGTATTGTACTGAATAATTAAGATTGGATAGGTATAAATATCAATAAATAACGTTAGAAAGTGACTTTTACCTGAGTCACCTCTTCTCTCATCATACACATGAACAAACATCCAACATAACCAAAAAGGTCTTCATTTGTGTACCCACAATCCTTTCCGGTCTGGTAACCACCTGAATAGGAAATTTCATGTTCGTAATTTTCGTTTATATTGTCGGTATTGATTTGAAGTCTACTTGAAAATTTGACAGGGCTATGATTTGAATCAAAACTCTTAGGAAATGTCGAACCATGGGTCGAGATTTGATGATTTATGGCGCAATATATAATTGTTTCTGATAAGTATCGTAAGACCGAAATCGCAGAGGGATTAGGGTCTCTGGTAATGTACAGAGTAAAATTTGAGAATGTTTGCCATGTTGATTTTAATATGATAAACAAACCAGATGTCTTATCTATCACTTTTGGCGATCATGTCTTATTCATCAAACATTTTGCAGAAGCGATGAGTAATTTTTAGGCGATGTCGCAGCGATAAACAATGTTTTCTTTCAACTGAAGTCCCGAAGAAAATATCAATCTTACTCTCTGAAAAATTATGAACTCTTTTAAAAAAATGTCAGGTTTATTTTCTCAAGTGAGTATCTTGTTTTTCTCAATTTAAACATATCAAAAGTTTCTTCTACACACTATTTTGACACTTCCTGAAAAGGGGATGATGTTTGACATGCGCTGAAGTTAAAAACCACAAATCACATGTTATTTTCCCATAGGGAAAACTCATGCTATCCATTGTTTTCAGTATGATTTTGGTCATCGAAAATTAATATCTTCAAAACTAGACCTTCAAACAATTCTACTTTTAGAGACGTTAAGACCCTTCGTTGAATAATATTTTTATGCAATAAAAATCAGTAAAAGAAGATCCCTTTTGAGTAAATATGCTCAATATTTTGGAAACATGTCGACACGGGGTCCGTATTCATAAATTTTGGATTGATATTTTTATCATCATTGGGGCTTCACTCAAAAGAAAACATATTGTTTTAATAAAAACCAGTGTATTCATGCCTAGAAAGTACTCATGGTGAAAGATATGACTGTCTAAAACCACTCGCCATACTGCACATGGTCCTTTAAGCTAAATAAATTGGTTATAACTCAGAATTCACATGTATACAAATTTGCTGACTTTTTTTCGAGTCTAAGAATTACTGTTGAACCCCTAAAGAATAAGCTAAAAGAAGAAGCTAAAGAAAATAGATTGTGTCCTTTATGTGGAGAGTGTGAAACATTAATTCATTTTATAAAGGATTGTACTGAACTTAAGAGTCGTCGATTATTATTAAAACCCCTTATTGACAAAAATGGGGATGGCGTATTGCCCTTTATCTTCGCTCCAGATGAGCAGGATGACTGTTTATTTATTGTTAACAATTTGTATGCGATGTATCAACATCGAACAAACGCCATTTTGTAAATATCATCCCGACCTTGTATTGTTCACCTAAATGTTTGTATATATGTTAACATAAAATAATGTATATTATGATGATCAATTATGGTCGCAATAAAGAAATATATATATATATAAAGTGTCTTGTTTACTATCTCTTTTGACACTTTCTATGAATCATGGTCGAGATCGCAATTAGGTCGCAGCTTCTTTTATTTGACGCAGTGATCACATTCATAGTTTTCACACACACAGGTAAGTTAATATGGTAATATCGACGTACCCGTCATGCTATAACACCGTGGTGTATAACCTCTATATAATTATCATTATATTATGTTGCCCGCTGAAATGAGGTTATTGCTATATTATACATTTTGTATATCAGTCAAGCCAAGTAACTAAGTCAACATTCGAAAATAAAAATCTCAAAAATCGTACATCTTTGATTTCCAAAATAATTTGTGAGGTGGTTATTAAGATGATAATACATCTTTTAACGTATTAATTTTGAGTACATCTTGAATCCATTCTCAACAAAGCGTTGTCGAAATAAGGATTCGAAATATTTAAGTACGGGATGATAAAAGTACGTTAAGATATACCGCTCCTTAACAAACTCCTTTGGGAACAAGATTATAGAATCAAATGCATATTCTTCTTATTTACTCCCTGACACATGCCAACGAATGTTACATAAGTTAATATCTCCGTTTTAAATAATTTTGTAAACGTTGTTCTCTACAGGTGCCATTTTTTATAATTGAAAAACAAAATTGAACATTTTGCATTTCTAAATTGGAATTTTCTTGGAATACAACTTAACTGTTAACGATTTAAGTCATTGATAATATTTCCCTCAGTGATCCTATGCTAAATAGACAGTAACTAGGTTATTATTTTGTGTTCAACCTTGTTTTCATGACTTTTAAACATGAGTCGACAATTATAGGAAATTTCAATTCCAAATGTAAGCGTGTCAACTCGTGTTTTTGCACAAAATTTAGCCTTTTATAAAGATAGATCGCCAAAATCTGCATGTACCTCTCAATGAGGCGACACGTTTTTAAATCTATAGATGCTGAGCTATAAACTCAAACAAAAATTCAAACCACCCGCTATTATTTTGATTACACTAGACGAAATTTCCACTCCCAGGGAGCACTGTGGTAACACTTTGAAGGAGGATTCTTGAAAAATCGTTCGAATTTTCACAAAAGGTTTCACGCAATTTTATTGCTTTGTTTAAGCCTCAACTAAAATCATACTCAAATCCGATACCATAATTATAAATTAAAATGAAACATTAAACTCAGGTCAGGTTATATGATAAACCGTTTCGAGAATTGATGATTTGAGTTAACTGTGTATATTTAAATAAATGTAAGTCGGCATGTATTCGACAGTTAATGTAGACACATGATGTATGCATCAACTGTGACTTAAATATCGATTCATGACTATCATTTTTGGCTTTCAAAAATTAAGTTGGAAGTTACAGTGGTTGGAGATTAACGAAAACGTCAATCACATCCGAATATCCGAACGACGTCTAGTATTAACAATATACCCTTTCTGTGCATCTCGAACAAGGCAAGGTTCTGTGATCCAGCAATGTGCATTCCGAAAGAAAAAATTCACAAATATCAACAAATTTCATTGAGTTGGATATTTCATTCGAAATTACAACTTTCAAAATGTTTGTTTTAAACAAGAATTGTAATAACTTAAAACATGTTGTTAGTTTTTCAAACCGCATATCCTCATTTACGTTCTTTGACAAGGATGAATTCATTTGAAAACATGGATTTTCTTGATTATTCTTCAAAACTACCCTTGAAATATAAGTATGTGGGATATTACAGTGTAAATTGACACGCATTTGTTTCCTCCATATCATGAGAAAATAAATGCAGTACCATTTTTCAATATTTTGAAACAAAAAGTTCATTCTGTATGTAAACAAAAAGAAATACATTTATGGTTGATTCATAATGAAAAATGACAAATAACATACATCTTTTTAAGTAGAGGTATACAGGGACATAGTGGAAATTCAGAAATTTAGGCCATATCCCAAAGACTGCTTCACCAATATGTAACAGAACATCAAATTTATCATTTACACGTTTGCTGATAGGTTTATTGAAAATAATTAAACAGAGGTTTACTTCAATTGTGGCACCATTCTTAGTTAATACTGATGAACATACGAATATCGAATGTTGACTAAGTTACTTGGCTTGACCGATATATGTCATCTAAGTTACCCGCTCTCCATAGAATTATCCTGCGCCCCTCACTGTCTCTGTCTGGCAGTAGAACCATTGGCCTGAATAATATAAAAAAGAATATATATATTAAATGTGACACATTTCTCTCAGAGAAAAGGAGTGGCTTGTGTAATGGGGGACCACGGAAGGTATCGCAACAGATTTCAGACCGCCGCATGTTGAATTTTGGCTATTTTCTGAGGATCTGAAAAGGTGCATATGTTAGGCCAGCCAATCCATTAATTCCAGGACAAGCAATCATAGAGATGGTTAAATAATTTGGACTTTGAAACGGGGAAGGTGCAAACACCCCACCAACGTATTTTATCTAAAATGTTTTCCTGATTTTCATCCCCTTCCACTCGTGTTCTTTCAATGTTTTATGCATCAATTTGCTGCATTTTGAGACACAGTTATAACCTCTCAAAAGGAAAATGGATTCACTAGGGATAAAGTGGTAAAGGTATGAGTACCGTAATCCAACACCAAATTCGAAAATTCATAACAATACTTTGCACATATGGCCATCGTGACCAACTATAAAACGCTTACCCCCCATAGTGTTATATATCAAAATGTACCTGTTCATATAGGGGTTCGATTGATCTACATCAAATTATAGGGACTCAGGTTACTTTTTGAGATATCAGCGTCCATTTATTGTAACTCGCGTTTGCCACCACGTCCTCAATTCTGATATGACAGGCAAACGCGTAGTAAACATGCTCACGTCGGAACTAATTTTGACCTACATCGCTATTTTCGTAATTCAAATGAAAGTTGAACTCCTCCTCTTTATTTTGATACCAAATAGTGGCATACTAGGTACCCTAGAAGCCAACTATGGCGTTATTTAGAACAATACCACAGGTTTTTAAATGGACTATATAGCTTTTGGCGGATGGATATGGAACCTCATACCTAACAGTATTTTCCATGTTATTATCCCATAGGGACGAAACTCAGGCGATCTATTGCTGTCAGCTTTTGGTTACCCATAATTGATAGGATATAGTCCTGAGTAAGGACATTAGCGGTTACCGTTAGTGATTTGGTTTCCTGAATAAAAAGTCATTTTCTCCTTCCCTACCCCATTGGAGCGCCATTTGGCGTTTGGGAAGTGAATCGGGACTAAATATTTATAGGGTAGGTCCTAATTTATCTGAAAACATGTCAGAGTTCAGTGGGAAATCTCATTTTAAGCTGGCGGCGGAGTGATTTTGACCTTGGTGATTTTACCAGAATTCTCTGAGAAATCTGACGATAGAGGGGGTTAGTGTCTTCAAGTTTATTTATTTCAAAAATTCGGTGGACAACCCATGGTAAGATTGTTATAGCAGGCTAGGCGAGTCTCTCCCGAACACTGTGGTATGTTGCACTAGGCTTGGATACTAATCGTTAATAAGATACAGGGTAAAATGTTATAATGGCCACCTATGGGAAACTCTACTGTGGTCTTCAACCTAATTATTAGAAGGCGCTTTTTGGCGGCATTTTGAAGGTTTTATCCCTTTTTGAGGTTTTTTATTTCATTGAGAAGCCTAATAGCGCATATCATATTAAAGGGGTGTATCTTAGCTAAACAATGCTACCAGAATCGTGACATTTTGAAGCAATTTTGGTGTTTTGGGGGCGAGGCCACTGTGCCAAGTACACCGAATTCCATTCACCCGTGCCATTCAATTGTTTTTGGGGCAGTTTTGAATGAACCTTTGTTTCTTCCTACCAATATGACGTCATGAGATGCAATCGAACGCCTTGGCATGGATATCACTTGAAAGATAGTCGAAATCGCTTTCCAATGATACCCCATATGGCCATGTTCACCTCAGTTGGGTGTACTCAATCTGTGATGCAATCTGTAAGGTGTACCACTACCCCAAAGAAATTTCAAGAAATCTCAAGATCAAATTTCCTGAATTTTGCTAAAAGGACCTGTGTCTATAAGGATTGAATTTTCCTCCGTGCATTTTCTCAAATATAGGATTGTTATATACCATTGTGATCGGGATAATGCCTACAATGCTAATATAACCATGTTGGAAGAAAACAAACTAATTCAATTTACTATTAGGATATAGTCCTGAGTAAGGACATTAGCGGTTACCGTTAGTGATTTGGTTTCCTGAATAAAAAGTCATTTTCTCCTTCCCTACCCCATTGGAGCGCCATTTGGCGTTTGGGAAGTGAATCGGGACTAAATATTTATAGGGTAGGTCCTAATTTATCTGAAAACATGTCAGAGTTCAGTGGGAAATCTCATTTTAAGCTGGCGGCGGAGTGATTTTGACCTTGGTGATTTTACCAGAATTCTCTGAGAAATCTGACGATAGAGGGGGTTAGTGTCTTCAAGTTTATTTATTTCAAAAATTCGGTGGACAACCCATGGTAAGATTGTTATAGCAGGCTAGGCGAGTCTCTCCCGAACACTGTGGTATGTTGCACTAGGCTTGGATACTAATCGTTAATAAGATACAGGGTAAAATGTTATAATGGCCACCTATGGGAAACTCTACTGTGGTCTTCAACCATACCTTTGTACACCTGCTTGAATCCATTTTCCTTTTAAGAGGTTAACTATGTATCCAAATACAAATTATTATTACCACCTTGCCGGGCCAGTTCTAGGGGTTTTAGTGCTAGTTAAGAAGGCGTTCATTTTACTATATCGACCTGAGCAATATGTGACGTCATAGTGGTGGTCAAGAATGCATTTCAGACCGGTCAAGAATGCATTTAACGAACCGGCAATTTTCCCCGGGAAAACTAGATATCGATCAGTGCGTAAGATTTTCTTGCTGTTTTAGTCCTGGTCGTTAACGGTGATAATAATACTAATAACGTCATTTCTGCGGGCAATATTTAGAGGTTATGTCACTATCGTTGCATGATGCCCGAGGTTTTCAGTGATATATGGCCCGACCTTGGGAAGGTCATTGATCACTGAGAACCGAGGGCATATGTGCAACGATAGTGACACAAACGATTTATAACATACCTAGATTGATGCCGACTGGTCAGAGAGTACCGTTTTCTTATCTAATTGACTAGCAATGGTTCGGAAATGATGATTTATTCCCATGTTTGTATCTTACGAATGTACGAGTCAATTTGACCTAGGCCTAATGTATGACGTAGTCCCAGCGCTTGACCAATCAGAAAGTTAGCGGGCGCGGGCTTTTCAAAAGTTATATTGGCCCGCTGTCTTGTGAACAGTTTACACTATACATCATCATAGGTATGTTATAAAGTGAAATATTGGACCGTGGGCCTTCGAAATGACGTTATTGTACTATTATTATGCATATTTATTTCTAACTACTGTTATCATCGTTACATTTCAATTGAAATTTTAAAATGTTGAATTTAAAGATTTTGAACTTTTCGAATAATAACTGCATCGAAAATAATAATTAAACAGATAGTTTCATAAACTAATATACTATACTAAGGTAGGATAACTATGTATTATAAGTATATATAATGGTAGAAACTATGTCTTTCATATTCATTAATTTCATTGTGAGTACTAGTCTAGATCTATGAGTAGTTCATTGTAGTATGGTGTTAATAGTGTTTAATTACATATCTCTGAATAGCTTCTTCATTGCAGAAGTCTTGGTGTCAATGTTACACATCCAAGAGGGGATTAGATTGTAGATCTTGCTGTGGAAGATATCAAACATCGTCCTAGCTTCAAGCTGACTGAACTTGCACCTTCTCAGGAATTGCAGCAGAAAATTCGTATCTGAAGTAAAGGGGCTCCTTTTAGTATGGCAAGTGATTTTCGACAGTCATATATTTCACCATGAGTACTTTCTGGCCATAAATACAGTCACGTGATTTTTATGAAAATAATATGTTTTCTTTCAAGTGAAGTCGCCATGATATTAAAAATATCGATCCAACTCTCTGAAAATTTATGGATTTCTACCCCACCCTGCAATTGGCACTTTTTTAAAATGTTAGGCTTATTTTCTAAAAGGCGCTTGTTGAGAAAATAAGCTTAGCGGTTTTTAAAAAGTGCCAAGGTGGGGTACTAATTCATAATTTATATAGTTGAATTTATATGTTTACTATTATTGGGACTTCACTTGAAAGAAAACATATTGTTTTTATAAAAACAACTGTATTTTTGGCCAGAAAGTACTCATGGTGAGAGATATGACTGCCAAAAATCACTTACCATACTACACGTGGTCCTTTGAAAAGGTCGCAATAAAAGGACATGACTCAACTGTAATTAATTCATTAAATAAGTTTAACCGTATTGAAAAGCAAGAATCCAAACGAGTCACTTTGATAATTTGAATACATACAGTACCTGTGCAGACAGAATAATGTGGTTGCTGTTTTATCCACTGTCTAAACTGATCCACAGCTGCGTCTCGTTCCTTGGGATCTTCATGTAACTCCTCCTTGGCTTTCTTCACCCATTTAGGCTCTAGCTTACACACATATTTATTCCCATCCAACAAGATATCGTCTAGACCAGGAAAACATCCTCCGTAATCCCTTGTTGCCATGGTGTTGTACGTATTGAAAAGTCCGTCTTGCTTAGTACTTTTCAGTTTTCTGCTAGCACTTTTCAGTTTTCTGCTAGCGCAACAATAAGCATTTTCTCATGGGTTGCACACGTGAATCGTTTGCTGGTGAAATTCGAGAGATACATTCCAATGTCACCTTGTGCGTGCATTTGAACATGGATAAAAACTAACGTCTTCAATGGATCTCATTTATCAGTTATGTTAACGTCCTTTAGGTAATAGGGCGTTACAACATTGAGCCGCATGTAAGTTCCCGCAGTAAAATAAAAAATTCTCAATCATTACCACCTTGCAGGGCCTGTTCTAGGGGTTTTAGTTCTAGTTGAGAAGGCATAACGTCATTTCTGCGGGCAAAATAGTGAAATATTGGACCTTGGGCCTGCGGCCCTTGGTCCAATATTTCACTATATTGCCCGCAGAAATGACGTTATTGTACTATTAATCATATTGTGCTCAGTCAAAACTCAACTTTAAAAAATATATTTTACATGAGATACTACAACGGGACATGATTCACAATTGAAATGTTAAAATTAGCTAATGACTCTCGCCATTCAATTATCAATAAACTTTCACCCAACATAGATAAAACTAACTATATGTATATGATCTTTATCAAATCAAAAACTAAACTCAATGATCCAAAATGATCCAAATTTTCTTGGAAGTAATAATAAACAATACTAGGTACAACACTAGGTAAACTTTATAAAGTATGTTACAAATTAAATTTGACAGCTTTGCTAGATATCTATTACTCTCTTATATATTCTCACATTTCATGTTACAATATTATATGGGGAAATATATATGTTTACTTTCACTGATTTATCTGTGTGCACATTAATTGTATATTTTCATATTTTATATCATGTATTATTATAAATTATATGTCTTGCTCAACTCATATAAGTTGTACACCTTTATGTTTTTCTATTTTTTGATAATGCACTGATATACGCCCCCGCCCTATGGGTATCTAGTGTGTGAATGTAACACTTGATAATAATTATATTACATGAATAAAATGAAAAAAAAATAATGATAGAAATTCTCCCTCGCCATTCCATTATCGATTCTCACTTCTAATAGTACCAAACAAACATTTCGAAAAGCCCTTCACTTAGTTAAACTTTAATGTACTGTTTAGGAAACCCATATTCTAACTATTGAAAATGGATTCTAGCAATACTCACCAACATGAATATACTTGTTGAGACTCGATCAACTTGAATTCTTCTGAGAAAATGAGGATTCCAGGAAAGGTGCCATTGACTTATAATAATGGAAATGTATTTGATTTCATTCTGCATATCTACAGTACATATGCAGGATGAAATCAATAATGACCTTCGCCATGCGTTACAAACGTATTTATTGACATATCAAAAAATGAATCACCATTTGGCTCCTGGAGTGGCAGATTTTTTCGTACACACTAATATAATTACTCTAGTAGCTCAAGTTGGTTGAGTATGCACTTCTATGTCCAAACATTTTCTAATCAGAAGTCATCTAAGTGAAGGTCGTTGATTTTTGCTTGGTAACATATATGCCACTCTAGCCTGAATTCGTTTGAGTGGTTACACCCCCCCCCTCCTTCCAGGACGCACCCCTATTACAAAAAATATTCTTATTTCTACAGTATCATTTATATTTTTATTTCATAATACATGTATGAAAGATTCATGCAGATAGCTCTAATGAAACTTCACCATTAGCAAAAAGTGGGTACCTCAGGGGGCAAAATTATGAGCTGTTTTCATACAATTTAAATATCGTTTTTTAGAAGACAATGCTAGGTGGTGATGCAATTCATTTAAAAAGCCTGGGAGTGGACCTAGTGATCCTGGAAGTTGCTCTGGTATCTGTGCAAGAGCTAAGTGCAAATGGAAGTTCTCTTGACTTTTTCTTTTGGAGCTATCTCAGAAGCATCTGTGCTCACAATTCCTCCACCAGATATAGCAAAACCTCGAGAAAGAATTGCCCATGGGCTGCGTTTCTCCGCTTTAACCCCAAGATGACTCAGGGCTGAACCATGCATGACTTGGAGAGATGAGCGCATCTTTATGTGCAAAGAAGTGGTGGCAATTTGGAGGGGTATAGGATGTACTCTTGCAACCAGTTTCTTTCTATGCCACCTCTGTCACACCTTTTTCCAATATAATAGCCCTTATGCCATTGTGTGATGTTTATAAATTGGTCCCAAGCTAATTTTGGCCCACTTTGCAAAAGGAATGATTACTCGCCCAACAATGACCTAATGTCAACGAATGATATACCATTGTAAAGAGGAGACACGTGGCTTTATGGTACATTGAATGAAATCAATGATTTTATCACTGGTTTTGTGCTTTTCTGAGATAACTGAATATCTATTGAGTTTTTTTAAACCGGAAGTGACTGAATTACTTCTTCTGTTATTTTCTGTTTTTATTATCATTTTTTATATATCGGTACCGATATATAGTACGTGAGCTGAGAAAAAAACATTTTGCCACAGTATATAATATACATATTATATGATCATGGACCCAAAATTAAATGAAAATAGATTGATCAAATTGTATTCCTCAACATAACTTAGTTTGTCAATAAAATAAAACAATAGAAAATCAAATGGTGGAGCTGCCGGGTATCACCTTACGTGGCATCTTTAAAAGATTGCAATGCTACAACGTAATGCTGTAGTGTCATACATAAATCATTTACAATAATATCCCTTTGTCTAATTTGCATCTTAAAAGTATATATTTATCAAAATTTTAGCACCCTAGTGTTCATAACTGTGCAAAGAACGTTGGTTTTATGCATACACTTGCATGTGAATAGAATAATAAGGACATGGACACGAACCAGCTATTATGCGTTTCCATTTCGTTTTAATGAACACATTTTTGAACAATTTTAGATGTGAAATGTCCATTCTTTTCAAAAATGATATCAATAAAGGCTTATCTCGCAAATGTCCCACATTTTTGTGGCATATGACTACTTTTTATGTTATCTTCTGAAGACGCCATGATAGACGTGTCATATATATTTGTCATAGAGTATTGAGTAGATTAATTCAAAACGTTTCATTCTATGTTGAGTTTTCTGAAGCTTGCAACTTCGTCTTCTCCTTTTTTCGGTCGTTTCTTCTCGTCGACTTTGAACTGTGTAGTGCTCAATGTCTTGATTCTTTTGTTCATCTCGGGTGACGTCATCCGCTGGTACCAATAGGCTGGAAAACAATATAATAGGGATGCCACACAACTGGTATTCAACATCGGATAGAAGTTGCAAAAACAGATACATCACTATCGAGAACATGTCCAGCTCATACTTGATGGCACACCTGTGTTGCAGACAACAATCCTCCACATTTTCGTACAGCGACAAAATACTGTTATCGTATAAATATTTTCAGAATGTTTGGAAACCTTGAACTTTTTACACGCGCGCACTTAATTTCATTCGCATATTTTTGAGTACAAGTCGATTGTCCTGCTTATAACTTGAGTAATGCTTTGGTCAAATTTGCTCCGATTTTCACTACGGCGCCCGGCCGATTTAGTATTTTGTTCAAAATCCAATACAATACTGAACAAAACATTCAATCGACCGGGCGCCGGCCGATGGATCGGAGCAAATGTGACCCGGGCATTACTCTTTCATTGTCATAATTAATTCATTTTATCCCATGGTTGCAAGGATATAGATCGAATATCACATGAAGATATATTTGATATGTGGATCAAAATATCATATTTTAGCAAAAAATTCACATTTTTAAAAAAATTCAAAATTTCAAAAAGAAATTTCAACATTTTTTCACAATTTTTTTCAATTATTTTTTCAAATTTTTTCTCAAATTATATTTTTCAACTTTTTTTCGCTGATGACGATTTCCCATGGGATAAACGGACAATCCTATGGTTTTTCAAAAATATCAATTATATCCACTCATGGATACAAATATCTTCACTCATTCGCTGCGCTCACTCATGAAGATATTAATATCCACTCATGGATATAAATGATATTTTTTCAAAACCATAGGATATTCCTATATTATTCGATTGGTATTGAATCATTCGTAACTTACTAGATATCTGGCTAATAGTCCCAGCATGAGGACCTGTGTAGTCATCTGGTAGGTACTCCTTTGGTAATAACTCCATAGGGATCTTCTGATAAAGTTCCTCTAAGTTAGAGAAGTAGCTGAACTGCAAGACAGTACAAAAATGAAATGATATTTCGATATCTTTACCCAAATATTCCCAAATCCCAGATGTGCCAGTAGTGCCATATTCAACCCTGATTTTAGCTCTTGGCATTATTTTTAAGTTTCTGTAGTTATGATTTTGGAAAATAAGGTTTAAAATGTATGTCATCTCAGCGATCCTCGCTCGACTCACTACGTTAACAAGCTTCTGCTATCTAACCCTGTCTAACCAACCGCACACGCCTTGTTTTGTCATTATATCGGGAGAGGGATCACGGACATTCGGAATTGGATATTTTCAGTGTTTAGTCTATCTTACTGTTCGACATGTCACAATGGGCAACATTTGGAAATATCTATCATTGACTCACGAGGGTCTGAACCAAAATGTAACAAAAGCTGCTTTTGATGACCTCAAGTAAGTCCCATATCTCATTCTCCCATCTAGTTTTGACGTAACGTAAAAGTAACAACAATGGATGACACCCGGGTATTGGGGTTTCGTTTTCTCGATTAACACCTCTTGAAAGGTTGGGTTACAGACTTTAATTTGACTTGAAGTTGTAAAACATGTCCAATTTATGAATATACTAGCTTAACATTGATTGTCAAATGAAGTTACAAATCCAATATTCAGTTTCTCACTTATTGCTGCATTGAAAGAATCGGGCATTTTGCGCTCGCAATGTCATAACATTTTCAATATCTATAAAATAATATTAAATGATAATAGAAGTAATATTTTGCTACCCTTTCTTTTATTTTATTTGATATGAACGGCCAAAATATGGCGACAAACGCCTCCATGACGGCCCCCATGTTGTACATGAAGATATTCTTGAGACGGGCGGGGAAGTTGTTCTGAAAATAAAAGAATCGAAATTAATTGTATACGTTAAAGGTAAGCTTGCAGACATACCTACTAAACAGAAGATCCATATAGCGAGAGGGTTGGGAGACCTCTGCAACCAAATGCCGTTTTCTTCAAAATAGCAAATTCAGAAAAAATGAAACAACTCAGCAATCGAATTATTTCTGTAAAGAATGTTTACTTACATAAAATATCATCGATGCATTTTTCACGTTTTCAACCCCAAAGAAAGATGTGTGCTTCAATGTCTGGCCAGTTCCATCTTGAAAAATTACAAGACCATTCACCTAAAAACAGAGAATTCATACGACATATCTCTGAAACTGACCATGGTTTGTCACAAACCTTCCTATTAAGAAAATTGTTTACCTTTTATCTTAGATATTCAAGCTCTTTATCACCATCAAAAATACTCGGAACTCAGAACACAGAGTGCTAATACATAACTAAAATTAACGTAAAATCTAGATGAACCTGGAATTCTAAAAACTAAACTTTTGAAAACGTTGTTAATTATAGTCCTACTGTACATGATATCAACTACTAGGTTGTGAGGAATCGAAATCAGAAGGATATTCAAATCACACACACGTGTGGTGCCTTTTACCTGGGTCATTTCTTCCCTTATCATACACATGAAACAGGCTCCAAAGTAACTAAACAGGTCTTCTTTTTGAAACCCACAACCTTTACCAGTCTGGAAACCACCTGAAAACCGAAAGAAGATTATTTAAAAAAGTGTGCTATTGTGACATATGCAAAACAAATCTTTTACAATAACTGTCATAAACAGACATTCATCGTGGTTGTAAACTTATAGTAAGAATGTACTGTAAACATATCATAGAAGAATTAAATAAAAGGTTCGGCCTCGTTTATTTTTACCTGCTCTCCAAATGATCACCCTGCGTCCTTCACTGTCCCTGTCAGGCAATATGACCAGAGGCCTGCATAAAAAGATAAATGCATTTAAACATATCTAGGCATATGAAATGAAGTTTGAAAAACAAAATGATTGAAACCCAAGCTTATTATATGTAAAAGACCCCGTATTTAATTGATGCGCATGCAAAATGTTAATGTACAGAGCACGGAAAAGCCTCCATATCTTTATATACATTTCTCACTGTGTATGACCCGAACTCTCCTATATTCACACCTGACCGGAGCGTTACACTGTGTATGGATTTTAGAAATATTTTCTCTGGATATGCAGTTGTCAATTATTCAGTTGTTCCCAAATGGGATCGCCATAATATGGTAAAAGATTCGAAAATAAGAACTCTTTTATCCAATACTCCAATTATTCCTCGAGTCGCTGGATTTAAAAATCCAAGCTTAGTTTCAAATCATTACCTTGTATCAAATATGTTCACCAACTACTTTAATACTTTTTGCACTTTTAAAGCACCTGTGAAAAATTGTTCCTTCAATCTCGAACGCGTCATATTTGCGTGTTAACTTTATTATATGTGTCTACTATTGAAGCATGAAAAAGTGAAAATAACACTGGGTAATCATGTTTGCATCACACCTTGTTCATCTCTCTGAACTGTTTATTTTTAATTTTATGGCAAACTATGACAAGATGTGAGTTTTGCCGAGACCTGTTGTAGAAATAAACACATTACATGTCTCTGAGGAATAGGACTTTCATAGCATCACTCCTAGTGTTAATGTTACACATCCAGGTCGGCAATTGCTCGTAAATCTTGCTATGGTAGATATCAAACATCTTCCTAGCTTCAAGCTGACTGAACTTGCATCTTCTCAGGAATTGCAGCAGAAAATTCTTGTCTGAATTAAAGTTTGCAAATGTTGTAGAGAAGGGTAATGATTCAACGATTACAAGATAATCAAATGCTAATAAGTTCATCAATATAATTTAATCATATTGAGAGGCTTTGATAACTTAGGGCCCGGGTAACTTAACTACATACCTGTGCACACGGAATAATGTGGTTGTTGTTTGATCCACTGTCTAAACTGATCCACAGCTGCGTCTCGTTCCGTAGGATTTTCATGTAACTCTTCCTTGGCTTTCCTCGCCCAATTCGGCTCCAACTTACACACATATTTATTCCCATCCAAAAAGATGTCATCCAAACCTTCATAGCATCCTTTATAATCCCTTGCTGCCATGTTGGTTGTATTTTGGTTATGATTAAGGATCCGTATATGGCCTGGGATGAATCATCGAGGGCACGACACATGAGTTTCTTGATTTGAGATCGAATTAGACCAGGAGCCCAACAGACGGTGCCCCTCCCCAAACTCTGTCAAGGCCTCTGCGACTGCTTTATGGTGTGACATTGATGAGAAGGAATGTTGATTAAGATATAGGGCTTAACAGTTTTATCTGAATTTATTTCAAAAAATGACTTTAATGAGAAATGTTTGAAACATTCTCACGTGTACAGGTGAGCAATGAATGCTATTAAATTCTGCATTAAAGGACGATTCTCGGTTTGGAGAACAGTCTCCTGGACTAATAATTTTTTCCATGAAAAATATAGAAATATTACCCAAATTAAACTATGAATATTCAAAAGAGGACATTTAAATCTACAAGATGTAAAAATAACAAATTGGTCTGAAGCAGGGATAATGCTCAATTAGACTGATTCAATAAAATACAAGTCTTGATTTTGGGGAAAGAAGTTCATCAGTGTACTGCGCTAATATTTTTTTGCGAAAAATCTAAAAATATTACCCAAATTAAATTATGACTATTCAAAAGAAGACATTCAAATCTATATTATGTAAAAAAATCAAATTTGTCCGAAACAGGGATAATGCTCATTTAGATTGAAGAACTTCGTTCTCCAAACCGAGAATCGTCCTTTCGTATTGTATGCATTGAAATTAATCGAGGTAGTTTGAAGATATTTTCAAAACATTTAAGTGCGCTATTTATGTTTTTCATTCTAATCATTAGACCAGTATACAGGGTGTATCTCATATATCTCAAACGTTGATAATTAGTTCTTGAGAAACTTTTAATATTAATGCAGAAATAATTTTTCAAGCCTTTAAAGTCTCTAAGCCTTAAATTGTCTTTATTCGTGTGTGTTCTTCCTGCAGTTGACATAACTAAACAACTTTTTATCACGTTTAGCTAAATTGTGACTTACACCTGTCGTAAAATGTATTTGATACGTATTTTGTGTTCAATTTTTGCATTGTGCCTGACAAAATAAATGGATATTAAACTATTTTTAAATTGATTTGAGTAAGTAGTTACCGCCGGTGGGCGATTGCTGGTTCGGGGCAATATATGATGTTCATGCTATTGCTCCGAACCGGTCCGTCTTCTCGCTGCAAGCAGGAGGAAATTCTTTGTCACAAAGTTTGGCATTTTTTATAAAATCAAACGCGCGTCATTGAAACTCACAAGATGTAAATAGCATGTCATTTACATCATACCTTGATGGGGAAAAATAGATCTTATATGTTAGAAGTACTAAATAAAAGTTATCGTGAAAATGCGACAGTCGTTCTCGAGAGAAAAGAGCATAAATGCGCATTTAGAGAGTTTTGGTACGTTTAAAAATCTGTAAAAAATTGGGGTACTTAAAAGCATCGGGAGGCATCATATAATTCAAATTAGACACGAGGAAGTCAATATTGAGCAAGTTATGGCTGTTTTAAATTCAAATAAAACCGTTAACCCGTACCGGTCCAGCTTTTGACCCGTACCGGTCAATTTTCGTTAGCTGCGTATACCAAGGGTGTATAATGCCAAAGGGGTTTAGACTTTAGACGTGGGGCATTTAATAGAGTTTATCTTTAATTCAAAATACAACATTTATTAAATTTTATCACGTATATCACTGTGAAAATAATAAGATGTCATTTATTGTTATTTACATTTATTATACAGATGATCGTGGAATAGTAGACCATAATAAGTTCCTACTATACTTTTAAAAATGTTGACCTAATGAGAAAAAGTATTCAGAAAAATGATTACAGTTTTAATTATTTCATGCGCTTAAATTGAAGAGATCAGCCCGGTAATGTTCCCCGGGAAATGAGATATAGTATGTGATTCAAATAACCTCATTTCAGCATGCAACATAGTGAAATATTGGCTCTCGGGGCGTGTCGCACTTTGAAATGAGGCTATTGGTATATCATATCATATCCTCGTGTAAAACGAAGAATGTATAGTCCAAAAATACTCAGTCAAAAATAAAACTGTCATTTGTTTGCAATACTTTAGCTCGTTCTTTGCATTGTTGTCTATTGATGGTATGCATACCTTGTATGTTGGGCTAGTTGGTCTGTTTTCCAATATCCATATGTAATATTCTAAACGCAATTGCTCATCAAATGGTGGTAAACAAAAAACAAAACAGTACGACAAAAATATATCTATAACCCATGGAACCAAACCACAAACATAACAATGATTACGTTGACTCTGTTGCGCCAAAATCACACATTAATTGCGCAATATATTGCATTGCACCATATGGAAAGCCTTGATCAATTAAAGAACATATATAAAGCACTGACAAATAAATCATGATTACAACAGAGTCATTTCAACTGATGTTGAGTTTTCTGAAGCTTGCAATTTCATCATCTTGTCCCTTTTTGGGTCGTTTCTTCTCATCGACTTTGAACTGTGTAGTGCTCAATGTCTTGATTCGTTTGTGAAGCTCTGATGACGTAAGGCGATCATACCAGTAACCTTGAAAAATACAATTAAATACAACATGTAAGCGTGTATTGAGTTCAACTATTGATTCTTATTGAGTTCTTCTAGGATGCCAGTCACTGAAAGCTGACTGTAGTAGATATGTAACAAGGCATTAACATGACAGAATGTCACCACCACCTTGAAAATTTAATCAATTTGAAGCAAGCTGGAAAATACCTTTTTGACCTTTTTTAACTAAAACCCTTTTAGACCTTTTTTACCAGGTCTCAAATCTAAAGTCAGAATTGAATTTCTGAAACTTGTAGATGATTTTGAAAAAAACATTTAATCAATTTGAAGCAAGTTGAAAAAATACCTTTTGATCTTTTTTAATCTAAAGACCTTTTTGACCTTTTTTAACTTGAGAAGGTCATTAAAGGTCAAATCTCAAATCTAAAGTCAGATTTGAATTTCTGAGAAGTTGTGGATGATTTAGCAAAAAGAATTTGGTCAATTTGAAGCAAGTTGAAAATATACCTTTCTGACCTTTATTGACCTTGAGAAGGTCATGAAGGTCAAATCTCAAATCTATAGTCAGCTTTGAATTTCTCAAATCTTGTAGATGATTTTGAAAGAAAATAGAAGTCAGTCTAAACAGTATTTGTTAAGTTATTGGAAGTTAAAATTACAGACGCCAACCACCGACCGCCAACCGCCGACACAAAAAAACAATTAGAAAGTTGAATTTCTGAATCGTTCCCACATTCAGAAATTAACCTTATTTGGTATATTATAATCAGGATCTGCACTTGGAGTCATTACAAAAAGTCCATTTTGGATTCACAGTTGGTGATTTCATTCGGGATATTGTAATTTGCACTTGGATTCATAACAAATCGTCTTGTTCACAATGGCTAATTTATTTTGTCATAGTACTTCATATTGCTTTTCGTACTTATATTAACACATAATTTCGTCCATACAATGACAGGAAACCCCCAGGCACTCTAGGGCACACAACCTAATTCTAATATATTCTGTATAGGGAACAAATAAATATACAGTTCAAATGCTGGTAAGATGTTTTTGACAGGTAGCTGCCATGACATTGAACTCAATGAAATAATGGAGCTTTTCAAGAAGTGACATCAAATTAGACAGGCGCTATCTTATTTCGTGATTCGCGATGTGGGAAATCCGTTCGCGAATGGAGAAATATGTTCGGGAGAGAGGAACTGGTGGTTCACGACTAAAGAATCGACATTCGCGTTGTAAGAATTGTGGTTCGGGTGGAAGGAACGTAGTTCGCGAGGTCAGAACTGATGATCGTTAGTGGAAGTCTATAGGAGGCCCGAAAGCACTAAAACACGTTTACTTGGTTGTTTTCCTAGAGTATTTCCGCTTGTACTCTACAAAAATACTCTACTCGTTTCTACCCCCTGTTAGGTTTTATTTTGGACATGTGAAGGATGCACGGGTAATATCATATCATGTCTTTTATTTTATACTGTCCCTTTGTGTTATACCCCTCCCCAAGTTACGTTAAGCAACAGACACCGAGCGGTTATTCTGAGTTTCCCATTTCCCTCGTAAATGGTTATCAATATTATTTCAAAGCTGCTTACTAGATATTTGGCTTATAGTCCCAGCATGAGGACCTGTGTAGTCATCTGGTAGGTACTCCTTTGGTAATAACTCCATAGGGATTTTCTTATAAAGTTCCTCTAAGTTAGAAAAGTAGCTGAACTGCAACATGTTAGAATGGCTTGGATTAATTTTTACGCAAAAATCCCTAATAATAGAACCAAAACATGATTGTTATAACTTGTGATGTAAGAATTATTAACTTTGATCGTTTTGTCAAAAGTATTTTCGCGTGTCAAAAACTGTTTCAGTTTACGAAACCTAAGCACTATCGTTATAACTTTTCGGGACAACACAATGTATATTATAGACTCGTCACTGTGACTAACTAAATAATATGACAACGGCAATTCTGATTTTCAGACAAATCATCCGTCTAGGCATCATCCATAAAGAAAGAAACGAAGATAATCTCTATTTCACATCAATCTTATTCGATGTGATTATTGTTTGGTTCACCTTGCGGTAACGTATAAAATAAATAAATTCGTTACCCTTTCTTTTAACGTAGTTGATAAGAACGGCCAAAAGATGGCGACAAGAGCTTCCATAAATGCTCCCATGTTGTACATGTAAACATTCTTGACTCGTGCAGGGAAGTTATTCTAAAATACAAATGAGATAAAGAAGTGGATGCAATTTAAACTTTTAATTGATTTATTTTAAATGTATCTACTTTAATTCATTTTATCGGACAATTTACATGCTCAAATCGCAAATCCTGTTTGTGCCATGGTTCGATGTACCGTGGATATTAGGCGCATAGTATATACACGCTTGAACTCTGCGTAGAGCGTTAAATGAAGCTGGGGTAAATTCAATATTTTTATAATTCAAAACATACGTAAAAGATAATTGCGGCGTTTTTTATGTTCTCAGCGCCAACAAAAGTCGTGTGCTTTAATGCGTGTCCAGTTCCATCTTGCAAAATGGTAAACCCATTAACCTAAAATAAGCAAATACTACATACATTCTTACTGGTTCTATATTTATGATATTAATACGCAAATGATACGCATGTTACGCAAATGAATGTAAAATTAAAAATCATTGGTTTGAATTACACAGCAGGTTTAATCAATTCGATACGAACCATTTTAACAAGGATTGTAACGAATGATTTTTTAGTATTACAAAGGCAACAAATTATTCGATCCGAAGCAATTGAACTCTGATGCGTAACAACAAACAGAACTGAGGGTCATTTTCCAAAAGAAACAATTTATATATGATGGTATTGTTTTACCTGGGTCATCTCTTCTCTCATGATAGTCATATATATGATTCCAATATAAGTAAAGAGATCGCCAACGTTATACCCACAATCCTTTCCGGTCTGGTAACCACCTAGCAACCAAAGAAAATATTTTCAAGGTATTCATACCTTGTAACTGTTTTTATGCATCATAAACTTTATTTTAGTTTTTATCAGTGTGCTATTCTCTTTTTCAAAAAACATTCTGAGATACGTAGCATTCACCTATCTTGCATCCAAATGGCACTGGTGGAAAATGCACGATGTAGTTTGGGTATTTTCATCATTACTTGTTAGACAAATGTAACTTTATCAGAAAGAGTTACCAACATTTTACCACCTCTAGGTCTCTTACCCGCTCTCCATAATATTATCCTGCGCCCCTCACTATCCCTCTCCGGCAATATGATCATAGGCCTGTATAAGAAATGAGAAAACAGAACTGCAAACGAAACCAACACACAAGGTATCCTTGAGGTCTTTCGAGCAAGATTTACGGATGGTGTGTCCTAATGAGAAAGGCACATATGTAAACAATTTAGCCTGCTGCCCATATAACAAACATTTGAGAACTACATGTAGGTAAAGATAATGGAAGGATAAACTATTTTTGTATGGATACAAAGAAGGAAGCTCTATCTCTACATGTATACACTGCTATTTTTGATCAAACACCAATCAAATCAGTCAGATAGCTGTCCCAAGAGTTTAAAATTGCATGTCGTAAAGGTTCTTCTGTGGAACTCTTATACTGCTGTATCGAGTCACACAGAAAGTCCGGATGAGACTTCGTTCCATAGCGGAGCAAATGTAAAAGCATGGACCTATCTCTTGATTGATTGAGGTCCATGTTAAAAGACAATCTAAGATGGTGAAATTGTTCACATTCTTGGACCACCCTGTATATCGAATAAATATAAAACATAAACTTACATTTCTTTGAGGAATAATGTTTTCATAGCAGAACTCTTGGTGTCAATGTTACACATCCAGCTTGGGAGTTGGCTGCATATTTTGCTATGGAAAATATCAAACATGGTCCTGGCCTCAAGCTGACTGTACCTGCATCTTCTTAGAAATTGTAGCAAAAAGATTGAATCTAAAATAACAATGTTGGAAAAGGCTGCGTTTCTGAAATGATTGAATATGATATGATCTACGGTTCACTGAATTCCCGTGGCCTAATAATTATGATTTTGAGGAATGTAGCTTAGAAATCTTCACTAGCCACTTAGTTTAAGGTGATTCAGTATGTTCAGAATTTTAGGTTTTCCTTAAAATAACATTTGACTCTAACTAGGAAGTCATTAAAATTTCTGAAAGTTCAGAATTACCCATGTATTTCAAGACGGGATCATGTTATGGAAATGCAAAATGTTAGTGATGAGGTTTGGCAATCGTCTTCTACTATATCGAAAACAGGACTTGTGAGGGGTAGGCCCGCTGTTTCGAAATACTATATCTTTTGACATGGATATTATATTAACGTTTTTTGGCAAAATTTGAATTATATAAGAAAAAACCGTTGCGGCCAGCTTGCAAGTATTGTTTTCTAATTCAGAAGTACTACCTGTGCAGACAGAATAATGTGGTTGCTGTTTGATCCACTGTCTAAGCTGATCCACAGCTGCGTCTCGTTCCTTTGGATCTTCGTTCAACTCATCCTTGGCCTTCTTTGCCCATTTGGGTTCCAGTTTACAAACATATTTATTTCCATCCAACATGAGGTCATCTAGACCTTCATAGCAGCCTACATAATCCCTCACAGACATCTTCGATGTCTTGTTTGTACCTGTGAGTCTACTTAAGATTTGATGATGGAACAGACTACAGAATGTCAGCCCAATCGTCGTCAATGTGAGTCTAAATTGGAGGCATGTTCTATTATAGATTTGTTATATAATATGCCAAATTGTTTATAGCGAGTGCTAAAGGTGTTAATTCATATAATCATGATATTCATTCCAACTGTAGCATTGCCTTGAATAAATAGGAAGGCATTGTTTCTTTCTTTAGACTTTACATATTTCTGGTCGTTAACTCCACAATGTTCAAAACTGTTCGAGAGATGGCAAAGAAAACAGTTCCTCCCTTATTCTTTTAACACAAGGGTCCGGATTCTGTTCTTCTTTCAAAAAAAGAAAATCCTGGTTATTCTGCGGTTATTATATGTGAATAAATATCATATCACTCGACGTATGAAATAGGGATTTTTTGGCTTTACAAAAATCAGTTGGTTAAAAAAACATTTTTATAAAGTTTCAGGTAGCTTCAAATATATAATCACACCAACTATATACATAACAAGCGCTTAATTCATAAAGCTTCTCAGAGGGATTGTGATCAACATTTGGACAATTTACTGATTAATCTCAATGGAATAGAGCACAAAGACATTGTGTGCCAATTTATGAGAATATTGACCAATATTTATATGCAAATAATTAGTATCTTAGTACTGTACATAGCAAATCGAAACATCTTCGTTCACTCGGCTCCCGCCGGTCGGATGAACGCAGTTAAGACCGGAGCGAGTGAAGATGAAATCCCAAAGAACAAATTATTCAGGAATCTTGGAAAATGCCAAAATATAATCCCGGGAATATAATATTTCAGCCAGATATATATTTCAGATATAGCCATCTCTTGATTGTTGGGAATTCTCGCATTAGGTAGACCATGGGTAGACATTTGAAATTTCTGAAATGCGGATAAGATAAATGATACAATAATTGTGATATACTCTAAAGTAAAATGTTTTTAAATCGATTAACAGTCGGATGGCTTCACTACATTCTTTACGGACTTCGATATGCCAGCGATCGATTTATAGAATAATAATATCAAATCATTATCCAAATAATATCAAATCATTATCCAATTTAACAGTGCTAATGAAGCGGAGTTCTTGGAGACGCGGAAATGGATACAACCATGGGCGTTCTGTTGAAAGCCCATGATATAACTAATCAATAATGTCTTGATATCATTCAAAGGTGATGAATATCTCAAAAATGGTCATGCATTGAGTGAATAACAGTTATGTAAAATAAGTAGTCCATATCATGGATAATAAAGTATGTTTATTTATTCTCAATCTATTTTGGTGGGGGGGGGGGAGGGGGACAAATTCTTGGGTCACCATTCATGTGTACATACTGATGGTGTAAGTTGTTTCACCTGTACTTATATTTTGATTAGTTAAATTCGATATCATTCTTCAAAAGACATTCAATTGTTTATGTATTTCTATTTGTTGTTTAATCTGCTTCAAATGTGCCATTTACCTTTTACAGTTTACTTATATCGACAGTCACTAGACCTGTGTTTATGTAATATACAACTAAAATATAGTGATATTTGGTGTATATGGCATATCATATTCTGATGTTTTATTTACTTATAAAGTGTGATACGAAAAGTTGTGTACAAAATGTTCAATAACATTTTTTAACATTTGCCTGCAATGTACAAAATATATGTAACTAGGAATTAATAGTGTGAAAATTTGAATTGACACGATCACTATATATGACCAAAAACATATTTGATGAACTCTCACAGTTTCTATTGACAATGGCATTTGTGCAATGATACATAACAATCGGATTTATAGAACACTAATCATTTACAATGTATTCATAGCGTACTACGAGGGTTGTCCCATAAGTCTCGTATGTTGATGTAAATTAAAATTGTAAATGTATAACTTTCATTTGGTACACTACAATACGATGCAATACAATACAATACAATACAATAGTGATCCACAATCCATCATGTCATACTTTTTAACATAATCTTCAAAAGTATATAATAATAAAATCTAATTACTGATTCTACAATTCATGAATTGTTTACCAAAGCAGGATACATTTTAATCTTAAACATTAATCAATTTTAATGTTTAGATTCTCATTAACATTACACTTTTATCATGAATTATTCCAATTTTCATATTTAGATGATGGTAAATCAGCCAATAATTTTAGCTAATCTAATTTTTTATATTTCTTAATATCCCACTTTGATCAGAAGTTCCAAGTTTTACTTTAAGTCTATCAAACAGTGAAACTGGACTGTTTTCAAAAGTTTGATTGTACCTTACTGGAGTTTCAGTCGATATAACTTTCTTTGTTGTCTTCTTGTTGATGTTGTCCATTATGGTTAGAGAACTTTCTGGTTCAATGTTTTCTTTGTTATCAATCTGATCATGCTCGGTTTCAGAATAAACTTCTTCAATAGCATTCTTAATAATGTTCATTTTTTGCCCACTTCTAATATATTGAGTATCTAACAATTTTATGTGGGAGACCATTGTATTTGTTGGACCCTGAACTGGAGAGTCAAATCGATGTTGTTCAGATTCTGTAATATTTGGACTGTCTAAAATAAAGCCTCCATCTGTGTCAATGCACTCAACTTCACTAGTGGCTTTTGCATGGTATTTCATATGTGTTGGACTCTGCTTCGGAGAGGGGGGTTCTTTGCTTGTTTCCTGAGAAGGCTGACTCTGAATTGAGTCACCTGTGTCTTTACCGTCATATGTATGCATATGAATAGATAGATCTTGATTCAAATGGCTTGTCAATGTATGCATGGATGTATTCAAACTTGGTGTATTATGTCCCAGTTTGTATTGTCCTGGTGTATATGAACCAGGAGTTTTTGAACCCATGTAGTCAGAAACCATACTTAAATTACTCATCATTGACGATTCAATTTTAAAATCACCAAACTGTGAAGGTGTCCATTGATTGGTCACTTCTAGAAGATCATTTCTAGGTGGAGATAGATCATTCAGTTTTTCAAAATTTTGATTTGATTTTTCCAATAAACATGCGATTCTTAAATTCCTCATTCTACAGTCCTTTGTGAATCCTTCTTTGTGGCTGGTTGTTACAGGAGTACTGACATCTAGGGAGTCATTGATCAATGTTTGCCCATTAGCTGTCTCACTTGGAAATGTGTGTAAATTAATCGATGATTGGTCTGGAGTGTCTAAAAATATGAACGGCACACTGTCTCTTTGACCAGGTTTTGGGTGACTTCTTGAATCTATTTCATGAGAGTTAATTGACATATTACCAACTAAGGATTCTATATGTGTCATTACACCACAGTCTTTATCATTTGGGTTCTGTTTACTTGTTTTCTTTGAACCGATCTTTGAATTAACTAGTTTATAAGAATTGCACTCATTAGCGGAACATTTCACTTTATCATGCTTTTTATGCTTCAACCTTTGACTAAGAGGAAGAAGATCATTGTTATTATCAAATGGATCACTTCCATGCATATATGGTTTCATCGTCACTTCTTCATTTAAAAGATCTGCTATGTCATTAATATCATCTGTTTCCTTAACAACAGGAAATACATCATCATCATCATCTTCACTTGTGTCAGAGTTGAGTAACGCAAGAAGTGCAGCTTTTTTTGATTCATCCTTGACTTTTAGTGTGATACCATCTTTTTTAACTTTACTTGGTTTTCTTCTAGTCTTTACAGTTGGTAGTTCAATCGCTATGCTTATGTCTATTTGATCAACTGGGGTGTTTAATTTTTTTTCATGATGCGGTTTCACCCTGGCTTTTTTATCCATCGATAATTCTAAACTTTTGTTAGAAGTGAAGGTTTCCTCAGATTTTGGTTGGATCTTAGGTTTTTGCCCTTGATTCATTCCAGGTAAGATCTGAACATCAGAATTGGAGACTCTGAGATGAGGCACTCTACACTCAGAAATGTTCTTGATCATGGTCTCTACTGGTTCATGAACATCGATCTGACTTGCATCATTAAATTGTTTTTGAATCTTTGAGCGGTTTTCATAATCTGAGTTTTGAACTCTCAGATCACTCATGAGTTCAGTTATACTGTCGATCTCGGCAGGATTGCCACCTATATCAGCATTGATAGTCTCAACAGTTTTCTTTGGCTTTACAGGACGTTTCTTTGCTGGCTTTTTGGTAAGTTGTTCTGTTTCATATCTATCAACAAGTTGAGGGAAGGATCTGGCAAAAAGCTCTGCAGATTCAATAGTTGTATAATGGTCTTCAACAGTTAGTGGATCCGTATCTGAAAGGTGTAAATATTATTCAACATTATGGGTATAATATACATCACTCGCAGGACAAGTCTACAATATGGATCAAAATGTTCCTGAAGCTGAATAACTGACTAAATCCAGGGTGTATCAAAATATAATTACAGACCACGTTATTAGATGAACCAAAATAAAAGTCAGGGAAGATAAGAAGTTGGATTGTCTGACTCTGATAGCTACATTGCCACATTATTGAATAAGTAGTGAATACACCATTACCATAAATTAATTTATTATGCACCTCATTAAGATTCTCAAATCTGATTGGTTCTTAGTTGCTTGTAATTTGGCAATACTCTGCTCTTTTCTGAAAACTGCCGGATATTTTTTTAATATCTGACCCTTTCGAGAAAAAGGGTCAGATATTTTTTTCAATGTTTTTGCAACATTCCCACTTCAGAGTTTCATTTCTTAATAACTGGAGTACTACTTAAAGCTTACATCTGAAGCTGGCGGAAAATAGAAGAAAAAAATGCACTAAATCAATCACAATTACCCTTATCATTCAAATTCTGCAAGAACGTCTCGAATAAATAAAAATTAAATTCCCGGGGCAAATATTTTCGTCCAGCGTAGCGAATAAACTGGCCGGAAGTCGTCTGAGTTTTGAAAGAAAAAATAAATAAATGTCAAAATAATGTCAACTAAACGACAGTTTAAGCCTGTACTCCAGTAAGTACTCCACTTAACTTTGATCGGGAGGTGCATAATAAAACAAATACTGGATGATCAGGAGCTGGATATGGCCAGAATACCTATCCTCGAAAAAATATTGGGCTCGGCTACCGCCTCGCCCAATATTTTTTCTCGAATATGTATTCTGCCATATCCAGCTCCTGATCATCCAGTATTTGTTTAATATCACATCAAAGCTCGTTTAATACTGGATTCATGGGTCATATATAATAAAAGGTGGATGGTTGAAATGAAACAATGTAGAAGTAATTACTCACCCAATTTGTGCCAATGTACCTCATAACTGGGAACACCCTGTCTCACCCTAGACTTAATGATACTGCAAATAAATAAAAGCATGACTCAACAGAAATCTTTTATTTAAGCTAAGTCACTTTAGGACTATGCCTCCTTAAAATCACAATTGCCTAAATCCTTTCCTTAAATCCTCAATTGAGATTCTGATAAATGGTAACAAGACATTAAGATGCAAAATGTCACCAACACTGCGAACAAAAAAGTTGAAGACAATATGATGGTGACATAATAAATGCCATAAATTGGTAAGAAAGTATGGTGGGAATGGTCAGATTAGGACATAAAAGATATATTTACCATATGGGCTTGAGATGATGATCTCTGGCTCCACCAGATATGATATTCCTCATGTCCCATAGTGTAGTTAGGGGTAACACTTTCTCTAATGTATACTCTTCGGGCCACTCCAATGTTTTCAAATTGAATGGTTGCAGTTTTAACCAATCTGGTCGATTCCAATCAAATTTTCTACCTCTTTTGACTTTTTGTATTGCTTGGAGGAATTCAGCTATAACCTTTAAAAGAAGATCAGTGCACTTTATATGGAAAAAGGGAGTGGCAAAAACCAATGTACTTTTATAGACAAAGGCAACAAGACAGTTTATAATTTATTTTCATATACAGGGTTGTCCACATTCTTGAACTTTTAAGGTTAAGTCAAGACAATGCATTTTTCTTTCAATTGCAGCTGAACAGACAATATAGGTCCAGGCCTCAACCGAAGTATTAGTGGCCTGTACTTTATTAAAGGCATATTTCATGAGTACTATATGTTCACAAAAGTAGTATAACACCTCTCTAATCAAAAGTCTCTCAATGTGAAAACCTTTTCTTATAATATTTTTTATTTACGATTGACTTACATAATAAGAAACCTTGAAAAATTAACACCTACTAATCAAAAGACTTTTGGCAAATCCCTATGGCATTTGGATAAGACTGGTAAGAATAGCTTTCACCAAAATATAGAGCACTTGGTACTTTTTATATTTAAGTAATAAAATAATGACATTTACATAAAATGAGGATTAGGATCTACTTACTTTTTCATGTGGGAAATCTGCTGACAAAAGAGCTTTCTTTCGCACAGAAATTTCAAGTCCCCATGTTTCTTTGGTTCCTATAGCAACATGCCACTGACATGAGCAAGTGAAGTCGTAGTCACTGGGCATACAATAGGTATCACTTTCACACCTCTTACATCCAGACTTCTTGTGCTCCTTAGATGATCCTAAAATGTGAAGTTGAAAATTCTCAGCTTTTGAGAGGAATAAGCATTCTACTGAGCATTTTTCCTTTATAATTATACAAGGCATTAACACACAAAATGTCACCACTTGCCATTTTTTACATACATCAAACTCCGAATGCTAACTGCTGGATGGCAAATGCTGTATGCGTGTATAACATAATAATAACAAACCTGGGTGTCCACAAGTTGTACAATGTGATACTTTCTTCATCTGGAACATCTTCTCTAAATCATCTAATCTTCTATCATCTTTCCAAGATCGCAATCTTCAATTAAGAAATAAGACATTTATGGCAAATACATGTATATTAGCAATCAGTAGATGAGATGCAATCAGATGATGTTGAATAATTTTTGATAAAAAAAACACATTCTATTTTTTCAATTACATGTATTTAATATACCCTAACCCTATCATTAATTTATCAATGGAAGGCAAATTATATGTGAACATATATTTAAAGGAGCAACAAAGCATATACTTGAGACAAGGTCAAGAGTCTATTAAAAATATTGTTACAATTACATTTATTCATCTTCAAACTGCAATTACTTCCATACAAATTCATTATATATCTTGACTCTGTCTTCAGATATTTCATTTTGCAAAGATACATCAGCATGCATTTTGTAAATATCGCTTCCAACAATAAACCCTATCTATCATTTGGTGCCACTTTAAATAAAAGCAAACAAACTGCCGATATTGGGGAAATCAAATCAGTAACATCTTTACAAACCTATCAAACACACTGCCATCTTTAAAAGACTGTAAAAGTTTCATCGCTTGTTCTTTCCCAACACCAGGCACCCCTTTTGGGAGGTAATCACAGCCAAGGAAGATACCAAGCGCTACAAGTTTTTCCCTACTGAGGTCCAGTGTGTTTTCAATATCAACTAGACTGTAACATTCGACATGAGGATCCTGAAGTAAATGGATACACAAAATTATTTGGTATAGAACTATATGGAGTTATGTAAATCCATTCTTCATGAAGTCAATAATGGAGTACATGTAATTTTAATGATTTATGAATCAGGTAAAAACAGCATTAAAGTGTATCAGAAAAAGTACTTATTTCAGACAGACCCATTTTAAAAGGGGTGTACGCCTTCAAACAATATACTATACCAATGGGTCTACATTAAAATACAAGAAACTAATATTTCCAAATTATTCTAGTTAGATTTGTTTAGTACAAAGATAACCCATAGTACAAAGATAACCCAAAAGTATGCATAGTCACTTTAAGTCATGGAAAATAGTGAAAACAAAAATATATATTTTCAAACTTTACATGGAGCCTTTAAAGATATTATTATACCTTATTGTTCATGGTGAAGTTTCTGTACACCTTCTTTGCTCCATAAAGGAAGGCATCACCATCCTCTGTTATAACTGCATCCACCAACTAAAATCCAATAAATGTACATGTATTTACAAGTTCAAGTTAATGAATCAGGATTTGATTGTTACAGAATAACGTTTTCGTAACTCTAAAAATTGTATGGAAAGATATCAGATTTCTAAACAGAATGTGACGTGACATAAGCAAAAACAATATGGCGCCCCAGGCGAGTCTACTGGCAGTCTATTTTTAAGAAAATATGGGAGGTTTGTAAATTCCAAGTTATTGTTGAAATGTTTCCAGTGATTCTATAAACATCGAGCTGGTGAATTATCCAAAAGATTCCTGCGCATCAGCCAATATAAATGCAGAACTACCTTATAAATGAGAGTGGTACTTACTCCTTGGTGATTAAGGTGTGCACACATTGCCTCTGCCTCCCCTGCACTTTGTATATGAGACACACCCAAATAGTCTAGCATCTCACAGCACTGAAATACAATGTATATAAATTGGGATTTTTAAAATTAATTTCAAAAGTATTAATTAATTTTTTATTTATTTCTGATCTCTTTAATTATCCATTTGCTACACTAATAGAAAGAAACAAAAATAATTAATTTCCTGAATTATGAATTCTAAAGATTCTGTTTTGTTATCATATGTCTCTATAGGCCCCCTCACATATGAACAAATCCACTAAATGCAGTCTTGAAAATTGGATAAATTGTCAATTCTGGCGATTGGAAACCTGCCCTGAAGAATATCTTTACCTCTCGAACGACAGCCTTGAAATGTGACCTTGTTTGCTTTTTAGGTGGCTTTGAAGTTGTTCCCTTGTGTTGGCCTCTGTGTCCTAAACGGAGCTGTGTTCTCTTTTGAATGGCTTCCCATTTCAGCTCTGGTGGGTCACCTTCTGTTACAAAAACCAATTTCACTCCAATACGTAACAAATGTGAAACACGGAAGAAGAGATTCCTAAAACATAATAATTAATTAATTTTTCTAGTTATAAATCAAAATTCTCATTTCACCTATCCTGCAACATAATGACTGTCCCGAACTTAAAAAGAGGTATCCATTTCTCAATCTTTAGGTATAATATGAACATTCTGCACTTTCAGAATTTTTCAAAAAAAACAGGAAATACTTCAACATAATTAGAAGAAGATATTTTGATTATGAATCACTCTAGCAAAGGATGTTAATGATTTCCTAATGCAGTACAATACAAAGTAATGATTTCATATACAAAGTAATGATTTCATAATGCAGTAAATACAAAGTAATGATTTCATAATGCAGTAAATAATAAAAAGTAATGATTTCATAATGCAGTAAATGCAAAGTAATGATTTCATAATGCAGTACAATACAAAGTAATGATTTCATAACGCAGTACACAATACAAAGTAATGATTTCATAACGCAGTACACAATACAAAGTAATGATTTCATAATGCAGTACAATACAAAGTAATAATGATTTCATAATGCAGTACAATACAAAGTAATGATTTCATAATGCAGTACAATACAAAGTAATTACCTCAGATGAGGTTTGGCCACCTTGCCTTGGAGTTCCTTCATGGATTGCGTCTCACATATCCACATACTTAGGTCAACAGCGATTGTCTGTGAGGCAAGGGAATCTAGTGGCTTGTGTTCCTTGACAGGAGCCAGTATACTCCAAAGATCTTTTACACCCATATCGTCTGAGTTAAGAGCTAGTCCAGCTAGAAGGTTCAAATTGTTTAATACATACAGTGGAGCTTTATAATTATAGTTGAAAGTATTTTGTCAATTCTCTTGTTGACTCATTTTGATGGCCACAAGTATATTGTTTGTGTACATGAATAATGGATATATATTTGTACATTTGGTATGGCATTGTTCCAATATTTGAACATTTGGTATGGCTTTGAGGTGTTATTTATATGTAACTGCCAATTATATTTTATTTATATAATATTATTATAAAAAATTGGTTGGTATGGAAACATACCAAAATTTGACAGATTGGTATGGGAACATACTGATATCTGCGGGTTCAGCCTTGGACGACCCCACCAGACTTTGTATGTACAGAGTGGGCCTAGGTTACATTATTAAACTCTGGCAAACACGACAGTGAAGACATTATTCTCAGGAAAGAAATCGTAAAATCCAATTGATCTTTTCATTGCACAAAAAAACTTTGTGATGTTTCAATTTTAGTTTGCCACTTTTCTTGTTTACCATCTTAATTTAAGGGCCAGTCTTATTTCGATGCATCATTTCATGTCTTCATGTATCAATAAATCAATAAGCAGACCACATAAATTAAATGGACAAATGAGAGATTAATAGTTGTATACATAACTATAATACATTTTAATGATTGGGATGAAACTAGGTAGAATAGTACAGTGACCTAGATCACAGACTTGCATGTATTGTAGATGTAGACTTCAATGGAATTTTCCTAAGGAGATTATAGATATGCTAATAAATTGATAATGTTCCTTGATGACATGAATAAAGCATTAGTCAGGTAACCAACAAAATGGAGAAACTTCAATTTCCCAAGAATCCATGTTCAATCTACATCAGTGTCTATCTTCATTGTTTTGTTGGCCTTTGTTTGATGGAGTTTCACAGTGTAACCTAGGGCGTCAAAGGACCTACTAGTAAGTAGACATCTTATTTTTCAAGTTGTCAAGGGAGAAGACTGTTCAGTAGGCCTACCATAGGGGTTTGTGTAAAAAAACAGGTGACCGAGTAACTGGGTGGCTGGGTACCTATTTATTTAAACGTTATCATTTTTACCAAGAACCTGTAAGAGATAGAGCACTTTTTAAAATAATCTGCTACTTTATCAATATCAGAAAAAAACTAAATGGTTAGCTGGTTACACAAGATGTCCACGTAGTTTACATTTTACACAGTTTACATGAACGATGACATTAGTTGCTTGATTTATTGTCTGAGTAATTTCTTCTGGGTATGTCTCAGTGTCTTGAAGATTTGTTTAATATATAATGGACGCGTAAATTGAAACTTTCTTTGCCTTTTTACACTCTCAATTAAGATACGATGTACAATACAACGTTAGTTGCTTGATAAATTGCCTTAGTGATTGGCAGAATATTGATGTTCCTTTGTTTTGGTTGTTGGTTAGATTAGTAGATTAGTTGGTTGTTTGTTTGCTTGATTGGTCTTACACTGGTACGTTGGGTTGGAGGTCAGTTTGGCATTTTCAGGCATAAAATAAAAAATGTAATTCCTAACCCTGGTAGGAACATTAGGTGTACCCGGTCAACCTTTTCTTACACAGACCCCTACCATAGATGGCGGCGCTCAGGCTCCGATGAGTCACCCGGCTATCCGGTTTCTTACACAGACCCTTACCATAGATGACCGCGCTTGGGCTCCAGTAAGTTACATATAGACTATATATATAAGTACATTGTATATATGGCCATTGGGAAAGGCTACCTGGGGGTTTGACTTACGTCAGATAGGGCCAACATCAATGTGCACAGTGTGCACCTAACCCGACTATGGCGACTATGAATACCATTGATTTGATTGAATATAAATGATCATGATTATCTGCATTCTGTCTGTCTGTCCCACATCATTGCATACCACAGTATGACTATGATTTGGGCCTTGGAGAGCTGAGAATTAGATCTATACAAATCAACTGCATACAATGAGATGAGTGGAATTATGGCGATATCCCAGTTGAATATTATCTGCATGTAACCATAAATATTTAAACAAGATTTTGTGCTCACAACTTACCCCGTTTAGTATAAAATAGTCAAAGAAGTGGACATTCCTTGAAATGAACAAATTTGAATTTGGACGGGATTTCCCTCCAGCCTCGTTTTAAATCAAAAGGTCAAGGTCAAATTAGAAGCCAGGTGCTTCCCGCCAGTTTTGAAAGAGTCTGCTACTTCGACCGTTTTCTGTTTGATTTTGACCACTATGCCTCTTTTAGGAAGAAAGATCTTCCAATTAAAACCTCCGCTAGAAGATGCAAAGCCCGAGGAAACGCTGTATACCATTAAACACACACAAGAGCAGTTTAAAAGCAAAAGGTAAATCTTTCATTTTCTCAATCAAAAATCCAATATGGCGGCACCGGACCATCTAACTTTTGTAAAATGAAATGCTGAGAACTCGATTCCTACATAATATATTCTTTATTTCTTGTACCAGTATACGCCCCACCGTATGACGATTATATTCTGATAGTTTCGTTTAGATTGATGATGGTTGCAATTCAATTTTTTCCAAGACTGTGTTGTCAAAAATATTAAAAAATGCCTTGTTTACCTCTCTATGACTACCACATGGCATGAGGTCAAGGTCAGGGGTCAAGTTCACACCTGGGGTCACTCATATAAGTGACCCATATTGTTTGGTTTATCAATTATTTGATATCAAAGATTTCAAATATTTCATGGAAGCCATCTTTTGTACAAGGGGATTGTTATTGTTTCATTGCTTCATGATTCTCTGAGGATCTACATTGATAATACAAGATGTAATAAACCCATTTGCAGCAAATATGTGATATACCAGTGAATAGAATTCATACAACTTCAGAAAATAACAGTGAAAATATAGGTTTATTATGACATATTATTCCATCCTCCATGTATATGTATGTGTCTTTTGTGACCCATGCACCTAGTGTACAGAACAATTTAAAGAGGCATGATTCTTTTTCTATTTAACTTTACCATATTTTGTCATCTGACTAGTAATTGAATAAAATATAAAACTACACATGAGACAGATTGACTGAGGCTAATTAGAAACATGTACATGTATGTAAATGATCGTATGCTCGTACGCAAATATTGAGTCACAATGAGGATTCTTGTAACTTATGATAAGTTATTCAATTAATTCAATATTTCTTTGTTTTATACAAAGTTGAAATTGGGAATATGTACTCTCTGTGTATTGACCATATAAACACACCACACATGGAAACCTAATGTATTTGTCCATCTGATTTCAGTGAATATGAGCGCAGGTTAGCTCTTTACAAAGACAAAGTGTGGACATGTAGGTGTACTGGTCATATCAACATGTCACATGCAGATGCTTGGAAATCAGAGCTGAGAATACAGAAGATGTTGAAGAGTGAATTTTCATCACTTTTTGAGGAGCCGATTCTGCGGATCATGCATCATAGTAAGTCAATTGTATACCTTTGTTGTTCTAAGAGAATAAGTGCCTAGACTCACGAGTTGTTGCTCTTCAGAATTGAAATTTGGTTTGCATCCAGTTCATAAATTCATATAAAGGAAACACCTTTATGCACATAGTATGTATTTAAATGCCATTGTTAACTTAAATAACTTAATAACATTAGCAGCAATAAGTTTGGTATGATACAAATATAATAGGATAGGAATTATAGATTTTGAATTTGGTGCAGGATACATGTTACCATATATGTATGTAATAAACCAGATCCTTATGATTTTGAAGTTGCCTTAATACTTAATTACTTGTAACTTCATTTTAAATTGACCACTCCCCAAAAAAATTTGAACTTTAATGATTTTTAAATCATTCTATAAAACAATGTATGCTAACATAATATGATTGCAGGCCCATAGCCAGGATTTGCCAAGGGGGTTCACTTTTTGAAAAATTCCAGGGGGGTTCACTTGTGACAATTCTGGTCCAAAAATGGCCAAAATCACTTAAAAAGTGCTCAGAATGGTGAAAAACTGCATGATTTTGAAAGATTTTTTGGCCAGCGGGGCAGGTTTGCTCGAACCCATCGAACCCCCCCTGGCTACTGGCCTGAATTGACTGTAACTTCCTTAGACCTCCTAAATGGTAATTTGTTACTTACGTGATTACATTTTTAGTTTGAATCGCTCTCCATGTTGTAATTATTAGCCAGACCCCCCAAATGTAATCTGTCAAGTACTTACATTTATAATTTTTGGTCCCTGTTTTGTAGTTATTAGCTAACAAATCAGTCAGCCCACTCCCTATTTATATACTTATATTGCAGGTACCCTTGTGCTAGAGCACTCCCTATTTATATTCTTATATTGCAGGTACCCTTGTGCTAGAGCACTTCCTATTTATATTCTTATATTGCAGGTACCCTTGTGCTAGAGCACTTCCTATTTATATTCTTATATTGCAGGTACCCTTGTGCTAGAGCACTTCCTATTTATATTCTTATATTGCAGGTACCCTTGTGCTAGAGCACTTCCTATTTATATTCTTATATTGCAGGTACCCTTGTGCTAGAGCACTTCCTATTTATATTCTTATATTGCAGGTACCCTTGTGCTAGAGCACTTCCTATTTATATTCTTATATTGCAGGTACCCTTGTGCTAGAGCACTCCCTATTTATATTCTTATATTGCAGGTACCCTTGTGCTAGAGCACTTCCTATTTATATTCTTATATTGCAGGTACCCTTGTGGTAGAGCACTTCCTATTTATATTCTTATAATGCAGGTACCCTTGTGCTAGAGCACTTTCTATTTATATTCTTATATTGCAGGTACCCTTGTGCTAGAGCACTTCCTATTTATATTCTTATATTGCAGGTACCCTTGTGCTAGAGCACTTCCTATTTATATTCTTATATTGCAGGTACCCTTGTGCTAGAGCACTCCCTATTTATATTCTTATATTGCAGGTACCCTTGTGCTAGAGGGACTGGTAGAGAAATGTTGGCTTCACATCTTACAAAGCTTTGTTGTGGGAGAGCCAATTGTCCTCAATGTTAAAGATTCTGATGATGAGTGAGTCAATTCAATTTTTTACAGTTGTTGCAATTTTATTTTTTACCATGATTAAAATAGAAATACGTAAGTTGTATAAAAATGCCATGATATTTTCCTGCCTTACTTATGAAATAGATAAAGTTTTTGATAAATTTATTGCAATGCAATTACCACTTTATATCTGAAAAAGTGCTCATATCCATTTTAAGGAGGTCCTTATATTCACTTTTTGTCCCAGTTCCTACTTTTGGCTCATATTGTATCACTTAACTTTTTTGTTGACAGTATGAGCCTATTTTTTGGCTCACATAGTGAGCCTATGGGATCGACCAGGCGTCCGTCTGTTGGTCCTCTTTTTGAATAGATTGTTTGTATATATCCCCTGAGTTGCCCTGAATTTTTGATGAACTCTTCCTATATTACAGGCTAGATGGTGTTATATTGAAAGTAGACACAACAATTGCTCCTGGTAACCCTAGCAACAGTGGCTCCCCATCAAGTGACAAAGAGAATGCAGAGAATAAAGAAGCAACTGGCTCTGAAGCTGGATCTCCAACTAAGAAATGGAGCCCACCAAAGGTATGCATAGTTTAAAAGGAAAGATGCTTAAATCCCTTATTCAGGATGGCTGTAATACATAGTTTTAAGGCCAAAATGATTTTCCCAGAGTGTTAATATAACTTGACAAAGTTTGCCCACTCAATTAAATAGAGTAGGTCCAAAGTGAATTGATTTAATGAATTGAAAATTGTAGCTGCCATATTAGACCTGAATACTTGATTATTATGCGATCCTCACAAAGGATTGAGCCTTTTACCCTCGAATTAACATCAATACACATTTTAGTCAAAAAGCAGTTATATGTACATTCATTCATTCCAGCTTCTCCCCTACAAGTATAGTTTGAAGATTGACGATGGTCGGATTATACACGGTGTTCCTGCATTAGATTTGCAGTGAGTACAATCGTTTGTGTAGTGTTGTATTAATCCCCTTCCCCTATTTCTGAAGAGACAGTAAGGTATTATAGAGGACCATTGTAAATTGTAACTGACTAATCATTTTCTTTGTAACATATAAAATTTCCATTGTATTTGTACCTTGTAATCACTTCCTTTGTAAATGATATTTCCATTGTAGTGATAATTTCATTTTATCTATCTTTTAGTTGCTTCCTTTGTGACCTCTTGAAATACTTTTTTGTACATGTGTAACTGATAATCATTGTCTTTGGAACTCATGATGATTTCATTTGTATGATAATCAATTCCTTTGTAACTTGTGACCATTTTTTTATAGGAGGACCACAAGAACTCCCAGTAAGGAACTGATGCGTTACTTTATCCGCACTAATGCCACAAGGGCTGGAGAAACCCAAAAGGGTCCTTGGGTCGTTGATGATAAGTTGGTCAAGAAATTTGATATACCGGCCAAATTATCAGATTTCTTTTTGTCCCCAACAAAGGTAAAGAATTGCTGTAAATCTGTTTAATTTATATTTTTCCATCAAATAAATGAATAGGGTTTTAATATGTAAATAAATTTTTAATCTATGTATTTAGTTTCAATAAGTCTGTAAGGAACGAAACATACGTAGCATTATATTGTAGAGTATTTATTTGATTTATAATTATATTTAGCAGATTATAACATTAACATATGCTATTTTGTTTCTTCAGGTCTCAGAAACATCAAAGAAATCTGAAAGTTCAAAAAAGCGTAAACCATCAACCAAACTAAAATCTCCAGCTGCAAAAAAGGCTAAAAAAGACACTAAATCAAAATCAACAGAAAGTCCTAAAAAATCTCCTAAAAAGACTCCAAAAGGGAAATCTCCCAAAAATGGCTCCCTTATAGCAGCATCAAAGGACGATTCAGACTCTGATGATGAGGATAATTATGTTTTAGCAGACTTAAAAGCTCTGAAAAAAGCAATTGCTGAACAGGGTAAAAGCAGTCCTGGTAAAAATTGCAGTAAAAATACCCCTAAAAAAAGCACTTCTAAGAAAGGGAATGGAGATACATCAGCCAAGGGGACTCCTAGGAAAAGTGCATCTAATTCAAAATCTAACACTCCTCGTAAAGAAACAAATGAGAAGACTCCAAAGAAGAAGAAAGATAAAGATGGGAAAAAGAAGGTAAGATCCCACTGAAGTGTTCACTGATAAGGAGTCAGGTCAAATATCAGTATGCCAATTTATCATTGAATTAATAACGCTATAGAGGGATGTCAAATTCCAGGTTATGATAGACAATCAGCCTTGTCCTATCAATAGATGCCATTTAATGACATTTTTTTGAATGTCAGTTATAAGTAATATACAAACCTAATTAATTATGGCAATAACTCCATTTACGTAGGTTATAAATTGGTAATCAATCACACTATCATTGAATACCCTTTACCCATATTCAGTAAAAACTGTCTAATTTGAATGTGACTGGACAAAAGTGTTCAGATTGGCAGGTGTTAACATTTTGTGGTTATCTAACAAAGTCTTTGGTAGATTAAAAAATGGGACGAAAACTGTTTTACTGTACCCTTGGTTGGATGGCAGAAATATATGCTCTTTAATTTTGTCCACTTAACCCTTTTCCAGTCACCTCAGAGTATACATTTTCCAAACCTCAGGTTGGTAGGGCAAAGGGGTGTAATGTCGACGTGTGGGGTAATGTCGACATAATAGACAGGGTAACTTCGACACTTACGTATTAGAAGTTGAATTTCGGTTTTCCGCCATGTTTGATTTCTGGAAAAATTAAAATCTCGCGAGATCTCGATCCATGCGAGAAAAAAAACATGGCTTCCCCCTAGATCGGAAATTAGATCAAATAAACAACAAGGTGTCGAAGTTACCCCACATGTCGAAGTTACCCCAAAATGGTGTCGACGTTACACCCCTTCGCCCTACAATAGCAGCATTATGTAAATTTAATCTCATTGCAGAGTCTGAAACAGATGACATTGTTTGATATGTCTAACAAGACTGACTCTAAGTCACCTGGTCGTAGCCCTGCTCTCAAGAAGTCCAAAGTGATGTCTCCACCAAGGCTGCCTTCTCTAGCACTCAAGTAAGAAGATATTTTAGAGGTTCCATTAGGATTTATAACAACATATAAATGATTGGAAGCAACAGGCCAAAATGATTTGAAATTTAAATTGATTATTACCGCCAAGATGTGATGTCACATTATTGTAGCCTTCAGTTTTTATATGACTGGTATTTGGTGTAAGCAGTCAGTGATCGGGATCTATAATAAGTTGTACTTTTGTAACCATATGCTTGTCATGGTTTGAAGCCTAGTTGGCAAAATTGCCTCCATTTTATATGCAACATAGATCACATAAGCTCAGCTGATTTAGATATATTCATATAAACAAGTAAAAAAAGTTAACAAATGTAACAGTGTACACATACGTATATTTGATTCCCAGGTTGAGGAAAGCCATGGCTGCAGGGGATGACAAGTGGCTTATAGGCTCTCTTATGTATAAATGTGCCAAAGAGCTGACCAACTCCCAAAGAAAGAATCTCCCTGATGACCTGCGAGGTCCAGTACAGGAGAAATGGGAAGTCATGGAAGAAAAGAAGAAAATGTAAGTTGGTTTTACTTCATAACAACCCCCTCACTTAATGTACTGCTGTTGAAAAATGATATTAATTTTAAATCCCATTGTCATGATAAACCATATCAGGAAAAAGAACAGTCACTTATTCGTTAACAATTGTTCGATTGTTTGGCCTCAACAGGTTGAGTACCTATTGTGGGAAACCTTTTAGACAAAATTATGGGTTATTTCAATTCTCATATGAAGAGGTACGTGGAATTATCTTTTGGTTTAATAATATTGTATTAAGATCTTGCCCAAAAATAAAAAGCACATTTCATATAAAAAACATTTTTTGAGATAAGTTAGTATTTATAAACTGTACACGTTACTTCCAGAAAAGCCATGCCTGCTGCAGAGAGGGAAGAATATCTTAAAAAGAAAAAAGAAGAAAAAATGAAAAAATCCCTGGAGGCTCGCAAAGAGAAGATGGCTGAAATGAAGAAATTGAGGGAGGAGTCCAACAAGGTACAAAGTTTGATCATATTTTATTTTTAGTACTCCAATGTAAACACTCAATTTTGATTGGTCATAGTAGGGTCAAAAATATTTGTATTCAGGTTTTTGTTTCACCGCCTTGTCTTATTTCTATTTTTTCTCTGTAGAAATTTGAAGACACAGAGTTAGGAGATGATTTACCAGCCCTGCCAGCTCCAAAGTTGGTCCCCACACCTGAGGGTCTCCCTAATGAATGTTTTGGTGATGTTGCCATGGTTACTGAGTTTATTAGCTGCTACAAGGGTCTGTTGATGCCAGATGATGAGTACCCCATTATGTCAGGTAAAAATAAATAACTGAATGCTACTACAGGTAATGCACCATAATTGAAGGATAGACCGAGATTCTATGATCTTAATTTTTTCAAATCATTATTAAACAAAAAAATCACCAAACAAATTATTCTGATATCATTGATCATATTAGCATATAAGATTTGTGCCTTATATTTAATCATGAAGTAACAAATAGAAATAATGTGTTCAATCATATTACGATTCACACAAAAATAACTTATCAACTTGATCATACTTAAATTTTTGTCAGCAGTCAGAAATTCACTCTACTTCAGCCATTCGCTCGTCTCATGCTTCATTTAAATCTGAAATACTATAAACATTAAGATATATGGACTTACACATTGATTTCTTTACAGATGCCTTAATGAAGGCACTATGTAATGGCAAGGAGGGGTACACTTATTTAGGCAGAGTATGCACAGTTCTACTCAGCACCCTACTCCAGGATCAAATCTCTAATGATTACAAAGAACTTGACTTCAAACTGAGCGAATTACCTGTAACAGCAGGTACTGCTTCTGAACTGTTGAGACTCGTGTTACGAAGTCATGACATTGAAGATAAGGAGGATGATGAGAGTGACGCTAGTGAGGAACTGGAAAATGAAGAAAATGAAGTGGTAAAAATGTTTTCTGATCATGTTTTGTGATAGTGTGTTTATCAGTTTATGTTTATACACCCCATTTACTCAGAACTTGACTCATTTCCCACTCCAGGTGGACTTGAACCCATCATACTTAGATCATTATTTTGAGTGATCTATCTTGCTTTTCCCGATCACACCTTTTCTGAAGTGCTATATTGTCGTCATTTTGTGCTGATTGGTTTACACGTGTCTATCTGTCATGGTGAGCAAGTGCCACATTATTCAAATCATTTCATTCAGAAAACTTACCTGTTCAATTGAAATTTTTCTGATGTAAGAGCACACACTAGTGTAAGGTTCGATTAGATTTTGAGCATGCTTGGTAAATTACTTGGTGGCCAAAAATTGCTATATTTTTTTGTGACTTGTTCCATATATTTGTCACCACCATGAAGTGATATCTATTTGGGGTCTTTAACAACAAATAATTCCTATTTTGAAATAGCTACGAGATGGTTACATTTCAGCATTTTGTCATATTAATATGTAGAATTCATTCTATGGTATTTACATTCCCTTGCAGCCAGAGGAGGTTATTGAACAACTGGAGAGCTGTGAGTTCTTTGATCTTGAACCTGAACAGAAGCTACAGATCCTACTAGGTCTCTGCCATAGGATGTTGGGCTCTTATTCTGTACAAGATTTCCTCAATGAAAGCCAACAAGAGGCTTCAAATCTATGGTATGTGCTATATCTCTATTATTTTGTTAATATTCTAGTGAATGCTTCAACTTTTGGCTTGACTCATTTTTCTGTTTCCCCATTTGACAGAGCAATTGTAACTAAAGAGTTATGAATTTTTCTGTTTGAATGTTTCCTTCTTATTCAAAGATCTGATTATCCTCTGGAATGTTTCAGAACTCTAAAAGTGAATTTTTTCTCTTCACCCATATTGTGAAGTTTATTCATCTTACAATATTTCTCAATACTTGGCCCATGGGATTTTTCAAATGCAAGAATTTTCTTTCCAGGAAGCAAAAAATAAAATTCCTGAAAGAGAAAAATGATAAACTCCGCCAAGAGAAGAAAATCAAACAAGAAGTAAAGAAAGAAGAAACAGGTGGTGCTACTGATAATCCTGGTAAGATCCTATCTCATATCTGGTATACATGTATGTTTTAGACTCAAATGGATGAATTGACAGATTGTTTTGTATACTAAAGACTGATGCAAATATATTTTTGAGGTTTAGAGACCTGTTTTTAAAACCCTGCACCTTTGAACTGAAAATATCTTGAAAGGGGAACTCATTTAAAATCAAACTACTTATTTCATTTTAGATAAAGAAAAAGAGAGTAAGTCAAAGAAAGGCAAAGTGAAAGAAGAAGTGAAACAGGAAGAACCGGAAGATGAGGAACCAGCTGACCTTGCATCTGTCGTGAAACGTCGTAGAATCACAACTGCAAAGGCAGCTGAAGAGAGAGCAAAGAAGGAAGAAGAGGAAAGGATACAGCGAGACAAACGGGAAGAAGAATATAGAAAACAAAAAGAAAAAGTAGCATTTGATAAGACCTTTACGGTAAGCTATTATCAAAATTGAATTGATCATTCAATTATAAAAATGGTGCAGAGTTACAGATTTTAAATGAGATTACTAAAGAAGTATCTTGAATTAAGAGAACAATATTATGACTCCCTGGTCGTCTATAATGGCTTGTTTTAACTTGAGTGCATCAACAAATAGATACTCCTGACAGCATAAGAATTTCTTGCCTCATAAATATGCTGCAATAATCAGCTGATATGTTACTATCAATGCACAGGCTATTCCCTGTCTAGCATGCAACACTAATGTGTACCTAATTTTCCATCTCAATATTTCAGGAAGGTATTGCATGTGCTAAGTTAGTTTTGAGACAGACACCTATTGGCACCGATAGGAACCACAGCAGGTACTGGATATTCCAAAATACAACTCCAGGTCTCTTTGTCGAAAAAGGTAAAATTCCATTATTTATTTTCGAATTATGAATTTACTATTGTTGTATAAAGTATTCTTTTTTTACAGTGTAATGACATACTTGTTGGCCTCATTCATACCTTTGCTTGTTTTGAGTGGAATACAAGAAAATAAATGTAAAAAGAACATTTTTCTAGAAAATCCGTTTAAGATAAATGGAGAGAAAAATCAGGGTTGCAAAAATTAAATCAACAATTATCAAGAAAAATATCTGGAGAAAATCTGGATTTTTTTTAAAAGTCAGCCCGAAAATCAGACTTCGTTTTCCAAAAAACAATTCAGGGGAAAATCTGGATTTCTAAAAATAAATCTGGTGAATAATCAGGGTCTACAAAAAATGGTTCGATAAATTGAGATTTTTTAACAAAAATGGGACTGTCTTGTTGAGAAATCAAGTGTTTAACAAAAATAGACAATTAAAGTGGCACCATCTATTCAATTTCAGACATGGGGCTATTATAGTACTTTCATAAGTATTATGATATTCAAAGCCTTGGTTAGAGTATTGTGATAAATATGTACAACTAGGCCTGGTTTATATTTTACCTTTTCAGGCTGGGCAACCAAAGACTTCCAATATTCTGTTGAGACTCCTAAGACAACAGATGTTGAGGACTCGGATGATGAGGTCCTGATCAAGAAAGTGAAGAAATTAAAGGAAGGTGAAGAGACAACGTAAGTGATTTAATATGTACCTTTTGTTTATTTCTAACATTTTGTTAATGCCTGAGAATATAAAATGTGTCGCATGTAATCTTCGGGAATTTGCATAGTCAAAAATTTCCTTTTGTTTCATGTGGCTTAATATTACTGCTAACTTTTCAAATTTTTCTTGGTGCCTCATACAATCTACTCTTTTGTCTAAAACACATTATTGAAAAATGTCTGACCACAGTACAATAGTCGACTGTTATTTAGAGATAATATTCAATTAGGTAAAGTTTACCACCCCATGTGCCAACCAGGAGAAGTCCTGCTCTGTAAACTGCTATAGACTGGGGGTAAACAATACCATCATATGCAGAGATAAATTGTTTGAAGAAATTGCCATCAGGAGTGATTCCCTGAACATGCTACAAATATGTAGTCCCTGTGGTCAACACATAGACTACTTACTCCTCTTAAAGGAATATTCCTTGCCAGACCCTTTCTCTCTTGATATGGTAGCTATAATCATATATATAGTTTCCATATTTAGCAAAACATGGGAAAATGTTTTAATATGGTCAATATTGATCATTTAAAAATCTAGTGCTTATTTCCAGTGAGCTGCCATCTTTTAAGATTTCTTGCAGGAAGTGATGTCATCAACTCTCAACTTCTATAACCTTGCCCAAAACAGTATAGGAAAATAGCACAAAATCACTTCTAGACAAGTGATCATTACTTTCTGTGCAAAAATATTTTCAGGGCTTGTCAACTTAGAATAAAAGAAGAGATTTTCAGAAGGATTAAATAAGATACAAAGTTGAAAAAGAATATTTAGCTGGTTTTGTAATTCTTAATAGCTCCTCACCTAATGCTATATGCAAAGTTGAGAGTCGATGACATCACTTCCTGTGTGAAATTTTAAAAGATGGCAGCTTACTGGAATTGAGCATCACATTTCTAAGTGATCAAATTTGACCATATCAAAACATTTTTGCGTGTTTTGCTAAACATGACAAGCATATATATGGTTATAGCTACCACATGAGGAGAGAGATGGTTTGGCAAGGAATATTCCTTTAACTCTCTACCACCTTGTGCCCTCTGGTCATATGTGAATACAACATCTTGAATATCCAGGTTGATTCCAACTAGGTTGTTATCATCATATGGGACTATCACAGTGTTTTTAGAATTAATTGCGATGTGGGGTATGATGCTGTTGATTTTTAGAGGTATGGTCAGGAGAGCTTCACAATTTTCAAAGTCAATATAGGTTATGTATGTCACTTCAGCTTTTTGACCATTATGAATGATAACTATGGTGTTATCTTTGGTTGAGGCTATACAATGTACAGACTGTTTAAATACAATATTCTCTCTGGATTTGCCATCTTTATCAAACATCCTTATGGTGTGGTTGTCAATATCGAGTGCAGTGATATTCGTACCATCACCCGTTATAATGTTAGAACACTTAGCAGAGATTCGAATGTCTCTCTGTCTCTGTGTATTCTGTTGAAGTAGAAGTATGCCATCCTCACCTTGGGCTATGGCCAAGTCTCCATTTTCCAATACAGCTATGTCAATGTTGCTGTTCCCTGTATGAATTGCAGAGATGATCTTTCTTGCTTCAGTGAGAATTGGACTTTCCTTGGTCATATTCTGTTGTAGATACATTTGCTTTTTGGTTGGCATAGTCGCTGTCGTAATCTCTTTTGTTTTGTTTCTCATGTACAATGTTGTTGCTTTACTAAGCTGTATCGTATCATCTGAGACATCACCTTCTTCGTATATTACAGCTATATGGGCATCACATTTCTTAGGTGGTCTAGGTTTGATTTCTTTTGCAATGCTAATTATATCATCAGACTGTCCATATTTAATCTGTATAATCAACCTTATTCAAATTTTCATTCTTGATTTTCTCAAGTTCATCTTGCTGCTGCTTGTAGTATGAAGAGATATGTTTAATTAGAGCCTCCATATCATCTTTTAGCATCATGTTGATTTGATCGGCACTCTTAGAAAGTTCTTTCTTGTATTCCATTATCTCTGCAGTTGCTAATGTGCCCTCTTGCTGATTAGACACAGCCATGAGGTCTTCCATGTGATTCACGTCATCTTGGTTGGTGTTTGTCACATCCTCACATTGATGACTAGTATGAGTTGTGATATAACAGACCATACATATAAAATCATTACATGTTTCACAGTAGATCTTCAATGCTTCAATGGGATGCAATACACAGTACTTCTTGTGATTTTGAACCATGTTTGACTGTGTGGGAACCTTAACATCACTCTTCAGTTCAACATACTTATGTTCTTGAAATCGTTTTGTATGTTTATGTACTCCAGAACATCTCCTGCAGAAATGTATGGCACAGTTGGTGCATTTAACTTCAGCGGGAATTTCATTGCCATATTTGTGACACACTCCACATTGGTGTTTGTGATCTGTGTCATTGTCAAGTTGGGGTTGCTCTTTGTCTAGCTTGCTATCTAAGGTGCTGGTGTTCTTTAGACTGTTGGCTCTATCAAGTAATTCAAGTTGTACATTAATAGGTTCACGGCACACAGGGCATGGACATGTCTTATCCTCTGACTGCACCTAGTTTGGGACAAAAAATGCAATATAATATAATGAAATATAATTCAGATATCTCAATAAAATACAGCAAGAAGGACAGGTTCAAGTTCTTATGACAGCTCGTGAACTTACATTCAAATTAACCCAGTATGTCACAGCCAATCAAAATTTTCATTACACATTTTATTTCTATCGGTTTTGCAGGATTGTGCATATTGTACTCATGTAGACTGCACTTTTATATTTCCTTAGTAACCCACCTGTTTGTGTTTGCTACTCCAGCCATCCAAACACTTGTTGCATATAGCATGCATACAGGGGAGAGCCCTGGGCTCTGTAAATGACCCAAGACATAGATGGCACTGCATTATTTCCAGAAAATGCTCTTCAATTATCTCAAACTTATGTTGTGTGGATGAGTCTTAATATATATTCCGCATATATCGGGTGTCCCAAAAAAAATGAGACATGTTTTGACAAGTATTTTCTCGGCAACTGATGAACCAAATTTTTGGAAAATTTGTACAAAGTAGTCCTGGAGTATCATTAGAAAGGTACAGAAATATAAAAAAGATCAGATAAATTGTATGTGAGTACTAAGAAATTCAAGATAGCATGTCAAAATACCCCATACCGGAGCAATGCAATGAGAATTTCATCGCATTTGTACCAAAAAAGGGAAGCAATTCGACAAGTAATTTCTCAGAAATAGATGAGCTTAATCACTTGAAATCTTTACTTGAGGCAATTTAGTGTATCTTCTGCTAGTGCAATGAATATGTCAGAGATTGGCTTCATATTATGTGTGTATTGTTGAATTAAAGACAGTATGTCAGAATAACCAATATCGGTGTCAATCTCACTTATTAATTCTTTTTCGAGCAAAATATCTTTCCGTATTTATTCTAACAATATCACCTCCAATGAATTTTGAGAATGAATGGATTTTGGATATTTGGGAAGAATGAAATGAATTAAGTAGACATGACACACAGACAAGCTATTTTGACTTATTAACAAATGCTATCACCTGATAACTGGTACAAACACTATAGAGATCTCATCGCAGAGCTTCGGTATTGGGAATTTTGACATGCTATTTTGAATTTCTTATTACTCGCAGAATATTTACTTGATCTTTTTCATATTTTTACAACTTGCTAATCATACCCCCAGGCTAAGTTGTACAAATTCTCAGTGACTTTAGTCAATCAGTTGCCGAGAAAATACTTGGCAAAAAGTGTCTCATTTTTTTTGGGACACACGATATATAGAGTATAGTCTTTGGTTGAAAAACACCCACTTTGATGTCAGTTCTAAGAAGTATATGTACGTGTGTTTTATCAATGCTTCTAAGAAGTAGACTTGTAATAAGTAGGATATTTAAAGCTTAAGCACTTACTGAACAGTCATGTTTTGTTATGACTGCTTGACAGGTTTGCTCTTGGTAAAATAAATTAAGACGTATACATAAGGATTATCAAATGAGAACAAAACATGTATTTTAGATGTCTTCTAAAATACATATCCACACTGTATTCAAAAGTGCTTGAAGGAACATTCTTTTCAAAAACCATGCCAGTGTTTTCCTTGAAATCTTTTTTCGAGTTTTCTGAAAAGGGCCTACATCTGATCAAATAGCAGTTATTGGCGTTTTAAGATGCAGAAGCACCAATATCACAACAAAGTCTTGCCAGGTGACCTTTAAAGTCATCGGATTATCCTGAAATGAAGTCAGAATTGTCAGATTTTTTGAAAAATTGCATGCGATAGAACAAAAATTCTTGTAAAACTGCGATAATGTTTTTGAAACGTTCAACTCGTCTCTATCGTTCTAATAAATAACTGAAATTCACTATTGTCAAAAAAAATCAATACTTTATTGTAAAAAGGTCATGGTAACCCAATTTATAATGTTTTTGGAATATCGCCACAAACTTCTTATTTTGATGTACATGTATATGCAAAAAAGATGTATGCAAGTTAAATATGATAAGATGATAAGCGTGATCTGATTCTGAAGCTAATCTTTGTTGTGTCAATATTTATTGAATAAGCGTGATACTAGCTAAATAATTAATACATCGAAATCAAGTCTACTGTACTATTAGATCCAGTCATTAACAAGTTACATATAGGTTATATACCTGGTATGTTGTTTTAATTATAGGTCACCCCACTTTGGCCAGAATCTGTGGTTTACATATGACAGTATCAAGGACCTTGACAGTCTCCTACAGGGACTCTCAAAGAATGGCATCAGAGAGAGTGTTCTCAAAGAGGAGATAAAGAAGTCTTATGATGCGATCAAGAATGCTATATATGTGGCACAAAGAACTAATGTTGCATTAAGAGATTCTGATGGCAACCAAGAGGCTCTAAAGAATTTCAAAGAGGTACTTAATATAACATAATTGGTTTCAGTATCCAGACAACATATCCATAGATCTGTATAAGTAACTGTGTACACATTTGGTGACACAAGTGGTGCATTATAGGCATAGGACCTTTGCTGCTTGAATTGCATGGTTCAAGGCTTACTGTCCCCAGACCGCTATTATGGGGTTCCTTAGTAGCCTTGCCCAAGTCGATATTTTTTTTATTACTAATCTGATCTTTAATTATTACGGTCATAATAGAAATCAAGATAAGTAAAAGAGACCGACTTGGGCAAGGCTAGTTCCTTAGTTGCACTTTAGTTCCGCTTGTTAAATTATTTCACTTAATTTTCTAGGGTTTGTTAAGCTTTGAGCTGATAGCCAGGCAAGGAGGACTAGGTGGGTTACCTACAACAGCAGAGTTCAATAAGTGGGAGAAAAAACTAGAGAAAACTGACAATGTTAAAGAATTGGTAAGTCTTGTTATCATTTTTATGTAACCAGTTTTATCCACCACAAGTGGTGACATAGTCTCCAACTTTTTTGTGGATGGTGGTTGGTGTTTGGCATTCAGCATCTGTAACAAATGGCAGGTAGTGAGATTTTGCATGCTAAATGCATTGTCTGTTATTTGTATCTATGGTATTATTTTATTTAAGGAATATGAGGAATACATATAAATACTATAGCTCATGGTTTAAGTTATAACTTAATTTTTTGAGAGTTGTGTAATAGTTTTTGGTTTGTTAGTTTGACATTAATGTTATTTAACCTTGTTTAGCTTTATCATATGAATTATTGAATGTATGTATTACATGAATGAAATAAATGATTATGAACAAAAACACATTTAGAACTGGTTTTTGAGAATTGATGCCCTTCAACAGTAGTTGGATAACTGTTCCCAGACATTTACTTTATTAGGGCCTAACTTTCATATTGCAGGGTGAACTGATGGTGGTTGTCATGGAGAACATCCTACCCAAGTTCCTACAGAACAAGTTTGCCAAGAAGAAGAAAAAGGTGAACAAGTTTACCACAGTGGAAGTGAAAGAGGAAGAACTTGGAGAGGGTGAGGAGGAAAAAGATGGTAAGGGCTTTTACTTGAACTTTTGAGGCTTGCTTCAGTGGTTCTATAATCAGAAGTTTAGTTGGACCTCCATGGCTTAATCTATTGGAAGTTTACTTGAATCCCCATGGGTCATTATTAGTACATTGTATGTTGATACTTGAACTAATATGACATGTGACTTAATCATTATAGATACTAAGCACAATGAAATACATTGTATTGCTAGATGGGATCAGATGTCACTGGGTCTAAGAAGAAGAATTAATTTTGTTAGTGAGAGAAAATAAGTATGAGAGAATGTAACTTCAGTTATTATTAGTAAAGCTTTATATAATTGCAAAAATAAATCTTGTTTTGATCTATTTCTAATGTAGATAAGGAACAGATAAAAGTGGATGAGACGATTGCTAAATGGAAGGAAGCATCACGAAATTGCAGTACGATGTCACGTTTACATGTCCTTCTGGGAATGTTTGAGTCATGTGTTAACTGGAATATGTCTTCAGAAAATGCTGTAAGTTACGTTTATAATGTGTTCAATTTGGTTTCTTCACCAACTCCAAAAATGTTTAATGTGATGACATATTATTTTGTGTTTTGAGTTGGCATTTGGTTGCAGTTGCTATTCTTTTGTAACAATGCTCATTTTGCAATATATTCCAGAAATGCAAGATCTGTCGCAAGGGTGGCAATGATGATAAGTTGTTACTTTGTGATGATTGCAATCTTGCATTCCATCTCTATTGTCTAAGACCTGCCCTACCAGCTATACCTAAAGGAGAATGGTTTTGCCCAGCATGTATAGTAAGTCCTTTATTTATAGTACCCTCCAGGCCTGTAGCCAGTTTTTGCCAAGTTGCAGTCCAGCTTTTAAAAAGTATGAGGGCTTTGACAATGATATCCCAAAATCGTTTTGATTTTAGAGTGGTATAAGTAAATAAATGGGCATTTCCAATCAATTGTTGTATTTTATGACTGTCTAAAATGTGTTTTTATTTCCTTTTTCCAGCCTTTGTCTAAAAGACGGTGCACTAGAGGTATAAACTACAAGAATCTTAATGATGGCTCGGATGAGGTAAAAATATGAGAACACAGTGTCAATAAAAATGTCATCAAATTGAGGAAGATGTTAGTCTGGTTATATTATAAGTGTAATAAAGGTTTTTACCAATAAACCTACTAACACATGAATTGTTTATCAGTTTTATGTAAATCAATTAGATTTGAGACAAAACGATACTTTGGTACATAAAAAATACAAAACTAAATGCTACATTGTATGTTTCATCACACTGGTTGGTATGTTAGGGTTTATTTGTGCAACCCAGTTGTGCTTTTCGATATTCCTTTCTTTGTCTCTTTGTTACTTTTTGTGTTTTTTATTACATCTATGCATATTTGTTTCAGCAAGATATATATTGCAACCATAGTCATTCATAATTATCTAAAATTGAATTTTAGGAGGAACAAGATGAGGAAGAGATGGCTAAAGATGAGGAGTGTCATATATGTGGGGACCAGCAAAACATCTTCAGTTGTTCATCATGCCCAAGAGCCTTCCATCTGGACTGTCATGAGCCACCCTTGAGACATCCCCCAAGGTATGATTACTTTGATATTTTTATCTCATTTTCAGATTCATTTTGGTTAAACAAACGATTCATATTGAGAGGCCCTATATTTTCTTAGTCACATGCTACTGTTTGATTTCCAGGAGTACATGGACATGCACCCAATGTAAGACAGGGGTACAGTACAGACGCCCAAGGAGGTCAAAAACACAACAGAGGAAAGCTGCACAGAGTAAGTTCCTTTTATCTTTTATATCTTTTAACTTAATTCGGACCGTGATGAATGAATTAAACCATGCAAGAGTTCAATTGTATGTAAACAAGTGATGAAAAATGTTAACTTTGCATACATTGACCGTGTAAATTCAATAATTTCACATAAAAACTAATGTGTATATTTGTCATACATTGTGAAATGTTGCCTACACATTATCGCCTGTTACATGTTTGGAGGAAGACCCTCGTGTTTGAAATATTGTACTCAACTCAACACTGCTTGATAAATCTAAATTATTTTAAATGACATTACAGGTAGAAAGCGTTATGAAAAGGAAGAAAGTAGCAGCGAAGAAGAAGAGGAGGAAGAGAGTGATGCTGGCTCTGATATTGAAGTTGACAGTGATGCCTCTGATGTCAGCCTAGAGGTGAAAGTGAGGCCAGCGAGGGGAACCAGGAATTCACGACGTGCCAATGGTGAAGATGAAGACCTAGAGAAAGCCTTGGAAGAATCAAAGAGGAGCTCTAGGAGACAGAGGTATGTTTTTTAATCGAATAGACCTTTTCAATGAATCCCAACCCCCTTTAATGAGCTAAAGAAACTGGGGTATGTTGGGTAGATTTATGATGTCATAATTTGTAGGTAGCAATTGAAAGGCATTATAACCAATAGGTCGCATGATTTACTGGATTGTTCTTAAATATTGTCTGTATATGTATTCTTTATGCATATCCGACTTGGGCAAGGCTATGCATATTCATGTTTTCATGATCTACCAAATAACAGAAACCCGGGGATTTTTCAAATATTGATATAGACTAATATGGGTGATGATAGGGTGAAACATAAAATTTATGATCACACGGTGAAACATGAATTTCTTCCTAAAACTGGACTAAGTCTGATTAAATAACAGAATGTCATACCTAGATGTATTCCTTATGCATTTATTGAACGGCTGAATATATATGTGTTTTAGTAGATTAGATGTATATTCATCAATACCAATGGAAATACGTATTCACTTCTCATTTGTTTGTGGAGTTTTACATCTTCATCCCAAATATTTGTGTTTCAGTAAAGGGAATGAGTCTGTTGGAGACAGTAGTAGATCTGCAAGAGCAACAAGGTAATGTTGTTTCTTATCTCCGCATCCCCATTTGAAAAATCTCCACAAGCTTACTTTAACAAGAATTAGCTAAAGAGATTAATAACAAATGTAACCTGCCCCATCTTTCGTTCCTATAAAACGATCGAGTGCTTAAATAATTGTCATCGATTTTTAAAATGTATAGACCTGTACTTGAAATGAATTATTAATAAGAAAAAAGTATGAAATATCCAACTAACCTGTTCTTTACCTCCAGGCGGGCCTTGAACACCTCTTCAGATGACACAGATAACTATGTTCCAAATAAAAAATCCAAATCAAATGTCACCAAAAAACAGGGAACACCGACAGAAAAACGAAAGGCAGGTCGTCCAAGTAAATCCAAGAAAGCTCAAAATGACTTGCTGAATGGTATTACTTGGTCAGAATCTGATGATGAAGATACTGAGGAAAGTGATGTTGCCGTTGAGAAGAAGGATCCTGCGATGAAGGTTTGTAAAGTAACCTGTCATATGTAAAGACTGGAAAGATTAGGGCCCAGGTCAAAAATTTAATTTTTTGCAAATCTAGGAATATTACGAGGGGGCGTAAAAATTAGCCAAATGTAGAAATAGTGAAAAAATAGAGAAAAATGGAAAAAGATATTAATATTTTTCAATGGAATAATATGTACATTTTTCTGTGCAGTAATGCAATAGTTGATTTTAACATTTTCTGTACTAATATTTTGAATGTTGCCAGAAATATGTAATTGTAAATCAAATCCAACATTTGATCCCACATTTGTACAGCTTATTAGAGAATGCATATTTTTAAAAATTTTCAAATATCTTGGGAAATCGATAGAAATATGATAACATGTGTGATTTTCTTTTCAGGCTTGTACAGATATTTTGCAGAGAGTTATAAGACATAGACACAGTTGGCCATTCAGGCAGCCTGTTGATGTCAAAATAGTGAGTGCCCTTCTAATATCAGATTGATTATCCCATCGAATGAAGTTCGGGGGGGATATAGAGAAGCCGTCCGTCCATCTGTTTTTCCGTCTGTTCATGTGTCCGGGCAATAACTCAAATACCGATTGACGGATTTGATTCAAATTTTATAGGCTCATGCCTTATGGGTGTGCCCAGCCTCTGCTTGTAAAGGAATTTTCAATATGGCCGCTCAATTCGAAATGGCTGCCATCAAAAAAGCCATTGCCCAAAAGCCAAAATTCTGTTTCGCTTCCAGAAAATTGGAAGGATTGAATCATGAAAATTAAAGGAAAAGACATAAAAAGGATAGGCATTTCATATATATTAGGTGCCAGATTAGTGTGACATCATCACTAATTTTCGATAAATCTTTATTTTAGGTGCCCGACTACTATGATGTCATCACTGATCCTTTAGATCTCACCACTATCAAAAATAGATGTCTCTGTTTTGAATATAGTACTCCGGTAGAATTTCTAGGAGACATGGACAAGATATTTCAGAATTCATACATCTACAATGGGGTAAGTCTAGAATGCTTTTCATTGCATTTAAAAATTGATATATTGTAGTCATTGTCTTGTCCCATATTATCATTGTCTTGTGTTATATTGTCATTGTATTGTCATATTTTGTCACTTTCTTGTCATATATTATTTTATATAAATTTTATGTTCATGTACATTCCAGACAGCATCTGAGATTGGTGGCTTAACTAAGCAAGTGGAAGAATTCTACAAACAACTCGTTGAAAAATTTCTCCCTGACTTTATGGACCCCTTAGAAAAGCAGCCAGAATGGAAGTCAGACCATAGCTATTCATCGCCACCAAGGCCTAAGAAGAAGGTTTCAGATTGAACAAGAACTGAAATGCTAAAATGACAATGAAGAAATTTGGATTTAAATATGAACATGTTTCCTATGAAATTAACTGTAAGATGTTGTTAACTAAAGGTACATTTTCATGATGTATGTATATTATCATTTTAACAATTACCTAAAATCAATGAAAATGTCTACACAATGGTCCAATGAATAGTTTACGTTGAAGTGACATTTCTGCAAAAATTGTTGCAAATCTGTTCGTCTATACTAGTTTGAATTTAGTTACTATTGTGTCCTGAATTGTATTTTTCACAGTTCATACTTTAAACGCAGTTTATGATCGTTATTTTACTTTAAAAATTATGGATTTCAGTTGTTTGATTTGTGCTACATAGTTCTCCATATGAAATATGGCTTTTCTGTTACATATCTGTGTAAGTGCAATTTTGTATTGCTTAACTATATATGTTCACATTAATGATTGTTAAAACGATTGCTTTTCATTAGGGGAGAAACCCTCTCACCAAATCATTTATTGATTTATTTAAGATACCTTTATGTAGCTTCCTTTTTAAAAGTTGATTTATGCAACTGAAATGTGCTTTTACCCTCCCTGCATAAAGTGTTTTAATACTTAGGACTATTGTATGTAGGCCGATGTACAATCTTTTATTTATTTTGTCTTGATTAGATGATGTTATCTTTGCTTTTGATAGCTTTGAAATCTTGGTGAATCTCGTAAAAGGAAGCCCTCTCCCAGTTTGGGAAAATTGTTAAATGGGAAACAAGACTAATTTATTTCTATTTTCGTTTACTTTTTCCAAATGATCATGAAATTCATAATATAACAGATGGAAATGAATATGTGAAATCATGTTTTTTAGGCAGGAGTTTGGAAGAATTGTCCCATGAATCCATGATATAGATGGTTGTATTGTCTATGTACAGTTAATGTATATATTAATATTATATAATAAATGTTATCCCTTGTAAATAGACTAAAAGTGAAATACATTGTATAGTAAATGTAGCTGATACTTGACTAGTTTGATTTCATTTAATATGTGGATATCCACATTTATTGTTTAGGAGATTTTACACATCACATTTTGCACTTTGAATCTTACATAACTTGACCATCTCATGAAATATGATGGATCTTTATGGAGACAATATATCAATAAGCAAATTTGTTGAAAATCTAGTAAAATGTGACTAATTCTATGGACATTAAGGAGGTCAGTTTTACCCCATACATTTCCATTTTGCCCCATGATTGATCTTTTCTTCAAAGGGTTACGATAAGCTTCCCCTATAAAAACAATATGGGGACTCCAGGCAAGTCCTGGATCAGTCTATTTTTTAAAAAAAATTAGAGGAGTTTTGTCAATTCCAGTTTATAAAGATGATTATCCACAATCCAGAGGATGCACGTGCATCAGCCAATATATATTTTTGCACTTATCCAACTGCAAACTTACCCTCAGAAAATAGCCAAAATCCAACATATTACTGCCTGAAATCTGTTATAAACACCAAAACTTTATTCCTCAGATGACTTGGGTTGCACCCATGAGACTCAATTGAAAGACTTTATCAAAATCTCCTTTTCTCAAAAACTGAGAATTCAGGAAGTGAAGCAGAAACTAAGGACAGGTGTAAAATGAATGTAGATATGCCCAAATACAAATAGCAGTTTTAATTAATTGTATCATCTGTCATGTCTGTGTTTGTTGATGCAGGAATTGGATGGACAAGATAGGCACAAGGACTGGCAGATCTACTCATGGACAGAAACTGCAAAAAATAGGATGCTATTTCTTCAAAAGCGGCAATTCAATAACAAAATTGTTACAGATTGTTTTGTACTGTTTTATTATACAAAATTTATACAAAATATATACATACATACATGTACATGAATGTAATAACACATGTGATAATTTGTACAAGTCATTACATGGGTTCATACTCTTACAACAAAAACATTGGAATTACTGTACAATATTGTCATGTTCTATCAAAAAGCAGCCCACACATTAATAACTCAGATGCGAGTAGAAGTAATCAGTTTGTAGTTTCACCACCAGGTGGCTCATTAGTCATTTGGGTCAGATATAGCATGGCGGATATAATTAAAAGTTCTAACTTAAATATTCATCAGTTTGAGTGGTTTATATCACCCTTATGTATCTAAAGCATATATAGTATCTAAAGCAAATTAGATAGCCTTCAATTCAATTCACAAATGTTTCTAATTACCAACATGAGTGAGGCATACATGATTTTTTATCAACAGTTCAATCTTGATTGTGCTGCAGAGAAAACTTATAACAAAACATGACATGTACAGTGTGCAAATGATTAAATATTCTTGAACAATACATCATATAACATACTCTAAAACAACATATGTTGCTAGACTTGAGCTGGATCTATATGATAAAAGAATGTCTATTTCTACTAAATAAAATCCAATAAACATTTAGTATCATCAAATTAACTTCAAACTAGATAACAGCAATGCCAAGGCATAGCAAATCCCATCGAACGGCCATGGCTGCCATTTTAACAAAATCCCTTCACTAGTTAAATTGTCATAAGAAAGTGTAATATGCTTCGAAGATGGCACATATAAAATTTCAACAAAACCACTCCACTATCTTTTTGAGCTATGGCAAAAAGGTAAAATAACACATGTAAAAATGGCGCCCATTTTTGTCAATTTTCAAGATGGCCACCATGCTTTTTTTAAATATTTAGATTTTCAACTTAATTGAAATATCAAATATACAGTGATATATTGGCATTCAAAACAATAATATTTCAGCTCTATATGCTGTACCTAAAATACTGTGAAATTAACACTAAAATGCTGGCCACCCACTTTGAAAATCAGCTTTCGGGCAGAACTTGTACTCCCATGGGGCATACAGGTTTAAAATATAAATGGTATTGGTCCAACAGTATTTGAGTTGTTGCCCTGACAGATGGACATACGTACGTACAGATGGATGGAGCTGTTCCCTATATCCCCCTGAACTTCATTCGATGGGATAATAAATTATGCAAATGAGTTAACATCATTAACATTCAGATCATTCAATATTTCACATACATTCACATTTTACTGTATACTGTAACCGTTAACTGTTACTGTTTACTGTATACATCACTAAGTATTTACAGTCTCAATTTTACATCAATTTCGTTTAATTTTAAAAGTACTTTGAACAAACATAAATGGTGTTCAGTATCTTAAAGGAAACCATAAGCCATTAAGTTTTATTTTATAGATCATTTGGTAATTCTTATATTATTGTGTACCATCATATGATTCAGTCATTCATGAATGATAAATTGATAAAAGAGTAAATGAAAACAAGAAAATGTTCTCTATAATGAAGGGTACTCTATCCCCATTGTAAGTCTCCAACTATGACTATTCTGAATGGTTACAATAATGGATTTAGGATTTTTTAGCTATGTTCTGGTATAAAGCATCCCTGAGTTTAATTGACTTGTTGTTTTCATAAACTCGTGTTTATCTTTTATGTTTTATGCTGGGGAGATCACTGTAAACACATTATTAAATGAACATGATTTCTCCCATAAAGTCAAGTTTCACTCCATCCAATAAATCATCTTGCTTTATTTAGGAATATTTTTGCTATAATCCTATATTTTCATATATCCATCAAATCAAAGATTTAATTTGTTTTAAAATAATCTAAAAAATCAAATTGGGAAGTTGTGAAGATAACAACTAATTAAGCATATCATGGTCTCTAGAAACAAGAATATTTTTTCCATGGCCTAAGATGATCTGCTTGCAGAAGCAGTCCTGTAATATATTGTTATCTCGAGTTTCATAACGGGAGGTCCAGAATGGAACTTGACTGGTTGAGTAATCTTTATTTACAATATGGTGATCTGCTAGTAGTAGTCCTCCTGTAACTGTCATCTCAGGCTTATAACCTGAGGTCCACAGTTGAACTTTGCTGGGAGAACACTCATTGACTATAAGGTGACCTGCTAGCAGGAGTAGTCCTCCTGTAAATGGAACTATTGTCATCTCTAGGCTCATATCCTGAGCTCCAGAGTGGAACTTTGCTGGGAGAACTACCTGAGGAATAAGGAGAGGTCCAGGGGGAGGGCTGGAAGCCTGAAATGACATAGAAGACCATTGTAGTCATCCTTAACACAATAAATAAACAAACAAAATGCAAAGTATATTTTGAGTGAGCTTAATATCAAGCCCCTGAAATTGGAATCATATTGCCACAATATTGTATGTTCTGTTTTGTTTTTTACCTGAGGGTGAATTTGTGATGAACTGTTGCTGCTGTGGGCTCCCTGGGGGTAGGAATGCTGGGTGGCTGGGGCTCCTGTGTAGAGGGGCTAGAAGTAGGCGATACCCTGCAGGCAAACATAAATTCTTATGACATTTTAGGCCAAGGTTTTAATTTAAATACACTGCAGGAAATGGCAACTTTTCGAGGGCCTGGATTTTCAACTGGGCTGCAATTTTAAGATATTTAACAGGATGCACATAACTATAATGATCTAACACGACATATATTGATCAAGACCTCCCTTTATTGATTAAGACCTACATATATAATCATCAAGACCACCCTATAATGATTGCAACCTACCTACAAGGGTTGTCCCATATAGTCTTGAAATTTTTATTGATCAAGAATTCCCTGTTACAATCAAGACCATCCTATAAAGATTGCAACCAATTGTTCAAGAATTCCCTAGTATTGTAATCATGACCTACTATAATGATCAAAAACATACCTATAATGATCAAAACGAGCATGACAATCAAGATCATGAGTATGATCAACCAGTTCATGTAGTTATTGGCAATTATGGCAAACAGTCCTCCCCAGCCTCTCACAATTGGATCTTCGTGTGAAACTGGAGCTACAAGAACAAATAATAAACTGTTGGTGTTATGTGTCGCTTATTGTTTGTTTGGTGAAACTATATGTCACCAGGCATTAATTAACAGGCAAAATGTCACAACCTGCCATTTGTTACAGATGCTGAACCCCAAATGCCAGACTCCAACAGCCATCAGAAAAATGGCCCTTGGTTCATTTCTAAAATATGTGTCCAATGATAAAACTTGTCAAAATAAAGTTGATTGAAAATGAAAAAACAAATAAATAAAGAAACATACTTCCTGCAATGGTATCTTTCTGACCAATCAGCTTGATTTTAACAGAAACACTATGTCGCTGTCCCGTTACATCACACACAATATCTACAACAGCTTCTAGATGGTCCATGTCTAACAAGGCAGCTTTATTAACAGCCTTGTCTAAAAGCTGTATAGGGAAGTGTGCCACATTCTGGGCCTGGGGGTCTCTTTCTCTTGCTAGTATACTGATAATGCTAGAATCACTCGATGTCACCTACAAAAGTAAGAATCATCCTTAATACTATAAGTTATTGAATAATTTGAAGTGCAATACAGGATATATTCTGTTCGAGAAATTTTGTATTGGAACGAGACGAAGTCGAGTGCTACAGAATATCGAGACGTGATCCTCTGTATTGCTACTGAGATTGTTCCCTCCGTACCAATATTTTCTGTATTGCGACGGAGATGATCAACGAGGACAACCTCAGTAGCAATACAGATTTGTACAGCACAAGAACTGACCAATCAGAGCGCTTAATTTTACAGATCATATGATAAAAAGTCTTATTATCTCTGAATATAATACTACAGCGTACAATGGAGTAGACCTTCCCAATAAATCTGCCATCTCTGGTAATCAAATGGAACCATGACACATTGGCAAGATTAATGATGTCATAGGTTGTAGATAGCACTCTTTCCAAACAAAAAATAGTATCAACTCATTATATCGCTTGAACAAGAATCCGGAATATACTCTGGCCAATATATCATGGTTTATTTGAAAGGTCTATAACATACTCAGCTGTATATCTACTATAAGTTTTTCAGAAGCAAAATGCTGTTTTGTGGACATTCAGACATTGATACTCCTGATTTCCTAAATCAGGCCCATGCCTTAATGTACGCACATTGAGAAGTATTGTACTTGAAACTAAAGAATTTTGAAAGTAAGTCAAAAAAATAGTGGCTATGACAATATGTTACCATATCTTGGTGTTGACATAAAAACTAAAACCTACTTGAATGTTGTCGAAGACTGCGCTGACTGCAGATACCCTAACAGTTGCTAAGGGTAATAAATTACTGATTTGAACCTCATTGGTGAACACATGGAAGGCTGGTAGGAATTCCAGGCTAATGGGAGTGGAACGGATGCTTGTCTGTTGTGTGCGTTCTATCACACGAGCAGTCAGCTCAATCGTGCTGTCTAAAGTGCTTGTTTGTTGGGCCAAGCCTGGGTTGGAAACCTGAGTCAGACTGCACCCATATTGACCTAGAAAGTCAAATGTTATTGTATTGATTTACATTTTCATTACATATTAACAAGATGCACTGCCGAATACCATGAGGTATCCCCCAAAGTTTGTAAAGTTAATCAATAATAGGGTTCACTTGTAAATGCAATAAAAATTGTGAAAAAATCAATATGGCTGCCTCATACAGTGGTCTCCTCAGCATTAAAGTCAAAGCATTATGGTGAAGAAAATGAATAAGAAAACATACCTGTGCTTGAGTCAAAGCTGGGTGATGCTGTGAACAAGTCCCATATAGCCACCTCAGGGTGTGGCTTACTGAGGCTAAGCTCACATGTAAATGGCATGTGGCTCACTTTAAACTCCTTTTGGATAACTGAGCTACAATCATCACCTGCAGACACACAATGTAATCTTTCAATATATTACGATTTGAACATGAAAACTCACCAAAATTTTGCAAAATCGTCACTTTATTTCCTACTTTCAGTTTGGCGTTTCGCACTGAACGAAACACTTAGTACAAACTAGGTATTGTATCGAAGAATAGATACTGGGTGACATTTGACTTTGTTCACAGTTTATAGAAGACGTGAATGGCTTATAGTTAATGGAATTATTACATACCGTGAATGTTAGCCTGGGATAAACTAGAGCCATGGAGTTTGACTGGAACTGCTATCTTCTTGCTCCTGCCCCCCTCTACATTAGTGAGGTATGACACACTTGTCATGTCCAGGGAGACACTCTTGATAGCAGAGACAGACACCTAAAACAAGTACACATACATGGTTTCAATCAAATGGCATTCATGACAATCAAATGGCATTCATGACAATCAATTGGCATCTGCTTCAACTTAATATAAGTGATTCATGACAAGCAAGTGGTATTGGTGACAATCAAATGGCATTCATGACAATCAAGTGACATCTGTGGCAATTCAAAGATTCATGACAATCAATTGGCATTCATGACAATCAATTGGCATCTGCTTCAAATAAATATAAATGATTCATGACAAGCAAGTAGTATTCATGACAATCAAATGGCACATCATGACAATCAAGTGACATCTGTTGCAATTCAAAGATTCAGGACAATCAGGTGGTATTCATAGCAATCAATTGGCATTCATGACAATAAAGTGGCATCTGTTACACTGAAATGATTCATGACAATCAACTGGTATTCATGACAATCAATTGGTATTTATGATAATCAAGGGGTATTCATTCATTTGTGATTAAAATAGTATGTAGGGCAGGGTTCTCACCAGGAAATTTTTAGACCACGAATTTTTAGTGGTATTGTGACTCCTTTTTTCGTGGTATCGTGACTACTTCTACCCCATGTGAGATCATAGATATCCTATTAGTATACTTTTCAACATACTTCTTAAGATTATCTTGCTATTTTAATCCCAATATTTATTTCTAAAAGGTTTCTGACTTCCTATTTCTTGTTTGTATCCACTTTTATGTATTTTCTCAATAGTTTTACCGCAAATAATGTGACAAAAATGTAAAATTAGACTCCGGAAAAAACGCTTTAGACTCCGGAAAAGCTATTAGACTCTGGAGCAAGAGGGTTTAAGACATTAGACTCCGGAGAATCTCGTAACCTAGTGAGAACCCTGTAGGGTATCATTTTATGTGAAAAAGAAGTAAAAGGGGAAGGGGCAGAGTTGGAGGGAGGGAGAAAGTTGGAGGGGGCAACGAGAGTGTGGGGATCAGATACTGCTCGGTGGGAACAGAAAGATTAATAATGGAAGATAGGATTTAAGATTTTTATAGAGGGTGCATTGAGGATAGAGAGTAGGGGTTAATAGCGGGGACAGATAGATTTCCTTACCTCTGTGCTGGTGACAAGGGATTCTGATACATTGTAACGAATCAATGTACTGCCAATAAATGACGCTGTTGAGACACCTGTAGCCCCATCTATAGTTATAACATTGCTGCTAGCAGACCAGGTTCCTTTATAATCTGAAAATGAAATACATGTATTTAGTTACCAAAAATGAAAATCAAAAACCAGTGCCTTTTAATACTGACAATTTTATAGGAAAAATATGGAAGCATGTACTGATGAAGCAGATTTGTCATATGTATATGAATAAGTAAATTTACTATTTTAATGAAATAATCTGATCTTTTTTCAAAACACATATTCTCATAATAACCACCCCCAACACCGAAGCACTGCGCAATACCCAGTCATCCTTTTCTATATTATTCTTTAAATAGAAGCAGCTGCAATTTCACTTATTCAGGCAAGCTAGTACTTTCATTGTCATTCGTACAAATACTACTGCACCCCAAGCTATGTAAGTACTGCGTTAAATTATTTTTATACTTAGTGAGTATGTCAGTATAAAGCTGCTTTTCCAGGGGCTCATTTCTCAATATAGAGTGAAAAGCAATTGTCATGGATGATCATGGAGAGGTAAATGAATTCCACAATATTTTTTTGAGAAATGGACCCCAAAATACCAAAATGCGTTGATAATATGCGATAAATAATAGCATCCCAGAAATGTAGTTGAGCAAACCATATCAAGTCATTGATACACTGTTATTAAATAATATAATGCAAAGTCTGGGCATATTTTACAAGGGTTAATTTCTCAAACATTTCTACATTAGACAATTTGTACTTTCCTAATAATAACTAGTACTATATTTTTGTGATTTCTACAATGGATTTAGGAATTTCCCTGTCAGAAAAGTTTTAAGAAACACACCCCTGGTTATTTAACCTGAATACTTCATACATACACAGACCATTAACATAATGCACTAAGAGTAGATATCAAATGTTCAATGTCTGATACAATTGTTTTCCGTGTCAATAGGTCTAAATATTCCAAATATTCTACTATTTTTGTCTTTTATCAAATAGACACATGTTTTTATTGTGCACAAAGAACACCTTGTATGATTTAGGTTTGAGTAAAGGTTATGACGATCACCAACTTTTATTGTGAAGATTTACAAACAGGTCTGGTATTTGTTGCATTTATCCAAAAGTCAAAATGTTGATTTTTGTCAAATAATGAAAAAGCTGTGGTCAAAAAGCCGTCCCATTATTGAATTCATTTGTTTTGTAATTAGATATTGATATCTATTTTAAATCATATCTTTCCAGTGTACCATGGGTATTAATTGTAGTTAATATTGATAGACATATCGCCCTATGCAAACAAAACATCCAGGGCACTTAACACAAGCATTCGGTGCGGAACCAACAATCATTTTTGAATTTGTGATATTTTATAAACTAAGCCATGTTGAGTCTTGAGTTTTGTCAATATATGTGTAGTTCTTTCCAAATGGATGAAACCTTTGACAATTTTCCAATTTTTGATAATTACAAATTTTTTTCTGCATTTCAAGATGCAAAAGTAATTTATATTAATGGCTGATTTTGATCACCAATACTGTATGAAGGCTGAGAAGAATGTTTAAAATGACAATTTCAAGATTTATACATTGGAGAGAGAGGCTTAATATGTAATTGTCACTAAACAAATGAAAATGTCAAAAATGATCATTGGTTCCACACCGAGTGCTCATGTTATCCACACCAATTCTGTTCAGTAGCCTCAGTCTGCATAGGGTACATTCATCAATTAATTCAGTTCTACATGTAAATGTACCAAGCAAAATGCACCATAAAAAAAGTAACTTACTTCCAAACGTTTGACTACGACCTGCAGTTTTATTGTGCAATAAAATAATAACATGTGTATGAAATTATCGTAAAACTTAAACAATGTTTCTTGCAGCAATAACTGAACAGGTGGTATAAATTGAAGACATGCTGTTTCTTTGAAAAAAAGGTCAAGCAGGGTCCTATTCTTGTAGATAAACAATGGATTGAGACTTTTATTTATTGTTTTTCAACAAAAAGATCTTCTAGGCTCCCATGAGGTCCAGTTTCAGTGCATTGTGAATCAGAAAACATCCACGATATCATATATGTATTCACAGGGTAGAGTTTCCTTTAGTTAACCCAACCTATCTAATACTAGACATCTACTGTAACCATTATTATTTGGTGCTGTTTAATTTAGCAATCAAATATTCCCTATTCTCAGACATTAAGTTCTTTACAATTTTTCTGTTTTTACTCATTTGTTAGACTCAATTGTTAATTAAAAGGATTAAAATAATTACAATGTAAAATGGCGATTTTGGCTCAATTTACAAGTGTTAAACCAAATAAAAAACCAGTTGCCAAGTAACCATAGTTACAGTATGGTACATATTAACTACTATGAATGGGTTACACAGAATTAGATGATACATGGGAAATAAATCACAAGCAACTTGACTGGATCTTGTATAAACATGCAATATATCTACATGAAATATAAAGTTTGCTCTAAATATCCAAAGAATGAAATGCTGCACACCCCATTACAGGATCAAGTTTGCAGACCTTATGAATATTAAACATCAGATTCTATACTCACTTGATCTTGTTACTATTGGACTAGAGAAGCAAATAATGTCACCAAGTGTAACATGAAGCTGTGAAGGGCTGATGGCATGTCCAACATTTATGTTGATGTAGTCTGCTATCCTTGGATTATTATGGTCCCAAACCTGCATTCAGAAAAAATACAGATGAACAACAAATTATAATTGAGCTACACACATAACTACAGTAGATGATCAATGTCCCAAGGTTATCAATGTAACTCAAATACATGTAGCATACTTTGGGAAACATTTTTCAATTTAGTATTCTCCATGGGTGCTTAATATGTTGATTATGGTAAATAGGTCAGACAGACTTAAGAATCATTAAAGAACAGTTTAATTTATTTAAACTTCCGCTTTTCTCCTAACAAAAGAAGAATACTTCCAATTTTCTTGGAAATGGGAAATTGGAATGTACATGAAAAGAACAGGTGAACTTCATAATTTGTATAATAAAAATACCAACTCATGTCATCAAATTCATTCCATTTTCAGAACGTAGGGCACAGTGAATGACTAGAAACTGAAATCATGAAGAGTTTGAGAGTGGCAGTAGTCATATGTGCATTGGTTGGAATTCTGATAGAAGGAACACATGCATCGTAAGTAAACTCATTTCATTAAACAAAGCAGGTCAGTTGTCAAATCTGAAATTACATTTAAAGGGTACAAACTCTGTTATTGAGTGCTTCATGGCCATTCAGCTCAAGATAATTTTCTCAATCTCTGTTCCTGTTCCACACCAAAAATTTTTCGTTTTTGATAAACCAAAGATTTCAGCTAATCCAAGTTGAATCTGGATTCCAAATGTTTCACCATTTTAACTTATAAAGTTATGATTATAAACAGTCACAGGGAAATTTTCAAGAACCCGAGATTCTGGAAAAATTAAAAAAAAAAACGGCCTCACTTACAATGACTCTGACCAAACTTGATGATGACGCAGGAATGACACACATGTTAGGAATGACACGCATGTTAGGAATGACACGCATGTTAGGAATGACATGCATGTTAGGAATGACATGCATGTTAGGAATGACACGCATGTTAGGAATGACATGCATGTTAGAGTTTGAGTCATCAAGCTGTGAAACAGTGTCAATGAATTGTCATGTTTATGATTAATTAATTTGTATTAATATAAGAGGTAGTCATGAATAAGGAATCTCCTCAGTTAAATAACATATCATTTTCTAATTTAAAGATTCGTGTGAAACTATATTTGAAGTTTAAGTATGCCTCAGATTTGTGTATAAAAGCTAGCAACCAAGTTGTAAATACTGCTGCACGATGAATATGGGTAATATTTCAGAAATCATATGAAATGTCAAGTGCATTTTGAAAATAAAATATTGACAAATATATCTGCATGCATGCCAGTTCCAGGAATGAATTTAAAAACATTTTTGACCAAACTAGGATCATCAATACCTTATATATTTGAAGACAATATTATATTATACCATATTATATCATATCATATCATATATTATATAAGAGGACAATACTGAATGGACCATCATTATTTGTTCTGATTCAAACATAAAAAATGAAGAAAACATTGTTTAATTTTTTACAATCCTCTAGTCAAAATTTGTCAGATTTACAGATGTGCATAATGCACGGCCATTTATTGTATGGAGAATTAGAGAATAACCATGCTGCATTCTGATTGGTCGTGAAACTCAATGAGAGAATGGCCATGTTTGAATCTGATGTTTACGTATTTTAGACGATGGTGTTGCACAGACAATGGTAGCATAAGGACAATAAATCGCGGTATTGACCACTGCCAACTGCGTTTACGTTGCTGTCGTCGAGGATTTGTTTTTAATGGAGTGTTGGATGCTTGCCTAAGTATGTATTCAATGATACTTGATTGCATGCATCTCATTCAGTTAGATCATAATACGAGGACAAAATAGTCCCTGGATTAGAAAAATGTCTGAACTGCATTTATGAATATGAACGATACAATGGATGAGTGGTCTAGAACTCATACGGACAAAAATGTGTGAGATGTGTGCCTCTAATGTGTGTATACCACTGAACAATAAACATTTTCTATAATGTAAGATTTGATATTTTCATAAAAAAGGTTTATATCATAGTCCATTGATAGGGTAAGCTTCAGATGGTTGTGTTTTTTTATTTTTGTGAATAAATTAAGAGGCGCAGCAACTATCTTCCATCTTAACTAATGTAATATTTATCTTTTTCATCAGCGAATTCTGAGCTAGATGCACTGATTTCATTTCTGAGAGAGTTAAACCAGCGTGAGATTCAACTTACTGGTATGATACGTCAATGGCTACCAAAGGACATATACTATGAAGATCGTCTAATAACACTCTTGAGGGAGGTCGCTGCATTACGGGATTGAAAATAAGAATTGGATGAAATGTTTATATCCCTCAAGTGACTGATAAAATCTAGATGCACAAACAGTATAATAAAACCACTACTGTATTTACAAAAATGCAAAAAGGACAAAAAAGGGTGTTTTTGGTTTTCACTTCCTTACAATAAATATTAATAATAGATAAATTGTAATGCTTAACATTTTATATTTGACTTTGCGGAATATAACTTGTGAATGGTGCAAGGGCATTCACTTACTCTGAAAAACATTAGTATAATGTACACAATGATATTTTCAATAAACAAAAAATATATAAAACACATCCATACTTTGAATTTGCATTTAAGTTTGTTGGAAAATCATAAACTCACCTTCAAAATTGTTTGTCCGATGTCTGTTGCACGAGCAACCAGCGTTGAGTTCTCAACTCCTGGCGTGACTTGTAGGAGATCATATCTTTAAATTTAAAAAAATCAACAAATTCAGATTAAAACGGAATCTTAGGAAAAAGGAATATACACTGTAATAGCATAAAGTTGTCAAATCAGTCTCATGATGGAACTTATCATTATCTGGTAGGGAAAGGTTCAAATTAGAGAAGGGTCGGTCACGGTTCGGTTCGGTTCGGTACGATTCTCGGTTCTTGTCTCTCGGTTCGGTCGGTTCTTAAATCATATACGTAATAAGGTGGGCTTCATAAATTGCAATTGGTGCCACAAATATGGCAACATAAAAAGGTGTTTCACTTTTATTTTGTATTATTAGGGGATATAATTTTATTTTCAATCTTATAAATGATCAATATGGAATGATGATAGCTGATAATCATTGAATATTTATGGAATTAAATAACTAGAATTGAACTACAGTGTATTTGTATGTGGCTATCAACAAGTTGCTTGCCCCGTGTTAGATGGGAGGGATTCCTTTTTAAACTGGGTCTGGTTGGGTAAGACCGTTCAATATGTTTCCTCACGGCAGACAGTGTGTTTCCTGAAAACTAAAATTATATGGATAGCACAGATGTCCTTCAGTTGGGAATAACAGTGCAGTGGGCTAGGGGGTGTTTACCCAAATTCTCAACCTGACTTGGGACCTGAGGTAGGACACATGAAAAAGTGTATATATCAGTCATAAAAAATGTTACTATGAGTGGGTAATAGGAGGCAGTTACAAGATAGGGAATGAATTGAAGTCTAATAAAGATCGCGGTCTTAGATCTAATTTTTAAAATTAAAAAAATTTACAAAATGTTTCTATCACAAAAATTGGAAACCTGCAGCGTATTTCAATGTCGTGTTGCACAACCGACATAGGGGAGACGTATTCTCATCGTAGAAACCGAATACTTCCAAGCATCCAACTTAGGCATCGCGGGGAAAGGCTCTATTATGGTTTTACTAGCTCTTTGCCTAAGACTTCGAAAACTGTCCGCCATTTTTAAAACACAAGTGTTTCCGCGCGAAATAAATTCACGCTGGCAAGTAGAATTATGTTCCCTCGAGACGTGGAAGAACAATGAAATATCCAAGGAAACGATTTTATTACCGTATGGATCGTTTAAAGTTGTTAAATTGTCGTTTAAATGGTACTTTCATTCGCTATTTAGATGTAATAGAGCTGTAATTATTTGCGCAAAAATTTGGTATTCATGTTACACTGCACGAAAATAAAGTATTTCCCCGGGAATGATGGAACCGTTTTGGACTCGGTTCTTGGTGATCAGACGGTCCCAGTAGAACCGTGAGGCCAAAAACCGCGGTTAATCGAACCGAACCGTAACCGACCCTTCTCTAGTTCAAATACAAATGTGTTATACCCGGTTATAATGGATGCCATCTATGGTCCTCTCAATAGAATAAGCATAATGGTTGGGACAAATGGCAGTTGCATTAATCTGAAAATTGTTAATGGATGGACTGAAGGATGAACACACGGACAGACAGACAGACGAGTGAGTAAGTTCATAAGATGGCCATGTGGGCCAAAAACCACATTACCTATTTGGCCTGTATTTCAACTGGGTGTTAGTTGCATGGAATTTTGAGCCAACATCGTCATGGTAACTGATTGTGTAAGAGAGGCTGGTTCCGACTGGTAGATTCTTCAGCAATCCACCAGATGTATGGATGATTGTGTCAGCATTGAGCATCATATATGATACTGGCTTAACCTGGGAAAATGCATTTAAAACATCAAATCATAGATATTTTCAATATTTTCCTAGATATTTCAATTCAAAAAAAGATTTAACGTCTACAGTCAATTTCTTGGACAGGAACCTTCTTTTTGAAATTTTCAATACTAGAACTCAAAAATTGTTAAGTAGAAAGCAAGATTGGATTTTTCAATATTTGTTGATCACATAATTATCTACTTGAAGTCTTTGTATGTAAATGTAAACCATCATATTTGACAATATTGCATCCCATATGTTCCTCATAAGGAGATGAGATCTCCTTTAGGAGACTGGAGCCCTTATATGCTTACCTTGATTAATATGACCATAGTCTGATTGATACCAAAGTCCTCATGAGCTGTGATGAGTAAGCTAGCCTGGCCACTAGATCTACCTGATACGACTTGGCCAGCCCCATCCACAGTCACCACAGATTGCTTGCTGGATTTAAGCCCACCTTCTTGCTGCTGGACTTTGTATGTTAATCTTGCTGAACCGTCCCTTAAAAGACATTTTCAATGTGTTTAATAAATCTTCACCTTTGTTGAAATGCCATATATTTTTAATGCAATTACACTTTGAAGTGGAACGAAAATGATCCTAATCCCTTAGAGTTAATTAAGATTCAATGTTACTTGAAATTCATAATTTCACAATGAAGTATTTCTTGAGCTGTGCAAGTACAGCAAAGTTATGAATGCATTGTAATCGAAATATAGGGAATTTCATTTCAAAGTATGTACAAAATCCTTCTGATATTTTTTTTTAATTTGTCAAGATAGGAGTGTGACTATACTAGGAAATGGGCCTACAATTTTAACTTGTGTACCTGTTGGTTTTAACTTGCGTCTCAGTGTTAGGTGTCATGATCAATTCACCATCACACGTGGCTGGACTCACTAACCCAAGCTGCTCAAATACCTAGAGAACATTATAACAAGGCCATATATTAAATGTACTGTGTTTAATAATACTGTATCTCATTTTATTTAGTTCTCCCCCTCTGCAAACATGTTATTCATTTTCCTCTCAAAAAAGTAACATTTGGAAGACACAATTCTCTTGAAATCAAGAGATAAATTAGTTCCTTGAGAAGTGCAATTTAACAACAGAATTTCATTAACCTTTACATCTTTTTTTGCATTGACAAGACAATATTAAGCAGATCATGAAAAAACTCAAAATAACATTAGATAACATTTTCATTTACTGGACATATTTTGATTTGCATAACTATTAGAGACATAAGGGTTATATGAAAATTGAACCACTAAAACAGATGTAATTTAAGTTAAAGGGAACTTTCTACTATACTCGCCATGCTATCTGACCCGAACGAGCCACCTGGTGGTGAAACTGGTAACTACCTACTCGCATCTGTGTTATTACAGCAGTAAGATACAATATAATTTGTAAATCTGTACAATGTGGACAGTTTAACGACTGTTTGTAAAATATTGTAAGTTTACCTGTAGTTGGACTTCATCATTTAAAGCCACATTGTTCACCACTTGCACATTTGAGTCACTAGATGGCACCACATGCAGCTTGATGGTCACATGACCTTCCTCTTTGGCGAAGACCCTCATTGCGAAGTTACTCTGGGGTGCCATCTGAATGCCACTCTGTGTATGTACAAATCAAATTGCAAAATTGAATTACATGATCAAAGTTGAAAATTTATGTAAAGCACTAAAACATTTTTATAAATACAAGTAATGGTATTTATAAATAGGTTGTCTATTAAGTTAAACGGTTTTGCATCTACTACGAAATGGCAAACCATTCTATTATAATCATGATTGTATAATTGATTTATGTATGTGTGTTTATAGTATAACTGTACCTACCTTATAGTATACTGATTTCAGTTCAATGACCTCTTTGTTATTGATGCTCCAATGGAATTCTAAAGGAGGCAGGGAACTTCCAAATGTGAATGGTGTTTCATGCTCATTCATTCCAAGAGCATACACAGGCATCTGCGTGGGTGGAAGAAACATAAAGGATTGGATCATTAAATCGATACCCCTTAAAATGTAATTAGTCACTAAAATTAAAACCTTCACTTAGACTGAAAATATCTACCATAAATCATATAATATTCTCTAAATTGACTGAGCAGAAGCAATATTAATACATTACATTTCTCTACAATAACTAACTAAATAAATAACTGACAGCTTACCTGGGTACCTGTCTCAATCCTCGTTAAAGGTGTGAAGATTCTAATCCCAGTCAATTGTACAACATAAACAGTGACTTCATCCTGAGAATACACAACCATCTTTCCTGTCTCTGAGTCACGTCCAGCTGCTTTCCCTATGACCTTTGTTTTACCTACTTCTAACCCCTCGATCAATCCACTAGAAGATATAGTCCCTATAGTAGTGTCCTCTATTGTATATTCTATGGATGACTGGGGTTGAGGACCACCATATGCTGTAATCTGCAATACAAATCATTACTTTATCACTTAGGCAGCTATTTATGATATGTTACATTATGTGCCGTGTTTTTTTATTATTATATCTTGGTGTGTATTCGCTAGAAAATATTGCAACTAGCGGTGAAGTAATATTATATAATCTGTTTTATGAAGTTTCTAGCGAACATGTTGTCATTTGGTGTTAGGTTGAGATAGTTATCATGAAATAAAGCTATTAAAGCAACAGGGTCCAGGATAGCCTATTGATATTATAAATGATAACCCTCATTTGAAAGATTGGGTAAACAGATAAGCTCGATAGTTGAGTCAAAAGTCGACCCTCACTCGATAGTTGGTGGCTAGCTGACTTCTCAGTAGTGGGCAATAAAATCTATTCAAATGCTAATTGGGTAATCATTATTTCAGCTGACGGGTCCGATATTTGGTATATAACGAATGCACACTTGGTTACCTCATTGGTATATTCCGTATTTTATGTATTTTACACTCGAAGACGCCAGAAACCCCTCCTTGGAGGAGCCCTGTGTTCTTTTGTGTGCACAGGTACACAGACATACAGGTACACACCACAGCCTCTTATACGAGTCGGGAACCACTCAGTCAAACACCCAGAATTACATAACGCACAAACAAACTTGTCTGAACCGGGAATCATACCCGGGGCCAAGCGATATTGGTAGCCTTGACTCTGCCACTGAGCCATAGCGAGCGGACTAACCACAGTGTTAACCACTCTGTAACCAGCTGGACCAGCTACATATACCATGATCCATAAGTAAGCCCTTACTTCTAGTTTTTGGAAGTATGTATTTGAAAATAATGATAAGACCTTTTGTTTCCTGATCATTTAAGACAATTTTGCAATAATCTTCTGGGTCAGGGAATATGCAATTGATTTTTCCCAACTGCATCAACTCCACTGCACTTTAGTCGACACAGGGTCTTACAAACCTGAAGGAATGATCCTACAATGATGGTAGTGTTCCTAGGGTCCAGTCTAAGTGGTGGGAACACCTGGACATCCTTGGACCTACTGGATATCACCTCACCAGACTTGAGGCTGGCTATATAAGATAGACCTGTTGTACCTAGAGATAAGCCCTTGATGATGTATTGTGCGGTGTAAGGATCTTTGTTCTTTGATGGGTCAGCTCTGGAAATTAGAGATATGACATAGAATGGTATTTTTTCAACAAATCATAATTTTTCATTTTACTTAAAGATAATTTGCGATTTCTAGTGGTTTAATAATATGAAAATCATTATCTATAATGTATGTTTGCATATACAGTATGTATTAATTGCACCTCGTATAAGACAGTTCCATGAAGTACTGTAAAAGGAACCCTACCCTACATTCGAGTCCTCAGTTTAGATTTTGACCCTGTTTATTTTAACAAGGCTGTTTTGATCAAATTTTCCACCAATCATTTTGAGAACATGTAAGGTTACAATCATCGTTAAATACAAATACAGTACAACATGTGTACGAGAAATGCTCTACATACTGGCCAAAACTGCTCCTTGCAGACAGGCGATCCTTATAAATGGGTCCTTGACACACCAACCCTTACAGAGAGGCATTCACTGGGCGGGTTGTATTATATAATGCTATTACCTGATAGATATGATGTCTGATCCTGTCTGTGGCTTTAATCCCATCAATGGAAAATTAGATGCCAGTAAAGATTCTCCATTGTTATCTAGGACCCTAACATATGCTGTAATCTCCTTGTGGATCTCTACCTAAAAAGTGACAAGATATACTTATTCTATAAAAAGTTCTTATTGATCATGATTCAATTGCGCCTCAAGATTGCTATGGCAACATTTGTTTTATTAATAAACAGTACAGTAAAACCTCCTATAAATAAGTTGAAAATCACAACAACTAGAACACCCCCATATCAAGACGAACACTTCAAAGTCATGTTCTCACTAATTTAATGCAAATGAACCTCTGTAGATGAAATACTTCCTATTTTGAAGTTTCAAAGTTTTATTTCAAGAAAGTCTACTTTATACAAGTTTCCTTGAAATTCTAATACATGTAATCTCTGAAGAGATTGGCAAGCAGGCCTGATCTACAAGTAGTCCTCTAAAACTTAATAATATAGCACAAGCATTCATCAATATTGATTTACTATTTATGTCCAAATAGATTGACAACACTCAGGATTCAAAATTATCACCAACAGCAGAGCACAAAGTGAGCTTAACATATTTTAATTATTCTGACAACAATTTTACAAAATCTGGCATAGCTTTTGATATCACTTCATAAAACCCCAGTAGCCAAACTCCAGCAGCAGAACCCCAGCAGCCCACCATGATCATTATAAGTTGATAGATAAATATAAAACTAGGCAAGGCCTGGAATAGATTTGCTGTGTAAACCTCTCCACCAACAAGTAAAGAATAAGAACAACAACTACACCTTAATTATTTGAATAAAATTTATTACATCATACCACAGAAGCTCAAAACCGATTTCTCCTAACTAACCTTTATCTACAGAAAAGAATAGAGTTATTGATGTCAATAATTTAGCATTTAAGAATAATAATCTATAATTAATAAATAAATAAAAAACTACATTTCCATGAAGTGCATGTAATACTATCTTGGGTCATTTTCAATGACAGATATTAAATATGCTTTATGCAAAATTGCCTGTTGTTTTCATTATCAGTTTGACCTGTTTGATGCATAATTTACATCACTGATTTCAAGCTTCATGAATTGCTATAGAAACCGAATATTTCTAAAATTTTCAGATATTCGCCCAGCTACTTACTAAGCTAAACTGGCTGAGGAGAATTGAGGGACAGGAAAAACAGTTAGTTCAGGTGGCCTAAAAACATTCCATACCTTATCTACGACTGTTAGATCTATGGTGTTGACTCCTGATATGTGCACCATGGAAGTTGCATGTGCGCCATCTGCTCTGTTGAGGCACAAGTCATATGCTATCAGAGGGAATGATCCATCTTTGTTGGGAATCACCTGTGAAATCACATAATAGAGATTACACATTAAACTTTTCAGCCTTGTGCATTTAATCTATAAGATAATGCAATGATCAAAGGAAATACATATCTCCTGAGTTAATATGATATACTTGGACATAGATAAAATATGTTAGAATAAAAATATTGGAAACCTGCCATGATCCTAATTAATTAGAACTACATTTTCTACTAAATCCCCATAAAGTATTCGATTTAAATATTCAAACTATATAATAGATTTCTTAAATCCTGGAATTCTTAAGTGTCATTCTGTCAGGAAAAGTCATTTTCAAAACAAATGTGACAAAAATGCAAAATCGTTACTTTTGTTCATGAACTAGAACAACACTGACCTTAAGAGGAAGAAGGTCAGAGGATGACATATTTTCCTCTATGAATTACCTGGATTTTTCTTGTTTTGGAGTTGTACGAAACATCTGCAAGTTTGGCCTGGTCTGACTCAATGTGGAAATAACCAGAGCCCTTCTCTACTGTAAGAGTGGCTTTGTTAGTGGGGTGGTTGAAAATTGAGATCATTTCAGGGTTTATAGTGGCATCCTCTACTAAGATAAGCTCCAGAATTCTCTCCAGGGCAGGGTCCAGTTTATCCTATAAGCAGAAACAAAGCAGTGTCCTCTCAAAGGCATCCTATAGCAATCTGTTCAGCTGATGGTCATAGTGGTCAAACAGGGCATCTTCAGGTCATTCAACCATCTCAAAGATCTCCAGAATAAAGTTGTGACTGGATAACTAAATAAAAGCTAATAACTGTTAACTTCATGATCAACCCAGGATAAGTAGGCAGGGGTTTCATTAGCAGCAGGCATTACAGGCGATTTTCACCAGTTGTTTTCACAAAATCGCCTGTTGTTTTTAGAGACTTTTCAACTTTTCCATGTTAAATTTATGATTTCTATTAATTATTGATTTCGTTTATTTAGCCTGTTGTGAGAAATTCTTGTGAAACCCTATGAGAAGATGGAGATTAGAAAATAGATGCTTACATTATATCTGATGCCTTTGGGGTTGAAGTGGCCTACTTTATCATACTTGTTCACTGTTGCCCTGATGGTGAGGGACCCAAGCTTGTTCTGCATTTCAATAACTTGGTAGCCTTTAATAACAAGAATAAACAATCAGATAATCTTTCAAAATTGTAGAGATTAGATTCAGACATTAAATTGCAGTTAGTATTTCATTTTCTATAAGACCTTGAATGATTTTACTGATTTCATTAAAGTGAAAATGAAGGTGTCCAATTTTCAACAGTTGTCAATGAGCTAGTTTAATGAAGAGACTGAGCAGGGTAAATGACAATGATATTCAAATTTCAAAATATGAGTCAGGGAGTTAAACCATCATGAAATTAATGTGACAATTGGACAGTGAACACAATCCCTGAATATTAAATTATTATATGACACATTGACTCACTTCTGACTTTACGTCCTGTCTCTGTGACATCTATCTCTGTGGTCATCTCACTTTCTCCATTTGCAAACTTAGCAAGCTGGGTGTTGGATATATCCCACTCAAAATCCAAAGATGAGAAGTTGTGGAACTTTCTTCCATTACTATCTGTCACTGTAACTAACAACTGGAGTTCTTTGGAACTATGAACAGGCACCTGCAAAAACAAGTGTAAATGAGGGAAAATATGGAAAACGTGTGAATTTATTTTATTTGTTGATCTTATCTATTCATTAAGTTTCTTCTCTGTCATACCTTGCTTCACTACAAAATCAGATCATTTAATTTACTTACTTTCTTATTTCTTTCATTTATCAACTAACATGTCAGTTGACAGATCAATTCATTTATTTAACGTCTAACAGAAGAAGTTGACAGATCAATTCATTTAAATGACTAACAGGAGTTGACAGACCGATTCATTTGATAGACCGATTCATTTGACAGACCGATTCATTTGACAGACCGATTCATTTGACAGACCGATTCATTTAACAGACCGATTAATTTGACAGACCGATTCATTTGATATACCGATTCATTTGATAGACCCATTCATTTGCACAACTTACTGGTAGATTTGAGTCTTTGGTGATAGGGCAAGGTAGATCAAGTGTTGGGTAATTGACAATTGGCTCTAGATGAAGTCCTACTGGTACAGCACAAGCCAGCCTGCAAAAACCATGTATATATCAGTTTTTCCCCACAATAGTTGCTCTATGTTGTGAATGTATTGCAGATAAGAATATTATTAGATTCAAATAAATTTATTTCTTCTGAACAGAGTTGGGGCCACTCTACTGATAAACAATAATTAAACTTGCTTATAGAAATGACAGTAATATAGAATGGGCTTTAAAAGGGTGTATAACATTGACTTACTTGACTGTAGCTTTAGCTGTATCGGGAAACTTGTTCTTGGATGTTGCCCCATTCCCAACATTCACAGTTAATCTCTGAAAATTCAAATATTAAATCTATTCACTTTTATATATCTTTATGAGCAAATGTGTTTGATATTACATAAATATAACCAGAACAAGAATTAGTAGAGGACAAGACAGACGCTAGGTCAAGACAGGCAGAATCTGAACCTATTTACTCTGTGGTCATATCAACATGATTTAATAATGTGGTAGGAATTTATAAAATAAGTAAATTTTGTGTACCTGTTCTCCTATGTCTCTGCACAATACTCGGAATACGTGCTGATTTTCTGTAAAATTAAAAACATACCATAATATAACTCTTTCTAATATAATAAGGGTATCGAGATGTTTCACCCATTGGAAATTTAACCCTTTAGATCCTTTAAATCCCCTAGAAAGCTCTATAGCCATCAATGAATTACAAAAACTAAAATAATGACGTTTATCTAAAATATTTTTTATTTCATCACATCTATGTCCATTGAGGACAATCTTGGGGAAGTTTCTTTTTCTTTATTGTAAAGATAAACTTAAGAATTTTATCACAAAAATCCTACTAATATTGCATCTCCCCTGTTTCAAAATTGAAATTATTTTATCATTTCTATGAATGCTTTTCCTGCATAGCATATGCACCTGTTTAAATCCTCAGAAAATAGCCAAAATCCAACATATGACTGTCCAAAATCTGTTGCAATACTTTCCCTCCTCCTTTTCAGATTTTCTTTCAATCATAATACATATGTAGTTCATAATCATTTGGCTCTTATTGATGATATTTTTGAAATATGTGAAAAGGGTATTCTTTCATGAGGGTGTAATATTTAGAGGTTATGTCACTATGACGTGAAATATGCCTGAGTTCTCCCAATATAGGCCGACCTTGGGAGGCTCTATATTTGGGCAAGAACGAAGGCATATTTCACGTCATAGTGACATAACTGATGTATTACATGCCTTTGTTCCCATGGTTACTTTTTTATCAATGACGTGACGTCATGATATTATCATGGTTATTAAAGAAATCTAATATCAAAACGAGGTAAGCGGGCTATATCGGGGTAATCGGGCAATATCGGTGGATATAGCTCGCTAACTTTCCCATTGACTTCCATACAAATGCTTCGCTAGGTATGTAATACATGTTTGTATGTAAATGTCAAGCTTACTTTGAACACCAAGTGAAGGCAGATGTGTGATGGTCAAAATATCTGCATCTTCTGCACTCACTGAAACAAAAATTATATAATGCACTGAATGCAGCCATATTAGCATATACTTCAGAATACATATACAGGGTGGTCAAAAAAACGGCAACCCTAGTTTTTCCTAATATCTTTGTCATTCTAAGAAATAACTCCCTGATATTTTACACATTTGTACATCATTCAATTTCCTACCAACCTGCCATATTTCATAACCATCGGACTGATAGTCACAATATTACTGCATTTTAAGCAACATGCCCCAGATGGCCACTTTCGGGCTGTCTGAGCTGGTCTGTTATTCAAATGAACTCCATTTCCAACTTGATGCACTGGTAAACTCTAATAATTTTTATTCTTGGGGAGCCAAGCACTTGATGAAGTAGTGGAGAGGCACCTTCACACAGACAGATGCACAGTTTAGTGTGTTCTCAGAAGATAGGGTCCATTACCTTTGATGATACCAACGGATATGCAATAACTGTCAACAACAAACTCTATTTTGTGATTCCCATGGAGTTCTTGGGGACTTTAGGTGAACCCAGGGGGGTTGATAGGCAGCAACAGTGGTTCCAACAAGACAGAACCATACCCCATACACCCAATGATGCACGATAATGGCTTTGGGACCACTTTAATGACCACATTATCAGCAGTACAACAGACAATGAATGGGCACCCCATATCCCAGATTTGACCCCATTTAATCTTTACCAGTGGGGATACCCCAAAGATAGAGTGTAGGGTAATAACACCAGAAAGACATTTGACCTCAAATTAAAGATCACATGTGTCGTTCAGGCCATACTTGCTGAGGAATGCAGTTATGTCATTGACAGGTTTGGAAAATGTGTGCAGGTTTGCCCACAGCACGATATTTGAAAACTGGGGCACCTTGTTTAAAGTGCTGTAACATTGCGACTATCAGTCCAATGTTCATGAAATAACAGTCTAGTATGAAATTGAATGATGTACAGGGTGGGCCAAAAAAAAACAATACCCAACTTCGAATCAGGATAAAAATAGTTATATTTAATATGGTACATTGACTTACATACCATTTCAAAGGTCGTATAATTTCAAACAATTTGGTATATAACACTATGTCATGAAATCAATAGTAAAGTTTTATTATACTTATTTGGGAGGCCGGGCTGCTATTTAAGGTCTCCAGATTTAAGGGAGAAAATAGTAAATCTGCGGAATTATGTTAATTTTTTATTTATAGAATATCATTCTTTTGTTAGGTGAATACATGCTTGGATATTGATATTTGCATCATTGTGTGACTAAATTTATTGTTTATGAATTTCAGTGTTGTTTAATAACATTTTACACTTTATTTATTTAAACAATTTTCACAATTGCTCAATATACCCCCACCCCCTCCCCTATGCATCAACAATAAGCTTCAAGTGGTAGCGCAATCTATCAATAGCCTTATTGAGAGATTTCTGTTGCAATTCATTTCAGCACTTTAGGATTCTGTTTCAGCACATCAAAGCTGTTTATTGGATGCTTTTGATTGTACCATTTCCTCGGGATGGCTCCATGTATGGTAATCAAACACATTACATGTAGCATTGGGGCTATTGGGTGGCCAAGCATCGAGATCAATCAAATTGACACCTTGTTTGCAAGGAATGCCAATGTCTCCTGAGATCTATGGTACGAGGCAATGTCTTGTTGGAAAATAAAATCCTCGTCACATATACATTTAATGTCTTTTAACAGACCCCCTTTGAGTACTTATTGATAATAAACAACAACAAAATTCATAAACATTAAGTTAAGTCACACAATATGCAAATATGCAAGCATTAATTCACCTAACAAAATGACATTCTATAAATAAAAAATTAACATTATTCCGCAGATATACTATTTTCTCCCTAAAATCTGGATACCTTAAATACTGACCCGGCCTCCCAAATAAGCATAATAAAACTTTAATATTGATTTCATGACATAGTGTTATATACCAAATTGTTCGAAAATTGATTACCTTTAAAATGATATATAAATCAATGTATCATATTGAACATAGCTATTTTCAGTCTGATTTAAAGTTGGGTATTGTTTTTTTTTGGCCCACCCTGTACATGTGTTCGGAGAACATTATAATGGTCTTCGGGGCAATCCTTGTATCTCAAACTTTAATTTTTGAGTGTTTGAATTTACTCAAAATTTGCAACATGTTGAAGGGCTGATTCTGGGGAGAAGGTAAAAATACCACACCCAGAAACCTTTTTTATTATTTTTTTGAAAAGCCTCTATCTTTGGAGGGGAGTGTCATAATATGTAGTCTAACAATTATGTAAGCATTCGTCAGACTGTACCATGTGCTTTTGTTGTTATGATTATTATGTACAAGGTCACGTGACCAGAGATGATGCAACAATAAAGCGATACTTAGAAGTCACTGATCTGAGTTTAGTTCATGGTGTCTAGATTGTTATTTGAAATTTGGAATTTCATAGTTTATAATAGCTTGAAGTTATTGTATTAATTTGGCCTACAAACTAGAACCGCCAGAGATCTTCGACGTGACCAAACCGTGAGAGTGGCGACACTGGAAGGCATGTTTCACGCGGTTTAAGTCTGCTGCAAATTTGACTAGTCAAGATGGCAGTCAAAATGAAGGCGATGTTCGAGATGATTCTAATTCATTGACACGCTAATATACTGTATGGGAAGTAATGCAGAGACTATTTACAAGACATTCGTATATGCAGAGGGTGAAAACAAGAAGTCCTACGAAATTATTATGGAAAAATTCGATCATTATTTTATGCCCTAAGTTAACCTGATCGAGGAGCAGAAGACAATTCATTCCATGGTTCAGAAATCAGGTGAGACTTGCGATAGCTTTTTACGTCGTGTATATGATCATGGGGACCTTTGCGAGTTCGAAAATACAGAGAGGGAAATCATGCATCAATTTATAAATGGGATGTTGAACTCTGATCTAGCTGAGAAATTATGGACTATAAAAAGCTGACACTTGCGAATTAGGGAGCATGTCGCACCCGTGCACACACAATTGGAAACCCCGCATGTTGATGACGTCACCAGGAGGGGTCGTGTCAAGTCAAAGAAGGACTCTGGCAGTAAGTTTAAATGTACTAAATGTGGAATATCTCATAAGAAGAGAGACTGTCCTGCATATGGCAAAAACTGTCTCAAGTGTGGATTATTGAATCACTTCAAACGTTGCTGCAAGACAATTGATATAAAACATGATAAAAAGAAATTGCATGAAGTTGAACATGTTCATGATGACTCTGGATCTGATGATTCTGACTTTTTGTCCCTGAGTGACTTGGTCACAGATACACAATCATGTGATACATCTACATTTACTAGTATACATTTGTGTGATCCAGATACACAATCATGCGATACATCTACATTTATACAATCGTTTGATCCAGCTATACAAGTGTGCGATCCAGATACACAGTCGTGTGATCCAGCAAATCATTTGTGTGATCCTGTTACCATGACATGTGATTGTGATGATGTTATATGTCACAATGATAGATTGAAATATGATTGTGATGATGTTATATGTCACAATGATAGTTCACCAACACCAGATATTAAATATGATATTGATAACATGCAACAGGATACCTGTGTAGATAATGATATGTGTGATATTGATGAAGTACAAGAAGTGGTCGAAGAACCACCATGGTTGATTGATCTAAATATAAATGGTGAAAACATGTGTTTTAAAATTGATAGTGGTGCTGATGCTTCGGTTATTTCTGTAGATGCATACAAAAGTATGAAAATTAACCATCCAGTGCTAAGTAAACCTACTGCAAAATTTCAGAGCCCTGGGGGTAAAGTTAAGTGCATAGGAGCATTTGTTGCTAGGGTTGTATTCAATGGTAGTAAAGTGTATAAAACAACAATTCATGTAGTTGATAGCTCAAATTCAGCTAATTTGTTATCCAGGGGGGCGGCTACAAGTATGGGTCTCATGAAACGTTTGAATAACCTGGATATCAAAGATCCTAGCATGTATGGGGAAATTGGGGATGCAAAATGTAATCATGTTTCCATTACATTGAAACCTAATGCACAGCCTTATAGTATTTCTGCACCAAGACGTGTAAGTTAACCTTAAATGCCTAAGGTCAAGGCTAAGTTGAATAAATTGTGTGAACAAGGTGTCATAACACCAGTAACAGAGCCTGTTGATTGGTGTGCTCCTATTGTATGTCCCGAAAAGAAAAATGATTCTGAGCCTAGAATATGTGTTGACTTGAGAAAACTTAATGCTAGCATAATACAAGAACACAAATGTGTACAAAATGTCCCCACCTATTGGTGATCCCGTCAAATGGTTATCCTAAAAATGTGTAGACAAGATTTTACCGACACAATTTGAGGACGGAAAATCCAAATGGCCACCTTAAAATTTACCCAGAATGCCAAAGAATTGGTCAGTTCTACATTTTCATACTAAGAACCACCCCTGAAAATTTGAAATTGATCCGTCACACAGTTAACCAGAAAACATGTAAACAAGACTTTACAGACAAGATTTAAGGACAGAAAATCCAAAATGGCTGCCTTGACATTTACCCAGAATGCCAAAAAACTAATCAGAACTAGATTTTCATACTAAAAATCATCCCTGAAAATTTGAAATTGATCAACCAAACGGTTCACCTAAAAACATGTAGACAAGTCTTTACGGGCACGATTTTAAGACGGAAAATCCAAAATGGCTGCCTTGACATTTATTCAGAATGCCAAAAAACTAATCAGATCTAGATTTTCATACTAAGAATCATCCCTGAAAATTTCAAATTGATCTACCAAACGGTTCACCTGGAAATGCGTAGACAAGACTTTACAGACAAGATTTTACGGCGGAAAATCCAAAATGGCTGCCTTGACATTTACCCAGAATGCCCAAAAACTAATCAGATCTAGATATTCATACTAAGAATCATCCCTGAAAATTTGAAATTGATCTACCAAACGGTTCACCTGAAAATGCGTAGACAAGAGTTTACAGACAAGATTTTACGACGGAAAATCCAAAATGGCTGCCTTGACATTTACCCAGAATGCCCAAAAACTAATCAGATCTAGATTTTCATACTAAGAATCATCCCTGAAAATTTGAAATTGATTTACCAAACGGTTCACCTGAAAACGCGTAGACAAGACTTTACAGACAAGATTTTAGGACGGAAAAATCAAAAATGGCCGACAATAAAAAAGTGATTATGGATTTTTGCTGATTTCTTTTTACAAAATTATCACATATAACTACTGTTAACAATAAAATAGGCTTTTACAACAAAGGACACATGAAATTATTTATAAAGCTACTAAATAGTTAAAGTATGAAAACTGAAAAACACCATTCAATATGATACAAAGTATTATCGTGCGCTAACTTTTCTTAAAACATTCAAAATGGCTGACTTGACTGAGCTAACAGGTCCAAAACCTAATCAGATCTAGAATGAAGTGATCTGAACAAGATGTTAAAGTTTGAAAAGCAACTGTGAGGCCGTTTTTCTTAAAGTTTGCAGACAAGGATTTTAGCATTTGACTTCAAAATGGCCGACAGGAAGTAGGTATCGAGTTAATTTTTTTTCATCCACATCTTTATGCACTCATAAGTTATCCCTGAAAATTTGAAGGTGATATCTGTAACGGTTTTGGAGAAAACTGCCGGACGTACGGACGGACAGACGGACAGACAGACGGACAGACGGACGGACGGACGCGCCTAGGCCGACAATATGGCCCCACACTATGTGGTGGGGACATAAAAAAGAGAAAAGTTTGTTCTTCCAACTACTGATGATCTTGTGCATAAACTTAAAAGATCTACCGTATTCTCTACATTGGATGCTTCAAGTAGTTTTCATGGTTTGCGGCTCGATGAGAATAGTTCGAAACTCACAACTTTTATTACACCATTCGGGCGGTATAGATACTTACGCATGCCGTTTGGGTTAAATTTTGCGAGTGAGAAATATCAAAGTGTAATGATGGATATATTTAAAAATCATGCCGGTGTAGAAATCATAATAGATGACATGATAGTTCACGGTAAATATAAAGAAGAGCATGATACGAGATTAGCTGCGGTTTTGGCTACTATAAAAGAATATGGTATTAAACTCAATCAGCGTAAATGAAAGTTCGCTCAAAAGGAAGTTATATTTTTCGTGCTAAAAATTTCAGCAAATGGGATAAGTCCTACTGAAGATAAGGTACGCGCAATATGTAAAATTAAGCGACCGGAGGAAAAATCAGCTGTTAGATGCTTCTTAGGAATGGTAAACTATTTAGGTAACTTTGTTCCTAATATGTCTAATGTCGCTGCAACGCTGCATGTTTTATTGCGCAAAAATACCGTATGGGATAGTGCACAGCAAGCTGCTTTTGACAAAATAAAGCAACTTATAAGTAAAGCGCCAGTCTTAGCCTTTTATGATATTGAAAAACCAACTATTGTTTGTGCCGATAGTAGTTCTTTTGGACTGAGTGCTTGTTTGTTTCAACGTCACGATCCGGATGATGTTCGACCTGTTTGCTATGCGTCCTGCACTTTGGAGTGATGCTGAAAAGAAATATGCGATGATAGAAAAGGAATGCCTAGCATCAGTATGGGCATCCGAGAGATATAGTCAGTATTTGATTGGTTTGGATGAATATGAGTTGATCAGTTATCATCGTCCATTGATTCCGCTAATAAATACAAAAGATATAGATCAAACACCAATTCGTTGCCAAAGATTGCTAATGAGACTAATGCGATTTAACCTGAAAGCGAGATATGTACCTGGCAAGGATCCAGAAATGGTTGTTGCGGATTGTCTTAGTCGTGCTCCGTTGCCAGATTGCGAGGAGAAATGTGAAATAGAGTCTCAACAAGAAGTTGAAAGATATTTATGTCATGTTGAAGACAATAGACCGATTGCGGATTATTTGATAAACCAGATAAAGACTGTTACTTTTACTGATTCGGAACTTGAACTTGTTAAAGACTATATTGTACATGGTTTGCCAAATTCAATAAAGTCAGTTCCAAAATATATTAAAATGTACTTTAAAGATCAAGGTATGCTTTCTATATATAATGGAATAGTTACATTTGGTTCAAGAATAGTAGTACCAAGATCGTTGCGACCGGATATATTACAAAGAATTCATGATGAACATTTAGGAATTTCAAAATGTCGTGAAAGACCCAAATAAAGTGTATGGTGGCCCGGCAGAAGTTCGGATATTCAGTCGGTTGTTATGAAATGTGATCATTGTTTAACACATAGTAATACTCAGAGAAAACAACCTTTGATTCCAACTCCATTACCAGTCCGTCCATGGAGTCACACATATGTGCAGATTTGTGTGAATATGAAATGAAACATTATCTTGTTGTTGTGGATTATTACTCGAGATTTCCTGAGGTATCATTGATGAACAAAGATACAACTGTGCGAAATGTTATTGATAAGATGAAAAGCACCTTCGCACGTTTTGGGTTGCCTGATGAGTTAACCAGTGATAATGGTCCTCAATTTACCAGTAATGAATTTGCGGACTTTGCTAATGACTATGACTTTAAACATACCACTAGTTCGCCACATTTTCCACCGGCCAATGGGCAAATCGAGCGTGGTGTCCAGATAATTAAGTGTTTTCTAAATCAGAAAGACCCTTGCAAAGCATTATTAGCATACAGGTCAACACCAATTCAAGCTACAGGATTTTCACTTGCACAAATGCTAATGGGTAGACAGTTGAGAACTACAATACCAACTATGCCTTGTAACCTAATACCAAAGTGGCCTAATCTTAAAAAGGTTGCAAAACAAGACAAAATTACCAAACAGTCATACAAATGTAACTATGACAACCATCATGGGGTAAGGGATTTGGTTCCTTTGATTCAAGGAGATTCAGTGCGTATTAAACATGATAAAGAATCTGATTATTAGTCAATTAAGGGTATTAATTTATTCAATCCAAGAATGATGCTCCTAGGTCATATATTGTAAAAACTGATAGAGGACTATACAGACGCAATAGACGTCATATAATGCCAGATAAGACAGATGGGAAGTTTCATGATAATCCTTCTCATACTCTTGAAAAGTCATATCTGCCCTAAGTTCCTGTTGTACCTATTATAGATCCACCCACTGATTGTGATAATAAACAGCCAAGTGATGCACCACTTCCAGTAACACAAGTGCAATCACCTGATAAAATCAAACCTGACATTAGTATGTGTCCTGACAGTAAACCAGTAACACATTCCAGTAGAGGCATTACAATAAAAAGACCTGCAAGATATTGTAGTGATTAGAAACAGATTTATTTGATCAATACAGTGATATAATATTAACACTTATTTGAAACGTTATAAACTTAAAATGATTGTTCATTTTTGGAAAAAATAATAATGTGTAGTGTAAAAAAATAATATGTAGTCTAACAATTATGTAAGCATTCGTCAGACTGTACCATTTGCTTTTGTTGTTATGATTATTATGTACAAGGTCACGTGACCAGAGATGATGCAACAATAAAGCGATACTTAGAAGTCACTGATCTATGAGTTCAGTTCAGGGAGTTACAAAAATATTGGTTTTGGTGTATTATTAAACAATTAATACTGCATAAAATAACATGACAGAACAATTCTATTACTTACATAGTTGGAAGTACTTTGAGTAGTCAAGTACCCATTTCTGTGGCCCTCCCTCAAATATAACCTCCTTAGATGATCCCACAGTCACCACAGCTACCTGGTCATCTGGGTCTATAGCCTGGCAACATAAAATAACAAGGCATGCAGTGAACAATAATCTATTTAAGAAATAATAAAAAATGGTCATGTGAAAAATGTACCAGGCATGCCCAAACTGACCAGTTTCCATTTTAAAAAATGTCATGGAAACAAATCTGCCATGCAGTTTGTTTGGAAGTGCCCCGGCAAAAGCTGTTACAATACATAGAATATTTCCTACCAGAAAATTAATGTATAAATATCAAATTGATGAAGTACAAAATGAACTGTGTCAAGATTGTTTAGTTCAAGACAACCTGATGCATTATTTCTATGAATGCAGAAAAGTTAAATATTTATGGGGTAAGCATTTCCCAGGTATTACATGTAATGAAATATTATTTGGTAACCCTGGATTATCAAAGACTACACTGTTGCTCATAAATATGGAATATTTTATAGATACGAACTGTTCGATGGAATTTCTACAAAATGATAACATTTTGATGAAAATTTGTAATGTGTTCTCATTCCCTCATCAGTTTTGCATATAAAACTGAATGGTATGAAAAGTTAAAACATTTATGGTTGATTAAACTTGTATTCACTCAGGTGAACCCATGACCTCATGATATTGGTAACTTGAAAGAGGTGTCCAAATCTTAGTTGTAATCATTGTGCACATTTTATAAAAATTTAATTTAGAGTTGGAAGAGTTTTTAGAAGGCATGCCCCATAGAATAAGTGAAAAAAGAGCATGGCAGGTCATAGGGATGGTGCTCTCTGGCATGAAACAAACTGCCATTGCCAGGACCCTAGGGGTGTGTCAGGAACAGTCTCTAAAATTTTTCAGGGGTACCAAAGGCACTGGAATATGACTCCAGGTCACAGCAATAGTAGCCCTAGAGAGAAAAATGTAAGAAAAGACCACCACCTGCTGCATTTATGTCATCAAAATCGCTTTAAGTCAACCAGTAGTTTTTACGAGATGAATGGCTGTCTCACCTCAAAACCAGTGTTCCAGAGCTATAGACAACAAGTGATTTCTTTATAACGGATGCAAGGCCATGACACCTTTAAAGAGACCACAGCTGACTGATCATAACAAAGAAAGGTGCCTTCAATGGGCAGGAAAGCACGAAAACGTTGGTGTCATATGACAGCATGTGAAGAAATAAGATGTGTCCTCCACAAAGTTGATAATTGTGTTCGTTTCTGTCATAGACGAGGGGAAAGAGACAATAAGGACACTTACTGACGTGGTAGTCCATGAAGGCGACCCTATTTATGTTTGGAGCAGTATTACAGAGGTTGTTTGGAGCAGTACTACAGAAATTGCACCCCCTTGGTTATTCCCAAACATAATTTCAGAGCAAATTGACCTTTTGGACCTCCATCAAGTACCACATGTAAACAGAGTGTTTTGGGGCAACATTCAACTGCAGAATGATCATGCTGTTGCATATGCTAGTGGCATCGTGTTGGATTATATCAGGGCAGGCAATGTGGAGCAGCTACCATGAGCACAACAGTCAGCCAATCCGATTAATGCAGAGCAAATGTGAGACGACCCTGGTAATGAGATTCGTGACTTGGACCCCCACCTCAAAATTTAGACACGTTACGCACTGCCCAGATTGAGGAATTGGGCCTTATTTCACTTAGAAAGGTCAGATGTTTCATTCAATGCTGGTCTCGTAGGGCCGATGCTCTGATTGCAGCACAAAGAGGACATAACACATATTAGTGCTATCATTGGATAGATGACACTTCAATCTTCATGACCAGATGTTTATTTTGTTTGATCTGTTTTACATGACGATTTGGATCGGGGCGTTTTGAAAATGCAAAAATTCTTAGCGTACCCCTGTTTAAGTAACAGTAATTTTCTAAACTTTAATGTTAATATTTTTTCTCTAAAAAATGTTGATTTGTAGGTGAAATATGTGGTTATGATTTGCCTAGAGAATAAATGTCTGAGCCAACTCCAAATAAATGTTCTCTTACTCCAAACTTAGAATTCTGAGCTGCCAAATCTAATATTCCATATTTATGAGCAACAGTGTACATCTATGAAGATTATTCAATTTAAAAGTTGTATAGCCAGTGGTAAACAGAATAAGAACAGCATATATTTTTTTAGCCGACAGTATTGTTAATTCTGATTGATTTTTGAACATGTCGGAAAATAGTTAAGTGCTCATCTAATTGATTATGTATTGTACACTGTAAATATTATGTACATATTTTGTCGTTCATTTTAAATAAAAAATAAAAAATAAAATAAAATAAGGATTAAGATGAAACTACCATAAATATATGTTGTTATGACAACTCATCTTGCTATAATATCTATAATATCATCTCTATAACTTGCTATAATAATGCAATCCTTCAGAGAAACCCCAACATAATCATGTTTTTATTATTAGAACCCACCTTAAGAGGTTTATAAGCTGCTATAGTGACACTCGCCCTAAGATGCACTCCACCATAATCGTATGTTGCTATGACTTGAGTGTGTCCTAACCTAAGTGCTTTAACCTTAATTGTAGTGCAACTCTCCTCAAGTATAGGTAGTGTCTCTATAAATTTGTGAAAATAATCATTCAGATAAATGATTTGAACAAAGAAACAGAAGTTACACAATTACAAAATGTAACATGAGGGTGTCACAATATGCTTTTTTCAAAACTGTGCTAAAATTGGTCAGTTCCAATAACCAAGATAGTTGTTACGATTTACTACATTGCATATACCTAAAACATCAGCAATTATAACTGTAATATCATGATTCCTCTTAACAATCAACATGATATGATAATTGATACATGATAATTGAATGAATAAAGAACCAACTTCAAAATTTGGTTATAGATTTAGGATTTTACTTGCTCAGTTCTTTCATATATAAATTGGGAAATAAAAAATATGGAGAGCATTGAACTGAAACAAAATCATTCACTGATATTCTGATGTACTAACCTTCAATGTGAGTGAACACATTGCCATCTGTTATGGTCACTTTCCAAGGTAGGAACCTACAGTCAGCAAACATATGACGTCCAAGACCTGCAATAAATAAATAAAAAAAAATGCACCATTCAGTAGGGCCTGAATGAAAAATGGTTCCATTACAGATAAAAATGCACTTTTATTGCTTATTCTTCATTAGGCAAACTTACATTTTCACAGCCTCACATTACAGACCAATGCTTATATGTCATATCCAGGAGTCCGTTTTTGTACCGTTCGTAGTAACGAACGTTCGCAATTCGTAAATTCGTAAATATTTAAAAAGTTACGAATGAGTTATGAATTCGTAAAGTTGCGAATGGATCATTTTTGTACGCTTTCGCAAGTCATTCGTAACTTTCCAATTGTTTAGAGTAAGATTTACGAATTGGTTGACGTCATATTCCACAGTTGTCAGGACAGATAGAACAACAAACAGGGTTGATCAAAACAATAAAACCAAAGTCATACAATATGAATTTTATAAAAAAAAGATTCCATGAAAAGTACTAAAATAGATATAGAAATAGGTTGATAATACGTTGATAACTGTGTTGCCCTTTGTGTTCTCTGATTTAGAATGACAAAACGTCACAAATCACAATATAAATGAATAAATAAGAGGCCGTTCGCAAAGTTACGAAAGGGTCAGAGGTGGTATTAAATCTACGAACGAAAACAGGCATGACGTCACTATTTTCGTGAATTTACGAATCGTTCGTAACTTTACGAATCTTACGAAAATGCAACTTTGCGAAATTCGCAAATTAAACAATGGACTTACGAACGTTCGTTACTACGAACGGTACAAAAACGGGGCCCTGACTATTATTTTCATGAGTAATCAAACAGATAGTTTACCATTAGGCAGGTTTGTGAAGGCAGCTAGCGGTAACTCTAATGTTGAATCAATCTCAGCTTCCACTGGTGAGGGCACAAAGTATGCATCCGTAGGGGGAGTGACATACATCTATAACACAACAGAGAGAATATGGTTCATATGAATTCATGAACAGAATGAGATATTCACACATATGAAGCCATAATTCAATGAAAAATATCAACGGTGATACTGTGAATTTATATGTATTACATTAATAAGCCCTGTTAAACATGGGTTGTTTCTTTAGATGCAGGGTCAAGGGAGATGTAAAAACCACAAACTAAACAATGTCAATGGAAAAAACTGAACACAGTATAAAAAAAACATTATCTTATATAAATGTGACAGTTGGTAGCGCTATATGTGAAGAATGTCAAAACTGTGCCCAAAGGGTATTTTATCACAAATGATCCATTAGTTCTACTCAGAGGGCAATACACTAGTCTGTGTTCCCAGGGTACTCACCACCATTGATCCAGTGTGTGCAGTATTCCTCATATCAGCAGCTGTCACAGTTGTCTGTCCAATCACACCCGATGACACCAAGCCTCGTACATTCACACTTCCTATCTTCTCATTTGAAGAGCTCCAGGTGTAATTGCCACTACCACCTTCAGCCTTCAACGAAAAATATACAATAAGTTTTTACATGTACACACTAAATATGTACAATGCAAACTTTTATCAAAACTTTATATATTATGAGCATTATACAAAAGTTTCTGTACCTTAAATTCACTAAGCAGTCATAACACATAGCATTATACTCATTATGGGTTTACATTCACACTGATCTTACCTGTAGCTGGTATGAGTATGTTGCCTTGGTAATAGGGTCCCAGGGAACCACTAATATTGGGGGTTTAACACTGATCCTATCATATATCTCAACATCTTGACTATTTTGGATGAGTGGCAAGATTGGCAGCTCTGTTCCATCCTAGAACATTAAATATTTGAGAAATCAGCATTTGGTTCCACTACACTCAAATGAATAATCATTAATTTTATTATTGTAGAATAACTGAGTTATATATATATATTATTATTATATTTTATATATATTTTGACATGATTCAGCTCTGAAAACAACACTATTGTTACCTGCTGTATGACAGACTTGAGTGTGCCTTCTATATCCAGGAAGCCTCGCTGTAAAGTGTGTACTCTATGGTAGGTACCATTTAGTGATGAGTACAACACTTTAAAGTACTCTTTAGGAAAAATGGCAGAGATCCTCACATTCTGGAAACAATAGGTGAATTAGATTCAATACACATGGATATACAAGAACACAAATGTGTACAAAATGTCCCCACCAAGTGGTGATCCCGTGAAATGGTTATCCTGAAAATGAGTAGACAAGACTTTACCAACACAATTTGAAGACGGAAAATCCAAAGTGGCCACCTTAAAATTTACCCAGAATGCCAAAAATTTAGTCAGTTCTAGATTATCATACTAAGAACCACCCCTGAAAATTTGAAATTGATCCGTCACACAGTTAACCAGAAAACATGTAAACAAGACTTTACAGACAAGATTTCAGGATGGAAAATCCAAAATGGCTGCCTTGACATTTACCCAGAATGTCAAAAAACTAATCTGTTTGTAGATTTTCATACTAAGAATCATCCCTGAAAATATGAAATTGATCTACCAAACGGTTCACCTGAAAACGGGTAGACAAGACTTTACAGACAAGATTTTAGGACAGAAAATCCAAAATGGCTGCCTTAACATTTACGCAGAATGCAAAAAAAGTAATCAGATGTAGATTTTCATACAAAGAATCATCCCTGAAAATTTGAAATTGATCTATCAAACCGTTCTCCTAAAAACGCGTAGACAAGACTTTACAGGCAAGATTTTAAGACGGAAAATCCAAAATGGCTGCCTTGACATTTACCCAGAATGCAAAAAAACTAATCAGTTCTAGATTTTCATACTAAGAATCATTCCTGAAAATTTGAAATTGATCTACGAAACGGTTCACCTGAAAACGAGTAAACAAGACTTTACAGACAAGATTTTAGGACGGAAAATCCAAAATGGCTGCCTTGACATTTACCCAGAATGCCAAAAAACTAATGAGATCTAGATTTTTATACTAAGAATCATCCCTGAAAATTTGAAATCGATCCACCAAACGGTTCACCTGAAAACGCGCAGACAAGACTTCACAGACAAGATTTTAGGACTGAAAAATCCAAAATGGCCGACAATAAAAAAGTCCTTATGAGTTTTTGCTGATTTCTTTTTACAAAATTATCACATATAACTACTGTTAACAATAAAGTAGGCTTTTACAGCAAAGTACATCTGAAATTATTTATAAAGCTACTAAATAGTTAAAGTATGAAAACTCAAAAACACCATTCAATATGATACAAAGTATTATCACGCGCTAACTTTTCTTAAGACATTCAAAATGGCTGACATGACTGAGCTAGCAGGTCCAAAACCTAATCAGATCTAGAATGAAGTGAGCTGAACAAGATGTTAAAGTTTTAAAAGCAACTGTGAAGCAGTTTTTCTTAAAGTTTGCAGACAAGGATTTTAGCATTTGACTTCAAAATGGCCGACAGGAAGTAGGTATCGAGTTAATTTTTTTTCATCCACATCTGTATGCACTCATAAGTTATCCCTGAAAATTTGAAGGTGATATCTGTAGCGGTTTTGGAGAAAACTGCCGGACGTACGGACAGACGGACAGACAGACGGACAGACAGACGCGCCTAGGCCGACAATATGGCCCCACACTATGTGGTTCAAAAACACCATTCAATATGATACAAAGTATTATCACGCGCTAACTTTTCTTAAGACATTCAAAATGGCTGACATGACTGAGCTAGCAGGTCCAAAACCTAATCAGATCTAGAATGAAGTGAGCTGAACAAGATGTTAAAGTTTTAAAAGCAACTGTGAAGCAGTTTTTCTTAAAGTTTGCAGACAAGGATTTTAGCATTTGACTTCAAAATGGCCGACAGGAAGTAGGTATCGAGTTAATTTTTTTTCATCCACATCTGTATGCACTCATAAGTTATCCCTGAAAATTTGAAGGTGATATCTGTAGCGGTTTTGGAGAAAACTGCCGGACGTACGGACAGACGGACAGACAGACGGACAGACAGACGGACAGACAGACGGACAGACGGACGCGCCTAGGCCGACAATATGGCCCCACACTATGTGGTGGGGACATAACAAAACGCATCAAAACCGTGCTCTGGTCAATATTTTGAATGTGTCTTAATCACCTCCTCTCCCCCATGAACGAAACCAAACATTTAATGATTTAGTTCAAGTAATAAGACCCTGCTTTGCAAAAAACATGTACATTTGTCATTAATTAACATGGACTTAACATGCCCCTCCCCTAAATAGAATTATTAATGTGTTTCAATGCACATTGATATACTGATCTTCGTCACGTACTATTATGACTTCAGAATTCTCTTGTTTTAGCATATATAGTAGTGGAATTAATTTTTAACATTATGATTAGCCCAATAGCAGGTATTTGAGATTTAACAAGTACCATTGTAAACGGTAACCTACATTTGTATTATTTTATGTATTCATATGGGATTCATTTATCTATACATGCTATGAATATGCCTGAGAACTATGGACTAGATTATATAGACAATTTATTAAAGTACATCAGTTTATTTTACAGAAGTGAACTTACATCAGCAGGGAAAAGCTTATGGCTGTCTTTGTCATATATTTCAATGAGCACCTCATATTCTCTATCAGTCTCCAACACCCACTTCCTCCCTGGTAGAACAACAAAACCTGCAAGACAAATCAAAGCACTTAAGACAAGGCAATGCACTGAAGACAAGTCAATTTGGAAAGCAAGTCAATTTGGAAAGCAAGTCAAAGCACTGAAAGACAAGTCCATGTACTGAAGACAACTCAATTTGGAAAGCAAGTCAATGCACTATAGACAAGTACATGCACTGAAAGACAAGTCAATGCACTGAAAAGCAAGTCAATGCATTGAAAGACAAGTCAGTGCACTGAAAGACAAATGACAGAGAAGCCAGCCAGTCAATGTACTGGACAAGTCAAATCCCTGGAATTTCCAATTACCAATGATACAACAAACACAGTTTTGTAATGAAATGTTATGAAACCTGTTTTTTAAATTGACCCAATAAGAGATTTTATGATCAGGTAAGTAAATATTGGCCTACCTAAATAGCCAGGCTGCACCACATATATTCCTGCTGAGGGCTGCCTGAAAGACTCTTTCACAACAATATCTTACACCAGTTAAGGAATACAAAAATAAAACATACATAAACACTGTGATAAGTCTTTCAAGATCATTTAGTTACACTTAAAATCTTTTATATATCATATTTGAGGCAAAATACTAAAATAAAACCATTCCGAACTCGATTAAAAAATCTTAACTACTGTACTATATGTTAACACGATTTTTCATGGTCATTTAAGAGCTTTTAGCCAATATCACAGTTAAGAATTACATTTTTCAGTTTTATATACATGTATGTTTATAAATGTAACAATATCTCTCACAGTGGCACTTGACATTGATAATATTGTATACTTGATATTAGCAAGAAGAGGAGGGGGCACTTACAGGGGTTGGGTCTCTTTGTGTTAAACAAAGTTTGCATGAACTAATAAATACTGAAAATATATTGGGAAACACACTAGGGTAAAAGCTGCTAAAATTGAACTTTCTTATGTCAAGCAAGTTCGGTGATTAATTACACCCTGGTAGGCCAGTAGCATATGTTTACTAAGCTTGCTGCTGCGTAGCCCTGTCAACAATATTAATACTTTTGAATTTAAAAATAACAGTTTTGGTCAATTTTAGCAAGAATATGCAAAAATTTGTGACAGGACTGTAAACAAGAGATGATTGGGTTAATTAATGGGTTCATTCTTGATTTGTTTTTACATTTCCATTCTTAAATTATGCCAAATAAGAATGAAGTTAGGTTCTACTTTTTGCACGGGTGATTCTAGAGAAGTTTCCAAAATCTTCTCTTAGTGAAACACATGATTTACAATACTTTGCAACAATATTTTTTTTACAAAGTTGGATCCATATTATGAAGGACAGTTTATTGCACTTGAAAATCAAAATATAAAGCTATAGTAGCAAGTATAAAGACAAGAAAATAATAATTAAAAAAATAAAACACACATAAATCTGACAGATATGGATATTCAATACTTCATAAACAATACTTTGCCACTTTATATTTTTACAAAGTTGGATCCATGCTATTTAGGTAAGTCTATTGTACATAGAAATCAACACATAACCCTGTAGTAACACATATTAAGACTTAAAATATATACTTTATGCATACACTCTAAAATTCCCTGTGTTAATGGTAAAATACTATGGCAAAACAGAAAGTTCTACTAACACTGATCTTGTTAAGGTACAGTTTCCTAAATTCAAAATTGTTACTAAAAGAAAAGAATTATGGATTGTGGAAGATATTTGAATAGTCAAATTGCATGTAAAATTTTGTCAAAGTAAATAGTGGCAAAAGTGTTTAAATCCTTACATTTTATCAGTGGATAAGTGAAAATTCCAAGAAATTGTTTTGCTTTAAAAATTACAATGTTATATTGGAAAAAAGACACACACTTTTTAATGTGTAATATCTAGGAGTTTTAATGGACCAATTCTTTTAAGATTTTATCACTTGGTACTAATTGGACAAGAGAAACCAATAGTAAGGTTAATTATTTTCAGACACAAAGTTAAACTAGTTTTTAAATCACTTAAAACCCACATTCTTTATGCGGGTTAATCAAGCTAGCCTTCATAGCATTAGAGAAATCTATGCTATGCTTATCTCAGAATGCCTGATAAGGCTAGTAAACAAAGCAGTGGCTCTGGATCAAGGGGTAATTAATCTTCTGAGCATTTGACATTAACATATACATGGAGTCTCCTAGTGTGGAAAAAGGATACTTCTATCTCTTAAGACAACTTCTGTGTGTCCAAGCTGTAAAGCTGTAGCGATTGATGTTTTAGTATCTAGGCTGGCAATACTTGCTGTCTCAACTTCTAAATAATACTGGGCTGATGGCATAGGGATGGCTGCAAACAAAACAAGACATTAAAGGGAAATAAAGTGTAAAATGTAGGAATCATAAAAAAATCTTTCAAATCATCAAATATAGAAATAATTTAAAATTTAAGATGGTGAACTGCCCGAATTCATAAGAGTTTCAAAGGGGAAGTTTGCATAAAAGATTTTTAAAAAGTACAAGTCATATTGGATAATCTAATCTGTTAAAAATAAGTTTCTGGTCATGTGTGCAGATCACAATGCTTGTAAACAACAAGAAGTGTTTGTCAAGTACTTTATAGTAACTGACTGCAAAAAGATAATGTCTTAATCAGTTTGGCGAATCATTGGATAAATTCAAAATCAGACCATTTCTCATATTATTCTATGGTATGATATTACTCAAAATGATCTGAATATTCTATATAGAGAATATTGATATTCTGTCTATTGAAAATGTCACCTTGTGGCTTGCCCTGCCTCAGTAACTCTACTCTGTACTTCACCTGGGCAGACCTCATGAGGTAGACTACTGAGGGGTTCAGCGCTATATTAGCAATCACTATCAGTCTTACAACTGTAGCATGTACATTCTGAAATAAATAGAAGATTCAGAAGTTTTCTAAGAATTTCTAATGGGTGGTAAAATCAATGAAAACAACATGCAATATTCTTAAACGTGTTTTCCAGGTTGGTATTTTAATGCAAAAAACAAAGTTTACAAGTGAAACATGGATGAAGTTCCAAAATTCCTTATAAAAGGTAATTAAGAGTAGAATCAACTGAAAGAATGAAACACTTCTATATATCAATGATTGATTGATTTTCTATAAATTGAATTGTTAATTCCACGAAGATTCCCACTCTTCAAAAGACAAATGATGTAAAATCTCTTAGCATGCGTAGCGCTGACTAGGGTAAATTAGTTACCTTATACACAGGGTCATGTAGTCTGGTGCTTACTAAGGCAGATCCAGTTTTAATGCCTTCAACTAGCACATTGTCTCCTTGAAGACCTCGTGCCTCTAGCTTAGCTATATGAGGTAAAACATCGTAATTAGACTCTGTATAACTGAGAATCCTGCAAAGATAAGTAAAGACTTGTGCATCATCTGGTTGTAATATACACATATTTGTAAAATACTGGTCTATTTAATGTAATGATGTTTTTTCATACAGAAGACTAGCATTTCTTATGTCTTACATGTATTTACAATATATTATATCTTATTGGCATGTTACTGGACGTATGGATTGTATATAAATCACTTGAAATCAGTGCTCGGATATTTTTGTGTGGAGGATTTCTTTTTTTATTCTTTATGCAATATTTTAGGTTTTCGGAATTAATAGTGCAGTATTTTATGATTCTGAAATTTTTCATGCAACATCTTAAGGATATTTATGGTTTTTCAAGGAAAATTTAACAGAGCACATAGAAATATTGGAGAAGCATTTTCGTGTTATCCTGCTGCATCTCAGAGATTACAATGTGGGGGAGCCATGTAAATAAAACGAATTCATGTGGAACAATCAATTTTGTTATCATTATAGAATATATATATTTCTTAATGAGTGTTAGCCCAAAAAAGGAATAATCTTCTTCCCAACAATTTATTGTTAAAAGTCCCCGTCTAAAGTTTGAAAATAATTTTTTATCATTCATTTACTATTTGTCAGGACTTAAAAAGTGATTTTAGAGATTTTTGAACAAAAAAAAAATTTTGAAAAAAAAGTTGTGAGCATTTCATTTCTCAAATATTCATATTTCCTGCCATTTTTCAAAAAAAAGTTGAAATTTCTTAATCATCAAATATTTCTTAATGCATTTCAAAAAAGATTGTCTTTTTAACACCAATGCAAAGGTTGAACAAAGGACACACTATTTCAATAATAAAATGTCATATTTAATGGGCCACTTCAATGTTTTAACATATCAAAAATATTTTGAAACATTAGTGGTGTCACTAAGGTACCAAAAACTTTTTGAAAAAATTGAAATTTTTTTTCGATGTCAATCTTTTCTAAATATGTTAGACTTTCATAAAAAAACAATGTTGATTGTCTAACCAGGTTAAAAGGAAGAATAAATTATGTTTTAGATATCATTGTACCATTGGTTTCTATGAGAACTAAAATTTTGAAATGCATTTTTCTCAGAACCATTTTCATGCACTGATAAGTTCATTTCTCGCTTATTTATGAACCGATTTTCTTAATTTTTTCGGCAAAAAACATGGGAGGATGAATGCTATGCATTGGTATGAATTCTGGCTAATTAGAAGATATGAGTGACCTCTAAAAGTTGGTTTTAAATATATTCACAAATTTTGGAACAAAAAGTCTATCAAAAACCACTTTTTGAAATTAAAAAAAAAAGTTTCACATGACACACTTTGAGAACATTGGGTAAGACTACAAAATAAGCCAAAGTGGTTTAAACTTTATATGGGGCGTTAAGTAAATAAGGAAACTCTATGCTTTTAAGGTAAAGATACACTCCTTTCTGACAGCCTTTGATACTCTTAAGATTTGCTGAACCTTTGGCACACAACCTACCTCAGTACATTGTGAGCATCAACTATGTTCTGATCTGTCTCTGTATTGGAGATAAGACTCCACTCAAAGGGAACCCCATCTAGTGTACTAAATGTATTACCTGAAATGAGGACAGTTAGTAAGTTATCTGTAACTCATTTACATACCCCACCTGGCATATTTTTGTGTGTGTTGTTTATACAGCTGAATAATGGGTCATGCAATATTATACACAGCATCAACGTAACATGCAAAATGTAACCACCTGCCATTTCTTACAGACAAACACCAAATGCTGGTGGTGACATAAAAATACACAGTTTATAAAAGTATTAAGCTAATAGAACTACTTTTATGAGTAACTATATGAGCAGAAACTAAGCTAAATGAAATAGATAAGTTGACCTTAAAAGCATACATGTACATAGATTATTTGAGCTGGAAATGGCTCACTTTTGGAATAGCCTCATATATTATACATATAATGGCAAAGGTTATATTTTAACAAATTTTATTTTTTCTTTAAATTCCTTGCCTTGATCACAGAGGGCTCTGATCTGGAATTCTTCAGGCGGGTCCTCAAGGTGAAGCTCACGTGTGGTTGTTACCATGTCAATGGCATAGATCACATCAACAATTACATCAGCTCGTAGCTGTTGCCCTGTCACTGGAAAATACAAGATAAACTGGCATATACAGGTTGTATACATTGTTTACAGAATTCTAAATGTTTGGTGAGTTCTTGGTTTAAACAGAAATAGTTCAAAATTTCTGAAAACCCATGATCTCATTGTTCAAAGCTACTGAAGCAATGGTTGAATTCAAGTCTATGTTAGGTTCTGTTTGAGAGGTCCACAGAAATAAAGAAACCCAGAATTACTGTAGTTAAACAAAATTTTGTAAAAGTGAGTCATAGTTAGCTATTCTTATGAAGGTTGTCTTGCTTCATACATTACCTTTGGAAATACTGTAGGTATAGGGGGGGGGGGGCACTGGAGACTTGATGCAAAACTATTTTGAAAATGGTACTTGGCACTACAAACTATCTACTCACACTCATTCTCAGCAATTGCTACAGATGTCATACGAGAAGGTGTCTTAGATATTGCTGTAACCTGCGCAAATCTGGAACATGTTGGGTCCTCTTTGTTAAATATAGGTGTCACTGTGACAATCTCTGGACGGGTTGATCTCCTACAAATAATAATAAGAGAATATAATGTCAACTATCCAATCAAATACTTGAAAGTCCTTCTAGGTTCCAAAGGCTGTCACCTCACAAGCCAAATTGATCATATAGATATTGAGTTTTCAATTGACCAATCATCATTGGAAATTTTGAAGCTGTTTGTTAAATCATTTAAACATCAGTATGCATATGTGTCACCCAGCATCACCTCAGTCACATATTTGTTATCTCAGTATCCATAGCCATCATCTCAGTTTTATTAAAGTGCTTTTAGCTCAAATACTAAAGATGTTATCGCGTATAAAAAATAATTCAAGGTGAATGATAGTCTAAGTCAGACATTAAAAAGTTTGAAAAATAATGTCCCTGACATCTTATTCTCTGGTACCAGCTATCTCAGTTTGAGAATTACATGTATATTTATCTTGAGATGTTATCCCCAGAGGAGCAGTGCTACATGTTAGGTCATTCATTTTTTGCATTGGCCAATCATGATCGTTTGTCATTTTTAGAAATTTTGAGTTGACAGCCCTGGATCAGAAGTGATTCCTATTTGAAAAATAACATATTGACTCAATATGAGGAATGCAGCAAAATTCCGAACATGCAGACTTACCTTGATCCCACAATGCATCAGCTAGTCATTTCACTACTGAGTGAATTTTTCAGGTAGCTATTTGAGACAAGCAGGTAGTGATGATTTTGATCTTTATTTTTATAACTTACCAGCGCAATAATAAGATATATATAGATATGTATTCTTACCCAGATATTACTACAAGTTACTGTGATTTGCATACACATTTCATTGATAGTAAGACTGAAGTCAATTATGATTGGTTCAGGCCTCGAAATTAGCATTGCTAAGGTAGTGATTTGCTACCTGTTTTTCCAAAAACACTACTTGTCAATTCCTCCAACTAGCTAACTTCACTAGTACCTCAACTAACAACTCTCCATGTAAAAATATACAGATTTTCGATTGATTTGCCGATCAGCTGAATCACAACTTTTACAATTGCGCAAAAGTAGACCAATCATAGTCAACTTCATTCTTTCACGGTCAGTGAAATGTGTATGCAAATTGCCTTAAAACATAGTAATATCTGGGTAAGTATACATTTATTTACAATGTAATATGTTATTATTACGCTGCTAAGTCATAAGAATAAAGAGAACTCTCATCAAAATTATCACTACCTTTTTCTCTGAAATAGCTACCTGGAAAATTCACTAAGTAGTGAAACAACTACCTGATAAAAAAAGTTAAGCGCGAGGCCTGTGGTCTGCTCTCTCGCAACTGTAAATGTTGTGATCAGGTTCAAACAAGAAACAACAAAGATCTGCTGATCGACAAATTGATCAAAAATCCATATATTTTTGACACGGAGAGTTCTTACAGTGGGGAAAATAAAGAATTACTATAGCTATGAAAAATACATGCTGTCGCACATGTAATAAATTCTTACCTCAGTGTATTCAGTGCTCTATTTTCTACGTTCTAGTAAGTCCAAATATTTTGGAATTTGTGTCCATAATGACAAATAGGAACTTAAAGATTTGAAGTGGATATTCACATGTTAATGCCGACTCTTCAAATGTTGAAGTGATTTAGGAGCCTGATTACGGCGCAAGGAGGATTGGCTCCCAGAATGCAACATGGCACGTGCCAGCTTTCAAAATGCCATTCCGCCATTTTGAAACCTGTCACAAGTAAATAAGGTTTACGGATGTTGCACTCTGGGAGTTAATCCTCCTTGGATCACAAACATGGGGATTCATGAAAACAATCTTTCGATTTGGTATAGTCATATAAATCTGACCCTCGTATGATGTTATTTGTTGTTATTTTTTCTGATTTGGATATTTATTTTTTCTTATTTTCTTGCATACGAGGGTCATCCTGGCCTGTCTACCTAACCAAATTCACACAAATGATAAATAAATTTCTTTGCTTCTACTATAAAGTATTTAATCTTACCTTAGGCACGTAAAACGCTTGGTATTTGAAGAAATATAAGCATGCCGCTTGAATTTAAAAATTTTTCATTTTGCCATAACAAGGTCACTTCCGGGTTAATCTGAGTCTAGATGTAAAACTATATCAAACGAAATCATAAGTATTTGTTACACGAAGATTCAGTTGAAAGGGAAGCAGTGTCGTTAAGAAGGGACGTTATTTGGAAAAGTTATTGTTTCAAAATGAGAAAAGTAATAAGTAGCAGAGAACGGCTTTGGAATCGATCTCTGTGTAATAAATAATTATGATTCCCTTTCGATACATGTTTTACATTTAGACTACCGGAAACAACATTCAGCAACATGGCGGGCGATAATGAAAATATAATTAGATTGATTATATTTTGTCAATTATCAAGCGTTTTACTATTTTTTTCATGGCCTGAGTTCGTCACTAACATGCTAAATATAAGAGTTAGCTGACGTTTGGGAGTCTGACTTACCTTCTAAAGGTTAGAACCCGAATCTTAATGAAACCATATAACCTTTGTTGTGTCGATGATGATGCATAAACACAGCATTTGATAGAAATTAGTGTAAATGCTTTTCCGACTTTTTCATTTTTCATCAATGTTGACTTCCGGGAAGGCGTTGTAGTTATCACGAAATAACGCATTGACCCTTGAACTTTACTTTGTTGATGTGTCAACCAAGCATGTCTGGTGTGAAAATTAAAATAATATTAAGCAATGTTCTACATCCGCCAAGCTAAGTGAAGTAGCCAATATTTAAAATTACCAATTTCAAGTGAAGTACGCAACGAACGAAACTGCGTGATCTGCACTCCCACTGTTGGTCTGAACGAAATGCTACGTACAAATATGAGCCGTCTGCTGTATTAGTCGATTAATAGAGTAAGACCCGTTGGTGATGCTTTATAATTTAGACCAAAACATTGGAGAACAAACGAACCTGTAAATCGTGAAAACAACGAACAAATATTCGGTTTTCACATATGTTCAGTAATTTTTCGTATTGAAACTTCCGGAACTTACAAGGAAATCATTCATTTTCACGGTCAATGATTAACCTCTTGAATGTTGTGGCAAATGCTCCATGGTTGACGGAACAAAGGTGATATGGTTTCATTAAGATTCGGGTTCTAACCTTTAGAAGGTAAGTCAGACTCCCAAACGTCAGCTAACTCTTATATTTAGCATGTTAGCGACAAACTCAGGCCATGAAAAAAATAGTACATGTCTAAGGTAAGATTTAACACTTTGATGTTGGAGCTAAATAATTACGTGATAATTTGTGTGACTTTGGTTAGTTTGGTAACTATGGTTACCAAGACAGGCCAGAAAAGCGTTTACCGCAATTTGTTCCATATTATATCTACGACAGAGTATGCAAAGAAAATGATAAAAAATAAATATCCAAATAAGAACAAGGAATATCGAAGAACAGCATACAACGGTCGGATTTATATGACTAATTTGGTAGGAATTTATCCATCATTTTCAGGTATGAAGCTTTGGATTCATTTATTGTGCTACTTAAAGTAAACAGGAATTATTTTTCTACCGCTTGGGAGAGTTTGAGACACGAGACTTAGAATTTAGCTCATTGTGACAACTTTTGATGGTTGAGGTTTATTAATGTCTCCGACTTTATGTGAGGTACTAGTGAAGTTAGCTAGTTGGAGGAAATGACAAGTAGTGTTTTGGGGAAAATAGGAGGTCCGTGGCCTGTGATATCACTCAATACAAAATATATTGACAATAAATTGGGCGATAATAGAATTTCACGTGAGAGCCGGTATGTCTGAGAGCATATTACTCACCAAGTGTAACAGCCATCGCTCGCTTCTAAAGTGTAATTCACAGGCACTGCACTAAAGTATGGAAGCAGTACCTTTGGCACATTCAATGTTGCGGAATTAGTACCAGAAATAAACAAAGATAAAGAAATTGCTGTAAAAACTTTGTAAATTGCCGCCATACTTTTTTGATTGATGCATAGTCTCAAAACATTTTCATATTATTTTAGTTTTGAACATAATTTACTCAATACTGATATTCTAATGAACGCGATTGTCAGGATCTTATACTTTCTTCTTTACTGTTTGAAATTCAAATATAAATTATATCATTACAAGTGTCAGTAGGATAAAACTCAAAGATATATGTTTCCGTCATCTAGAATATGTAAGCCCCGGATATGGACTCCATTTTTGGAATTTCTGCACTTCCTGGATTTCGAATTTGTCACTATTTTGTCGTTTTTATCGACTTGAAAACAATGTTGATGTAATAGAGTATTTCAAGAGTGACTTGACTATCGGATATAAGCATTGCGTTCACGATACCAAGGATTGCAAACAAAATGAACTAGAAATGTAACTTTGAAATAGAAACCGAAATTGACCCATTTGATTTTGAAGTGTAGACAGAGTCCAACCCAAAAACCTTACAAATCATGGCTAATTACGGACCGGGAGACTTCGATGCAGATGATAAGAACAGGTAATAGAGCTTTATCAATTTAGTTAATCGTGATTCTGACATTTTGTCACATTTTACTAATTAGCATTCCAATTAGATTTATCACTGACTTACTTTCTCGAAAATAGTCTACACTTGTGAACATAGGCTAAGGGTTAAGTAATAGTAAGCTGTATACAGAAGAGACAGGTAAACAATTAGGATTGAAAAAATTTTCAAAAACTTGCCGTCTTGGTACGAGTTCTCCTTACTGGTATCGAGTCGTACCACCAAATCTCCCAAGAATCTTCTCCAAAGTGTTTTCGAAACGTAGATTGTTGAATATTTCAAATCTATATCCTAACTCTTCGATAAGACAGCATAAAAAAACACCAACTGTACGAACCTGCAATTGCCCGGCAAGTTGAAACTTCCGGACACATGGAAAGATTGAAATTTCACCATTTAAATTGGGTTTAAAAAGATATAATATGAATCAGATGTTTTGATAAATAATTATTAAGTAAACCTTTTATAGTTTTGTACACTTTAATTGATTGTTATTTCTAGAAAATGAATTACATTTTAGAGAACCAGATAGGTGTCACTGGCGGCGGTTAGCAGGAACCAATCAAATTCCTTGTTTCAAACTTCCATTCATGATTCAACACGGAAATCCGGGTAACTTGCCAGGCAATTGTAGGTTTTCAGAATATCTCACCTCAAGACGGCTTTATTCACTCTATATCACTTGAATGTGGTTGATTCATAGGTAAGAATTGAGAACTATCAATTTTGGATCAACTCTGCATTGTTTTTTGCAAATTATACACAAATAATGTTAAAATCACCATGTTAACAAGTGGCCTAAATCCTAGTTGTTCACCTGTCTCTTCTGTATACAGCTTACTATTACTTAACCCTTAGCCTATGCTTGTGAAGTTATCCTGTGCCAGGACTTAAATCCTTAGTACGTCTAAATTGGTTGCCTGTATTTATCCCGTACCAGGACTATGGTCCTGCATCAAGGGCAATGATTTGCCTGTACGATTACAACTTGGGAGAATTATCTACGGCCCTTACACGTTAGATACCTACTTCAATAGATTCTTTGGTATTTTAGCATTCTTTTCATGTAGTTGAATCCACAATTGTCTGAGCTTATCGGCAGAACGAAGAAATTTTCGTTTTTGATCGCAATATTTGCGTGTAATATTTAACTTATTTCAACCATCAAATTCCTCCATTCTTGGTACTTCCGGGCCAGTCAAACGGGGAATCCCCTTTTAAATCCAACCGCCATCTTGAAAAGTGATGGAATCTCTCTCGATGAAAAAGAAAAATGTTCCCGTTCTGCCGAAATACCCAGACAATTGTGGATTCAACTACACAAAAAGAATGCTAAAATACCAAGGAATCTATTGAATTAGGTATCTTAAGTGTAAGGGGCGTAGATAATTCTCCCAAGTTGTAATCGTACAGGCAAAAGATTGCACTGAATGCAGGACTATAGTCCTGGCACGGGATAAGCCTGTATGACTACAACATAGGATGGAATTCTACGCCTCTCACAACTTAACTACCTACCTTATCAGGCCCGTAGCCAGGATTTGCCAAGGGGGGTTCAGTTTTCAAAAATTTCCAGGGGGCTCCAGGGGGGGTTCACATTTGACAATTTTGGCGGCTAAAATCACTTGAAAAGTGCTCAAAATGGTGAAATACTGCATGATTTTGAAATAATTTTTGGCCACGGGCCTGAAAACACTGTATAAGCATACAGTGTTTTCAGTAGGTTTGTCCAAGATCCATATCTAAAGAAAGATATTGAATTCAGGTTAAGGTAACTTATAACTTACAATCAAAAAATCCAATATGGCCGAAACCAGGAAGCACATGGCATTTGAGTATAATCTGACCATCAAAATTAACTGTCTTTTGGTTGGATTTTCTCTCAATTTTTTAGTTCCACTTATCATTTATATAACCAGGCTCACTGTGGTAATGCAAATAGAAACAGTAAACATTTTGAAATGGGAATTTGAGTCCTCTGAAAATGTGACAGAAAAATTGACAAAAAGAGTAGCACGGCAAAGGTCCCTGAACATTTTTTTTTTTTTCTAATTTCTCTGAAACATCCCTCTAATATAGCCCAAAATGGAAGGAGCTTTAGAATTTTGAAATCTCTCATACAAATTAAAAAAAATAGAAAAAACAATTTGAGAAGTGTACTTTTTTCCTTATTTTGATCCCAATTTTTTTATCGGGTAATTTTTCAAATTTCCGTTGCTCCTTCGTTTTTCAAATTCTTTAAACGGCACTTTTTTTCTCAAACTAAAGTTTTTTGTTGTTCTTTGATGTCTTTGTAATGATTACAGTGCACAAGCATATGTGAAATAATAAAAACAACTTCTCAGGATTTCAAGATTGTGAAATTTTCAATTTTTTCTGAAAATCGATTAAGTTAACAGTCACCTTAATTGAAAACGTCCAAAGAAGGGCAACGAGAATACTCCCATCCCTCAAGAACTCTCTTACTCTGACCGTCTCAAAGTCCTAGACATGACAAAACACTGGCCTTCAGAAGACTCAGAGGTGACATGATAGAGACTTACAAATACATAAACAACCTTTATGATGTCGACTCCAACTCTTCCCTGGTTTACAACCACAGGACATACACGGTACAAGAAGGTGCAATGCACAATATCTCCGAAAGTCACATTGCAGCACAACCTGACAGCAAACGTTTAGTCAGAGAGTTATAAAACAGTGGAACTGTCTACCAGAATTGGTAGTAAATGCACCAAGTGTGAATCAGTTCAAAAACAGATTAAACTCTCACTGGTACAATCACCCAATGAAATATGACCATACAGTGGACTACCACTTTATACACCGTTACTAACTAAATATGAACAAATTCAAAAGTATTGATCAGTTAAACAGGCAACTTATGCCTACTTACCGTACTACCTTATAAACTTATAAAGATTGCGTCTCTGGGACATACTGATTTTCAAAAAATGTGTCCCTCCTCAAAAAACTGTGTCTCTTAACAAAGGATCCGTCATTATAAGTACCGTTATATAAAAAGTGCCCCCAGAGCATGAGCCGAGTGTTTACTCTTAAGGCTCAGCTGGAAAGTAACATTTTGGTAAAAATTGCTATACCTGCACAGTGCACATGTTATTTTCTGGTACAAAATTAAGTATGAAGGCATGTGTGCATTTCCTTGCACTAGTTATTACATTAGTAGTTCAGAGTATACAAAATGTAAAATATACAAAACTAAAGGGATGTGTATCTACTTTTTTGGAAAGTATGAGTCTCAAATCACCATGGTCTGGGAATGGTGATAAAAAATCAAGATGCCATTTATTTATGGTGAGCACTAGATACGGCATCGACAGGACTTCACAAGGCTGCATGCCCGGCTGCATGTCATCAACAATTGAAATCTCTATGAGAAAACATGCTCCCCTGTTCATCTTATAAAAATTCCCTTGTTTATTTTCCCGATTGGAGGTTTTCTGAAGATCGTTCAACTGAACAGTGTTGCATTGAATAAATTCAATTATTTGTTTTTCCAGCTGGTACTTTGGCCAGTTAACACGTACAGAAACCAACAGTATTCTACTGAAGGAGAGAGATAGTGGAGTCTTCTTGGTCAGAGATAGCAGTTCCATCAAAGGAGACTTTGTTCTTTGTGTCAGGTATGTCAGGCAGCGGCTTTTTTGTTTTGTTTTTTTTTCTTTGTAAGAGTTGGGGAAGATTCTGACTTCCTATTACTTTTTGTATCCAGTTTTATGTATTTTCTCAAGAGTTTCACCACAAATAATGTGACGAAAGTGTAAAATTAAGACTATGGAAAAAACACTTTAGACTACGGAAAAGCTATTAGTCTCTGGAGCAAGAGGGTCTAGAAAAATTAGACTCCGTTGCAACTTGCATCTCCGGAGTTTAAAAGCTTATTGAGAACCCTGTGTATATTAAAAGGCCATGAGAGTAAGAATCTTAGAATGTTACGCCATTATAGTAAAACGATCATTTACTAAATTGATTCATGTGCCTTCATGCAGCAAATTGTTGGTAACTTATGAATGAAGAAATAAGCTTGATTTAACTTACACCATATGAGCCCATTGAATGGTATACTTTTAATTATTTTCTGGCATATCACCAGTTGCTGTAGCATAGTCAAGGAAATTCTCAAGTTGGTTAGATATAAATCATGTACATGTAATTACTATTTGTTGTTCTTGGACCAATGTCAAATGCAATCCCATATACATAATAGTATAGAATCAGTGGTCTTCCCTGCATAAGAGCAACCTGCTGGTACTGCATCCTGTTGGAAATCTGAAAACTACATGTCCTCTTAAAACTGTTTTCATTCTGCCAAAAGAGGGAAATGTTAAGATATTTTGATGAGTAAAGATAAACTAAGATATAGCATCATGTTGAGATCACTGAGTGCATATATGCATCGACGAAGGTTACTAAATTATCCTTCAAGCTTGCTTTCTGTATACAGTTTCAGTATCAAATCGTGAATTTATCAATATTTGTTTTATCACTAACAAATATCATGCAATAAATTTAGTGGATCATGTAACTGTGCTTTCTATTTATTTGCGTTTATTTTGAAAATATATGATTTACCTACAAAGCTAATAGGAATAGACTCAAAACGATGCTAAGTGTCAACATCGCCGGATCGTTTGGAAAATTCGAATTAAATGACTTAATTTCCGACGATTCTGATGATGACTTTAACTATGGAATAAAAAGAACATCCTATGATTTACTCGTGATATGATTTTAATCCACTCATGGTTATTGATATCTGCACTCTCTCGCTACGCTCGCTCGTGCAGATATCATATCCATTCGTGGATAAAAATCATATCACTCATAAATCATATGATATCCTCTATTTATTCCATAGTTAGCATGATATTCATAGGATAACATGTGAAAATAAAAACGGTATTTTTGTAATCAGCGGTAAAATATGATATTTTTGACAAATTTTCACTTAACCATAGCATACGGTTTTTTAGCCATGACATACGGCGCCGTATGCGATGGTTTATGGATTTTTGCTACTTCAGACTCAAAACGAGGCTAAGTGTCAACATCACGGGATCGTTTGGAAAATTCGAATAAAATCACTTAATTTTCGACGATTCTGATGATGACTTTAACTATGGAATAAAAAGAACATCCCATGATTTACTCGTGATATGATCTTAATCCACTCATGGATATTAATATCTGCACGACGTAGCTCGCTCGTGCAGATATCATATCCATTCGTGGATAAAAATCATATCACTCATAAATCATAGGATATCCTCTATACGCAATAGACAAAAAATTGGTCATTAACATAAATATCTTCCGCAGTGCATCACTTCAAGTGGGACAAATTTTCATTGGTCCGTTGATTAAACCAAATTCTATCAACCTTAAAACCATGTTTTTGCGTATTGTTGGGACGATAAAGGTCATACTAATATCAAGTTACAACCCTCACAATTGATATAAGTCAAACGTACATGTATATAAACATGAAATCAAGCCTGCATTATATACACAAGAATTTGCTTCTTGTTTCATATCAAGTCATCGAGTCTCAGCTTCCGGGAACCAAGAAGGTGACGTCACGGTACAACATTTCATGATTATCGTCAGTTTCGAAAAATATTCGTGAAAACACTTTGCAGATTGCCATAAGGACCTATATTTTTATTGATTGTGCAAATATACGTGAAGAGGAATGTCAAATAAAGCTGAAATGATGTGTTCAAACTCGGACCCTGTATATTTCAATGGGGAAAAAACCAAGATGTAAAAAATCTGTTCTCAGAATTTCAGCTCTTCAACACGGGAGGTGAAAATAATGTTGTCATTCTGAACTATCTCGTATAAGTCTATTTAACACATAGATTCACCTTCCATTGTCCACTTTAGACATTCATAGTGCATCATTGGCCACTTGATTTACATCATTTATGAGGCTTTAAATTTGTATTGGAACTTCATTGGTACTCCACTCGATTACTCTGTTACTGAAACAGAACTTCAAAAATAGTTAAGATCTGCAATTCCAACCACTTTCATTTACGTAACAATAGTGAGGTGTTAAATCAACGGATTTGTTGTCTTCTGAACTATTTGTTCGCAAACATGTATATTTTCTTGAACATATGATACTGATACACGTTTGTGATAAAAATGTCATGGGAACTCTGCCTACAGAGTGTGAAATAAGGAAAAAAGAAAAATCGTACCTCCAAGCATCCGACATTTTGTCACTGAAACGATATGTTTTGGTAACCAGCGCAATCGAGTGGATGTAATATATAAGGAACTGATAGAAGACTGTGATATCTCACAATGTTCATTTCTATACTTTCAGAGAGGACAACAAAGTCAGTCATTACATAATCAATAAAATCACCGTGGGAGGTCAACTTAAGTTCCGGATAGGAGATCAGCAATTTACAGATTTACCAAGTTTGCTAACTTTCTACAAATCACATTATTTGGACACAACCTCTTTAGTAAAACCGGTAAGTAGAGAATAACATTTAAGTGCATTCTTTAAACATAACTGAGAGAATTGTAGAGAACCCATCCACAAAGCAAATTGGTGCTCTTACTTGTGATTTTGAAAATAAAGTTGCACCCACTTGAAGATAAGAAAAGCTATGAAACATTTGCATGTTTTTCATTTACTTTTCATGGATGTAACAATTTGACAAGATCATGTAAAAATTTTCAATGCTACTTTTGTTATGACACTGCCAGAAGTGGTAACATATCCAACTTTTGACACATCTCTCTTTACTTTTGTAGAGACGGCAGTTGATATTTGGTGGTTGGCATTTAACATTTGTAACAAATATAACAAATGGCAGGTGGTGACATTTTGCATGTTAATGTTTTGTTGTTGTTGTTTTTTGATTAGACAGCATTCATTGTTTTTTTTATCATTGCAGGCACCACGGGAAAAAGTGAAAGCAAAGTTTGACTTCGCAGGACGGGTAAGAATAAATAATTTTGTAATTTTGGAATGCATCTGAAATGTAAAAATAGTATGACATGATTATTGCCCTATGGGTTATTGTTTACTGTTCATGTGACATGTATATCAAATTGAATTCTTGAAAAAGGTAGGTCTGTTTGTTGCATCCTCCGATCACAGGGCTTCAAAATCCAGAATATCTTCTTTCTTTTTACACCCTGCTTAGGAGGTCCCCCATCTCCTTGAGATTGCTTGCAATCTTAAGTCTAGTTACAGTTAAATTTAATATATATATATGTGTAGTACCTTCATCTTAAAATGGGTTAGTGAAATAAGAAATCAATTCATTTTACTATGTTGTAGGACCCAGAGGACCTTCCATTTAAAAAGGGTGACATCCTAACGATATTAATCAAAGATGAAGACCAGTGGTGGACAGCTAAAAATAGCAGTGGCGACTCAGGCCAGATCCCAGTTCCTTATGTAGTACCTTTTGTAGAAAATGTAAGTTGAATTTAATTGATTTGTCGTAAATTGTTTTCTTTATTTCCTATTTCACTCATTTCCACCAAATGGATTTTGTAGCAGAAACTGGTAATCTTATATGGCTGTGTCTTATTCATAATGATCAGACAGCTACATTAATAGAATTGGAATGCCAAAGGGACGATCCAAAAGTGTTTGGATTTGCATGTGTTCAAAGTTTCTTTAACATGGGAGACAATGGGACTTACCAAAATGCTTTGAATAGCAGATGTTCACATTTTAAGGTTTCTTTAATATGGGAGACAATGGGACCGACCAAAATGTCTTGAATAGCAGGTGTTCACATTTTAAGGTTTCTTTAACATGGAAGACAATGGGACCGACCAAAATGTCTTGAATAGCAGGTGTTCACATTTTAAGGTTTCTTTAACATGGGAGACAGTGGGAGATTCTGACCAAATAGGTGTTAATGAAATACTTTCTTACTATTTTTCAGGGAGAAGATGATGCCATGGGTGATGGACCAGACTACCAGAACCCTGGAAATAACAAATCTGAACCAAAGTCTCAGAATCCTGTATGTACTATATCATTTCACCATTTTGAGAGGATCTTGTGGAAGTTTGACCACAAAGGAGCATCATACTTTTTTAAAACTTATACGTGTAATTCTATGAGCTCATTATTATTTTCCCAAAATTTACCACAAAATTAAAAATAACAGATATAACATATACAGTATTTACATGCAGTTGGAAAAAATATTGAAAAATACCTGTAATATTTCAGGCAATCCCACCCTGTCCCTTCCAAGCTAGAGTAACCCAAGACCGAGTCCCCAGTGCATATGATACCACAGCTCTAAAGTTAAAAGTGAGTATTCTCAACTCTGATTGGTCTTGTAGAGGTATATTTAGTGTTAATGCATCCAGTTATATGAGCAACTGTTTTCTTTGGACCAAGGGACAATATTGTATATATTTCCCACTATATTCGATACTAGATTCTACATAGAATTATCCACCGATGTAATTAAATATGTTTGGGGCTTGTGCATTTAAAATGACTGAAATATTACCCTGGCGGTCATTAACCGCAACATCGTAAAGTTATGAATTCTTAAATCAACTGTTGTAACCATGGATATAATGATGTCACAGATATAATGATGTCACAGTTACAGAACAATGGACTACGAATTCTTAACTTTATGAAGTTTCTGTTAATGGCCCATTGGTTCCTACATAGAAAAGAATATCTTGAAACTGAGTAAATTGTGTATTTCTGCTGTTTACCTGGAGTGTACTGTTTGAAGCATCATGCATATTTAATGAATGAATTGATGCTGAGAAAGGTTTGGATGATCTCAAATTTTTCATGTGTTTCCAGGTTGGAGATATAATAAAAGTAACAAAAACCAAACTAGATGGTCAATGGGAAGGAGAACTGAATGGAAAACAAGGACATTTCCCATTTACTTATGTAGAAATAATATATGAAAATGATAAACTGCAAGATGGGGATACGTGACAATAGATACAAAAGATTTTATATTAATTAGAATGAGCAAGTTAGTTGTTTCCATTATCTTGAGATTTCAAGGTTGTGAAATAACACTTAATCTCAGATATTCTTAGTATTATGATTTGATGTGTTAACCCACTGCTGCCCTATGATGTCCCGAGTCCTTGGTTATTGAGGGAAAACTTGTGCTAGATTGACTGAAATGGAAATTTAGAAACCTTGGAATCTAACACTGTGATCGCTAAGTTTAGATGGAAATAATTAAAGATTTGCACTGAACTGGACAAAAGAGTATGCCTGTTCTGTATTTTGTTGTATGATTGGTGCTTTTATACAATCAAAGATCTAGAAATTGACTTACTTGATGTATCAAGATGGGCTTAATCAACTGTGTTCTTCTGGCTGTTATGTTCTGGAGTAATTGAAGGATATTTTCAAATTGGTCCAAATATCAAAGCCATTAACAATTCCTTTCCTACTTAAAGTGTAATTCTATACATTATAAGACCCACCAGATACGAGACATCCCACCTTCTGAGAGTTTCAACACACAAGCCATGGTGTTATAGGTTTAGGGTGCATCATAAGGGTTTAGGAGCTTAAAATTGAATTACAAATCAACCAGCATGCCATTTTACTGCTGCTGAAACCAACTTACTAATTCTGGGCAGCACTTATGTTGTACCTGACATAGGTAGAAGATATAAGACTTCCAACTTTGTAAAGTCTACTTTTACACACCTATAAGACCATGGTAGTATGTGAGACTCTTCGATTTTTTAAGCCCATCTGGTCTTACTGATCCTATTGGTGAAAAACTGCAGTGACTTTTTACTTGGATATTGGAAACAATATGATTGTTCATGTTTTAGTGTCAATATGAAACAACTCAATGTTTTATATATCTTCACTGTTGGATAACAATCTAATGTATGGTTTCAGTTTTGATTTCTTCTTGAGATCTACATTTTAATGTATTTATTGCATCACTCTATATGCTATATTCAGCTAATAACATTTAGTGTATTTGATGAGGAATGCCTCATATGCATTCATCTTTCATTTTTTGTTCAGCCATCTCAGAAAATAGTAGGTTTTCAAGAGCATTTTATTTCTTGAGAGTGATTGAAGCAGAAATTCAACTTGCATTATCTGTCACCCTGTGTTCGAATATCATGCCAGCAAATGGTATAGTATAAATATAACAGTGTCAATTTAGAAATGAATTAAAGTGAATGATCTGAAAAATTGTCATACAGTCAACAATATTGATTCAATCTCGAGATACTTTGAAACAGTGTTAATACTAAATTAAAGTGTATTTTGCAACTTACTCCAGTGGTGGTATCCAAAAGTTTAAGTGTTACAGCATTGGGCTCACCACTACTTAATTTATATTGTGAAATATATTTGTAATATTGGAATCAGCACATATGGCTAGCGAGAGCTGAATCTTGCATGCTATTCTCCCCCTGGTGCTGTTTTTTCATTTATAAATATTTTCATCCCAACGTGTGTAAGACTTTAAAATATATAATGAATTCCAATTTTTTAAATGAGCAATTTCTTTTATACATGTACAATAAAATAAAATAGCATTAAATGGATTTATTATTATTATTTAAATCAAGTATTAATGATAATCAGTATGAAGGCATGTATTAAATTATATTTTTGTGTCCAATCTCTGTAGTACTATGCAGCATTGTTGTAAAAATTTGGCCAAAAAATGAAATGCTCATACGCTAAATTACAAGCAATAATGACTATTTGAGAATATGTAAACTGTAACTTTCATAAAATGAGTATTGAACAAATACTTGTATATGCTCTTCTTTAACAGCTCATTTCTTCCCATTCTCACATATATAAACGTATATAACAATGAATATTGTCTATGTTTTTTACATACTGGTGTAACAAATCCTTGATTGGTTCTTGGATCCAAATTTTAACAATTGTGGAATAACACGGTTATTTTATTTTGGCTTATGACAATTCTTTAATTAGGGAAGGTGGATAATGACAATTTCACTAGTGGCGAGTTTTTTATTTTTGGACATTTGAGTGTAAATCAACCTAAAAATTCATTGTATGAGAGTGGGGTTAGACCATAATGGAATTAACATTGTTCTTCCACAACTGAAATTTTTACCCCATTAATTATGTACGTGCTGTAAATGTTCATCATTTACATGGTGTTCAAAGACATTCACATGGTGTTCAAAGACATTTACATGGTGTTCAAAGACCAAGTGAAGTATGAAGAGCACAAAATTACTTGGAACGGTTTCCATTGAACCCAGTGTTATTAATTCTATAGTATACACCTACATGCATGTATTCCTTTTCAAGAACAGCAGGTATTGAGTATTAACATATTTAAAGGCTTCAGTGTAATGTATTTATTATGTGGATAATATATGCATACTTTTAAAATCAGGACAGTTACCTGGTTAAGTCAGAACCTCACTAATTGTCCTATTTCAAGGATTGTTTTTGTTATTTCATGTAAATCAAGTGCCTATACAGTCTATTACACTGCCCTAGGAATACTTCAACTGGAGCAATCCCTTCAATTTATATATTTAACCATATAGACTATTTTTCCAGGGATATGTACTAGACTGTAAGAGTTATCAAGAATTAAATTGAATCTGAATTGAACCAAACTAGGTAGTTCAAACCATATTCTATTTCACACTATCAGAGTGATGCAGCTTAATCAAGGGAAATATTCAACTCATTATGCATACAGTATGTAAAATGCAAACACTACGTAAAATGCAAACACTGTAAAATGCAAACACTATGTAAATGCATACAATATGTAAAATGCATATGTAAATCTTATGTAAAATGCATAAAGTATTATGTCACATACTTTCATAATGTAAAATGTATGCTGCATAAGATGTACACATAATGTAATATGCATATGGTATGTAAAATGCATATGGTATGTAAAATGCATATGGTATGTAAAATGCATTTACTGTAGATACACTAAATTTGGCTCCCGTTTCAATTTGATGGATTGTCGGATTCAGAAAATCCGCCAATCCATCAAATTAAGTTTGGAATTTTTGTCCAAAGCACTTCAGAAATTAAACTTCTGGGGCCCCTTTTCTTGTCAACATGTCATCAATTCTACATTATTCCAAAAGAAATACTGTAAATATCTCAGTAAATACCTGTCCTAATGATATAAACATCTACAAAAATTAAATTTCAGTCCTGAATCCACAAAATTAAATAGCCACCAATATTTGCTGTCAAAATAATAAATCTACAGTAGTATGTAAAATGCATATACAATTGTATGTAGTGAATGTAAAATGCACATAGTGTATGTAAAATGCACATAGTGTGTGTAAAATGCATACAGCACCTAAGATGGATATAGGATGTAAAATGCATTGAATATGTGAAATACATATACATAACATGTATCAACAAAACGCAATTTGTACATATTACTATTCTGTATTTTATTGTACAGATAAATAAATATAAAATTATCAAAATTAATGTTTTTTTTATATTTTTTAATAATCATTTGTTGAGGAACATTGCAACCCAGGGAGCTGTAGTTAACCAACCAGACATATATTTCTTGGCAAAATATTCTGAATTCTGTGTAATACCTGGGTCACATTTGCTCCGATTGAGTGTTTTGACAAAATACTCAATCGGCTGGGTGCCATAGTGAAAATCGGAGCAAATGTGACCAAGGCATAAGTTGTAAATGAAAAATTTACTATAAATATTTAGAGCACCTGAAAGAAAGCTAAAACCCAGGAAGCTGAAACTCACACTGTAATTTTAAATATTTCTTGGTGTGAGACTTATTTTTTAATGAGGAACATCTATTCATTAATGAGGAAAATTAACAGTGAATAATATAATAAAACAAATATTTTATTCTATTTTTGGTGAATACCTGTACATCTTTCACAAGTTCAATACTTCCCTTGGCATCCGGCTTATTGGAGAAAATTCATCTCGATAGAACTGATACTGATTATTTGTATATTATCTGATTTGGAATATGTCAAACAGGTAATATTTTGATGAAAAAAGCAGATTTCTCTAAAACAAGGCAAAAGTAAGGGTCACTGATGTAAATTACTAGCCTGGACCCCAATTAAAATATGAGCACAAGTTCTAGATTACTGGAATCTTCCTATCTCCAAAAATTGTTGATGTAGCGCATCTAGAGATGGATGGAAAGGAGGTTCCACAGGCACAAATGTGAGCCAAAAGGTCAAGTAATGATCAAGAAGGTTCTTGTTTTTTCTTCCCGAAAACTGCCCTAAATCTGCCGTATGCTGATTGGCTAATAATACAATGCACAAGTAAATGTTCTGCACTGTCACACTGATCCGTTGATACGACTGTTGCCTCTTTGTACAACCATCTGCAAATATGGAAATGAACAATCTATCAATCACTGTAATGTAATAATTAAATACTGTACTCCTGGTTAATTTCGCGAGTTTTAATTTCCCGAATTTTAGTAAGTACACCTACTACTATGTCATCTTGGTCAATGACACGCTGCACCATAACCTCTTTTACATTGTAATTTTTTAGTTTATTTGATCAAATAAGCCACTGTAACAGACATTGTTACTCAGTATCCCATTATCACCTTAAAACACTTGACAAACATTTTACAACTCACGAAATGCAATGGAGTTCCAGGTAATAAAATCGCACGCGAAAAATACTGGGAGTACAGTATTCCAAATTTAGTTGATGTGATATCATATTATAAATCTACATACAAACAATTTTCGACCAATTTACAAAAAAACTGTTTCAAAATGTGTAGAAATGATCTCTGCCATCTAATTTTACTAAGTTGAGCATCTAAAGTTATACATATAGGCATGTAGTAAAATGTCAAAACGTGGCAAAAATGAAAAATTCTCTGGTTTCAACCGATTTTAGAGCCTGGGATTCAAGAGGTTAATTGAATGCATTCTTACTTTAAAAGTTAAATCAAAATAAGTCAACTGCACCTATTTCTAAACAAGTTTTGTAAGGGTTCAGACTAGTATAATAGTATTCAAGGATAACATTTCTTAATCAATACATACCTAAGATGATCACCTGACATTGGTACCTTAAAGGACTTCTTCATAGAGCCAGTGGCAGTTATAACAGTGTCCTCTAGTGTCAGCTTCAAATCATCAATGCCTTGCCCAGTCACTGCAGATGTACATATGCCACCACCTTCATGTGAGCTACAAAATTCATTTGAGGAACATCATCTCAACTTGAACAGATTATTTGATGAAGAACACACACAGTAACATGCGTATCACTCACCTATCAAGTCCTGATTTATATCAGGAGAAATCCCATTTTTAGTGCTTTCAAAGGAGAAGTCTCGTTTGGAGAACAGTCTCCTGGGCTAATAATTCTTTTATGAAAAATATAGAAATATCATCCAAATTAAATTCAAATATTCGAAATAGGACATTTAAATCTACAAGATATATATTGCAATTGTCCGACGCAGGGATAAGGGCGCAGTAGATTCAAAGAAATGCAAGTCTCGATTTGGAGAAAGAAGTTCATCAGTGAACTGGGCTAATAACTGTGTTATGAAAAATCTAGAAATATCACCCATATTAAATTATGACTATTGAAAAGAAGACATTCAAATCTATATTATGTAAAAAAAATCAAAGTCCGAAGCAGGGATATTACGCTCAATGAGAGTGATGAACTTCGTTCCCCAAACCGAGAATGGCCATTTTTAGTCAAAAACCCCACTTTCAAAAATCCAGATTTTTTTCATATAAATTGTAGACCTCGCATTTCCCTTGATTTTTCAACAAAACACCCCAATTTTCTTTGAAAACTCCAGATTTATCTAATTTTTTTTTTAAACCCAGATTTTTCTCCTGATTTATCTTTAGCAATCCAGATTTTTTACTGAATTTTTCGAAGGGTTGATTTAATTTTTGTAACCCCAAGTTTTTTAGAGACACCAAGTTTTTCCTGATTTTTTTAAAAATCCCCAAATTCTACCACTTTTTCAGATTTATTAACCCAGATTTTTTTCAAACAATACTAATTTTTAGATTTGAGATGATTTTTAGAAAAGCTGATTTACCAGAAAAAGAACCCTGTTTTAACCCTGATTTTTTCCACAGATTTTTAGAAGAAATTCCAATTTTAATTTTTACTTGACAGGTATATCAGACGATAAGTCCATCATCACTCCAACAATAATTTAGAAAACCTATATTAACCTTTTTATTTATGCTATTTTACCCTTGGCTAAGACAATAATTTACTATAGAGTAAAGCAGAGCTTCTTTTATAACCAGAACAACGCCAACGCCAAAGCGTAGCGAATCCCATCGAACAGAAATTGCTGGCATTTTTACAAACAAAATATTTAGCAAATATCGTAAAATAACATCCATAAGAAAGGCCATCATTTTCAAAATGGTTGCTCACTAGCCAAGTTGTCATCAGAAGAAGTAATATGCTTTTAAGTAGCCACCTATAAAATCGCATACATGTACTTGTAAAATAAGCCACATATAAAAATTTAAAAAATCGCACACACATACATGTAAATGCTACCCAAAATGTCATACAACAGAATGCAATAGTATTCACATATCAAATATGAACAAAATCGCTCTTTAACTTTTTAAAGTATAATAAAAAATGTAAAATAATACACATAAAAATGGTGGCCATTTTTCAAAATGGCCAACTACAATGTGCCTTGCTTAAAGTATTCACATATCAAATATGAACAAAATCGCTCCAATACTTTTTGAGTTATAGTAAAAAATGTAAAAATGCAAAGTGTCATGAGACAGTGTGCAAGGTTCATAAGTATTCACATACCAAATATGAACAAAATCGTTCCACTACTTTTCAAGTTATAGTAAAAAATGGCCGCCTACTACCCAAAGTGTCATTAGACAGTGTGCGATGCTTATAGTATTCACATATAAAATATGAACAAAATCGCTCTACTACTTTTTGAGTTATAATAAAAAATGTAAAATAACACACGTAAAAATGGCGGCCATTTTTCAAAATGGCCGCCTACTACCAAAAAAGTAATTAGACATTATGCCATGCTTAAAGTATTCACATACCAAATATGAACAAAATCGCTCCACTACTTTTCAAGTTACAGCAAAAATCGTAAAATGACGTGCAAAGGCAGCCATTTTTCAAGATGGCTGCCATGTATTTCTTCTGTATTTACATTTCTAGCTCAATCAATGTCCTATATAACTTTTTTACATTTAAAACATATTGTTATTACAGTTTAATATGCAGTACCTAAATTACTGTAAAATCGGCACTAAAATGGCCGCCATTTTTAAATGAGCGGCCATTTTGAAAATCAGTTTTTGAGCAGAGCTTCTATCCCCATGTACAAAATATGAACAAAATCGGGCCAACGGTATTTGAGTTATTGCCCGGACGGACAGACGGACGTACGTACGTACGGACGGACGGACAGACGGAGGGAGGCGTTCCCTATATCCCTCCGAACTTCGTTCGATGGGATAATAAGTTATCTGAGTGAGGCAGAATAGGGTAGTGTTATTTGACCTACCTGTGATTTAGATCAGATTTATTGCACACTTCAATCATGTTGTCCAAGAGATGTTTAGGTAATTCTAGGGACTCAAGGGTCTGTATAACATTCAGCTTCTGCCCATCCGTGTCAGGGTGACTTATGTCCCGAACATGTATTATGACATCCTAGAAATATAAAGATTGAAGAGTCTATATAAACATTCAGGTTCTGGGCCTCTGAGTCTGGATGACTTATGTCACGAACATGCATTATGACATCCTAGAAATATAAGGATTGAAGAGTCTATATAAACATTAAGGTTCTGGGCCTCTGAGTCTGGATGACCTATGTCATGAACATGTATTATGATGACCTATGTCATGAACATGTATTATGACATCCTAGAAATATAAAGATTGAAGAGTCTATATATACATTCAGGTTCTGGGCCTCTAAGTCTGGATGACTTATGTCCCGAACATGCATTATGACATCCTAGAAATATAAGGATTGAAGAGTCTATATAAACATTCAGGTTCTGGGCCTCTGAGTCTGGATGACTTATGTCATGAACATGTATTATTATGACATCCTAGAAATATAAAGATTGAAGAGTCTATATATACATTCAGGTTCTGGGCCTCTGAGTTAGGATGACCTATGTCATGAACATGTATTATGTATATATACATTCAGGTTCTGGGCCTCTGAGTCTGGATGACTTATGTCCCGAACATGTATTGTAAGGGATGGTGTCCAATTATCAACAGTTTTAGTTTCATTAAAGGGGGATGGGGTAATTGATGATTTCACTTGCAAATGGTGTTGATTTTTAAAAATAAAATAAACCTTATTAGATATAATATATATATATAATGAGTGGAACCTTCATACTTCCATGATGTTAATAACAGGACACCGTGACACCAAACATTCTCTGAAAATAAAGATTGAAGAGCGTGTATGATATTCAGCTTCAAAAGGTTATAGCGACTTCCCGACACAAATTAAAAGATTACACAGAACAGTAAATAAACAGTACTTGAACATTGGACTTGTTACAAGCTTTACTCTCTTTGAAAAAGCATTAAAGAATTTCCAAGCTGCACACATTAATCAGTCTTCATCAACTCACATTATCAAGGTAAGAATAAGAAACATAATTTTCTTTATACATTATATTATACATTATATTTTCGAGATGCTGGGATTTGTTTTCTATAACCAGTTGTACTTTTTGTGTTCCTATTTTGAACTTTTTATTCTTTTTAATACTATTGGTATTTTCTGTTTCAGGCTTAATTGGTCTCACTCTGAGCCTAAGGCCTCACTAATTCAATCAAAAATACAAATGTTTTTGAATGACTTAACTTCTTACTGAAAGTAAATGTTTGAAATATAAGATCTATTTTGCAGGAGTGAATATTGCAAGTATGATGTCATACATTGGGCCTATACTCCTGTTTCTATTCATTGTGCTGGTAGTGTGCCCTACCGAAACAAGGAAGCAGATATATATGAATAAGCCACTAGGAAGGCAGATCGAGTTTCCCGATAATTCAGCTGATAATACATTGAGTGCATACAGAAAGAAGCATAATGTCCTTAACCTTTGCACATACAGTTTGAAGAAAAAGAAAGGAATGGTCTGTGTGTGTCAAGCAAAAGCGAAAACTGACCAAATCCCATTAGGAGATCTCCTGAAACACATGGATAAGAAATACAAGTCCTGTGCTTCTTTGAGGTTTGAGAACTTTGAGTTTGAAATTTTGAAAAATGGCTCATTTATGGGATTTGAACATCTATCATCGATTTATCTGATAAACTGCAGTATCATAAAGATTGAAAGAAACACTTTTAAAAATTTTGTGAATCGAAGTAATGTTAGATTAACCATTGAAATGAATCCTATTGAACATATTGAACCTGGAACCTTCAAGGTACCTAAATCATGGAAACAACTGTCTCTTCATCAAAACCAGAATTTGGGAACAGAAAATATTCTTACAGTTTTTAATGATCTACAAAACAAAGCAGTGGAGAATTTGGAAATTAAAACATGTGGAGTTTTTCTAAGAAAGATAGATAAATCCTTTTTTGAACCACTACGTTATGCCAGACTCAGAAGATTAAACATGTTAGGAAATTCTTTCGGAATTTTGGAGGCTGATGCGTTTGAACCATTGGCCGAATTCCTTGATACCTTAGTATTGTGGAACTTTATGTATGTGGCCAAAGATACATTTGAGATATTCTATAAATTGAGAACTCTAGACATAGGTGGATTCATTGTAACTGCGAGTTATTATCCACTAGAGTTATACCTTAATATATCAGGATTACGAAGTTTAAGCATTAACATGAAGAGTAGTTCGGTAATGGCACTGGACATGTCGGGCTTAAAAAACTTGCATGAGTTGCATATGACAAGTGGTAGTTTTGCATTTTGGCCACACATTAAGCAAGTGATTGGGCTTTTAAACATTGCAAAATCATTGCAACAAATAGACTTATCAGAAAATTCATTATGTAAATATTCAGATGTAGAACTTTGTCAAATCTTTCAGGATCGTTACAGTCTTAATTTTCTTTCACTAAAAAGCAATGACTTATCCCACCTCCCTCAATGCATATTTAAAGGACTATACAATCTTAGAGATTTGAACCTCCAAAGCAACTTACTTACATTTATCGAAAGGGGTATCTTTAAGGATTTACACAGTTTAAGTGTGTTGGATTTGTCAAGGAACGCAATAACTTTCATTGACCCAAGTAATTTGGAAATCATGAAACCTATTGGAGGAGGTCTGATCCTTAATCTTCATCAAAATAACTTTGACTGTAACTGTCAACTGAAAGGTCTTCGTAACTGGCTCACAATGAATATTCTACAAAATAGATATAAGTTTAAATATACTGCAGTAAATTGTTCAACACCAACATACAAACAAACCGAATACATCCACAATTTTACAATGATGTGGATAGAGTGCAACACACAGCTTGTCATTGAAGTTTCATCGATAAGTGGAGGCTTAATTTTAATAATCACAATAGTGACACTTGTGCTATTGAAGCATTTCTGGAAAGATATCCAATATAGGAAAATGATCATACTTGCACGCAAGCATGAACAAGATGTAAATTTAGATGGACTTCTCATTGAACATGACGCTTTTGTAAGTTACCACAGTGAAAAAAGATTGTGGGTAAATAAGGATTTATGTAATGAACTCGAGAGGGGATTAGATATCAAGTTCAAATTAATGTACGATGATCGAATAACGCCTGGTGGTTCATTATTCACCTCTTTGGGAAATGCAATACACACCAGCAGAAAGATTTTATTTGTGGTGAGTCGTGGTTGGGTGAAAGATGGCATGAATCAATTTGAGGTGGACATGGCTTTAGCCAAACTCCTAGATGACTACAGGGACATGATAATAGTTCTATTAATGGAACATATCCCTAAGGATGAGATGCCTGACAAAGTGAAGATGATTATTAAGCACAATAACTGTCTCAGATGGAGTAACAATGAGAAGAAACAAGCAAAGTTCTGGAGGGATCTCAAATTGGAACTGGGGAATCATCACTTTGAGATACCCATACAAGATGGTTTAACCTAAACAACAATATTACTCTACGTATTACTCTACAATTTGATGAAGCATGTACCTTTTGAATATAAGTTGTCATGTCGACAAAAACTGAATGAGTGGAAAAAAGTTTTCTGAAATTGTGTAATCACAATGTTACCTTGTTGATTCACAAAATGGGGAAAAATCGAGATTTCATTTGTCTACAAATTTTAAAAATATATCACTCGGATCTTTTCATTCTTTTTTTAGAAAATAATTGACTTTTGCTTTTAAAATGAAAGGAAAAATTCAAAACTGATTTTCAGAGCAAGAAGTAAAAATATTATACAAATATTTCATTCTATTGAGTTGAATATCTTATTCATTTTTAATGATTCTAGCTCTTTGAGCTTTGGGGAATACACCTTGTGGAATCATTGAAAGTGCAACAGGTATTCACCAAAAATAGTATGTAATATTTGTTTAATTATTTTATTATTCACTGTTATATTCACCACTCTTATTGTTGGAAATGTCTTTCAAGATTATTACTATTACAAAACAACACAACTGGTGAATACGCCCGTTAAATACCCCTTTTTTCTGACATGATAGGCGCGACCGTTGAATACGTCTTCTTATTTCTATGTCACATGTAATGTGTAGACCAATGAGAGAGTGAAGAATATTGACAGTGATATGATCATCTCAAAGATTTAAAACAATATTTACACAGAGCTTTTAATAAACGATAATTTCTCTGTTTGAATTACAATAAATCACTGCTCTCATTCATATATATGTAACACTCACAATTAAATAAAATATCATTAATTGCTTTTTAACCATGTCACCAAGATACTGTTGAGAAACTTACATGATCACAACAGATCACTTTTATTCATTCCATCATAGGCAAAAGCCCATGATTCCATTATAAATTAGAAAATATAATAAACAAATCTTACTGCTTCTCTGATGTCCTCTAGGGTAGCACTAAATGAAGCAATCAGGCTGGTGGGTATATCAGATATGAACCCAACCGTGTCAATATATAATACAGATAGGTGGCTTGGCAGGAACCCTGCATGGGCTGTGACATCTAATGTGGCAAATAATTGATCCCTGGGCTGGAGAGCAGCTTCATTTGTGAGCACTTTGATAAGACTAGTTTTACCTAAAATGAGGGAACGGGTCAAAAGTTGGAGAATGGGTCATTTTGATAAATTACATCCTCCGAACACAGGTGTCCAGAACGTCATCTACAGGCGGATGGTGTCTAGAGCCTTAAATTCAAAGGATGGGTAAATTAAGGTACATGTAATTACATGCACAATGAATTTCAAAAACCAGTCTGTACATGTACATTCATGGACTCTAAGTAGAATGAGATCATGTCAATAATACATGTAATTCATATGTGTATGGATAATTATATATTTAAATTACAGTATTACTGTACCTGCATTTGTGTAACCAACCACTGCAACAATTGGAATTTCCTTCTTTGTTCTCGATTTCTTCAAAAGATGGCGCTTTGACTTCAAAACAGCAAGATCTCGTTTTATTTTAATCCCTCTTTCCTGGAAATGTTGTCAAAAAGTATTTCTTTCACTATTGCTACTAACTGTAGAAAATATAATGTATGCAATGGCTTATTCCGGTAACTGTTTTGTTTTCATTCCTATTGTAGATAACTTACGAAATATTCTGAATCTATCGAATATTGAATATGTAGTCTAGCTGTACATTGTACAGTAACACCTGTCTAAGTGGAACATCTTTGGTAACTCTAATAAAAAGAAACTTATAGAGGTTCATTTAACATTAAGTGAGTTGGTCTAAATTGAAGTGTTCCACTTATAGAGGTGTTCCGCTTTACAGGTTTCACTGTATGTTAAAATTTAATTATATTATAACGTAATGTATGCCCATGGGTGTCTAGCGGCATGATTTTACCGCATATATAACATAAGAAATTATGAAATAAATTGAAAAAATGAATGTAAAGGTAAAATTGGGTGATTTCTGATATGATAAAGTCTAACTGATCATGATACAATGTACCCTCTGAGCATTCACTGCCTCACTGTCTAAATGTGAATTAAATATAATTTTCTTGCATTTCTATATAGTTTATCACATTCTGCATAATGGTAATTCAAGTAAACAAGCATATTTCAAGTCAACAAAAAAGCATTTCTTAAGAAAAAGCATACCTCAAGTAGACGTTTGCGTAGTTCAATCCAAGTTTCTCCAGAGCCTCCTAAATGGGCCAAGCCTCCTTTCTGCTGATCTAATGTACCAGCATGCATACCCTTTAACCTGGACCTGAAATCAGTTAGGTAAAGATCATGGAGGATGTAAGTATAATCAATTATGCATGCCAAACTATTTTAATATTACATGTTGAGATCAGCATTTACTTTATCAACCTACCCAATGGTTTGGAACAGGTAGATTTTGAATATGACCAGAAGATTTTGAAACTTTCCACCCTACTTACAAACTACCGACAGCCTACCCCAGTGTGAGGCACATTTTTTCAAATGAAAGAAAAACACTGGTTGAGATTTGAAATGTTCATACATGGAACAAGTCAATAGGCACCTGACAAGCATACAAAGACAAGGACAAATCCAAGGGTTCTCTTAGAAAGCCAAGGTACAAACCTGAAGTATGGTATTTCTGCTAATGCCACCTGAAGTTTAGCCTCTTTGGTTCTTGCATGATCCTTGAATATCTGCAGAACTACTGTAAACCTGGAAATGCAAATATTCTACCATACATGTATCTAAAATATTAATGGTATACAGAACAAAAGCTTTGGGCATTCAGAATGGGGTGGCTAATTAGAACCTTTTTAATGTACTTAGTATGTATTTATTTATTTATTTTTACTTATTCTGATGTTTTTGTTTCTTGCAAAATCTACAATTCATGGATGATTATTGATTTATTTCATTGTACTAAAAATAGAATAGTTTCAATAGTCTGTTACAAGTAGGTCACTTTGACCTGTATATATTTATCAAAAAATAATTCTGTAAATGCTTATAAATTAAATTTTGAACATTCGTTACAAAATTTCAATTGTACTTCAGAGAAAAATTCTTAATGAAACTCATTCACATCAGTCAAACTAAAAATAACTTGCTCTTCTGTATAGTTCAAGATTTTGATTGACAGTTCTATATTCACGGGATGTCATCGCCTGATTTGGTCAATGTTAGGGAGCAGGTCGTTTTTACAATAAATTTCAATATTTTCACACAAAATATTTTTTTACTGAAAAACTGCTCATTCGCAGAGAAAATGTACTAGCACATGCAATGACAATGTCAATCACGCTTCTGTACGAAATTCGGCGGAAGTCTTTTATAATCTAATACGAAGTTACTAAAAAAGGCGCGAACGCCCTACACTCAAAATGATCGTTTTTCCATTATAACTTTTTAACGTAATTTAACGAAGGCTTCTAATTATTATCCAAGATAGTCTAAATACCGATTAAAATATTTCTTACTTCAAACAGATACGCCGTCTTTTATTCAATTTTTTAAAAAATAATAAAAAATAACTCTTGTCAATGTTAGGGAGCAGTCAATGTTAGGGAGCAAAATGATTTTATCAGAATATTAAAAATGTAGCAAATGGCCATTTAAAATATGTATGGCATTTATAAACTGAACAATTTTGTTTGTATGATTATTTGATACCCTTTGGGGAGGAAAGCGTTAAAATTGTAAGAAAATCATTGAAAAGGTTATTTTGCATTTTTTATTTTCAGCTAAATCCTGTTTACGTTCGTTTTAGAAATATTTAGATGCGAACCATTCATTCTTTATTCGTTGACCTCTAACTGTAAATGAATGGATGTATCGTTATATACACTTTTTGATGATGTCATCAGTTCACAATCCTAAATTGTGGATGATAAATTATCTGAACTGATATATAGGCTTGAGAAATCTCCGACATCCTTCAGTTCTATGATTTGATATTTTCCTAGTATTAAAGTAAGAGAGTTAGTCTCGCACTTATCTTTACGACCGGGTATCACCTGATAGCTGGCACAAACGCTATGAAGGGCTCATTGCGCAGTTACATGTATGATAGTAGATTTTTACACGTATACTTCAATTTGTCAATACTCAGACAATGCAGTATATAACCGATCTCTGTTATATGTGTACCACTTGCTAATGATACTCTAAAGCCCGGTATACACCAATGGGACAAGTTGGGACCTCCATAGACTTAACATGGCGTGGGACCTAGTGGGACCTTTTGGGATTTTGCCCCATGAAGTCCGTGGGAATCAATGGGACTCCGTCGGATTTTGCCCCAACTTGCATATAATCTTGCCCCATCGAGTCCCATGAGGTCCCACGTTGGACTCGATGGGATTCGATGGGGCAGGATGGGGCAAAATCCCACGGAGTCCCATCTTGCCCCATCGAGAATGAACATGTTCATTCTTTCCATGGGGCATCGTGGGATTTCCGATCAGGTCACATGTTATGTGAAGCCCAACATACACCAATGGGGCAAGGTGGGATTTGATGGGACTCCATGGGGCTCGATGGGGCACGTTGGGACTTGATGGGGCAAAGTCATCAACCATGGGACTCCGTTGGACTCATTGGGGCAAGTTCGGATTCGATAGGGCAAGATCGGACTCGATGGGCAAGTGGGATTTTGCCCCATTGGTGTATACTGGGCTTAAGGCTACTTTATTTAAGTTTTGAATGAATTTAATTGTCAAAAAGCGGCTCACTTGCAGACTTGGGGACACCCTATATATTAACCTGGGATTACACATACAGTACGTGGCTGGACTGCTTCATCATTTAAATACAATATCATGAATAAAGGGAGATGTCATGTAATTATTGTATCTGGTTAAATTGTGCATATTGTGCTGAGCAATACTGTATGCTTGTAAGGTTATACCAAGGGGTATAAAACAATCATACAATCTTGTCTAGTTTATAAATGACATACATGTTTGTAAAGGCCAATTACTCTGATATTCTGATAAAACCATTTCGCCCCACTGCATTGTTTGCTCCGCCACATTGATCATACTTATTTTTTATTATTTAAAAAAATTAAAGAAAGGTGTACCTGTTTGAAGTAAGAAATATTTCAATATGTACTGAGATTATCCATGATAATAATTAACTTTCCTTCGTCAAAAATCTTTGAGAGTCCATTTTCTGAAGATAACAAAAATGCAAAACAATTTTTTTTATCGATTTTGTTAAATTTTGTTAAGGCAAGGGGTTTAAAATAATCATTCAAACAATATTGTTTAGTTTATAAATGCCATACATATTTTAAATGGCCATTTGCTACATTTTTAATATTCTGATAAAATCATTTTGCTCCCTAACATTGACTGCTCCCTAACATTGACAAGAGTTATTTTTTATTATTTTTTAAAAAATTGAATAAAAGACGGCGTATCTGTTTGAAGTAAGAAATATTTTAATCGGTATTTAGACTATCTTGGATAATAATTAGAAGCCTTCGTTAAATTACGTTAAAAAGTTATAATGGAAAAACGATCATTTTGAGTGTAGGGCGTTCGCGCCTTTTTTAGTAACTTCGTATTAGATTATAAAAGACTTCCGCCGAATTTCGTACAGAAGCGTGATTGACATTGTCATTGCATGTGCTAGTACATTTTCTCTGCGAATGAGCAGTTTTTCAGTAAAAAAATATTTTGTGTGAAAATATTGAAATTTATTGTAAAAACGACCTGCTCCCTAACATTGACCAAATCAGGCGATGACATCCCGTGATATTTGGAACATGAAATTGATGGCCTGTGTTAAAACTCCAAGGTCAAGCTGATCTGGTCACTCAGTAAGACAATTTAGAAACAGATTTTTCATAGAAATAGGTCAATTCTATCTCTATATTTCTCAATTAAAACATATTTATAGAAAAATAGACCTTTCAAACCATTCTTGTCTGTCTAATATCAGTTTAATTAAGAGGTTTTAATCCTAATTATTTTTGTCTGAAAGTATGTTTTTGCAGTGTTTTGTAAGACTGTTTTGTCATAAAATTGCTATAGAAAGGTTTAAGAACATATAAATGAAGTCATTACATAATGATGCATAAATATTTGTATATAAGAAAAGTCAAGTACAATAACAGAACATTTTTAATTATAATTTTGTGTTCATTATTCGGAAATGTTAATTTAAGTATTAAACAACTTCTTTATTGTTGAACAATTGTGTTTTTATTTTGTAACCATATAAATAGAGCATTTTTAGCTGTGACAATTTCTAAATAGAATGGCAGCAGGTCTAATAGGCCTTCAGCAATGAAAAAAATGTACTAAACATTAATAATAAGACCATGGGAATCATAAAATCATTGTTTAAGGACAAACAATTTAGGAATTTGTGTAATTAATGCATGTTCATATTCATTTAATATTGACCAATATACCTTATAACATACCTATCATAAACTGGAAGGCCCCATGCCTTTTGTAATAAAGACAATTGTAATCCTTCCAGTTTATTGGTGTTTACAAATACTGCTGTGATGTTTGCTGTTCGCCTTATTTGTCGTGATATAGCAGCAAAGTTCCCTTTAGTGAAGAACTCTTTTTTACCAGACTCCTTTATTGACACTGTCTCCTGTAAAGATTAAAAAGAAACTTGGGGGTATACTTGAAAAACAAAACAGTACAAACCCTGATAAAATATATTTCTTAAGAAGTTATGAACCATATCATACGAATTACAAAAATACATTTACTTGTAACATTTTGAACACCAACCACTGAATGCCAAACACCAACCACTGAATGCCAAACACCAACCACCGAATGCTGAACACTATCCACAATATGTCATCACTTCTGATGGTAACATAAAAATATAAATGAGTCTTATGTCAAGGATGTAGCAGAAAAGGAAAAGTCAAAACAAAGTACAGGGTGCATGTGACAACCCTGTACCTTACAACCCTCCAAATTTAGAAGGTCACAATTTTTGGGGTCACCATGTACATCTGATACAAGATGGTCATATCAAATAGATATTACTATGTGTTCCAATTCTCCATATTGATTTTTGACCAAAACAATGTTTTTGCATCACATACTGGGTCAAACAAAATAATAAAGTGATTTTATCCATATTAAGACAGAAAAGATAACTGTTTCTAGGCAAATCATTTATAAATAATTCAAGCAAAAATATAAAAAATGAAATAAGCCTTACTGTTGCCTGGACTGACCATTTAGGAAGTGAATCCACTAAAGCAATAGCCTCTTGTAATTTTAACTCAATGTTACTGCCATCCCTCTGTCGTAACTTGCCTTTTAAATCTACAAAATTCAAATAACAAATCCAATTATTGCATCCAGTTGACAATTTAGAGAATCTAAAAATTGGACTAAATTGATATCTTCTAGTTTTGAATGTATCAATTTTCAATGATCAAAAGTATATGCCGAAAACAATGGATAGCATGAGTTTTTTTGTTAATCAGAAATTTAATGCACACCACATAAATGTAAAATATTTCTTTTTTCCTGGATTTATAAGGTTAGTATTTTTGAGGATTTTATTTAAAAGATAGACATGGTAAGTAATATGAGCCAGACACATTTTGAAATTGAGCCTCTTTTTTCTTCTTTCTCATGGTTTTATTTTTATTGCATTGCATCCCCCTGGCTACGCCTATGGTACTTGATTGCATATAAAGAATTTACCTGGTTGCACTATAAAAACATTATGTCCATTCTCAGGTAGCAGATAGTGATCATCAAGCTCTGACAGGTGACTTGAACTTAATTCATCTGCAAAAATATGATGGATAAATGCAATGGCTAATTGATATTTTGGAAATGGCCACACATGTATGGATGGATTTATTGGTACAATAAATAAAAAAATGTATGTCTTGAGCTCTGAAATATAAAAGCCATTCAAGATATTCTAATCAACTGAATAAAATTATAATCTTATCTAATTTTTATTAACTTTAAAGAATACATGTCAGGGGTTTCATGAGCACTAGGGAATTTTCACCAGTTGTTTTACCAAGATTGCTAGTAGTTGTTTTGTGGAATTTTGCAACTGTTTCCATGTTAAGAATATAATCTTTCTCATAATTGTGCTTGTAATTTGCCTGTTATCACAAATTATAATAATGAAGCCCTTACATGTATATGATTAGATTTAACAAAATTTTGAAATGTCAGGTTTTGGTCCACAGGTGTGATCAAAACCTGCTTATCTTTTTTCCTTTAGCCCTATCAAAAAATAATATGAAGAAAACTTCATTTTTTCTAGTCCACAAAGCAATTTCATGTGGGGGATAACATTTACATAAAAGTTCACAACTGTTACCTTCTAAATTTTCATTGCTTTGATCAAGCTCTGTTGTTTCTTTTCCATGGTCCCTATGAACTCTATGTAAAATACGACCCATGTGGAACATCCTGGCGGGTGTACAGCGAAATATACAACTCGAGTGCATAACAGCAGTGATATTGAATCCACTCTTTATACATATAGTGTTCAAGTTACGCAATGACATTACCTTTGGCTCGTTATAATGTTGATTATCATATTGTGTCTGATATACAGCTGAGAGAGTCCGCAATTGTAATCTATTATGTTCTAAGACTTGCTTCAATACTCTGCATCTTGCACATATCAAAGTTCCAGTGATCATTTTGGATAACTTTTCAGACCTTCAATATCTAAGCCTCTGAGAAGTGCATGGAGTGATGTGTTTTCTATATGAATGGGTCTATTATTGTTGATACATGTATATAGAAGTCTTTTTTACATTTGAGAGGTTTACATTAGTCAGATTCATAACAAGTCCTCTTCTATTCTCTGCTAGACAGCATACCTGGGACTGCATACAGCTGAACTCTCTGCCTAACTTCCACAGAGAGAGCTGGAATAAAAAAAATTATACCATAGAAGTTGCTTCAAGACCTTTTGGGCCCTGTATCGTACCCCTCTAGCTTCGCCCATGCTTACATATAGTCACAGGATGAGTGAAATGGACCATGGGCTTTCAACTAGAAGGGTAGGCAACTTCCCATATTTCATACATAAACTGGAGAATGTACACATTCCAAGAAAATCTTATTTTGTACTTTTTATTGATGATTAAAAGAAATAACTCAAAAATAAAAACATGATCTTCTACATACATCTTGATAATTTAATAAAAATTGGAATTTATCATGATTATGACAATACAGAAAGTGAACATTCTCCCACAAATTATGTTTTTATTGGAATGTGTTCTTGAATAATTACCCACAATGCAATACTCAAAGAGAACATCTTGATAACTCTTATTCTTATTGGTCTCTTTTGTTTACTTTTATATGATATTGAATATATTTTATGCTTAAATCATATTAAAAATTGATTTTTATTCAAAATAATACTAAAACATATACATTTATCTACTTTTTGAAATATTGCCATAAAAGGGAAGCATGTCATTGCTCATTTTGAAGGTCTCATGTTATTACATAGAGTTGCATACCCTTCTAGTTGAAAGCCCATGAATGGACAGACTCTCCCATGCACTCTTATTCCCCATTGGAGGGCCAGGGGAAAGAACTAATTGACACAACTTCCTTGGAGGTCTTCAAGAGTCTTGTCTAGAACTCATGGAGCTATTTACAATGTTTTATCACCTATCTAATGCAAGCTATATTGCACTGTTCTACAGTAAGCCTATCAATGACCCCTGTTACACAGGCCAGTTGAAATGCTTCGTTACGAAGCAATTTGACAAAAAGCTTCGTAACGAAGCAATTTTGGGCCAGTGTAACACCTCCGCCTTCGTTGGAAAAGCTTAGTTGATAACGAAGCAATTGAGTAGAAAATTCAACGAAGGTTAGCTCCCAACGAAGCTTTTTTGGCCTGTGTAACAGGTAGCTTCGTTAGAAAATGCTTAGTTGGCGGTTTGCGCATGCGCGTAATAAAGAGCACATTCATCATTTTGTATTAAATGAGAGGAATCGCGAGGAAAGAACATGTTTTTAAGTACGTATTATTATAATGCTACGTTTTGATTAAAATAATTACCTATTTGCGTCACTGATTGACGCTAACTCAAGCCCTAAACGCCACGTACAAATGTGATTTACCGTCTTTCGTAGCATTTTATTCGATTCCCTGCCTTTCCTTGCATTGATTTCACAAAAAGTATTAAACAAAAAACGCAGGTTTTACCGTATATAGTTTTGAAACGTTTATCTGATCTATAGAGAATAAACCTAGGATATTTAAATGTCCCTCTTTCGGAAAACTCCGTCTCAAGTGTGGAAGGGTAAACTTTTGAAATTACATAAGATATGCTTAAACTAAATAGAAAGTTGTGGCATACATGTTTAATATAATTTTTTCTTGCGCCTCGAATAATTATACCTTGAATGTAATTCTAAAGGTGTTAATACCATGATACTGATACAATTGCTTCCCGGTGAACCCGGCCGGTGAATCACATCAGGGAATATAGCCGATTTGATTGATTCGAAAATGTCTCTCTTCAGAAATCGTATTCAACTGGCTATCGCCCCATTGCAATACATGTACTTGTACTAGTCGTTCCATTGTTTTATTCTTCGACGATTTTAAATTGTAATTGAATTTAAACTTCATGTTGAAATATATTGAATTAATTACGTTTCAAAACTTCCGTATACAAATACGGTAAAACCTGCGGACAAGGAACGGTGGCCAAAATTGTTTCTTGTCGACAGATATTTGCCACAGAGAGGCTGCATGTTTTAGGCCAGCCCCAAACACTATTGATGTGTCGTAAGACGATGCTTACAACTGATATTCAAGTTTCTTCCTATTTGCGCCATTTTCGAATTCAACGGACGGCTGATGGATTAATATACTAATTTATGTCAAACTCACTCAAATATGCATGGAGTATTGGCGAGGTCGTGAAATAGTAGTTACACGCGGTCCTAACTTCGATCGTTAATTTAAATTTTTGACCTACCGGATGTTTGAAAATCAAGGATTACGAGTCTCATACTGCACCGTTTTTCTTCAAACTTGTTCCATTCAAAGCATAACAAAAAAACATTTCTGATGGTACATTATTCTCTGAAACAGAGTCCCTACTTCCAGCGGCATTTTGGTCCCCAGCTGTAAGAAGGCCTTCTAACAGCTGGGGACCAAAACGCTGCTAGAACGAGGGACTCTTTACAATAAAGTAATGCACCGACAGAAAGGCAATTTTGTTTTGCTTTTAATGGTATAGGTTTGAAGAAAAACGGTGCAGAATGAGACTCGCAATCCTTGATTTTCAAGCATCTGGTAGGTCGAAAATTCAAATTAACGATCGAAGTTAGGACCGCGTGAGTTAAACCACCAGCCGATCACCGAGATATTTTAGTAATGGTTACACTATTTGAAATATAACTGAGAAGTCCATTTGGAAATTGAACGTTTTCATACGATATTACATACTAGTCGCCTGTATAAACCCCAAATCCAATTCCTCCTAGTAATTAACATAGGCCTATTTTTATTCCATATGTTTTCCAAAGGAAATGATAGAAAATGAAAACAATACTTGTAATCGTATTGACAGCTGAAATATATAAAAATCGAAATGATAGGAAAAATGTATGGACATGTGTACGGAATGATCACATTAATCTTGTTTTATTTTCCCGAGAATTTTGAACTAGTCTTTTTCTGTGCTGACTTATTAAAATAAAGATTAAAAATTAGATTTTTGAGTTTGATCAATGGTTTATATCAAAAGAATAAAAATATTAATCATAATAAGTGGATGGGAGATGAGTAATGCGCACGCGCAACGAAGCATTTTAAGTGCAGTGTAACACCAAATAATTGCTTCGTTAGGGTTGGATAAAGCCAGTGTGGACAATTTTTTCGCTAACCTTCGTTACAAAAATGCTTCGTTAGACTCAACCCAGCAGTGTAACAGGTACCAATATCATTATACTAAGATCTAAGATCTGAGCAACTACAGGACTTTTGAAGACCTATCAGCTCAGAACCTGATGATGATGATGATACCATAGAAAAATAGAAGTAAGAGTGTAAAAAACTAGGCCAAGGTCTAGAAAACAAAATTACAGAAAGAATAAGTTAGATACTGTGAAATCATATAGGTATAAACACATTTAAGATACATACTTGTGCATGTGACTGCTGTAAAGGCAAAAATACGTGAATTTTAGTATTATTTTTACTAACCGGAAACGGAAACCCGGAAATGAACACATTCTAATATTATAGATTCTTAAATTTCTCATTGTCTTCGCAAGTATAGGCAGAAATATTGTTTCAAAAGCTTTAGTTCAATTATGGAAAGATTTTTTTTAGCATTATTAGTAACATTTTTGAGGCAACTTTTAATATTTGTTATTCAAAATTGGAATGTGAAACAAAAACCGGAAGTTCCTAAAATGTGAGTAAAAATTTTCATATTGTATTTCATGCAATAAATGCCAGTATATGTCGGCCCGAAGGTGGTATATTTTTACGAAAAAACAATCAAGCTATTCAGCAAAGTTATAATATGATCTGATTAGCGCTCTCCCAAATCAAACTGCTATTGACTGGAAAACGCAAAATGATTTCACTTTTTTACAGTCCTCCTGTCCATAGTGAGCACTATCAGTCTTCATTGTTTAGTTATTAGACTGTTAATAGACATCCTGGTAGATTAGATACTCCTGTCCTATCATTGGTATCGGAACAGATATTAGATTATCCTGTTCCCGGACTATAGTCCTGTACGGAGCCCATACATTTGCCTGTACGATTACAACTTGGGAGAATTATCTACGCCCCTTCCACTTAAGAAACCTACCTCAATGCATTCTAGAACTCAAAATGTAACTTCTAATATATTGGAACCGCCGATTGTCTGGGTTAGTTGGCAGAACGAGGTCTTTTTGTTTCTTATGGCTCTTTTGGTCGAAGTTCGATTAAGATGGCGGTTATAACGGAATTTCCCGAACTCTTCCGTAATAGCACGAACTTGGTTTTTCGTTACTTCACTTCCATGTAAAATGGATTTGTTTCCGGTAAGAAACATTGTTTAACCATTCGGTATACAGTTAAGAGCATAGGATGTCGACATGGCAGTAAATATTGAAAATATTGTCCGAAATTTTCGAAATTCCCTCTTACCCGAAACAAATCCATTTTACACGGAAGTGACGTAACGAAAAACCAAGTTCGTGCTATTACGGAAGAGTTCGGGAAATTCCGTTATAACCGCCATCTTAATCGAACTTCGACCAAAAGAGCCATAAGAAACAAAAAGATCTCGTTCTGCCAACTAACCCAGACAATCGGCGGTTCCAATATATTAGAAGTTACATTTTGAGTTGTAGAATGCATTGAGGTAGGTTTCTTAAGTGGAAGGGGCGTAGATAATTCTCCCAAGTTGTAATCGTACAGGCAAATGTATTGGCTCCGTACAGGACTATAGTCCTGGAACGGGATAAATATTAGAGTTTTCCCGATGTGCAAAATGCAACAGAGTGGGATGGTGTTGATTTTCTTTTCAGGACAACTCTACTGTTTGTATTTATTTTATGTCAGCGCTTCTGTGTATTTGACAAATTGTCTATTGGGCTGTCATCTCAATTCAGCTCGTCAACTCATAATTTCTGGAAAATACAGACAGTTGTAATTGGTCAATGTAAAAAAACTGGAATGACATGTATGGATATTGACATGACAGATATGGAATTGAGATGACATGTGGCATGCATACTGATGTTAAACTGACTTGACAGGCATCTTGGATATTTCCTGTCAACTGAAACATTTTGTTGACGGCAGATTAGTGCCCCCATGTGTATTTTGATGCTTCTCTGACATGTAATAAACGGATGTTATGCATATAAAATATGAATGTATTTTTCCATATTATATTGTACTGTGGTATTTTGATTGCTTACTTTTTCGGTTTTATTGATGCATAACCCAATTGAAATTGACTATCCAGATTTAGAAATTGAATAGTGGTTAAATAATAGTGGTTAAATAATTTAGTCTAACTTATAGAAAATTGCATGGCCCTATTTAGAAATGTGACGCGTCAGGTTGAGATGTATTACTATTGGCGCCCCAGTGGAATAACTAACTACCGACCAAGCATAGTGTAACAAGCCAGTTAAAGAAATAGAAAGAAATTGTGCTAAATTCAATGCCCCGTGTGGGAATCAAACCTAGGACCCTTGGATCTGAAGTCTGATGCTCTACTGACTGAGCTAAAGAGGCTTAAGTCACTACAGCCGGACTGTAGTAGCAACTTGCTATCAAGGGTTGTTACACTATTTACTATTTAGCCTATCTAACAACTGAACAGTTTTATGTGAAGATGCTTCTAATATGCCACTTTGAACGAGTTTTATTGCATTCGGCTCAATTTTCAAATTGGTTAACCAGGTAGGCCATGTTGACAACCCTTCAGTTTTCTTAGTTTGATCATGGATCTGGTTGAGAATTGAGGTGAATCATGACATGAATCCACCGTGACAAATGGACAATCATTATTGATAATTTTACTAATGTGAGTTTGACAATCAAGATAGTGCATTGTAAAATAATCATGTTATCTCAGTCCCAGCATTTGATAGGTAATGAGTATGTTCTTTTCTTTCAGAGACACCATGACAGATAAAACAGATGAATGGAAGGAAGAAAAGTTTGAGCCAGAAGATAATCCACATGGGGTGGTCTCTGAGAGTTCATTCGCAACATTATTCCCCAAATACAGGGAGAAATATCTGCGAGAATGCTGGCCTCTAGTGAAAAAAGCACTCAGTGAATATGTGAGTGGAAAATAAGATAATTTTTATGTCACCACCAAAAAGTTGTGACATAATGTTATGATGTCAGTTTTTTCTGACGGCGATTGGTGGTTGCTGTTCGATGGGTGGTGATTGGTGGTTGGCGTCTGTAACAAATTCTTACAATTTCCAACAACTTAACAAATGCTGATTAGACTGACTTCAATTTTTTTCAAAATCATCTACAAGTTATCAGAAGTTCAAATCTGACTTTAGATTTGAGATTTGAACTTCAATGACCTTATCAAGGTCAAAAAAGATTTGACCTTCTTATGGTCAAAAAAGATTGAACTCATAATATTGTGAGCAACTTGGTGGTGATATTTTGTCATGTTAATGCCTTGTTTTGTGTGAACTGTCTAGATATACAACAAATCTTATCAATCTGATGTGTGTTGATGAAAGATGTACTTGTCAAGGGTCTTTCCTCTGATATCTGCTGATGAGCACAATCGTCCATTTAGTTATGGTAAAATAGCAAGCCACAATTTTAAATACATAAGAACTGGTAAAAGCTCATTTTCTGACTTTTCGAAATAAGTGAAAAATGAATTTTCAACAAATCATCGTGTAGTTTGAATGCTGGAGAGATCATTGAAAAAATATACGAATGTGATTTTCAGAAAATTAAAGCAGAGTTAGATGTCGTAGAAGGGAGCATGACAGTGTTCACCACAAGAAAGACATGGGACCCTTATAGCATCATACGAGCTAGAGATCTCATTAAATTACTAGCTCGCAGTGTTCCATATGAACAGGTAGGTACCATATTAGATGGTGGGACCCTTATAGCATTATACGAGCTAGAGATCTCATTAAATTACTAGCTCGCAGTGTTCCATATGAACAGGTAGGTACCATATTAAATACATTCTTTTGTGTCAGTATTGTTATGATATTATATCCTCAGGATTTATGTAAACTAAAAGTATTTCATTCAGTTTACATCTCTTCAGCCAGGTACTTACAATAAATATGTCTACCTTACTGCTGTTTGTCTGTCATTATTTAACCAAAATACAGCGAAGCAATGATGACAAATCATGGGAAATTAGACTATATTACTTCATAGTTATTTTGTTTTATAGTTAGATAGGTAACCCTAGAGACATCCACCCCAAAGGGATACAAAGTCATTTTCATTTGCAATAAGAATAGAAGAAATTAAGCTCAAACACACTATAGATATGATGCTTAAATTCTTTCTTTATTTCATCATACATATTGCAATTTATTATTTTCCGACAAAGTAAACAGAATTTGTCCAGCTCCCTCCACAGATTTTGCTGAAATCTCCATGGCAACTGGAGGCACAGCTGGTTTCTGGTACTCTTCTATAACTTCCGAACTCATCTCCACAGAAACACTGGCTACCAGTTTGAGACCCAGCATACTTGTAACCTATAAATGTAAAAACAATATATTTCTAACCTGATATTTTAAAAAGTCATTTTGGTGAAATGATGTGCACCAAATCAGCTTATCAGGACACTTGTAATAGGCCTTGGAGATAAACATCATTATTATGTCACATTGTTAAGTGTCCAACCTTTTATGGACAGCAGTTGGTGTTTGGCATTTATAACAAATTCTTATGGTGTCTTTAACAAATTCTTGTGGCTTCTGTGACAAATTCTAACAAATGGTAGGTGGTGACATTTTTGCATGTTGATTTCTTGTATGTTACTAAAACTGAAAATTTACATTAGTCTAATTTTTTAAATTTCGCTATTATTCTTACCCTTCGTGCGACACATTTGGTTACATTTTTCAACTGTCATAGCACTATCCAATTGATGGAATAGTGGCAAATCACGTGGTGTTGAGTCTTTGAAACATCCCAAATAAACAGCTAAAAATACAATACAAATATGCAATTTTGCAACCTCACTGTTTATAAACATTGAATTATTAGTGAGAAAATGGGGATTTTATACTGGATTGAAAATCTAGATTCATACAGGATGAATCAACTGTATTTAGCATGGAGTTAGGAATGTCATGTCACTATCCCATAATTTTTGGTGTATGAATCCCACAGTGAGCACTATCAATCTTCATCATTCAGTTATTAGACTGAAAGTGTGGTAACTCTTTTGACTTCCAGTTTGGACTCTTTTCTGACAAGTTACAAAACTGTGAAAGTTGAATAAACATAAAATATCACTGATCAAAGACCCTGGCATGAGAAAAAAATTATTTAGAATTTTTCTTTTTCCTAAGTTACCGGACTTCATTCTAGATATTAGATAGATGGTGCTGATTGTGATGAACCTTGAGAGATGCATTGCAAATTAACATGCAATTCACACATTAATATTTCTTAACAAAATTTCAAATGTAAAAACAAAATAAGCAATTAGATGAACTGAGTAATGGGAAAGGAAAAATTAGAGTTTTAAAAATTATAATATAAAGTGCAAATTCTGCATACTTAAAGCAGATATGAAATGGTATTTTGAACCTTAAGGAATCCATATAATGTTTTGATAAATGTATTTGGACGTGTTTTCTTATCAGTAGTGTGAAAATTATTTCACTCTACAGATCGTTATAGCTGCTTAATAAGCAATATTCGAATTTGTTGTGACGTTATTGGCCCCCACGTGATCTCTCACTGGTCCCCACCTCGTTGCCCATTTTGGTCCATTAGATCATGACGTCATAATGCCAAAATGTTTTGTTATTTGTTTACACAACAATCCCATGGTTGCCATGACGTTGTGTTTACTAAGGAACCAATAAACCAAAGCTATATTTTGTATATGACGTTACTAATCACGTGGGGGCCAATTTGATTTATCAGTTAGTTTTATTTCGTTATCTATGACCGTTAGCAGTTATCTAACATTTATTTTATAATGGCTATCGCAGGAACTCTATGTTGGGCTTACAATGGAGAAAACCGCATTTTTGTAGCTGCAAGTTGAGAAAAGCTATTTCAGTTGTCCTTTAATTAAAGAAATATTACAGAATTGTGAAAACTGGAATTTTGCACTTGATATTAATGTCTCTTAAAATTGTGTCATTAAGTCAAAGTGCCAGTCATTGATTAAATTATCATAACCAGAAAAAAGGTATCTTAATTAGTAATTATTTTTGTGCTTAAAGAAAAGATAATACAATCAAACTGAGACATACCATTTTCTTTTCTTTTGTTTGCCAATTTCAACACCTCTTTTGTTAAACTTTTTACTTCAGTCTTCAGGTCAAGTCTAACTTCTTGGATCATCCCTTCAAGTTCTTTCCACATTCTGTTTATATCTCTTAATTTGCACATTAGTTGTCTATCACACTCTTTAGCAGTTGAGCCTTTCAAAATAAAGAAGTAAAATATAATATTGAAAAGGGTAATAAAGGGTAATAAGTTACCAATCATTAGATATTACCTATTATCAATAACCAAACTAGAAATTGATCATACTGAAGATGACAAAATTTAAGTCTTAACTAAATCACTAACATTAAAAAATGATTTTTTTTTCGATTGTTTTTTCATTGGAATAGCATTCATGTTTACCTTAAAATAGCATTATTTAATTATACAGATTTTGGCAAAATGATAACTCGTGTCTCATGTTCAGTCTCTTAAAGAAGAAGCTTCTAAGGTGGATGGCTTTTGCCTCATAGAATCTTACCTAACTCTGTCCAAATTGTGAGAAGAGTAAGAATTGTAAAACATTTCACAAATCCAGACATAGTTGGGAATATCAGGCTCACTTCACAAGTGTAGTTCGTCTTACTAGTGATGTGTTATTTATAAAACTGTAAAAATGTGTTATTTTATGAGCATATTAAATTTTTAAAGGAAATTAAAACAAAAATTTTTTTTGTTCATTATCACACAGATTTTGAGTGCTATTAGCTAAGGTAAGAAGTATTTAATTTGTCAAATACCACAACATAAGTGAGAATTAATATAATGACTCAAGAATATCTGAGCTTTGTCAACTCCATTAAAGCATAATTATGAGATGTAAAATTCTGATCTGCTTACCTTATCCTACAATGAAAACTGAGCACTGAACAATAAAGATATAGAGACATAGGTCTCATGATTTATGTTAGAAATAAACTGTTTATTTAAAGGTCTTATCTAAAGTTTTTATTAATTCCTGTTTGAGCAAACTAAAATCACTTTGTGACTGCAACTAATTCTGATGTTATTATGTCACCACAAAAAGTGGTGACATATTGTTATGGTCTCCGTTTTTTTTGACGGCGGTTGGTGATCGGCGTCTGTAACAAATTCTTACAACTTCCAATAACAACTACTGTTTAGACTGACTTAAATGTTTTTCAAAATCATCTACATGTTTTCAGAAGTTCAAATCTGACTATATATTTGAGATTTGAGCTTGAATGACCTTCTCAAGGTAAAAAAGTTCAGAGAGGGTTTTTTTCAACACTCAAATTGACCAATTTTTTTTTCAAAATCATCTACAAGTTCTCAACAGTTCAATTCTGACTATATATTTGACCTTCAATGACATTCTCAAGGTCAAAAAAGATTTGACCTTCAATGACATTCTCAAGGTCAAAAAGGTATTTTTTCATCTTGCTTCGAATTGACCATTTTTTGAAAATCATCTACCAGTTCTCAGAAGTTCAATTCTGACTTTAGATTTGAGATTTGTCCTTCAATGACCTTCTCATGGTCAAAAAAGGTATTTTTTCAATGGGTGTCGACTTTTGGCTTGCAACCGAAGATACCTCAAGAAAAGCCGGAGATTGCCGAAGATTTTCTATGCAAACGAAGTTGGCCGCTCGAGGGTACCACAAATGTGAAGAGGACGTCTCTAATTGGTCAAAAAGAGAGACTCGGCATTCTCCGTCAGATTGAATCGGCAAAATTCGGTTGTATCGCTAACCTTTGGTTGTATGGCTTACCTTCGGCTGCATGGCCCAACCTCGATTGAATGGAAAAGATGCTGTCCCTTTTTTCAACTTGCTTCAAATTGACCAATTTATTTTTTCAAAATGTTAATGCCTTGTATGTTAATTTAATTTCCAAACTGCAGTACATTTATGCTAATTGAGTTTGTTAGTAAAGAATTATTCATTTCAAAAACTAAACAACCCCAGAAATGTATAATTGTTTTAAATATTGATGGGATCTTAAATGATGTTAAGATACAAAATTAATTGTGGTTATGAACATTATAAATGGAAGCTTGTTCAAAGCTGTGCAAATAGTAAACTATCATTGATCTGTTTTTTTATTCTAATGCTGAAATTATTTGCACTACATGCAATAAAACAGGATTTCTCAGTACCTTTTTCTGATCCTATATACACTAAAATTTAAATTTCAACTTTGCACTATGAGACTCCCCAGGACATTGTACTGTTTTGCTATTTAGTGCAATATTTTTTAATAACCCAGACAACATTGATTCCCCTAGCATTCAACTTTGTATTGTCCTTTAGCATCAATTTAGTTCAATTTTGCAAAGGAATTGAATATAAAATAAATATAAATTTCACAGCACACAAAGCCTGTTTTGTTAACATATTGAGATTAATTATAATTCAGCAATAATTTTTTCAGGCAATTCGGATCATGGAAGATGACATTGCGTGTGACATCATAAAAATTGGAGGGCTCGTCAGGAAGAAAGATCGTTTTATAAAAAGAAGACAGAGGCTCATAGGACCAAATGGCTCCACTTTAAAGGTATTGTACATACAACATGTTTTCCCTGAGAAATAAACGGGGAATAAAATTGATATTCAAAAAATTGTGTATCAGATCCCATATCAGCCAAAATCCTGTATTAAATCCAGTATCAGGGTATTAGTACTAGTTTAGAAGGCTTATATTTTAATATAAGGTAAGGTAAGGTAAAATACCATTACGTGAATGGTTATGATGTTTTTAAGGAGAACCATCACTACTTAATTAAAAAATGATATATTTTGACAGACAGACATATTTTATATGCCAACTCCTCATAACATCTATTGTATATTGACTGAGAAATTGTAGGGAAGCCAAGGACTCGCTGCTTCAAAGTTGAGGGAACAAGAGAGAATCATAGTATTGAAATTGATAATGCTTGTAATTGGAGTAAAGTGACTGTGGTCGATACAAAACATAGTCAGGGGGCATTAATTAACATTTATTTCTGAATCCATTGTTGTAACCATAGCAGTTGTGAGACATCCAAAATCTGCCTATTAAGTAACATAGTAACAGCCAAATCATCTCAGCTTGTTTCCGTTTCACTTTGTCCTACTCTCAATATTGTATTCCTGGACCAGTGGTTTTAGAAAATCATGTTTCTAAGATGCAACATGCAAGATCGCAACATAGATGCTTACAATCACCATTGGGAAAAATGTTTTCAGCTGCTTCGATGAAGATGTCACCTGGCTTGTTTCAAAACCTGGAAAATTATAATGAATGTTTGAACATATTGCTTTACATATGACATACATATGTATATTAGGTGCATTCTAGAGGAAGTTAATTTATTATAAATGTTAATATTGAATGTCTACTAAATGTATGTTCTATTGTTCATACACTATATTATTTTGACGGACAATGACCAGTTTTGTTTCTCAACGTAAAAGTAGATGATATATACTAAGTTGATCATATTCAGGGCACCAACATCTTTGTTTCATAGTTGTCTTATAGGCAAGGGGACATTTTGTAAGCATTTAGCTCTTCTTCAAAACGCTGCACCCTACATGTTTATATGAAAATATACATCACTGAGGAGAAAACCTTGTATGGGAATTGGGACATGTACCTAAGTTCTCTCTTTAGACACAACTGTCATAGTGTTCACTGATTTACTAGAGTACTAACCTGGAAAATGTGTGGTAGTTTTCACATCTCGATCATTCTTTGGATTCTTATTAGGGGAGTTAGTTGGTGTTGTAGTCGACAGTACTCTTTCACATCCTGGCATATATTCTTGTCGACAACACTCCTCTGTGCGTAGTCTCTCAAATGGAACCCAGCGGCCCCATTCACAAAGCCATATAAGGCAGTCACTCACTCTTGAATCACCAATTGAACATTCAAGTGTTGTCATTGTTGTTGTTGGAGTTGTAAATTCTGGGTTTGGCGGTGTGGGTGAGTCCATTATCGAGGAGCATTTTGGAAGCCATTGCTTTGCACAGCATTCCCTTGTCAGTGCATATTCGCCTTGAACCCAATGTCCATTGTTACATAACAGCATGCGACAGTCCACAATTCGCATCTCTTCACCATGACATTCTGGTGTTGTTACGGTTGTTTTTACGGCTGATGTTGTTACTATGAAAACAGCGATTAGCCATGGTAAATGTATATTGCTATTCAGTGATCCTTTCATGTTTCTTTTCATGAACACTTAAGTTGTATAGAAAATCACTCGTTCACTTGTACCAGTATGTTTACAATGTATGTTTTCTTTATCTTTCTTGAAGTATTTAATGGGGTCAAGTGCAGTCAATCTATTGTGAGAATGCATTGCATTGGTGCTTGGCTTCCTTCATGTTTTTACATGTATGTACATATGTATCACGTAGCAAGTGTATGTGATAGGTACATAGAGCACACATTTTGAATGATAATGCATGCAGTCTTATTGTATCACACCAATCATATAGACCGATTGGATAATTTATAGTTGCTGACTTTGAACCTGTTGTGTTTTGAGCTGTTAACTAATTTCTAGATCATGTATGAGATAAAGTGCTTCTGTTCATATATAAGATATCACAATATGTAAATAATCTGGTCACCTTGTATTTGTAGGCTTTCGAGCTGTAATATGTAAATAATCGAGCTGTTAACCAACTGTTATATCATGATACAGGGTAACACAGTATCTATTCTTAGAAGACATCTCAATATGTAGATTGATCACCCTGTATTTGTAGGCTTTGGAGCTGTTAATGAACTGTTACATCATGGTACAGGGTAACACAGTCTCTGTTCTTAGAAGACATCTCAGTCTGTAAATTGATCACTCTGTATTTGTAGGCTTTGGAGCTGTTAACCAACTGTTACATCTTGGTACAGGGTAACACAGTCTCTGTTCTTAGAAGACATCTCAATATGTAGATTGATCACCCTGTATTTGTAGGCTTTGGAGCTGTTAATGAACTGTTACATCATGGTACAGGGTAACACAGTCTCTGTTCTTAGAAGACATCTCAGTCTGTAAATTGATCACTCTGTATTTGTAGGCTTTGGAGCTGTTAACCAACTGTTACATCTTGGTACAGGGTAACACAGTATCTGTTCTTAGAAGACATCTCAGTCTGTAAATTGATCACTCTGTATTTGTAGGCTTTGGAGCTGTTAACCAACTGTTACATCTTGGTACAGGGTAACACAGTATCTATTCTTAGAAGACATCTCAATATGTAGATTGATCACCCTGTATTTGTAGGCTTTGGAGCTGTTAATGAACTGTTACATCATGGTACAGGGTAACACAGTCTCTGTTCTTAGAAGACATCTCAGTCTGTAAATTGATCACCCTGTATTTGTAGGCATTGGAGCTGTTAACCAACTGTTACATCTTGGTACAGGGTAACACAGTCTCTGTTCTTAGAAGACATCTCAGTCTGTAAATTGATCACCCTGTATTTGTAGGCTTTGGAGCTATTAACCAATTGTTACATCATGGTACAGGGTAACACAGTTTCTGCCCTTGGGCCATACAGAGGTTTACGTGATGTCAGGAAAGTTGTAGAAGACACAATGAAAAATATACATCCAATATATAACATAAAAGTAAGTTTGGAGTGATTCTGAATGTTTGAATTCTTTATGTTCAGTTTTAATATTCTGTTTATGGCAAAATAAAATAATTTTAATTATCAGATCTCCCAAATAGTACAATTCCATAGATTGAAATTATAAGGCTAGTGTTAAGGTCTGGCTGACAAAATTTCTTACAAGATGACACTTATTTCCAAGTGCACTAATGTTAAAAGGTACATGTATAATCATTTAGAATCAATGTGACAGAATGTGTGTTGCATATCACTTTTTGTCATGTATTTTCTCTCACACATGATATTTGAATAATGTAAACTTTAGATCATATCTTCACATATGTAAGGGAAAAGTAAGGTTTAAATCAAAAATAAGATGACCCTACCCTTTTCATTATTCTGACTGGTATGTTGTAGACTCTGATGATAAAGAGAGAGCTAATGAAGGATGAAAATCTCAAGAATGAATCTTGGGATAGATTTTTACCGAAATTTAAAGCGAAAAATATTAGCAAAAGAAAACAGCCACTGAAGAAACGTAAAAAGAAAGAATACACACCTTTCCCACCCGCTCAGCTCGAAAGCAAGGTATGCACCAGAATAATAATTATACTTCATTTTTTGAACATCTGCATCTCTCAAATGTCATATTTAAATTAAAAGTTGTTGGTAAATCAGCACTGTATAGTCTTTTTTGACTGCTTGAGTTAGTTTCAATTCAAAGTTTGTTTCCCAAATCAATGACAACACAATGTAGTTTATGCTTTGTGGTATTTTAACAGGTTGACAAGGAACTGGCATCTGGAGAATATTTCCTCAAGGAAGAACAGAAGAGAGCAAAGAAACAGGAGGAGAGAAGGGTAGGTCAATAGTTACATTAGGTATGACGAGGATAGATGGTGGTATTAACATACCTGGACAGTGGCATCAGTGATGCATGCCTTCTTACAAGTTACAACATTCAACATTAGCGTCAGTACTGTTTGGACTTTCATTATATTTGAAGTAGCATGTACATGCACTTTATTTATTATTTGTTTATTTTGCATTCTTAGTAATAACAATTGTATGAGGGAATTTGTATTTAAAAAGTTATAGCATTCCTGTTATCATATTTGATTACCAAGTATATTAGACCTATGTCGTCTGAGATTGTATTTCTCTAAATAAATTGACTTCATTTCAACCTTGTAGGCAAAACAAAAAGCTACAGTGATTAAATCTCAAGAGCGACGTGCAAAATCATTTGTGGCTCCTGTTGAACCAACTCACACTAAAACAAAAGATGATACAAAGAAAGGTAAGTATTACAGTTCAACTTTGGAAAGCTAGAATACTGCCACAATTTAGATTTTTACAAAGCATTTCTTACATGGCTACATAATAAGCCTTAGTTCAACAGATATATTGGAATAGCACATCAAGAAATATATGTCTTCATTTTATTCCAACTGAAACAGAAACTTATAAATGTTTGAAGAAAAAGAAAACACTTTCATTTCTAAAACAAGAGAAATGAATTCAGACAATAACATCACATAATCACCTAAAAGCCATGTTTATGAGTCTCTCTTGCTCGTATGTTGTTTGTGGTATGTATGTATGTTGTTTATGGTATGTATGTTTGTTGTTTGTGGTATGTATGTATGTTGTTTGTGGTATGTATGTATGTTGTTTGTGGTATGTATGTACATGTATGTTGTTTGTGGTATGTATGTATGTTGTTTGTGGTATGTATGTATGTTGTTTGTGGTATGTATGTATGTGATTTGAAAGAACAGAAAAATCAAGACAGACGATTTGATTCATACTCATTTTGAAACATTATTTAAGACTCCTTATTTGATACTTTATTGACGATTCAATTTTGGTGTTAAAATATCACGATATTGCATTTTATCTGTTCGAGGACCTGCACTCCTACAGTTAGTTCATATATGTGCACCCAGGAGGCAATGAATAAATGATATACAATTTGTTGAAAGATTTTCTGATAGCAGTGTAGGTTTGTTGTCAAGACTTATACAGGAATAAAGATCAATATTGTAAATTAATTTTGAATTTTAGATTCCAAGGTCGACGTGGAGGCCCTAAAGAAAAAAATAAAACTGTCACAGGTAAAGTTCATTAAGTTAATTTGTAGACTCGTTTTCAGTTTGTTTGGAAGGAAAATCTGTAATATTTCATAGCTAATATGAAGACTGAGTCTCTTAAAGCAGACTGAGGGTTGATTTTAAAAATAATAGTTAAATGATTAGTAAACTAAAATTTCTCAAAATGTCTTGTGACATATCAATAAAATAATGATTGATCTCTGTGGGGAATATTTTTATAATAATAGAAAGAACTTTTATCGCTAAATGTATAACATTAGATAAAAACTTTTTTAATACAAGCTGAAACTTATGAAATCCTGATTTCAGAAAAGAAAAGTTCCAGCTCCAAACCCAAGTGAAGATAAAGGACAAAAGAAGAAAAAGAAAAGCAAAACATAATAGTTGATGCATACAGACAGGTTGCAACATAAATGCTGGACAATAGGACAATGTGCAACTAATAAACTATGGACAGTGATTTTCGCCACAGATCAGCTGATCCTTTTTAGCATGTATTTGTTTAGTCTTAAAACTGCCGGTCTGTGACTCAGTTTGAACAGGTCAGCATTCCTAGGATGTAAGAACACCTAACAGATTTGACACTTTCCATAGTCGATGTTCAATTGTTTTATTTTCATTATTGAATAAATAAAGAGAGTTTGAAAATAAAAAAAATATACACTTTACTTTTGTAATTACTATCTATTTCTTGAAACCCCATGATCTAAGTTTTTATTATTCATTCAAACATTTTCAAGTTCTCAGGTTTTTACCCATATAACATAGATAAAGGAGTGGGCCAAACAGATATGTTTATAAATCCTTCCCAAAGAGAGGGGTCACTAGTATGTACGAATATAAATCCTAGTTTTCACAATATAGCCATCCAACATACAAAAGTGTTCCAATAATTCAAACAAAAGATATTTTGTTGAAGACTATATTTTCAGTTTATATTTCTTTAATATTATTCTGGTAATACAAAATAGTTCCTAGTATGTTAGTTTATAGTACTAGCCCACTTCTACAATTAATGTATCTGGTTCATCAACTACAAAAAGAAGCCCAGGTGCTATTCAGCGCACTAGTACCAGTCTTCAAAGAGTTAACCACAATATGGAAGTTTCATACTTTCTCACTGGCTTTGTTATATTGCACGTCATTTCATAAAACCAACCATCATCAGTTATCATTTCCATTAATCTGTTTTAACTCCTAACTCTAAACAGTTGGAGGAAGAGATTTCTCACCAATTTGAACCTTTTATGTGAAACGCAAACAAAATAAGTCATTAACACCACACATTAATGAAAAGTACCAGGTCAAACTGAGAATTCAATAATAAAATTGTAACAATCAAACCAGTCTAAGTTGACATCTCTTTTGATGATGTAAATGTCATAAAGGTTCACACTTTTGTGTACTCCTGTATAACTTGTACAAAATGTCAATGTCGGGAGAAAGTAGAATATAAATGAAAGTGGAACCTAATACATCTTGTAGTAGGGATGTACAAATAATGGCCCAGTACCCCTGGTGAACCTCCCCTACTTCCACAATTTTCCCAGCCAATGATTCAGGAAGGAGGGGGGGGGGTGAGATACAAGACCTTTTCAAAATGATGATGGAAAACTACATAACATGTGCTGCCTATAGTCTCAAACAAACCACATATGACTCAGATAGTCTTATAAGTACATATAATGAGGGAGGGAGGTCTCATAGCTACCAATAATAATGAGAAGACTCTCATGAAAAGTACCATGAATGAGACACCTCACAAATATCAATTATAATTTATAAGTACTAATAATGCTGTGTCTTCAAAAATGTTTAAAACAACCCAAGTCTCTTAATAATGTTAATAATAGATATACAACAGTGTAATAATAACAATTATACAAAAGATTGCATCCTGCAAATAATACTAAAATATTCTAATATTAAGTATATATATTGTAATGTATCAAACATAGCAACTAATAAATTGACTTTTAACGCCATAATGTCGAGCCCAATTCGTTAACTATTGGATTTTTCTCAGGCAGAGGCTGAAAATCCATTCAACAAATGGGCCAGGAGAAAATCCAGCATGTCTCGTTTTTTCACAATTTGTTTTCATAAATATACAATAATTCTATCATTCAAATATGTTATCATATACATATACTTGCATCACACTACTACGCAATCAGCTATTTTAATAAAACATGCTCAACTCAAAGCAGACTGCAAAATTTAGGGAGGTGTCTGCTCATCCTGAATACAAACGATTTTACAAAATGGCAGATGGCCAGGTGCAAGCGCAGTTAAATGGTACTTATTGAAACAAGCTATAACTATTTTTAAACATGGAGACACATTTAATCTTAAGGGCTCACATATAAAATGCACACCGTGAGGTATATCAGGGATTATGCAATAGACTAGTGTTATGTTTGAGCGTTGTCATATAATATATGTATATATTATTAGTTAAATCCCTTTACCATTTAACACTCAATACTACATGTGGATATATTCTTATAGGGAAGAATTGAACAGAAAGCAGCTATTGCCAAATGCAGTCTTGAACATAAATTACTGTTTTCAGTCTATAACTGCACAGCATGATTAAATTCAGAACTGCGATTGAAATATACAGAATTTTTCATTCCCAGACATTTTATCTGCTCTGAAATCTAAATGTACTCAAAAATTGAGTGGCACCATACTTAGACTGTTCTGCTACTCACGCAACATCAATGCAAGCCAAAGAAGCTCATATACTTGTACTACATGTAGTTATCGAGAAGCTAAGAAACATCATCACATTCTCATAGTCTATTGTGTCCTCTTTAAGCCTGGCCTCTGTGATTAAACACTTCTTTTTCAGTCATTCGATTCATATTTGAACCGCTCTCTAATCTGGACACCTCTCTATGTACTCAACATTTTTCAGTCCCATATTTTATCTGCCATAGAATTCCATGTTAAAAATGCCTCAAAATGTGAATAGCTGCCAATCTAACATGTTTGGCCTGACCATTCAAGTGGTGTACAGATTGGAAAGGTTTACTTTTATTGGGTTCAGTTATACTGGACTTGAAGCTGTTCTCATTAACAAACAGCTTCACTTATGACTGTCATTTCTCAACCAATCCTGACTTAAATATCTGGACTACACTATGTGTGAGATGCTTCATCGATTGAGTGTCGATTATATGTAATCATTGGTATAAAGGTAAAATAAAGCATCTACATTTTCTGCATCTTATGTTTAGATGTTTTTTTTGTGTATCCCTCTCTTCCTTACTCAGCTGCATCTTGTTTCAATATACTGTCGAAATTCTTATAGTCTCATCGTTTGCAATCAATAATATTACGCGTCTTTCTATCACATAGTTGGCAGCACTAAATGGTCCAGCTAACCAGTTACAACTTTCATTCTTTCTTGCTCAATTCCTCCCTTTCTTCATCTGAATCATGTGAGTCCTCATCGCCATCAGCATCCTCTACATCTGATGGACAGGGGGTAGTAGACCGAGAGGCGCTGGGAGAGGGGGGCTCAGAAGCAGGTTTAGGGTAGTAGAATCTCTTCCCCTGCAAGAAAAATATATTTTCAAAATCAATTTGTTATTTACAGTTAAACCTGTCTTAATAAACACCTCTCTCTAGTGAACACCTTCACCACTTCAAGACACATTTAACATAGCTACATGTATAAAATTCGATCTCTGTAGTGAACACCTACCGTGAACACATTTTTGTGACTCCAGAAGAATTCACTATATACAGGTGTAATTTATACAATATATTCACTGCCTATTTCATTGCCTTCTTCTACTTCAAAGCAAGATTGTTTAATCATATATTATGATGAGACCAGGTTAAACCAGAGACATATAAATGTTATATGTCTCTGGTTAAACAAATGAGATCTGTTTATTCTGCTCAACAATAGCAACATGTAAGCCTCTAGGTAATTGATCACTTATATCAGTTAAATATTACTGGTAGTTGTATGTCTAATTTCCATATAAAGTCATACTTACGGAGGCACTGTCCGAGTCCTCAAACAACTCAGGGTTTGTTTTAGAAATAGCAAGATTCCTGGCTTTGCGGTAGTACTGCAACCATAATAAAAAAACATTGAGTAAAATAATAATAAAAACGTTATTGAAGGAATGTTCCTTGATAAGGTAAGTGTTGATGAATCCAGAATATGTAACTTTACCATTCTTTAAATAAAAGAGCTGAGCATTTTTGTTTCAACATATTTTAAAATGAAAGATCTAGATTCTGTCCATGTCCAGCTGTCTTATACTCGTGGTACTGGACTTTATAGTAATACAGTGCAGGCCCGTAGCCAGAATTTTCCAAGGGGGGTTCGTTTTTCTAAAAAATTCTAGGGGGGGTTCACTTTGGCAAAAATGGCCAAAAATCACTAAAAAATTAGTCAGAATGGTGAAAAACTGCATAATTTTGAAAGAAATTTTGGCCAGGGGGGGTTCGCCCAAACCCCCCAAACCCCCCCTGGCTACGGGCCTGCAGTGCATATACAATATACATGTAATATGCATATAATATTTACAAATACATGTAATACATTTATACAAATATGGGTTAATTAATTATACCACCCAAGATGTTTATTCACCTGGTTTTCGCATCTAGATGCACATGAATATGTATCAGATTTAAGCAGTAACTTTGTTGAAAAAATCATTTTTTTTAAATTGACGTACCACTCCGAGGTTTCTCCAATCCAGCAGCTCACTGAGTCGCTCAGTCCTGTTCCTCTGGATAATCCTCTGACGTCTTGAAAGATTTGTGAAGTCAAACATATTCTGTAAGAAGAAAAGTGAACATAGTGATTGGTCTAAATGAATGCTGAATCATATACACAATGGAATTTTTTATCCATGTAATTAAATTGATAATCAAATTTGAGCATTTATATTGAGTAACTTAGGAAGGATATTATTTTTATCTGCAAGTAAATATCATATCTGCATCAGAGAATAATGGTGGTAGATATCTAACTCTAAATATAATGAGCCACCTTATGTTCTTTCAAAAGACTTATAAAACTAAAGTTTGTGACGCAAAGAATGATGGTATGCATAATCCATGGTCATACCTGTGCAAGCTGTCGAACAGATTCTTCTGGGCTCTTGAATCGCCTGTCAACTATGTATATTCCATAAGACATTGGGTCCGCTATATGCTCAGCCATGAAACAGCCAAAACCAGAGAGGTTGGTTGTGATACTTGGTATACCCATAACAGTACACTCAGCTGTAACAGTAACATAATACGAAACTAAAGATATGAAACTAGAGGTACTGTACAAAGCATTGTGCTGCTAGCTTTATGCTGTCAGGAAGCAGAACATTCTAAAAAGTTGCACAAATTGTTAATTTGGGGCCCGTTCAGTGTAAAATTTTTGAATTCCATAAAGTTGCATTTCTGTAGGATTCGTAAAGTTACAAACAATTCAAACAATTCGTAAAGTTATGAAAATAGTGACGTCATGCCTGCTTTGAGTGCTTTCGTTCATAAATTTAATAGCACCTCTGACCCTTATGAACTTATTCGTAACTATTAAATTATTTACAAATATTAGTATACTTATGAATTGCGAATGTTCGTTACTACAAACAGTAATAGAACGGGCTCCTGTAGTGCAGTAAATCTTCCATTCTATCATAATAATAAACAAAACTAAACACTGAACTGAACATACATGCGAAGATACCCCAACTGCTGAGGTGAGCAATAAAATGATGTTTTACCTGGAGTGTACCCCCAAGGCTCATAATATGATGGGAAGACTCCTAGATGACAGCCACGCACAAACTCTTCATAATCCATACCAAACAATGGGTTGGTGGAGTTGAGGAACTCTGGGTGGAATATGACCTGGTAAGAAACAAATCGCTGTTAGGCCAAGGTAATTAAATCATTGATCAAGCTTACCTCTAGCCTGTGTTTTCTTTCATATAGAAATATAAGGTTTCACACTGAATACAGATATCAATAATTACTGGGACCAAATTTTGATTCATATAAGATAAATGTAACTAGGAGACTTTCACAGTTATAAAATATACATGTAGAAAAGATGAAATAAAAAAACAAGTACCTTGACTCTGTCGCTGCTTTTGTTGAAGAGTTGAATTCGCCTAATCGTTGAAAGAACTGGATCATTTGCATCATCAATGACATTGTGGGTACAGACTGGGGGTAGTGTGGTTCTCTGTTTAATGAAAACAACACAGAAATAATGATCCCATAAACAACATTTCACACATCAAAAAAAACATTTCAATATATGATACCAGAGATAGCAAACATTTTAACAAATGACACCAGAAGAAGTGAACATTCTAATAAACAACATTCTTGAACCTCAGATAAAATCTGATTGCAATTGGAATTGTGTAGTCATTTAGGAATATCGTAGAGCATTTAGAAATATACATCAAGTAGACTAAATCGACTCACCTGTGCAGAGTAAATACATCTCTTCATTTTGACAATATCATCCTGAGAAAGTATTTGATCTCCTTCAGGTACGTGACCCCTACAATATCCAAAACAAATATATTAAATAATACGTATAACATCATAAAATAAACAATTATTATACATAATTGGCAGAATAACTGATATTATTATATCACTATCAAGCTTGCAAAATTGTACAATTGGCCAAAATGGTCACGTGACATGAAATATTATAAGTGATTTGGTCACTTTTTAAAAAAAATCAGGCTTGGCAATAAAAGATGGACTTAAGCTTCTTGACTTCAGCATATGATTTAATCATGGACATGATGAAATGTTTGAATCAATTTTGTCCAAGAAATTAGAATTCTTGGCTGAATGTTTATAGAATACAATACACAAATATTGTGAACATTTCTAGAGGTTTCTAGGTCATGCTCCATACCTCAAACATATTTCAAATAATCGTTTTCCTATGTTGTTCTGTACTTGTGCTATAGTGTCTCTCAGTTGCTTAGCAATGGCTTGACCTCTGAGCGACTCTACATTAAAGTTGTTGGTTCTTGCGGGAAATACAAGGAAAGCTACAACCGTCACATCTGTTCCTGATTCCTGCAAATTGAAACACAAACAAGATTGATGAACAAGAAAGACTATTAATGAACACAACAAAAAAGACTGATGAACTACAAAGCAAATTGTTGAAACACAAGATTGATGAACAACAAAGAAGCTCTCATTCAATGAAGAAGACTGATGAACTACAAATAAGACATTGGAGGAACCAAAAAGCTTTGAAAACCAAGTGAAATCTCCTGTTTAAGAACCTCTATTCAAACAGATTGGGATTGATTTTAGATATGCCCAGTGACATTCTCCTACTAATCAAACAGTGCATCTCCTGAGAAAATGATGATTTCAGCAAGGGTGTATTGATCTAAGATGGGGATATACACCACTGACTTAAAGTGGGAACATCGACTGCCGAGTCGTATCCAATGATCCTGGGCCGATCGTAAAATGAAAGCTTTGAATATGTTGTTGCCTTCAAAAATGTATCTATTTTCCAGGTATGCAACTAGAATTTGTGCACATACCTTATATCGATCGATAATGGCAAAGGAAAATCCTCCAATTTTTTGTCTTCCTTTCTCCTTTCGTCTCCGCCATTTTTTATTAAACCGGAAGTTTGTTCTCTGTCGTCCGCGCAATTTTTTTTCACTTTTATTTCAGATTACGCTTCAGTTTCAACTTTTAATGCTTTCTAATAAGCATCAGGTGATTTCTATAAGAAAGTTTTCATAAAAAGACTCACACTGTCAGAGATTTTATAGATTCGAGCGGCCAGAAAAATTAGTTTCAATTTCACCCGCTAGGTGTTTCATCGTCGACTTGGAAAGAATTTGAAAAAATCTATGAGTGGGACTCCTTGTATGGAATTGTAGATTCTAAACGATTTGCCAGTTCTACTGGTTGCTGAATATTGCCATATGCATACATTTTTATAAAATAGGAATAAGGAAGAAGATGTTAGACCAAACTTCGCCCCGATAGCTCAGAAAAGGTAAAATTTCTCCATTTTTCTCTCCACAGACCTTAGAGCTGCTTTAACAGGGGGATATCATCACAAAGAGACACAAATCCTCATTATCTTGAAACACTAATAGATTAAGCCTCAACCAGCAGAAATATGTTACTGAGCATATGTAAAATTAACCCCACTTTGTTTGAATAGGAGATTTTAGCCTAACCGTCTTTCTGATGGTTGTCTACATATATTTGAGATTAACTCTGAAATAGCTTCAACTTGTCTGCAATGTACAACTGATTACAATACCTTCATATAATAGTTCAGCCTAGCAAGAGACTCGAGGTAGAGGTCAGCACCTTTATTGCTAAACTCATAGCGTCCAGCTGTGAAGAAATATAACGTCTTGTCAAGGTCAAAGTCATAGTACCTAAAATGAAAATTAATCTGTTAAAGACTCCAGACTCCATGGATAAAAAGAAATCTTGTTTACAAACGTAGATGTTATCATTTTTGAGGCATAATCGAGATAAAGTATACATGTGGTTAAATGAGAGTGTTCATGTTACCTCATTCAAAATGAAGTATACTACAAACAATATAATATTCATTTGTCTTTGTATAATTCATAAAACAATAAAAATTGGTTGCCATGAAAATATACAAAAACATAGATAACAATAAACAATTTACAACAACTAACTGTACACACATCAACAATAACAACAGACATCTTCAATTCCCATACCCATAAAAATGCCCTTTTATAAAATCATTAATTTTTTCCTTAGCTGTGGCATGTTTTGATTGAAACTCGTGTACTGGCTCCCATTTAACACAGCATAAGCCATTTGGCCAGATCATGTCTGAGTCCTGACTCAGACTAAAATGAAAAAGTAATTGTAACTTATGAACTTCTTCAAACATATGGATACATAATGATACATATGATGCATGTACATATTTATACTATTTAGATAAAGGATGAAAATTGGTCACCATGGAAACATAATCAAAACTGGTTTAAGTCAAAGGAATTACAACAACAGTAAACAAAACACAATATAAAAACATGCTCAATACCCATACCCGTAAAAATGGCCTTTTACAAAGTCATTAATTCTTTCTTTAGCAGCAGCGTGCTTTGATTGAAACTCATGTACCGCCTCCCAATTGGCACAACATAAGCCATTTGGGCAGATTACATCTGTGTCCATGATAAAGGCAGCCAATGATAAAGTGAATATGTATAGTGTATACTAAACAGGAACATCTTAGATTATACACATGTATCTATGTTACATTTAGACTAAAACTATCTATATTAACCTCTTGACTACCTGAAGTGATGAGATTTCTCGTCAGCTTCAAAACTTAAAAATCGGTCACAAAATTTTTCACTAAAATTGCTCTTATTTGAACAATTTTCATCCAATTTACACAAAAATGCTTTAAAATGTGTAGAAATGATCTCTGCCATCTAATTTTACAAAGTTGAGCATATAAAATTGTAAAGGGATGTAGCAAAATGTTAAAAGGTGGCAAAAATGAAAAATTCTCTGGTTTCAACCGATTTTAGAGCCTGGGACTCAAGAGGTTAAGAGTTACATCTTAGATAACATTGGTGAGAGTTACACAGTAGCGTTTAATGCGAAATTATGAAGCATTTTGACATTTTGAAGCAAAGGAATGTTGAGATGTTACACAGGCACAAAATCCTTTGTTAGAAATCATTTAACCCTGCAGAATAACAGTACCATTTATAACAAAGACATTTCCAAAACAGGTAGGGTAAGCATTAATAGAATACAATCTTGGATTGTGCAATAACACAATCTTGGGTTGTGCAATAACACAATCTTTGGTTGTGCAATAACACAATCTTTGGTTGTGCAATAACACAATCTTGGGTTGTGCAATAACACAATCTTTGGTTGTGCAATAACACAATCTTGGGTTGTGCAATAACACAATCTTTGGTTATGCAATAACACAATCTCGGGTTGTGCAATAACACAATCCTGGGTTGTGCAATAACACAATCTCAGGTTGTGCAATAACACAATCTTGGGTTGTGCAATAACACAATCTTGGGTTGTGCAATAACACAATCTTGGGTTGTGCAATAACACAATCTTGGGTTGTGCAATAACACAATCTTGGGTTGTGCATTAACACAATCTTGGGTTGTGCAATAACACAATCTTGGGTTGTGCAATAACACAATCTTGGGTTGTGCAATAACACAATCTTGGGTTGTGCAATAACACAATCTTGGGTTGTGCAATAACACAATCTCGGGTTGTGCAATAACACAATCTCGGGTTGTGCAATAACACAATCTTGGGTTGTTGGTTTTGGGTTGAGCTCTGAGTAGTGTTCCAGATAGTCTCTATTCTTCTATGTTTGAGGATGATGAAGGGATATGGTGGGGACAGATGGGGAGGTATATGGAGTGACTGTATATGCTGCATGGGGAAATTGTTTGAAGGGATGTGGGCTGGGGATGCAAATAGATGTACAAAATTGATACTAAACTACTTTCTATAAAGTAATATCAAACTATGCATAACAACATACCCATGGAAATGTCCTCTAATGAAGTTACTTATTTTATCTTTCGCCCTAGCATGCATATTTTGAAACTCATGCAAAGCTGTAAATTTGGCAACATGCAAACCATTTGGTAAAATCATATCTACAAGCAAAAAAAAACATAAACATTTTTACAAGCTAGGAAAAACATTGCCCAAATAAATATACATTGAAAGACAAGGACGTTAACAAAATCATTGAGCTGAGCCTAATATTGGGCTAGACATAGCTAAAACAGATGCATGCAGTCTATATGGTTAGTTTCAATAGTTTGGTTCAAAACAGGCACTGACTGCATACCATGTGGTAAATAGCATGTACAAAAGTCAATAGCACATTGTAAAATAGTATGCACAAAAATTGATGTAAAATGCTGAAAAAGCCAAATAAAATTTATAAATCAACTGCACTGTCAATTCTAATTTGAACCATACTATGCGAAGAACCAAACACAAACAGCAGTTTTAGCTAAAAAAATATGTAGCTCGAGTCATACCCATGAAAGTGTCCTCGAACAAAATCATTAATTTTATCTTTGGCTCTTGCGTGTAAATTCTGAAACTCGTGAAGAGCTGCGAATCGCTGTACATTGAGACCATTGGGCAAAATTGCATCTAAAATTATTGAAATAAATAAATAAATAGTATAACTGCTGCTAGAAATAACATTTGCAAATTAAAATATTTAAGGCACAAATGACAATACATAACAAATAAATATCTGCAAGCAAAAATATTACAGTAGAACCTTTCCACGGGAACACCTTTGATACCTCTAAAAAATGTTCCACTCTGGAGGTGTTCCACTTATAGAGGTTCATTTAACATTAAATCAGTTGGTCTTGGGACTCTGAAAATGTTCTACTAACAGAGTTGTTTCACTTCTAGGTGATCCGCTTCACAGGTTTCACTGTACATGTATAATCTACTGTATATGGAGTCATTGACAGGTATCATACAATTAGACAGCATAAAATTTGTGTGTAACCATGGAAATCTCGACCTAATAGCTACAGGACAGTAGACCGAGATTTCTTAACCTAAAATTTTAATTCTCAAATTTTACACTTGAACCATAATTGTTCTTATAGAAAAATTGACATAATAAGCAATTTTGCTCACCTTGTGAATTGATCTCAAAAATTCTTTTCATTATTTTTTTAAATTGACATTATTTTTGTCCTATACAGGTCATTTCTAACTACCAATACATATTATTATTACATTATGTTCATTTTGAAAAGTATATAAAAGAAAATTGTGCTTATACCTGGTGCTCTCTTTAGGAGGCTTTTGCTCTCTATTCCTGTGATATGGGAGACAGTAGTGAACACATGGGCACAGTGCACTGCACTACGCTCCATGCAATACCTATGGTATATCCCTCTATCTCCTGCTTCTTTGTCAAGGTTGAACTGCAATGAAACATTTTGTTTTTACGATTGAGAAAAGTTAAGTCAAACATGGTCGTCTGAGAACCTGAGATGAAAATTAAATATGGTTAAAGGTGCATACATTTTTTGTTTTGAAGTAATCCAAGAAAAGTAACTATAACTTTTATATAAGAAAAAGATCTAAAGAAACTATAAAATGCTTTATTCCTGTTTTAAAATTTCATAGAAAAAATGTAGGGAAAGGTCAAAATATTAATGAGATATATAACTTATCTTCATTAAATGCAGACAATGGAATAATATGGGTGACTTGTCATTTTTAAGTCCATGCTGTTAAAAGAGAGTTTAATTCTTGATTAAACTACTTCTGGAAAAATGTAGCCCATTACTATAGACTTACATTGTCTAAGTTATTATAGAAGTCAACGGCACCAGCACAGAGGTATCTTCCGAGGAGAGTGGCATGGGTTGTGAAGATTGTTGATATATTTAAATGTCTAGTCCTACATAATACAAGCCCCATACCAGCTAGCCATTCATGGAAGTGTGCTACCACGATAGCTTTCTCATCAATTGATTTGCGATACTGAAACAGAAAATAAATAGATCCAGTGTAAAATTATCTGATTGACCTCTGTATTTAGCTAAATGTGAAAATTATCTTCCGAAACTGTGACCTGAGACCACTGGTCAAGGTTTACAGTGGAATGATGGTTACAAAATGTAACTACAGTGTAACAATTTGTCACAGACACCAAACACCAATGCTGGCAAACAACGCCATCAACAAAAATGGTGGCTATAGCAATATGGCACTTTATTGGTGACACAAAAAGAAACATTATACAGTGTGTCAAATAAATATGTTTTCCCCCTTAATTTCAAAAGTATGAACTTGTGTGCAAGTTAAATTTTCATTACCTCTCCCAGGAACCATGCTACAAGGGCACCAAATATGACGGCATCATTAGCCTCTCGATCGTGCCATGGAATTCCTATGTGAGAACTCTCCCATATTTCACGCTTCCAGTTATCCAACATCCATGCTGCAGATCCTATGTCAAACAGAATAACTGTTGGATAGCCCTCAATCAGCCATTTACCATGTGTAACCTAAAGATAAATAAATGCACTTAATTCTTGTCTTAAATCTACATGACCTGAAGCTCATTACTACAAGCTACAGGTTTTTCATATTACTAAGTATTATAGTCTCTCTGTCCCCTGAAGGAGAAACAGATCTATTCTCATTATTCTCCTGGTCTCCTGAAGGGGAACCATTGAAAACTAGCTATCAATATTGTAAGGACAAGTTTGAAACCTAAACAACTACATGTAGTAGTATGTACATGCTATATATCAGGAATCAGGATACAGGATGATTCCTTGTGCAAGTGCCACCCTGCATGTACCTCCCCATAAATATATCATTATAAGATTAGATATCATACAGAATTTTGAAAGAAAGTACAATTAGTCTAAATATACACCCTGACTCATAAGAATGAAGTGATTTCAGGGGCCCTGAACTGTTGAAATACTAAAATATAAAACTTAAGACTGGTTTCTACCATCTAACAATTAGCTTAGAGCCCATACATTTCAACGTGAGAAACATCTAAAATTAGTTTAGAGGTTGACCTATAGTCTAGACTACAATTTAAGTAAGAAACACTGCACCTTAATCCCCTTGTCTCTCATAGATTGTATAGCTTGACGGAGAAAGTAGTTCTGTGGCTCTGTAATCTCAACCTCAGTGCGTACACATGCCTCGCTGTAGGGACCCAGTAGACAATACTGTTCACCCAACTCCTCGATGCTCACTGCTGCCTTGGTCTTTATAACTGTATAGATACCTCCAACTGTAATTTTGCAAATAAAGATTAACATTATTAACAAACACTTGGCTTGAGAAGTATGGACATTTCAGATTGAAGGTTTAAAAATTAGAGAAGGACGGTATCAAGTTGTCAACAGTTAAAGAAGAACACCAATGATTCCAATTGTTGAAATGATAATTGTCACACCATTACTAACATGTTGTTTGTATGTTATCCCTACTTAGATTGGATATGATCAATGATGTTGATTAAAAAGGCCGTTTTACATGATTAACATGTAACAACCTTTTCCCAATTCAGACAAAATCTTTTTCAAAAAATATAATAAAATATAAAGGAGACAGCTTAATATGAGTTCAAAACCAAAGGTCAGCATAACTGAAAAAACATAAAGATACCATAACCCAACAGTTGGAGAATTTTGAACAGGAAACACAATACAGTTATCCAAATAACATGATATTAACGCAGAAATATAGCAATAAAGAGTGCCGAATATATTTATGAGAAGTTGTTTGTCTAAACTTTGAACAGCTGCTATGGCGATGTGTGTGCATCAATTTGCACAGATTTTTGAACATTGTGAAAGTACCAAATGAGTAGACATGTAATTTATAATTTATACAAAGAACCCACCCGACAACTAAAACTATATTCACACATAGCTACTGTACTACATGTAGCTACATGTAGGTAAGGTGAAAGGTGTGTCCAATTCTAGCCAACCAAAACACGGTATTTCATATAACTGCATTGCATTATATAACACACAACCCATCGAAGATCACTTTTCTTTTTTGTGACATGGTGACAATCCATGATGCTGACTGACAGGAACAGTAGTGACAACCTGACCCTTGCATAAAGTTTGTGATATTGTATACTATAATTTGCAATGTGTGAAAAGGACTTAAGCCCAAGACTCGAAGCATTGTGGCTGATTCATTCCACTCAGGCGTTGTTTCCTAAACTTTGCATTCCCGCTGCGTGGCAAAGGTTTGAAAACAACACCTTAGAGGAATGATTCAGTACATGATACATTGAGTCCAGGGCTTAATCCTTAATCAATGACTGCTTCAGTAAGTGAAGGGAATTATGGTTTCAACTCTGACCACATGTCTTTCTGTAATCATGCTTTCTGTACATGTACAGCTGCATTACATGTACAGCTTCAAGGGTACTGCAGAATATACATGTAGGCTTACCACATGGTATGACCTATTCGAAGTAAAAAAGTGTACCTGCTAAAAGAAAAAAGCCTACAAAGACTGTCTTATCGAGGTATAATCATGTATAGAAACACATTTTCTCTTGAACTGGTTCTAACGAATCAAAAGTCAAATGACTTTGAAGTCTCTGAGTCTGAAAGTGGCACATATTCAATCAGTGTTCTTTGATAAGATTCCAAATTTTTTGTTTCTTGTAAATGAGTGAATATACAAAAGGCTCCACGAGATAACCACGTACTTCCGAGATACAACATGACATGAACGATAACTCATGAAATTCTGCAACAAAGTTAGAAATTTAAAAATAAAATTACAGATAAAATTGTCAAATTCTGTGACCTTGAAACTTCCGTACATTTTAAATGTACTTTTACCTTTATTTGCGACCTCCCATGCGATTTCGAAAACATGCCTGTCTTCTGCCTTGGCAGTTAAACCCCCATCGAGCACACTGTCGTCATATTCAGGCTCTAAACTCTTCAAAGATCGAGCGAAACTGCTTCTTCTTCTCATTGACATATTGTTGATGACCTAGAAAGTGGCGACCTCTATTGTAAGTCAATTACATTTTAGGCCACGAAAATAAAATACTGGAAACATTGGTTTCACATATTTCGTAAATTTGATAAAATAGATGTCGTCAAAAACGATGGGCTAAAATACTATATCTAGTATATAGCTGATGTAGAAGATGCATTTTGCTCCAAACCAATTTGATCCCCACCCCATGTAAGTAGCCTAACGTGGCCTAACTAACTAGCTACATGTATTGTACATGTAGGTATGAGGCCCGGGGGGGGGGGACTGTTCAACTTTTTGTACGGGGGGGGGGGGGGCGCTGAGATTCAAAATATATCCCACTTCTAGAGATTATTTTTCTCTAAAAATGGACCCACATCTAGGGTTTTTCTTTCAAGGTATTTTTAAAAAACAAGACCCACACCGGCGATATCTAGGGATTTTTCTTCAAAATAGGACCCACATCTAGGGATTTTTCGGTTAAAACTGAGGTGATCCACTTTAGCGACACGTCCCCATGTCGGTAGCCAATATTTGGGAGTACCCCCCCCTTGGAATTGAGGCAACTCAGTGCTCAAAATTTCCAAAAATATAAGCAAATATTTCGGATATACATGCTGAAAAATTATTGAAAGTGCAACGGTAGGCCTATTGCCCGAATGAAATATTTGTTTTATTATTGCGAGAAATTCTCTACAATCATTTTGCATTTCAAAGAAATATAGAATATTTGTTTTAACCTATGAACATTTATTCTCTCAATATTCTAAGTTATTGAATGCTTTGAAGTGAAATACAGGATATTTTGTATTTGCACTCGATTTTATCTCGTGCCAATACAGAATTTCTCGAGCACAATATATCCTGAATTGCACTTTAAATCATTCTATAACGTTTTTATCGTGTGATCTTAGGCCAATACATTTTACTTTTGAGATAATCCCAATAAGGAAATATTCGTACTTGCTCTAAAACCATTAATTCAATGCAAACGCTTTTATTTCATGAATTGAAATTCTTGATATTTCAATCAATTAAATGAAATATGTATTGATATCGAGATTGTCCCCTCCGTACAAATGATCAATTCCGTAGCAATACAAGTTGAGGGGACAATCTCAGTTGCAATACAGAATGGCACAGCATTATTCTCGTTTGGGGTGCGAGAGCTCCTGGGTTCCCATATAGCCAATATTTGGAAGTACCCCCCTCCCTCCCCACGGAATCGAGACAACTCAGTGCTCACCAATATATCCAAAAATATAAGCAAATATTTTAGACTAGAATCATATGAAAGAAAAGCCTCTGGAAGTTCCTGAAAGTACTTCAAATACAAAATAATTTTAACGAACCGGCAAGAGATCTGTATCAAAATATTCCTTTATATATAACAAATGATTTCTGAGATTTAACATGGTGAACGAGGTGTCAAAGGGCACTAATTTGACAATTAATTAAAAGAATATTCCTCATTTCTTAACTAGTTCAACATTATACAGTCAGTGTTGATCACCACATATTAATAAAATTGTGGTCAACTTGTAAATGTGCCAGGCTGGAGCCCTGCCAATCAATCAGTGTTTTGGTAATTGCCCACTGGTTCATACATATTGTACTTTATCCTATGCCAAGTAGAGTTTTAGGGAGAAAAGTTGGTAAGATATCGCGTATCCTGATTTTGAGGTTTCCATATCCAGAACCTCCGTATCTCCCGCCATATCTCCCGCTTCGGTGCATATCTTCCCGCTTCCGGTAAGTAGTGGAAATGCAATAAAATGACTTTGCATATGAATGATTTGTTTATTTTTACACCTTGTACTATTGAAATGACCATATGCCCCTGAAAACTCTACTTGGTATAGGATAAAGCAGTTATGTATGGTCGGTTTGGATATGGGGTTCATCCCTCGTGAGATATGCACATCTACCCTCGGTCCCTACGGTCCCTCAGGTAGATATGCATATCACCCTCTGGATAAACCCCATATCCAAAACCTCCCAGTACATAACCCTTATTTATCTGGTTTGATTAACTTTATTGAACTAGTACCAATTATCACCAAACACAATCACCTCCCTATCAATACAGATTTGTTATTCATTGGTTCAGATAATGTGATCTATCATTGATCATGATCTCATCTCAACCTATCGTATGTCCACAACAGGGCATAAATAGCAAAATGTATACAATACAGCTGGGAACGATGAAAAGATGATTCATTGCATAACATCCAAACAGAATAAGACAACAGATAAATGTTATGCCATTTTCAGCAATGGGAAAGGTGTAACTCTAGAACAGTTCAAATTGCACAATACACTACCAATATACGAGTACACACAAATCAGTAATGTAATTCTCAATGGTACACCCAGCATAGGGTGTAAGACTAGATAATATGAATGACCTAATGTCAAAGATATGTAAAGACCACTAAGACTGTTTTTTCGGGCCCACTTTTTGGTTTTAGGGACCCAATTTTTAAAAATTAAATCTGAAATTTGCCCCCCCCCCCTTGTTGGTTCCCAGATCCGCCCCTGAACAGGTTTTTAATTTGTCAGATGTAACAGAAATAAACTATGTATTGGCTGGCGATACTAAACAATAAGTTGACAAAAAATCTCACCAAGATGAAAAAATCTAGGACCATTTGCAATTGTGAAAAGCATTAGAGCTGCACATAAAAGAGTTCTACAAGTTAGTTGTCCAATTACAAGGTTATATGGAATGGCATAAACTGTTATTTTACCCGTAAACTATGCTGATCAAGACTAAGGGTTATCCTGCTATAACATTGGTGCAGCAAAATACCATTTTCAAGAGATAGTGCACACAGCACTGCACCTAAGAAGAGAGTACTTTGAGAGAATTTTGATGCACCAAGCTACCAAGCCACTTGGTATTGACTACATGACTCATGTGCTAAGGGTGTTCAAAATGATTTTATTGCTCCACCCCCATTGTTTGCTCTGCCCCATTGTTCATAGTTTTTAATCAAATAAAAGAGGGCATAATTGTTTGAAGCAAGAAATCGTTTGAATCGCTATTAATTTAGACTATTACTCAAGATAATAAACAAAAACCTCTGTTAAAAACGTTAAAAATTAATAATGAAAAATGATTTTCATTAACTTCGTATTTGGTCATTAAAGATTTCTTGCGAATGTCTTGCAGAAGTATGATTGACAATTGACACTGCTTGCGCTGGTTCATTTTATCTGAATATAAGAAGTAGTTTTCAGTTAAATATCAAATTGTGCGGAAACATTGAAACTTGTAAAAATGGCCTGCTCTACCTCATTGGTAAAAAAAGTCGATGACAGGCTGTGATGATGATAGTGACAATTATGTTTCCACATAGCACTATATGTTTTAATATCCATTTTATATTAATAGTAAACCAACCATCGTGTCTGCAAATGTTTTGAGGATATATTAAAGTATACATTGGTGACATACACCACATTCGAATTCTTTACTTCTATATGAACATTTAAGTAATATAACATATGAACTGGAAAATCAATCAAATATGGTTTATTTTCACTTTTTATCGTTACTCAGACTGTTTGTACTAAACAATTTTCAAATTTTTCAAAAAACACATTTTTTATCCAAAAACACATTTTGACACCCATTTCTTCTTGTTAAATCTCAGTATCAATTTAGGAACCCTACTTTTCAATTGGTAAACATGAATTGCCGACTCGTCAACATATAAGATGTCATAATATTTTCAACCCTCTGATTCTAGTCTATTTCATACAACTTTGACCAGCACTTCCTTTTTAATTTCATTATAACAAATTATTGCAGTTTGTCTGCTGAGTCTGATACTAAATTGAGCAATAAATTGAACGAGACCATGGTGGCTCGTTGGTCTAGGGGCATGATTCTCGCTTTGGGTGCGAGAGGTCCCGGGTTCAAATCCCGGACGAGCCCTTTCTTTTAATTTTAAACTATTGTTTTGCTGATTCAGATACAAAACTGAGCAAAAAAATGGTGTTGGCATGGCGGCCCGTTGGTCTAGTGGCATTATTCTCGCTTAGGGTGCGAGAGGTCCAGGTGTAAAAGGGTAGGAGGTCCTCTCAAATAATGGTCCTACTCTCCATTGATTTATATGGTGACCTAAATACAACCCTTTTCCTTATTATCTTATACACAATCAGGGCCAATAAGGGCCGTTTAGAAAGGGGACCATAATTCCCAGGGGACCATAATTTCTTTCACACCGGTGTGAAAGAAATTATGGCCCCCTGAAGATTATGGTCCCCTTTCTAATCGGCCCTTACCTGTACTGGCCCTGATTGTGTATACGATGATAAGGGAAATAGTTGTATTTAGGTCACCATATAAATCAATGGCGAGTAGGACCATAATCTGATAGGACCTCCTACCCTTTTACACCTGGTTCAACTCCCGGACGAGCCCTTACTTTTAATTTCAACATATTGTTTTGCTGATTCAGATAGAAAACTGAGCAAAATTGGTATCAGCATGCCGGCTCGTTGGTCTAGTGGCATGATTCTCGCTTAGGGTGCGAGAGGTCCCGGGTTCAACTCCCGGACGAGCCCTTACTTTTAATTTCAAACTATTGTTTTGCTGATTCAGATAGAAAACTGAGCAAAATTGGCATCAGCATGCCGGCTCGTTGGTCTAGTGGCATGATTCTCGCTTAGGGTGCGAGAGGTCCCGGGTTCAACTCCCGGACGAGCCCTTACTTTTAATTTCAAACTATTGTTTTGCTGATTCAGATAGAAAACTGAGCAAAATTGGTATCAGCATGCCGGCTCGTTGGTCTAGTGGCATGATTCTCGCTTAGGGTGCGAGAGGTCCCGGGTTCAACTCCCGGACGAGCCCTTACTTTTAATTTCAAACTATTGTTTTCCTGATTCAGATAGAGAACTGAGCAAAATTGGTATTAGCATGCCGGCTCGTTGGTCTAGTGGCATGATTCTCGCTTAGGGTGCGAGAGGTCCCGGGTTCAACTCAAGGACTTCCCTTTTAATTTCAATGAACAAATAATTTGTCTGATACAATGATGACCAATACGGTGTAAACCGGTAGGAGGTCCTATCAATTTATGGTCGTACTCTCCATTGATTTATATGGTGACCTAAATACAACTCTTTCCCTTATTATCTTCTACACAATCAGGGCCAGTAAGGGCCGTTAAGAAGGGGAGTCATAATCCCTGTGGGACCATAATTTCTTTCACAACGGCTCATTGCAGGGAGATTTTGTAATTTTGTCAAACTAAAAGAAAACCAATTTTCTTTATCATCCTGTCAGATCCATTGAACCCATAAAACATGTATTTTTCATTTAGCCTACCTGTTCCTCACTAGATTTTTTCTTGTCCTGCTGTGGTCGTTCTCCTTTCTTTTTGGTCTTGGTCTTTTCTTTTTTAATCTTCTTTTCTTTTGTAATGCTACAAGAAATTCAATATAATATTTGTTTTAAAACACGTTTTTGTTACTTAGGGATTTAGACGTTGACTTGTCTTTCCCGAACGAATTCTTAGAAAGATTCAAAATTTACTCACTGTGACGTGTCTCGATATTCATGACGTTTTGGTTTGATGTCATGGACGACTATTTTGATATAATCTTATTATACAAACAAATATTTAAGCACGGCGAACTTACTCTTTGACAGGTTCTGGGACTGGAATAATCTTCGTAGAAAGAAGTTCTTCGGTGAATAATTCAGGTGATCTTTGATTGTCTGACTTTTGAGATGCGTCATCAGCTTTTGATTTTTCTGATTCATCAGTTGGTTTAAACTGCATCTGCTCTTCTGGAGAGGCAGCTGGGAAGACAGGGGTTTCTGAGCTGTCGCGCCTGAGCTCTATCTCGGTACCCTCTGTTGTTTTGTAGTCCGGTGTATAGACGTTATGGGCTACGAAGCTTGGCATATACGTTGGAGACTGGCTATCGGATGTCTCAGGTTCGGATGCAATACCATCACTGGTTGTAGGCAGGGTATCGGCAGTTTTTGGGGGTTCAACTTGTTGTGACTGGTCACTTGTTTGTTCAACAGATTCAGGAAGAGCGGTTTCATCCACAATATTTTGTTCTAGCGTTTTATTTTCCATTTGTGAATCATCAGTACTTGGGACTTGATGCGCTACAAAACTAGGCATATAGCCATCAGTGGATACCTGACCCTGACCCTGCTCATCGGTTATTGGTCTCTGATCATCAGCAACGTTTTGTTCATACTCTTTCTGTACAGCAGTTGTAACCTCATGCGCTACAAAACTTGGCATGTAACCCTCTGATTGCTGCTCTGTTTCACTGACTGCACTTTGAGGTCCAGTTGTTTCCCTTTGAGATGAATCTTCTTGTTGCACTTGGTGCGCCACAAAACTAGGCATATACTTCCCAGTGTTTGTCTCAGCTTCTGGTTGAACAGATTTCTCCGTTGCATAAACACGATGGGCAACAAAGCTCGGCGAATACTCACCATCTGTTGTAGTCTGAGTATCACTCATTTTTGAATCACTACTACCATCAGTTGCCTCTAGCTGAACTTCATTGTAACGAATCAGTCCAGGTGGGGCGATAGGCTCTTGTTGTTGATCTATTACGTTCTGAGATTCATTAGCATTTACATCATCAAGTCTCTCCTTTTCAAGTTTTTCTGCTTCCGCCTTTCTTCTGAGGACCTCGACTTCAGCATTTGTCACTAATTGATCCAAAAGATCATCATCTGATATATTCTTAGGTGGTGCTTGAACCTGGCCATCGTCTACTGATTGAGGAATAGCCTCATCTACGGCTTGTACTTGCGTTTCACGTAATTCACTTGATGGGGCTATTTCTTGAGGTGGCTCTTGATTACCAACATACTCTGATGATGGTGGTGGAACTGGCTCTTGCATGCCCTGTTCTCCATACATCTCCTTTCTTAGGGCTTCCACATGATCTTGACTGATTTCTTCTACGCTGGGATCAACATCGAGACTTTGCGCAGGTGTCAATGGTGGAGCATGATCACGCTGAACATACTCCGGAGCATCAGCGTTCAAATCAGACGCAGGCTGTTGAGTTTGTGTGTCAACTGATGTTTCAATCATTTCACTTTGGCCCATATTGGCTGTTGGTGGTACTATTGGTTGATTTCCTGGTGCAGCCCATGGATCATATCCTTCTGGTGAGGCACTCCATGGTTGGCCCATCGGTGGGGTCGAGTAGTCAGGGACAACCTCCTGTTGTTGGTATTGGGCAAAACGGGACTCGGAGAAACCATGTTGTCCCTCAACAATATGGTCATCTTCACTACTCCTATCTATAGATTCTTGTATTTGAAGTTCAGTTTCGTGAAAAGGATCAAACTTTGGTGGAGCATCAACTTGCTCAAATTGCTGTTGGGGTGCCTCTACTGGGACTGTCTCACTCGCTTCCACAAATTCTTCCAATGGCTCATCTCCTTCCACGGAAGGTTCACCAGGTCCAAAATCTGCTTTCTGATCTTGCCCGTTTCCAACTACATCTCCGTCTAGTCGTTCGAGAGAGTCAGAAGATAATGTTGAGGCATCTTCAGGTGAAGATTCAGGAAATGCCTCTGCAGCTTGTTCAACTGAGATGTCTTCATGTTTCTTATCCGATTTTCCCTTGTCCCCTTTCTTGTCTCTTTCCTTTTTACTTCGGGGAAGCTTTGATTTACCCGCGCCTTCATTCTGTATGTCACTCATGACTTGAAGAAACTCTTCGAAATCAATGGTCCCAGAGTGGTCAACATCAACCCTCCGCATGATCGCCTAAAATGGAAAACGATTAACTAAGCATAAGCTTCCCAATGGAAAGCTTTATTTTAATCAGGCGTTTCAATAGCTTAAAGGAAATTTTACAACTTTATATTGTCGAAGCCTTTAAAATTCATGTAGTATAGCTGAGCGAAAATCGTGAGAAGGCACTAATTTGATACTGAACTATGTTTCTTTAAAATGTCGCCCATATTGTGTAGGAGTTTGATTATTCTGGATTATACATGGAAGGTGTAGGTTCATTCTAACTTACGGTAATTTTGCCTTTGGGGATAACATATCCCAAACGCTGAGAGACAGAGAAGAGTTCGTCGGAGCTAATAAGACCATCCTTGTTGATGTCAAACATACCGAAGACCCTCTTCAGTTTCTTAACGTCGGCGTCACTCAAACCAGAAGCCATGATTTCAAATTGTCAACTGAAACATTGAGCACAGAGTTAATTTTATCATCAGGTGGCTCATTCGGGGCAGATAGCATGGCGGGTATAGTAGAAAGTTCCCTTTAACTTAAATTACATATTTTTTAGTGGTTCAGTTTTCATATTACCCTTAGTTATGGAAATTAAATAGTTCCAGTAAAAGAAAATGTTATCGGTCCAATACAAAAAAAGATATTTCACTTTTTGTGATTTTGTAACATGAGGTCTATAGGGAATCAATCCGTACATTTTCAAGACAAATCTTTCAAAATTGATAAACAATTTTCAAAACCATATTTCTAGATGTGCTTTTACATGTATATTACACCTTACAAGTTAAATCGCCAAAACTTGTATAAAAACAGGGTTACAACTGACAATACTACCCTGCGCGCAGAGTCTAGTTATAAACTCTCTTTTTAGAAGTGATGCCGAACGAATGCAAAGGGTATGACAATACATTATTTTAGGAGATACTATTACCACAGTTTTTGTAGCCAAACACTAGAAAGTTATGGAAGCATTGTTTCCCTCTCTCCCATATTGCCTCATAGTTGTCGTAAAAATGGTCAATGGGGTAGGCAATCTAAGAAAAGACAGCTCGGTGTTCATCGATTGTCTATAGACTCCTGATAAGTTCAATCAATGAACTATGAATTTTATATGGCAATATAATTTATACATGGCAATATTAATTTATATACATATAGACGTTTGATTCTTTTCCATTATGCAAAAAACAGAATATTAATTCCAATCATTTTGTTAGAAATACATGTAGGTCAGCCTGACCTTATATGTTTATCAAATAGTTTTTTAATCTGTTCATGTATACAAATAAATCATTTTTGGACATTTTTATGACCCTCAATTTCTCTGAGAAATCTAAATCTGATCAGCAGTCAAGCCAAATATAAGTTTCTCTTTTCATGCAGTTCAATGTCTGATTGACAGATCTATTTTTGTCCTTCCATATTTGGGAGTGAAATTGATGTCTTGTGTTGAAGTTCCAAGGTCAAGCTGATCTGGCCACTCTCTAAGACAATTTGATAAAATATAATTTTGACTGAAATCGATTGTTTCTATTTATATTTTCCTCGCTAAAAAGATGTAAATAGAAAAAATACCTTACAAATCATTCTTGGCTATCTAATATCAGTTTACTTGAGAGGTTTTGATAATAATCATTTTTATTCGAAAGGAGGTTTCTGACAGATTTTAAAGGATTGTTTTTTCAAGATTTTTAAGGAAAAAACAATTTCACAATCTTCACAAGTTCAGAGATTCACTTGGATTTTATTGTCTCATTAGATAAACTGTTGGATTAATTTGGGAATCAATGCTAGATTTAATCTTGATAACAACTTGTTGATATCAGAATGAATAAAGATCGAGTAAAAAGGAGAAATCTGAAGAGAACACCAAGCACTTTGGTTTCAAATTGTAGTGATTATGAATCAGTTCTGAAAAAAGCGCAGAGGAAATAGATAAAGTAAAATGATAATGGGAATAGAACATATGAAGTTGGCATGGGAATTGATACCGTATCTATAGGCGATGGTTTACAACATCAGTATCTTTCCTATACACCTGACCGTTCAATCACACCATCGTTACACTCCCTTCAATAAGTTTGGCAATCTTAACTTCCTTTTTTTGACTACGTAGCATATAAACATAGCATTTTGCCATAGATTCCGAAATTATTCGTAAAGCTCACCTCGTTGGTGGAAAGTAGGGATTCAGTGCAAATTGTCGGTAAACAACCATATAATTCATAACATTAATATAACTGACATTTTACAAACTATGTACAAAATATGAAGCAACATTGACGTAGTTACAGGAAAATAAACACAAACATGATGTATTTTTGCTGGTAATTTACAAGCAAAGGTCGGTTTACTTTAGTTAAAGTGACATTTGCAGGTTCTTCTCGTCATTAATATCAAAGTGGGCGTACAGAGTAAAAATGGTGTACATATGCATGTTGAATAATCACAATTGGCAACATTCACTGATGAACGGAACATAATTTAGATAGTGCCCCAGACCTTAGCTTGGCCTTTTCATTAAACGTCTGCGTGTAAAGCGATGATGACACCTCTCTTATGTAACCATTGCTTTTATTTTTTGTATTTTATAATCTTTCACATTTTGTACCTTTTTCATTTTGACAAAAATTGTCATCTTGTTAATCTAATTTGTCAATTTTTGCCGCTAACTAGCAATTAAGCTGTAAGGTAAGGACTGTAAAGAACGTGTATTGTTTATCCGGTTGGTCTCATTACTTCACGGCGACCATCATCGTTTTCATAACCCCTTCGTCTTAATTTTTCCACATGGGCCTTTTAATTGGTAGTCCTAGGGGCTTGCTTCTCTTTGGTATGTGTGAGTCAAACCACGGAATATGCATATACAGTGAACTTTAACTTGTAAACACATGTCTGTAGTGAACACCATTTCATGGATCACACTCCGTTGACTTCAGTATAAAAACAGTCTCTACTCTCTTTACTGGACGCCTATCTACAGTGAACATTCAGTTGCTCCAAATATGTTAAATACACAGAAGTTTCACTGTATATGCATTTTTTGTACCGAAAACGTTTACGTCAATATTTACATACAGTAGCTTGGATCTGTAATATTTGAAGGTGAAACACGAATATGATATCAGATAAACATGGTTGCTTGTTATGTCAGACCTCAAGTTTTTCTAGGTCATTCAGACCCAACTTTAGAATATGTTGTATGATTACATGGCAGAACGATAATACACAGTCAGGCGCATTGCCCCCCCCAAAAAAAAATCCTAAATGGGTTTTGTAGAGTAGAGACCACTTCCCACCCACTGAGACATTACATGGGGCTATGCTGTGGACTGTGTATGAAGTTAGTTAGTAATGGGACATGTTCCAAAATGATTACTAGTAGTTATAGGCTAGCCAGTAATTAGACCAAAGTTTGTCTTCGAGGGATACTCGATTGCGCATGAACTAATGAGGAAAATGATACCCTTGCAACTACAATCCAAGAGGTGGGGAGGGACTAGTAGGCCCAATGGATATCAATTTCAACCAGACACTATAACGACTCTCAGCGTCATCTATGTGCATTAAAAAACTATGTGGAAGAGTACGCACCATTATGAAAATAATTTGACATGTTTCAGGGCAAAAATATTACGAATGCAGTTTTAATCAATAAACATTTTTGCCATAAATGTTTCTTCATTGCAATTCATATTATCCTTGGTTGATTCAATGTGTTGCAATACAATTTCCATTTGATATGTTTGAATCCATTGTGGGCCAATGTTTTTTGTAATGACAATTTACAAGTGCCTATCTAGCTAAATACTTAAATTATTTGCATTTGTAGAACTCGTCTTAATTTAGTGCCATGGATGTAATGCAACTGCACGTTTGTATTTGAAAGCTTATTATGCAATAATTTTCATTTTATATATGAACAGTCTAAGTAATCATACATATGTATTAAGGATATGTTACTCACCTGTTGAAGAATATTTAATAAATAAATATCCAATTATTTCTGCTGATCTTGAACGAATTCGAAAACGTCTGGCTGAAACAGTATTCTGACTGAACAGTGTTCCTGTGTTGTCTGCAGCAGATCACTGAGTCTCGGAAATAAGCCTCCCACTATCTTAATTATTTTTTGCACGGCCTAGGATACCTGTACAGGTAGGTAGATCGGGACCGTCTCATGAGTGAAAAACTTTAATAAGATTTATTGCTCATTAGTCACGATATGTATGGAATAAAAACAATCTGTGATGTTCAGTCTGTATGTGAGCTTACAGTGAGATATCAGAGTAAATACTGGGTAAGGACTGGAAATGAACATTAAAAATTATAGCACATAACGCCCAGAGTCAGACAGGCTCCAATCAAATCTCTGGTGGGCAAGAGATCCAAAATAAAACAGAATGTTTCCGATCACGTTTCCATGGTAATTATTGAGAACGTCCCTAGGCATCAGTTTCATCAGATGCGATATATTACCAAGTTGTAGTAGCTATATTGATTGCCAAAGGTGATCCTAACAAGTTATCGAAAAGATTGGGAATCACGAGATACTTGTGTACCTAAATGGTGGACTTCTTACCTCATCCCATCATGTGCTCATTTGAGTAATTAGTTACAGATCTTTGAACACAGTTGTCATGGTAACGGATGTTGTATCGGGGTGTTGTACATTTTTCTAGATACAGGGATGAATCAGACATAGACTAACAATGGATAATGTTCTTTTTTGGACAAATCTAACCGGAACTGAAATGATCCAAATACATGAATCATACAAAAGAGATAAGTAAAATCAAAATGCCGAACCTCTGTCATTTCACTTACTTAGTTTAGTCCGTTCCTAAACGTGTGCTTATAATTAAAAACACGAATCCAGATTTTGTCGTATATCTTTCTATTCGGTATCTTTTAACTTTTTCGATTCGGATCATGGTATACGAGGATTCTACTTAAATAAACACAAGATGTTACTCTGCCCAGGTTTCTCATTTGCAATGGGCACTTCAAAAAAAATTTACCACAAAATTTTCATTGATTTGGTTTGAAAAAAGCCAAGAGCACATTTTGAAATTGGGGTAATAAAAGGTAATATAACAATTAAGCATGTCAATTAAAACCATCTCAACTTATTCGCTCTCAGGAATTGATGTAAAAACAGAAACGGTGAAAATTCACAAACATCATTCTGATACTCATCACATCTTTCTGACTTCAACTATAAATATGTCTTCTAGAGAGAAGCTGATAGAAGACCATGGTTACTCACGATGCACAAACAATTGTATTGGGGGCGGGGGGGGGGGGGTTGTCAATCAGAAAGTGATGACTTATTAGCTTCCTTCGCCATCTATTCAATAAAGACTTCTTTTTGCTGCACAATGTCGCCATCTATACAACATAAATTTATTTTTGCTACACAATGATGAAGGGTTGTGGTTAGTACACGGGGTGGGATTGGAAGATTTGTTTGCTATGGGAATCGAGCAATTTGGTTATTTTCCTTGATGTATCAATGAGACCTTGTTCAGCAGTTCTTATTTTTTTTAATGAGTAACAAACGAAAACAGACGTTCGTGTATACATTTTCACAAGTCTTGTATTCTTGCCGATAGAAGTGTCATATTTTATAAAATTTGAATGTTGTACATTTCTTACATTTCATTTCGCAAAGTACATTTCAAATTCTAGGTCTCACTAATACTTCCAGAGTCGTATATAGATGTTATCAAGTCACCATATTATGACATTAAAAGGTTACACAAAACGCACAGGGTATAGTAAATGCTACAGAACATCCCATAAAGAACCATTATAACATTTTATCTCAAACTTGTTATCGGGCATCGCTTAGTGAAACAGCTCACAGTATTCATTGGAGTATTGTCTAGCTTGCTTTTAAAATACATTGATACCGTGACCACATTGATTTGAGAAAAAATGAACCTGGATAGAGCTACTTCCAGTTAAATTATTCTGCTCGTCATCTTTACGGTACTCACGTTTGTCAAACTTCTCGCTTCTATTTCAATACGACTATGTCTTTACAGAATCTATGTGAGAGACCCTTTATCATATCTATCCTACAAAACAACAACTTTGAGATCATTATCAGAAACTTCGTAAAGTTAGAAATTCCAATATATTGTCATGGTAAAATAACAAATATCTTAGGAATTTTCATCTTTACAGGACACTAACCCTTACGTAACAATAAGGTAAATTATTAATTTCTATAAAAAACGTTTATATGTTTAATTCAGCGCTTGAAATACATAATTAATATGAATTGTTCATTGTTTTTGCAATCTACCAGGTCTATCAGTTCTGGTTGGACGATATGTATATGAAACCCAGACTCTCATTACCTGTGAACTCTAACCCTGGAATGGTGTTTCCCAAGCAATATTTCGAGGACCAAGACGCCCAACTAAGGTAATGAAATACATCTCTATAGTGGTAACATTGTATTGATACGTATTTAACGTTTTATTTTCAACAGGTTTTTATAGTACATGTAAAAGTTAACACACTCCGATTATATTTAAAGATTACAAAGCATAATAATACAATATAATTATGATTATTTACAAAGAATGACGAGAAAGAAGCATCAGTATACCTAACGAACTTTCCTCTGGATAGTTAAGAATTCTCAGATCTACCACATTTTCGGGAAATATTATAAAAAATCTCCCCTCGGGAATATCCTGTCCACTCGCATGTTCCTCAGCCTGCAGCCTCGGGAACACGTCAGTGGACAGGATACTCCATCTGGAAAAATATTTTGCACTATTTCCCTCAATGGCCATCACTGTTTGTATAATAATAGGTCCATATTGTCAGCTCCTCTTCTTGAAATTGTTAATAACTCGATAATGACCAAATATCTAAGATTTTGCAAGGTAGGAGAAATATTTTTAATATACAGATAACCGGAAGAGCATCCGCTCAGGATCTAGTTCTGGCAAGTTATTGATCAAATAGTCCGATATCATCCAACAATTCTTTGGGACATCCATCTCTAATTGTTTGCTGGACGTTTTCAACGTTTTCACGCAGATCAATGTTTGGAAGCAATTCTGTACGGATCCAGCCAATGTCCTGCCTATTGTACACAACGAATGCCGAATATTTGTAATGCTCTTTTCTGGTGGTATGGTTTTCGCAACAATCACTACGACATCTGTTGTCAAAGACACCAGTATTCGATGTGTCATCTATACTTCATCAATACAGCAACTATGGCACCAAGGAGCATCAATGGTACCAATGTCGCCATCACTAGAACAATTTGAAGATTATGGTCACAATCTATCCAGCTCAAGTCATAATTCGCAACGGTTTGGTTTTCCATAGACTTTGGCAGACCACACAAGGTATTTCCTCATCTCGCAACTTGCAGTCACAGAAAAATCTATTTTCTTCAAGGTTGATATATTTTAAATTCTTTAAACCATGGAAATTTCTAGGGTCCAAATAGGTGAGTAAGTTTCCTTGTAAGTGGAGGGCTTCGGGGGATTTTAGTTCATTGAATATTCCGTCTACAAGGACTCCCAACATATTGTTGCTTAGGTCCAACACCTGGATATTTTCTCCCCCGCTGAATAGACCATGTACTATTATTGTTTTTCGGTAAACTTCGACTCAGCAAGGATGAGTTCTTTCAAATTATCTAGATGTGTCTCAGCCACCATTTTACTTAGCATGGTATCCTTGAGAAACCCCAAATCATTTTGGCTGATGTCCAACTTGACTAGATTTCTAGCTTTTGAGAGCATATTGAAAAACCCGATGCCTTCAAATCTGTCCTGGTTTCGATACACCAAAACATGAAGTTGATCAAGTGTAGTGTCTGATATATTCACATTCACCAATTTTGTCCCGATTTTGATCATGTGGAGCTCCCTTAGTTTTGGCAGGTTGTAAATCTGGTACCTTAGATTGTCGAGTGTGTTGCAAATAGTTAAACTTTCGAGATTTGGAAGGTTGGAGATAACGACTGGTTTTGTGTACTCGGTCCTGTAGATTACACACTTTCAAATGTTTCAGGCTTTTAGGAAAATCATGAGCTGACATGGGGGGTTGACGGTTATCTATTATCATTTGATAACAAGGCTTTAAGTCGCTTTAGCTGCAACATTAATGATTTGTTGTTCGGCAGATTTGTCATATTCAGTGATATCAACCTCTTGGAAAAATGCATTAAAGCATTACCTTCATATCTCCAAATATTGTTACCGAATATATCTAAATGTTTCAATCCGGTCTTGTTCAATGGCTCGAAAATGAACTGTTTAGGAATGGTACAGATATACCACAACGCGCAAGGTTGAGCGAGTTGACTTTCTTATATCGTAGGTTATTTAAAAGGGCATGGCTGCACGTATTCAAATCATTTCGGTCGAAATTTAGGGCGTCAAATCTTTTAATCTTATTAAAACAACCAGTTTCCACCTGTCGAAGATTATTTCCTGACAAGTCTAGGGACACAATATTAAAAACGGAATAGTATGTCATTCCATCCTTAGTTAGTGTCTCGATACCCGCCTTATTCGTTGCTATCACCCTCAACATCAGGCCAACGGTATGGCCTCCTATCCTTGGCCAGGTCTCCAGAGACAAATCAGTAACAGACTCGCTCTCAACATCAGGCCAACGGTGATGGCCTCCTATCCTTGGCCAGGTCTCCAGAGACAAATCAGTAACAGACTCGCTCTCAACATCAGGCCAACGGTGATGGCCTCCTATCCTTGGCCAGGTCTCCAGAGACAAATCAGTAACAGACTCGCTCTCAACATCAGGCCAACGGTGATGGCCTCCTATCCTTGGCCAGGTCTCCAGAGACAAATCAGTAACAGACTCGCTCTCAACATCAGGCCAACGGTGATGGCCTCCTATCCTTGGCCAGGTCTCCAGAGACAAATCAGTAACAGACTCGCTCTCAACATCAGGCCAACGGTGATGGCCTCCTATCCTTGGCCATGTCTCCAGAGACAAATCAGTAACAAACTCGCTCTCAACATAAGGCCAACGGTGATGGCCTCCTATCCTTGGCCAGGTCTCCAGAGACAAATCAGTAACAAACTCGCTCTCAACATAAGGCCAACGGTGATGGCCTCCTATCCTTGGCCAGGTCTCCAGAGACAAATCAGTAACAAACTCGCTCTCAACATAAGGCCAACGGTGATGGCCTCCTATCCTTGGCCATGTCTCCAGAGACAAATCAGTAACAAACTCGCTCTCAACATAAGGCCAACGGTGATGGCCTCCTATCCTTGGCCAGGTCTCCAGAGACAAATCAGTAACAAACTCGCTCTCAACATAAGGCCAACGGTGATGGCCTCCTATCCTTGGCCAGGTCTCCAGAGACAAATCAGTAACAGACTCGCTCTCAATGTCCGCCCGAATTCTGCTTTGTTTGAATTGGTTTGTTCCATAACTCTCAACCACCATCATTGACAATTTCGTTATGTTGTTCCCGCTCAGGTCGATGTGGTTTACATCCGGGAGCCCTTTAGGATCTTCTTTTAGACCCCTATAGCTGCAATCCATGATTCTGATGTCATCCACTGTACGTTTACAAGTACAAATAGCTGGGCATTTCATGCATTTATTGTCTCCAGGTTGTATTTGGAAAACTGTCTGGTTTTGAACAATCTCTATTCCGTTACGCCACGACTTTTTGTACAGATAGACAAGACCGAAAACGAATACAACTGCTAAACCGATCAATACCCTTTTGAGTGCACGTCTTCTGCCGTACAAATGCATCCTTCAAAAAAGTCTGGCAATACCATACAATATCTGGAAGTATACAATAACGGACTAGTCATGTGACGAAGCAATTGTATATATCACAAAAGTGTTCCCAAAACGCGAGCACAATGCTACGCACCGCTGATATAAGTCATTGACAAATCGTTGTCCAATGTAGTTATACATCTCCGAATGCAGACCTCCAGAAAAATAATGAATAAAATACAGAATGGTAAATTAATAATGTATGTACCTTCTTCCTCCAAGATATGAGCACAAGTACGAAGTTTGCCTGCAAAAAGTTCCGCCAGTCTTGCATTGTCTATTACCTGCAGTTAAAGGCTGGTGGTGTCTGGGTGTGACACTATAAATGACAACCTCTTAAATACTGTCCGGCAGTGTTGTTCTAAATAAATATATATAATATATGTAACTTCCTTGTATATGAGCTCGATTGCACTAAACATGAAATCCGATAACACATGTGTAATAGATACAAAATGTTTTAGGAACTCGAGTGTTTTATCATATTTCCGTAAGTGGCACGCTTTATAGACTTTGATAACATTTGTAATTTTTAAAGGGTGTGTACTTTTGTAAAAGGAAAATAATCACGGTAATCACGTGATTTTGGCATTCGAATGAATGAAAACCAACTAGTAGGCAAAGGAGCATCATGATATACCATGACATCTCATTTCTTCTCAGCCCTGAGATGCCATGATATAATGAGCTTGATTTGGCGATCCAGAGGCCTTATTCACAATGTGTCGCATCCTATGCGATTGCGACATCGCAATCGCCATCGCAAAAATCGCTAAAATTCTTATTCACAATCAAAGTGCGATTGCGACTTAGCAATTCAATCGCATTAATAGCGTCATATAATTGCGACTACCCTCAACCAGCCGCAATACAGTCGCAATATTAAGGGTTGCTTTATGTTTTAATTAAATGCGTTTAGCGTTCTCCGAATTATCTGATATTTTAATACAACGTTTTTCGGTATACTAACCAACATACGATTTTAAAAAAATCGTCATTTCATGTGTTCTGACGAGATAATAAGGGTCTAAAGTCGTCTTAAATAATGGAAGAATATTTTCTATATTTCATCTAAAATTGCTATCAATGAATCGCAATGTTATAATTCCCGCCATTATCAGTCGTCTGAGACACAAAATGGCGATGATAGCGGTGAACCGCAGACAGCATCTCGTAAGACCAAGATTATTTCGCGACAGAACACATCCATTGGATATTTACGATGATCATGAGATGATCGAGAGGTATCGTCGTTTTATGAGGGAATGGACATGAACTTTAATTCCATTAATAGATAAAGAGATTGTTGTATGGGGTTTTCTTCTGAGATTCAGCCCCACCCTGAATGAAATTTATATTTGCCCCGGGGATCGTGGTGCAATCGGTTACTCACAACAGACCATTATGTTCCCCAATATTTTAACTTGTATTCCATGATTCCCAAATAATTGTAACGGACTTGTTAATTATAATTAAAACAAATATTTTTATTCCAAGCTTTACAGTTCTCTGATTAATGCAATAAGTACATTTGTCTTAACTGATCAAATGCTTTACCAATTGTATGTCTCTTCATAAATATTTCCTAATTGAACATCAATCATATCAAATTTTAAATTCTTAACTTTCAATTCTAGATTCTCAACTTCATAAACTTCTCAAACTTCTCAAACTCCTCAAACTCGCTTGGCCTGTGATAATTATATAAAATAATCTCGATATGAGGTTTGTAAAGTGTGTTTTTACATTTTACAAACATATATGTTTCATGTCAAATGCAGATCCTTGTTGAATGATTTAATTCCTATAATATATCCGCGCTTGTTAAATAAAAGAACTTCTCATACAAATAATGAATAATAAATATTAATTGAAAATACTTCGTCCCTCATTTGCCTTATTCCGAAGCAAATTACCCGTATCAAATTTGTTTCCCCTTTCTCCCTCTTTCCATGTTTCCAATCCATTCACAGATCCCTTCAAGATTCCCCATTTCAACTCCGTTCCCAGTTCCGAGTTTGTTTCGAGTTCCCCGTTGGTTCCGCGCTTTCGATCTGTTCCCAGTTCTCCCCGAATCAAGTCTAAACTGCCATTTATATACCCGTAAGTGATGCTATTCTTAGCTAGGGGCCGCGTGACGTAATTTACGTATGAAAGTAGAATTGACACAAGAATGAATCATAATCGGAAATGATTCCATTTATGGTATTGACCGGAAATTATGCCTTATAAGGAAGGTGAGTAATAGTTCTTCTATATGTGAGATCGGCGGTAATTTTTGAATCAAAGAAAGTGTACAATGTTTGAATTTTGAGTTACAACATTTACAGTAAAGCTGCTAATTAACACATTGCTATCCTAATGCGATTGCTATTGCTACGCGATTGCGATATCACGTCATTGTGAATACCGCGCCAAAATTGCGATGTCGCAATCGCATTCAAATTGCGATGCTTTGTGAATAAGGCCTCTGGAGAGCCCAAAATTGAGGATTTTTGAGATCTTTCATCCCAGCTCATATTTCATTTAATTGGGGTCATTAAACTTGTGTACACATACCTGTGCTAATATTTGCTGTTAAATACAATGCCTATTATGTAATGTATTGACATTAGGTAAATGATTACATGATAACTATCACACTTATTGACAGTTATAACTCTTCCCATCTGATGTGCTCAGATCACAGAATATGCCTCATAATATCAGAGCATGTTTCAGGTGAAACAGAAAGATGCTATGAGTATCAGAATGGCAAAGGAGCACATGAACAAGAACTGGAACTACTACCTGCGGGTAAAAGACAGGTGTAAAATGGTAGATGGTCCTATCAAATTATGGTCCTACTCTCCATTGATTTATACTACTACTCTCAATAATGATAACAAATCTACGAGGAGTACAGAGTCTATATGTCTGATTAACATAATATAAATGTTATAAATAATTATATAAGTCAAGTAGTCAAAAACATGAATCTCATCATTAGTTCCAAAAATTTTAAAGAGCGGACTGATTAATTATAATTTTCGACAATGTTGCTAATATTTAATTTGTTTAAGGATGTTCCTTTTAGGTTAACATTGTTTTGTAGAAATATAGACGTTTTATCAAATATAGGTTTCTGGGATCCCAACGAGCAAAAACTCAAAACCTAGTTAGTGTGTTTTTTCTAGCCTTGCCCAAGTCGGTATTTTTTTACTTATCTGATCTTGAATTATTGTCATAATAGAAATCAAGATAAGTAAAAGAGACCGACTTGGGCAAGGCTAGTTTTTTTCTTATCCAGATAGTATTGATATTTGGCAAAGTTGGTATGATTCTTGCAATAGAATTCTGAGAAAAAAATCGGTTTTCACAAAACACAAGCTGAAGAAACTTGTTCTGAAACCCTTAAACATCTAAAATCACCAAATAGAAATAAGTGGGCTAGACCGCCGGTGGGACGTTCCTAAAGTAAACACAACAATACTCAATGTTTTTTTTAGTTTTCACCGAACATAATAATGTTTGTGTGCCATGCATATTATTTTGGAGAATATTTCTCACTGTGAAACAAAGACGTCTCAGAATGTAATTGACTTAAATCCATTGTACGACAACACATGACCTATAATAAGATGGCCTACATTTTTGTTGACCTTCTTAAAAACTATTTTCAGATTTGCCGCCCGGTTAATCTCTGGCATATTGGACTACAAGCAATAATAGATTCGTAAGTATTATCAATATTAGACATCATTTGGGTTTCCCGTAAGATAACAAATGTTATGATTTACAAATGTTAAGATTCAGATCATCTAAAATATCGAGAGGATAGAGATATTCTAAACTTTCAACTTGCAGGTCCATCCCCAACTATTCCAAGTATTTCAAATTATGTAAATTTTGAAAATGGAGAGCTAGTCAACTCTATGATAAATGAGGAGGCAACATGCCATGAGTGGGCGATCACGACACCCTTTTTCAAATTTCGACGAAACAATTCAGAAATACTGTGAAATGTTAGGTTTATGTAGACACTTGAAGATGTAATATAGGTCAAACTTATCTGATCATCGGAGTTGTTTTTCAAAGAAATAAATTCAAAAATATATTTTTACGCACATAACATGACATGACACCCTTTTTCAAATTTCGACGAAACGATTCAGAAATACTGTGAAATGTAAGGTTTATGTAGACACTTGAAGATGTAATATAGGTCAAACTTATCTGATCATCAGAGTTGTTTTTCATAGAAATAAATTCAAAAATATATTTTTACGCACATAACATGACATGACACCCTTTTTCAAATTTCGACGAAACGATTCAGAAATACTGTGAAATGTAAGGTTTATGTAGACACTTGAAGATGTAATATAGGTCAAACTTATCTGATCATCAGAGTTGTTTTTCATAGAAATAAATTCAAAAAAATATTTTTACGCACATAACCCATCACGATCATGACACCCCTTTTCAAATTTCGACGAAACGATTCAGAAATACTGTGAAATGTTAGGTTCATGTAGACACTTGAAGATGTAATATAGTCAAACTTATCTGATCATCAGCTACTTTTGTTTCAAACCGTTTTTGGAAATGTTTTTTTTGATAGATTAGTATTGTACTTACCCGAAAGAATGAATCTCGATTCATTTACCAAAAACATTCGATGACGCGGTGCCAGAAAATGAGAAAAAGCTTTTTTATACAGAAAACCAAATTACAAACCGTGAGTATCCTTACTCAGGACTACATTCTTTTTGTGGCATGATTAAATGATTCTGTGCCATAAACCCTTTTATTCTTCTTAATGTGAGACTTTTTCTGGTTAAAGCTCAATCGTTCCACTGGTAACGTTTTTACAGCTGCTTGTTCACCCTGGGGTCTTTCATTTTAGGGCCATGCAATTTAATACTAAATTGACGTGAATTGCCAAAATCACTTCAAACCATGAAATAATAATGGTATTTGGTCATTTTAGAGATGCTAGATCAAGTATTCTGAATTTTTCACGAAAATAAGGCTAATTTTCTTGGCACGCTTCACACGTTTCCAAAAGAAAATTAACTACGTAGCGTAATTTGATGTCACTAATGATGCTTTCTGTTTCATTTGATAAAGAAACAATAAATTATCTGAAATTTTTCTCCACGCAATAAGTAACATTGGCTTTAACCGTGTCTAAAAATTCCCTGGGGTGGTGGTCTTTCGTTATTCTCAGGCTATCGGTTTTCACTCTCAATTAATGAAGCGATTTTGTAAATTGAATTTCTCAGTTCTACGACTCTCTTCCAAGCAGTGTCTTCCCTTTATGACCCAGATATGTCAAAATTTGTTCGCCGATGTATTAATTTAACCAAGGGGTAGATGCTTCCCAGACAAATGATTGCCTGCCATAAACAGACAAGATAACTTGCAATATAATATTTCTCCATAGGAAATGTTTGCTTTATTAGTAATAAATCATAAATTTCCAAATCAAAACACAGTAAATCTCTTGTCTTCAGACGTACACGAAAAGCGTAGATAAAAACATCCTGCGTAAAACCTCTCTTATGTATTTCGGCTCACGATTTCACATTTTCTGCCTTTTCCGACTCAGCTGTCAAAAGATTAGGAACTTTAACTTTAGCTTCTGGAGATTCAGTAAATGGTACAATAGGTTTAGAAATACTAAGATCGTACATTGATAATCCTTCGAGCCAGTTTTGTATTCTGCATTCCGCGCTATTGTGACTAGTTTCTCTCAGCTTGCCCTTGGTGGAAGTATTCCTTTCGTAAGCTTCCCTGTACATTTGTTCGAATGTTTTCGGGTTACCTTCTCCATCATGGGTCTCTCTAAAAACAGGCATGGATAAGGACATGTTTGAAGGTGGGATGAAAAACTGGGGTTCTTCTCCCTCTATGAACTTTACATCGACCTCATTATGATTCAATTCGGGAATGTTTGCATCGTCACTTTGCTTCAGATTTGAGCAAGATCGTGCATCGCGTGTCATTTTAGTGACAATGAGTTTTTTGGAGCCTGTTCGTAAATAAAGATAGCTTGCATCAGGGGTCGAATTAGCCCGCCTTAGTGTCCCGAACACACCGGGTTCTATATCTTCTCCGGGGAGACTACAGCGATCGAACGAACTAAACGCAAAATCACGATCAGACGATCCGCATATAGAAACGTTACTAACCGCCCTCACTAAAAAATCATATGTCCCCGAACTTGCAGTACTAGATCGACTCCTTTTGATGGACCGCGCTGGGTCAAATGCATCCAACCAGGCGATATCCCCACCGTGCTCAATAACCCCTGTATCCTTATTTCTTCTCGGCAACCGAGGAGTGCAATAAACTCCGAGTTTATTCTGATGTACATTTTCACAACTAGTGGCTAGTTTAGACTTGCCGTTTACCTGAAGGCTATCCTGTTTGAAAATACGTTTAGTGACTTGGGTGTTATCACAAAATAAGTTGGGGAGGCTTCCATATTGAGTCGATGTAATTTCCCACGCTTGTTTCAACATAGGAGCCTTTGGTTTTTGCTTGGGAGAAGATGCTTCCTTATCTGGGGCGTTCACCTTGATTGTCGGAATAGGAGGCCCGGCTTGTGCCATGATGATGGATATGATATTTCAAAATGGTTCCTTACATAAATAACCCCGTTTCCTTTTCTCACATCAAGTCTGTTCGTTACCTATTGTAAGGAATGAGAAACGGAATCTATTTAACGAATGCGATATTTCCAGCTTGGCTTCTATTGATTTGTTATGCTGTTTTAATTCCAGTTAAAGTCATATAAAATGTTTTCATTGTACTTATTCTCAGCTCGACTCAGATCTTCGTCGTTCACCCTCATATCACTAATCACTTAAGGAAGAGCAATGTCGTTATCATACAAAACGATGAACTAATACATTCATTCGTTCGGTTTTATGCAATAGCTCGATAAAGAATGTAATAAACCGTCACTAATTCCTGCTGTAGTTTATTATGATGGTCTTGATTCAGACATTTATAGCATCAGAAATGACTCTACTGCCTGCTGCAGAATTGTGGCTAGAGAAAGTAATGTGACAATTGAAGTAAACAGCTGAATTTCAATTCATACGCCACGTATCTTAATTGTAAAACTTATACAATCTGAAATGTGTTTTGCTGTATAATATAAGTCTAACTGTCACGCAATATAATATCAAATCCAAGGCTCTAAATTATATGTGCCCTGGGTTGGTTCATCCTTTAAGATCGGACCTCGCTACGCTTAGGAAAAATTGAAATACCATAGGACCAAGAATGGTGTTGGTCTTCTTACTTTTATTCTAATTGTTGGTGTCTATGAACGTCTACTGTCCACTTGCAAACGCATTTTATGATCGTGTGAATGCACCATGTGCGTTTAACGACTTTTCGTGACTACGAATATGCCTATAACGTATGATGGGCGTCTGTGGAAGTTAACGTGTACAAATCTAACTCGTTTTAGAGATGCGACGGCTCTCACAGGCAGAGAGGTATTTTCCCATTAATTCCTGAGATGTTCTCTAAAAGCAGGAAGTTGTCAATAATGTGTCAATATACGACCCTATACATTACTTCAATAGTAGTAATCCATATGTCGGTAAGTCACTGAGGATGATGGAAACGGTACAGCAATCAGATTCCCCATGTCCTGAAATGAATGAATAAACAAGATTAGAATATATACAGGTTATTCTAAACATTAGCTTATTTCCCAGGTCCCTTTCTTTTCCAATTGATATTGCAAACTCTAGAAGATATTTCATCCTCCTTTCCGTTGACGTCTCCCATTGCGGACTGAACTCCGAGTTTTGAACCTTACCATCGATGGCATCATATATATGATCAGACACTCTCGATTGATTAGCACAGAGGACCGAATAGGGCTAGTATATATTGTGAATGAAGTCAGTACTTTCTCCATATAAACTGAATAACATTTGACAAATTTTACAGGGTAGGCCAATTTTTTTCCAGTTTGCTAAATTATTTGCAAATTGAATACAGGAGTCAATTTTACATTTACTCGACAAACCAATAGTTATCTATATCAGGAAAGGCAACTCATCTAGGCCTTCACTGAGGAACATTAAATCCCTTTCACCCCTGGGCTAGATTTCTTGTGGCCCATGATTGAACTTAGCAACAAGAAAATGGAAAGGACACATGAACCATTATTGCAAAATCGATCTCTAACTGAAGATATGATGAATAAACAATGATCATGACTGCACTGCTAAACATTGCTTCTTAATGAATGTAAGGTTTAGGATCCTTTAGGATTTATAAACTCAATTTAGGATTACCGATGAAACAATATATCTAGCCTTTAAATTGTTGAACTCCGGACGGAATCGAGATATAAAGTGAAATTTGTGAATGCTTATGGCTGTCAACAAACACACTGCACCTCCAGGGGCGCATCTTGAAACCAACAAGGGGGGGCCAAATTTCAGGTCAGAGGAAAAAACTCCCGCGGAAAAAAATTTTTGGCCCCTAAAACCCAAAAGTGGGCCCAAATTTTGAAATTTTGATGTCCATTTTATTCAAAATTTGGCCTGAAATTAAAAAATAAGGCCTTCAAAGGCCCAGTAATGACCAAAAAGGCCCACTTTTTGGAGCCTGAAGGCCTTTAGCCCCCCCCCTAATCCGCCAGTGACCTCCATGCTGATACAAGGGGTGATCAACAAATAACAAATAACAAATAGAGCCCTATAACAGAAACTAATTGGAGTTAGAACACTAAACTTAAAACATAGTATCAATAAACATTCATCAATATTTCCAGAAGATTTCAGGCACAAACATCGATATATGCCAAAGTCAGTACAGTTACCATAGTAACCCGTGGTATGGGTACCTGAAGCAGGTCTTTAATATTAAGAAACAATTATTAAGAACCCAAGTCATGGGTACCAGAAGCACCTCAAATATATGATGTCACAATCTTTTAATAACCATTTTTCATGCTCATAACTGATGCCCAGTTCATGTTAAATAGTGACAGTTTTATTAACCATGATCTACTTCTTTAATCATCTCTACTATGTGTGTTGTTTTTGGAGCACCTGTAGTCCTGTACGTGAAGCATCCTCAGCAGATCGTCTTGGCTTTTCAGAAATCGTTCTGTACCATCCGTAGACATTGCTTAGTCCATTTTTATCACCAAATGACTTCTTTAGCATCTCATAAGTTTTTGCAGTGATATTTCATTCAAAACACAGCATTATATCACTTCTCTGTCTTCCCTGGAGATCTGAAGTTTTCAATTCAACCATTTTTCAGTATGGTTTACTTGACTTTGATTTCCTCAATGTCGATGTCTTCTGTCACCCTATCGTTGGGTATCGACATGTATAATGACAAACCTATTGTTGGGTAATGACATTATGATTAAAAGTAGATCACATTAATTAACCGAAACTTTTCAGAGTTGATTTACACCCAAATAACATCAAATCTGTATGACTTAATGGTGTCTTTCAAACTCATTTTGGACAGCGATCAATACCTTATTGTTATGCTTCACAACCTGCTTCAGGTGCCCATACCACGGGTTGCTATGGCATCCGGTACTCCGACATAAAGCAATATTTATGCCTCAGATTTTGTGGAAATAATAATGAATGTTTGGTGATACGATGTACCAAATTTGGTATTCTAACTCCAATTAGTTTCTGAGATAGAGCTCTATTTGCGTTATTTGTTGATCGCCCCTTGTACAATAACAAACCAAAACACCCACGTCTACTCTTAATTACGGGAAGTAATCTGAATTCAATTAAAGCCATCATTTTATCTGATGCGCATTCCTTTAAATAAATAGTTTTTTAATCGACTGGATTTGTTCCCGACCTTATTCATTACCGCCCAAGCTTAACCACGACTTGCATTTGGGGTTATCAAAATTATATCTATCTCGTATATTATTACACAAGAACGCTTTCGAATCTATTCCTTATTGCTCTTCAATCAATAATAGAAACCTTGCTTTCTCAACCTTCTGTATTTATATTGATTCTGGTTCACAGGCTATTTCATTTCTTTCGTTTGACACATGGAATTAGGGCTTTGGTTCAGGGAATCGAATGGTAATCTCCCGTGTTTAATTTACTGGGTCTGTTAATTCATCATTTAGGCATATATTGAATTAAGCTTCTGCCAATATCTACGTCTGATTGTGATTGCCCATGTTGCACAATGTTAACGAACGTCAACATCTTTCTATTTTGGGTTCAAGTGTAGACGTAAATGAAATGTCTGGTGATGTTCACATTTAAGTTGCTTTACTCTGCCAGGCTTCAACATGATCTAATTCTACAAATACATTGATTTTACTCTGTTGTCATCAGTTGATAGCGCTGTAAACTCCAAAGATTTTCTCGCGGGGCGGATTTTAAGACCTAAACCCGCGGAATTCGCGGGCCATTTAACGGATTTTGCGTGATCCCGCAAATAAGCCAAAGTTTGATCAGATATTCGCGGAACAATCAAATTAATCGCGGGACGATTGACAGCACCGCGAGGATTAATAATATCGATGCCACAGCAACGGACTGCGACTCACTTAGCTTTCCAAGGCAATCCAGCACCAAAATGGAAGAACAATAATGGTCATGCTTTTCACATCTGTCCAGGAAAATGACAATTCAAACTATTTTTAATGTTAAAATCATGACAAAAAGATTATTCATTGTTCATTGTTCAAAATGTTGGATGGAAATTGACCAATTGTCCAGATTTCGTAGCAGATTTTTATTTTCCCTTTGAAACTGTACAGATAATCTGACCATAAACGTTTGAAAATGGACACAGAGAAGCCGCTTTGTCACCGAATGGACACTATTCTAGCATGATGTACAATATCTGAATTTGACAGTTTTCTCAACAAACGGGTCGAATGGCGTCGCACTATTTCCAATATGTCAATTAGATTGGGTGCTGACAAGTTAAGAACGGGGAATAATACACGTTAATTAACCAGTTTGATTTTCAATCAATTTGTACATTGGAAATGCACTTGGTAATTGTGAATAGATCTAGAATCGCTTCATCAAGATTTCGTTTCACATCTCTTACTTTCAACATATTTCACCAAAATTTAAAACATGAACAGGGGCATAGCCACAACTTCTCGAAATATGCGAGGCAAATCTAAACAGGTGGGGCAAATCTAAACAGATGAGGCAAATCTAAACAAGTAAGGCAAATCTAAACAGGTGAGGCAAATCAAAACAGGTAAGGCAAATCTAAAACATGAACAAGGGCGTAGCCAGAACTTCTCGAAATATGCGAGGCAAATCTAAACAAGTGAGGCAAATCTAAACAGATGAGGCTAATGTAAACAGATGAGGCAAATCTAAATAGATGGGGCAAATCTAAACAGATGAGGCAAATCTTAACAGGTGAGGCAAATCTAAACGAGTGAGGCAAATCTAAACAGATGAGGCAAATCTAAACAGATGAGGCAAATCTAAACAGATGAGGCAAATCTAAACAAGTGAGGCAAATATACAGAGATGCGGCAAATCTAAACAGGTGAGGCAAATCTAAACAAGTAAGGCAAATCTTAACAGGTGAGGCAAATCTAAACGAGTGAGGCAAATCTAAACAGGTGAGGCAAATCTAAACAGGTGAGGCAAATCTAAACAAGTGAGGCAAATATACAGAGATGCGGCAAATCTAAACAGGTGAGGCAAATCTAAACAAGTGAGACAAATCTAAAGAGATGCGGCAAATCTAAGCAGGTGAGGCAAATCTAAACAGGTGATGCAAATCTAAATAGATGGGGCAAATCTAAACAGGTGAGGCAAATCTAAGCAGATGAGGCAAATCTAAACAGGTGAGGCAAATCTAAACAAGTGAGGCAAATATACAGAGATGCGGCAAATCTAAACAGGTGAGGCAAATCTAAACAAGTGAGACAAATCTAAAGAGATGCGGCAAATCTAAGCAGGTGAGGCAAATCTAAACAGGTGATGCAAATCTAAATAGATGGGGCAAATCTAAACAGGTGAGGCAAATCTAAGCAGATGAGGCAAATCTTAACAGATGAGGCAAATCTAAACAAGTGAGGCAAATATACAGAGATGCGGCAAATCTAAACAGGTGAGGCAAATCTAAACAAGTAAGGCAAATCTAAACAGGTGAGGCAAATCTAAACAAGTGAGGCAAATCTAAACAGATGAGGCAAATCTAAACAGGTGAGGCAAATCTAAACAAGTGAGGCAAATCTAAACAGGTGAGGCAAATCTAAACAGATGAGGCAAATCTAAACAGGTGGGGCAAATCTAAACAAGTGAGGCAAATATACAGAGATGCGGCAAATCTAAACAGGTGAGGCAAATCTAAACAAGTGAGACAAATCTAAAGAGATGCGGCTAATCTAAGCAGGTGAGGCAAATCTAAACAGGTGAGGCAAATCTAAATAGATGGGGCAAATCTAAACAGGTGAGGCAAATCTAAACATGTGAGGCAAATCTAAACAGGTGAGGCAAATCTAAAACATGAACAGGGGCGCAGCCAGAACTTCTCGAAATATGCGAGGCAAATCTAAACAGGTGAGGCTAATCTAAACAGATGAGGCAAATCTAAATAGATGGGGCAAATCTAAACAGATGAGGCAAATCTAAACAGGTGAGGCAAATCTAAACAAGTGAGGCAAATCTAAACAGATGAGGCAAATCTAAACAGATGAGGCAAATCTAAACAGATGAGGCAAATCTAAACAAGTGAGGCAAATCTAAACAGATGAGGCAAATCTAAACAGATGAGGCAAATGTGATCAGATTTCGTTTTTAGTTTCAAATGAAAAAAATCGGAATAATAACCTATTTCGAATCTTGTCTTTGACTATAAAAATCGTTTTGCAGCATTAAAACATATTTTGAAAAACATCATCGAACCATCGAATATCACTTTAATTTGAAAAGCACAGAGGTTAGACAAGCACTCTGGGGCAGTGCTAGTCTTCAACATTCTATTCCAAGACACTGTCATGGGAGTTCGGCAAGAACAGTCCGACCATAACATCGTCATCTCTATCTGTTATAAGTAATACAATGTTTAGATGGAATTGACCTTCTAATACAGACGTCGTATTCATCGATTGACTACGTTGCTGCTCTTGTTAAAATACGTCAATATTGACAGCTTGAATCAAAATTTATTGAATACGAAACATAAAGAGAATCGTGAAATTGAATTTTCTTTCATGTTTGAACACAATTATGCGTAGATATAAATTTTGGTTTGATTATAGGCCTATAAATCTAATTTAGTATTAATGAAGCAATATGTAAACGTTTTCCAAAACAGAAAGATATACCGAACAACCAGAAGTAAGATTTTCAGATCGTCTATTCATTTTGTCCAAAAACATTGGTTTTATTGAAGCTATTATCACCCGTGCAAAGGTGGAGGTTGTTAAGTTACGAAATGTTGTGTACAAAAATGTTAATTTGAAATTAAAGAATGTAGACGAGTGGAGGATCTAATTTAGTATTTTTATTTTCTGTAACAAGAATTGATATATATGACCAAATATAAGTATTAATGATTAAATATGCAGAACTGTCCAAATCCAAAAAGGGACGATCCCTTTTTGCAGCCTAAAAATTGAGGAAGTATCCTGAATTTTAAATAATGTTAGAACTGTTAGAATATAACAAAAACTGTGAAATAGTGACATATTTCGAAACTTACCCTCAACTCGTCTCTTACTTTTCTAGATCCATTAACCATTACCTAAACGTTCCATTAATATAGTTTACCTCTGTATTCCTTTATCCCTTAGTACTACGCTTGGCTTCGATTCGTTATAAAGATCCCTAGACTACGATAGCAGAATACGAAATAAATGAATTATATCCACTTGGATGGTAACTGTCTGTTCCATTTTTACTAATATAGGGTTTTGTTTATGTTGCTGAACTCCGTATAATTTATATCTCCAATGGCGATATATATCACCACACCAACACCTTAAAGATTGGATATAGATATCATCTTTATATCAGAGTTCCAAGACCGTCATGTGCTGTAAGTGGGAACAGATATCGCTAACGACTCATCAATAATTTTTATTGGTGTTTTGGTTCTTGATGTGTACTAACATATCTGTTTGTTGATTTTTGAATGCGTGAGATATCACAGCCTTCTCTCAGTTTCCTTGTGCATAATAGAGATGGTCTGAGTATCAGAATGTGGTATCCCGGGTGCGGTGTATACGGATATTACAGCTTTTTCAAACTTCTCGAGGGCGTTCATAGGTTCGAGGTTAAATCTCTCGTGTACGTCTATTCGTTTACGTTGACTGTATTGCCGTTTTATTGAGCACTCATGAAATACTCTATCAGTTTTAAGTAATGGATTGCCCAATTGAACGATTGCGTAACCAATGTAAACCCACGATATAGTGGCCTAGCATCAACTTACTGTATCGAAACCTACAGGTAGCTTTTAATAAATCCTGAAAATTGAATCATTTTTTAGATCATAGGCTGTTATGTTTACTGCTTGCTCTACTCTAGTTATGTTCTCCTAGGTTCATTATATTCTCATAGGCTCTTAATCTCCTACATTAGCTATATGTTTGTTTAGTTCGGCTCTCGGATAATCAATGGAAATGAAGACCACCAATAGACTAGTATTGTACTACGGATAATAAGGAACAAGCGAGGGAATATCTGATATCAATATATGCTTTCCACAGTTAAAAGGGGAATTGGTAATTCGCGCGTGGAGATTTATAGAATTTTCCGTAATAGATTTCACTGACAGTTGATTTTAAGAAGAAAAATGGGAATTGCGTTTTGTTCAGTTTCATTTATTTTTTATTTTATTTCCCATTGTGTATTTCAAAGCTTCGATGTCATGAACATTTTATAAACATTTTTGTTTGTAGAGAGAAAGTCCAGAGGCTAGAAGCTTCCCGAGAAAGATGGAGTTATTCATGAAATACAGAACTCATGCAAAGGGTTAGGGTTTGCTTGCTTGTTGTTATTTTTAAAAGATCGTGCTCATGACATTTTAATTTATAAGAGTCATTCTTTATCTTTTGTTTTAGGGGGCGTTTATTACTCCAGTTGTGAATCCCTCAATTGGTTGGGATGTTTTTATTCTCTGTGGCAGTTTTATATATGTTATGACCTTTATATTTTTAGAAGATGTCAACACAACCCATCATATTTCCAGTCAGCTCAAACATGTTAACGTTGGTGTTTCTTTTTGTCCTCGGTATCAAGGAAAGTGTAATTTTATAACGTATTTACAAAAGTACAAATACTTATATGAAGAAGATTCCTCTTCAAGGATTATGCACTGGTGGAAAGGATGAATTTAAAAATGTGTAATTTATAAATCTAAAGTCTAAACAAACTCCCTAAAATTAATACGTGAATGCCTCATCATTTACATTTAGTAATTACACTATTTGTCATTCAAATCCATCAGCTTTTCAAAAAATATTCCTATTAATTGCAAGACGGTGTAGATAACGTATGATAACAGTTTCATACAAACATTCATAACTGTTGCAGCGACACCTTTTGTAGCTCGGGTCGCTAAATGAATGAGTTTTCCATCATCCCATGAGACCAAATGTACTTTGTGTGCTCTAGTTCAATTTGCAACGCGTCAATCACGGTTCGAGTTATTGTTGAATACTTTGAAATAACGTGAGATTCATTTTCGAACATGAATATTTCAAATCATATAACATTAGAAGACGATAGTGATTCCAAAATGGATGGCATTGCAAAAATCAAACAGCACACTTTTTAATCGTAAAAGTATTTAAAAACAGCGACGTTATACGTTAACATCTGGGATGTCAAATGTATTGATTCGCAAAGAATGTTTGACTCTTCAGAATCGAAATCCGGTTGCCCTTTGCGTTGGTAATGCAATAGATTCGTGCTTACTTTCATGCTTTAGTTAATCTGAAACAAAGGATCAAAGGATCAAATTTATATGAACATGGGTTTTCTGACTAGAAATCTAATACCACGTGATCTATTCTATTCAACAAATTTAAAGCAGAGATAACAGTAAGGTATTAACAGGCAAAATGTCACCACCATTTGTTACATACGCCAACCACCGATCGCCAGTCGCCAGTCGTCAACCGCCGATCGCCAACCACAGAACCGCAGTCACAAAAAACGGAGATCATAACTATATTTCTCCATTTTTTGGTGGTGACATAAGAACTGTAAGAATCATCATACCGTCTGGCTAGTGCAAGTATGAATTGTGTAATCCAGATACCAACTTTGTAGAACCATGTTACATTAATTTCTAAAAACCAAAATTTCAGCCGTTCATTTCCAGAGCGGAATGTGATTTAATTAAATCTGTGCTTCGGCCAGTTTCCTACGTGAATGTATTATTCCAAATGCAATAATCCTGGACTTCCGAGAAATTACAGAGAAGAAAAACACGATATCCATAATATGATGAATGATTCTCTCGCACTTGTTTCAAAGAGGGATGGTGCATTTGGGCTTTTATCCCCATCCCGTTTTATCATTTTATATCAAGAAAGAGACATATTATATGTTTTATAATCTCTGATAAAGACATGAAGAGGTATGGAAAGAGATCTCTATTATTTTAGCTTTTAGTGTCGTAATGAACCACAATTCAGCGCGGACAGACCATCATGAAAAATTGTTTCAAGTCAGAGGTGTTACTCAATTTATACATAGCTGGCTTAAAGATATCTGAATTTTACTGATGTGAGTAAAAGTCTCGGTAAAACAATCTTCAAATCTTTAATCAATAAAGCAAGTCAAACGATTTCAATAAAGTGACACGATACCAATTCGTCATTTAGACCTTATTAATTTTTCAAAGGGGTCTCATTTGAAAAAATGGTACTCACTGTGTAATTTGCTCAATCTGAGACTTACACACCCTAAAGTAAATCGAGTCCAGTTCTTCGAAAAAGGGGACCTGAATTTTCAAAAAGACCCAAACTACTGTATGATATAAGATCTTTGTGGGCCATTCTCAGGTGCATCCTTGCCTGATCTTAAATGATATAGCCATGGGAAGAATGGGCAAATTGATAATCAGTAACCGGATTAGTATTGTACATACAATCCTTTTTTAACAGAAATCAATTGCTACATTCATCAATTTTTTTAAATTTACACAGGCTCTAAAAATAACAAACCATGTTAGGAATTCGTTTTTTCATTACGTGACATTTATCTGCCTTACTTGCGATGGTTATAATTATCTTCCATTACTGTCGATCGCCTGGGAGTCCAAAGCTATGATAGTTCAGTAAATATTCGCATTCTGTATTCTGTTATTCCGCAGGTTGTTCAAGATCATCTTTTAAATCTGAGACAGAATCCAATAAATAACTGTGTAGGCTTATGGAGCACTTTACGAAGATCAACTCTACGGTCTTATGTCTCTGTTAATTGTCATCCTAATGCGGAATCCATTATCGCTTTCAACATTTTGTTTTCGCTTCTTTCTGTTTCGCAAAGCCACAATGCTTTTATTTATAATGACGACGAATTACTTTATGAGATTATCATCACGTAACAAGTGCCTAAAGTGGACTGGTTAGCATACAGTATGGTCTTCCTGCCCACAATGTCCCAATGTAACTTGCATGGAATTCCATTGCTTAGTCTTTCCTCAAGACTGTATACCCCCATGTACATTTTCCCAAAATGTTGGGGGAGGGGGGGGGGGCGGTAAACGGTCTTGCAGCAAGACTATGAATTCCTAGAAAAACAACCGGGCTATTTTGGAAGAAGAACACGTCAGGAGCTAGACGACGGCGTAGAGAGTAACATGCGCCCTGGGGGCCAGATTGCATATTAGACAACGCTAATCTTGGAAACGGCAAGATACTTATCCGGGCATACCTATGCCAGAGTCAATAGAAGATCGATGATTTCCATTTTGTATGGATATATAGGGCAATAAATGATATAATTTTCATCATGATCATTTTCTTCATTAACACCCAGAGAGCAGGCGAGCTTAGTTGTAAAGTAGATTCATTGTATTTAGTCAAACGAATGAGAGAGGTATTCGTTAAGAAAACGTGTATCCGTAATCCATGGGGGAGGAAATAAGTTGACACGAGTGATTTTTAACATATTTTGACAGCTGTAACTTATTCTTTCAGATCATCCCAGGCAATGAGGATACATGGTCATTAATCATAAATCAGACTGAAAGAAGAGATGATATCATTGAATGATGTATCATTGAACTCCTAAAAATCCATGTTTGGAAGATTCGCAGGCTCGAGTCGATGACACTAAATTATATCTCCTTGTATTCGCAGGCTTGAGTCAATGACACTAAATTATATTTCCTTGTATTCTACAGACAGGATCGATCCTTTTAAAGTAATTCATCTTAGCACGTCTCGATTCATCACGGTATTTCATATGATAAAAAGTAACAATGATTGACAAAAGTTCCTATATTCGAGCGAAGATGATTATTAAGATTGCTTATCATTATTAGGATGAATGGGCCAGTTTTTATTGACTGTGTCAAGGCTGTTTTGAGTTAACATGGGGATACAAGTGACTTCATATCTACATTGTGAATGTAGATACACAGGATTAAAGTCAACTGCATCTCCCAAGTCAATGACACCCTTGCTGGAATCCTCAGAAATTTTCTCAGAAGAACTCAAGTTGATCTAGTTTCAATAAGTAGTAGATTCATGTGAGACAGTATTGGTAGAATCCATTTTCAATAGTAAGAATAAAGGTATAAACAGGACACTAAAACTGATTAAGGCCTTTTTGAAAATGTTGGTTAGCTCAAACTTTTGAATCACCAAAATCTAACTGATAGTACCATGGCATCAAATGGCTTAAAAGAATGGAGATGTCGATGGTTTATATCATGATGAAGGATATCGTCATCGTGTACGTCGTAATATATTATGTATTGCCGTATCAATTGCAAACGAGATGATTAATCATATTACATTGAACAGATGCTAATCAAACCTTACATGAAATAGAAATTATGGAAAATTGTAGAATTTCTCCATGGGCATTTCTCAAAAATTTATTTACGTATCTGATGACAGAGCTTGGAACATAAGACGTCTCTATCCAATTTGCTGAAAAGTAGCATTTTAGTGTGATTGTGTTCCTCGGATATTGCTTTCTGCTATCATATTGTAATTTCTACTTTAGTAGGTGTTATTTGAACCACTAAAATGGGTCTGGTATGCTTATTTGAAAATGTCACCATCTACTTAATTTATTGTCCTTTAACACAGGACTTCATTAGGTGATCCATTACCACAGACATCGTATCACATTCTGAATAAGAAAGAATAAAGAGAAGCTTCTTATATGACAGGGTGACACACTAAATGGATCTAACTTGTGAAACTTAAAATTGCAATTTTTGAACGGTCTGATCGAGAGCAGCCTACAGGGAAATCATGATATATCTATCAAATCCCAAAGCTGTAATGCTATCCTTAATTTAGAAGAAGATGACAACACATTAGCCGAAACAATACAGTAGTTACATGTATTAAATAAATAGCGTGTTGCATTTTTGGATTAGCAGATTCATGTTCTCCTTCGGGAGAAAATGGGATGAACAAACAAACAAACACACAAATAAACAAACAAACAAACAAACAAACAAACAAGATAAGCAATCAATCATGCTTCCAATACCTGCATAAGATACATGATAAATAAAGTGTACTCCCAAAGTGACATTTTAGTGATCAAATTCGTTTTTGGGAATAAGTAGACGATTTAAAAAAAAATTAGAATATTTTTGGCTCATATCATTCCTTGCCATTTTTTACAATAATGTATTATTTTTCTATTTTTATGATTACTTACAGTAAAACATGCATATAGTGAACACCTATGGAGCCACAAAAAGTGTTCACTGAAGGTAAGTGTTCACTACAGAGGGGATCTTATGCATCAGTCAATGTAAAATGTCTCTTGAAGTGGTGTTCAATAAACACAGGTGTTCACTAGATAGAGGTGTTCACTAAGACAGATTTTACTGTATTTATAATTTGGGATATCAGAGAATTTAAACTTTTTTCCTTCATTTTTGCACTTTGAATCCTGAATAACTTCACCAATTAATAACATATCGCAGGTTTTTAGGAGATATTGTATCTGGGATTGTAAGGAATAGATTGGTAGGTCAATTGTACATTTGTCACCCCATATAGATCTGATTGTGCCTTTAATATTGCAAAGCATCAACATTAAAGAACCCACACATTTGTTAGCTTAGCCAAAAATAATCTAAAATCTGGTTCTCTAACTTATATTTGTATTTCTTTTATTACATGAGCGACTGCTTATTTCATCAAGAAAAAATCTATTATGACATTGATTCCAACTGTAGGTTTACTTGGTCCAATGCCAGTCTATGTTTAAATCATTGAAATCTCAGATACTGAAGCAATACATGGCAACATTTACAAATAGTCATAAACTGGAGGTAGTTTCTTTTATTCCATATCTTATTCCACAATTACGGTATCGTGGTACTTAACAGGAAATGACAAAACATGTTGCATTTTTAGACATTTTTTGAACAAAGATTACAGAGTTCCGTTTTGAACCCCAGTCAATTCAAATAGTTCCACATATCATTTACAGGACAAGGATCGCAATGTACATGGTGAGAATGACCCTAAACATGATGAAATAACCTTTTCAGCCCTCTGAAATTTGTGACTGAATAATAGCTAAGCACACATGTTTTGTCACTTCCTGTTTTGTCATTTCCTGTTAAGTACCACGGCACCTTAACAATACATAAAAAACATCTGAAAACAAGCATCCCATCCTCAAAATTGAACAAATGTAATCAAACATTCGTTATTTACGGAAATACAACCTGTGTCCTGTGCTAAGGATTGATAAAAATAGTCACTCTGCCCCAGTAGGACTTAATCAGCAACATTGGATTGGATTATTGATTGATAATTGATTACATATCAAAGTGGTCCACCCACCATTAAGGTAGCTCATGTAAAGCAAATAATCTGGTGATCATTAACAGAAACTTCATAAGGTTAAGAATTTTAAGTCCATTATTATCCAACTATGACATCACCATAATAACTATGGATACAACAACTGATTTGAGAAACTTTATGAAACGTTTTTAAACTTTGCAAAGTTTCTGTTAATGAACACGGAGATAAAGAACTTGGACTTGTGTCCTTGTTCCTGAATATCAATATTTGTTACATTTTTGAAATAATTTCCAAACAGACTTGGGCCGGTGTCATTCTCAGGTATTTCTTTACTCCATTTCTATTCCCTTTGAGTGGCACTGTCCCATTTCTGTCCAGTTAAAACCAACATACGAGTATATGCTCTTGAGAGCGTCATGTTGTATGGAATGTCATTATGTTTTTCAAAAAGTAATAAATATATGAATCTGACTTTAAAATTAGGTAAACTACGAGGCCTACCTAAAAATATGGACAACATAAATGAGAGGATAAAATGACAGTATAAATATATAATATAAAAAGAAATACTCCTTTGATTAACTCCTTTCCTATACATCTGGATTAAGTTGACTCTTACACTATAATTATTGTAAGTGATGATTTGTGATGTCATATAAAAGTAATTTATGTCAATGATCTTGTCTACTGTGATGATTAAACGCTGGATTTACAAGCACAGGAGTCTTTAATCAAACCATTCTCCCTGCATCCCCATTTCTATCCCTCCATAGATGAGAGCACGAAGATAATAAAGGAGGGTAGTGTCCAGAAGCCTGAAGAAAGACAAAATCATAGATGGATGGATGGATATATGTAAATAGATTGATCCCTTAAACCCCCATCTTTTAAAACAACACATTTAATAGATCTATGTACTATAAGTTGGTCCCATAAACCCTTGTTTTTTAATACATTGATACACTATAATTTAATAGAATGATATTGCTGTGCATTACCAAAGCTTAATAATGAGATGCAAATTATCTAAACAGCTCTATCCCTCTTTTAATGATATTATATATACGGATGTCTCTCTTTCTATTAAACCATTATATTTTTGTGTCATCATGCTCTTCTTTGAATAACATTTTTAAAGTTGAGCACTCAGTTCTGAAAAAACAAAGTTAAAGCCTCAGTGACATTTACTCTACAGCGGCCATAGTTTCACAAAATCGATAAAGAAAATCTACATCCTACTGCTTATCCCTATATTTTACGCTGCATATTTCTCTCGATTTTGGGAAGCTACAGCCGCTGTAGATCAAATGTGACATTATCCTCCACAAAAGCTACAGTAAGCAAGGCAAATATTACTTTTTGTTCATTTTCTCAAGTAGATTCTTCCCTCAGTATGAGTATTTATCAATTCATCATTGTGATCAATTTGACCTTGACCTTATCAATATTGGATTTCTTCAATTTGAGGGTAATCTAAATTAACAATACTGTATATGAGTATTCAATAATTCTTTAAGCCATATGCAAATACAGGATTTAGAACAAATTAATGCTCCTCTCCACTTGCGAAGATAAGGTCAATATTAACATCCATTGACAATTTCAGCATGATTCATCCGTAGGCTTTTACAGTCACCTAAACCATAATTTGTTCACAGAATCATTCAATTTCTTCTGTCCAAAAAATATCACCAATTTATTTCAACATTTTTCTAGTTAATTCTTGTTATAACTTCTTAAACATTTTCCTTAGTTATTTATTCCCATATATTCCCCAATAAGATTCTAATTATGGAAAAAATCTACATCTTAATTGCTGGTCTACACTCAAGATCCATTACGATGTGATTAACATGGGGTGCATAAGACTTAACATGTTCAATATGTAGCAACGACACAGCCCATCGAATACCATGTAAATCCTCCAGTATTCTTTTGAACTTGTAAGCTGAGTTAATCGACCACTCCAGCCAGTGTTTATTGATCTTCAGTAATTTGTCTGCGATAACGAATTCACGCGGAACTTGATGACTACTTGTCTCAATCTGCTGGTGAAGTAAAGTGGAATTATTATATGAGAGTTGCGTGTTTTGGATTTGTGCTACATTGCATGTCAATTCAGGACTTTTACAGTTCTTATTAGTGGGACATTTTGAAAGGATCTCATTAGAGTTATTGCTATCAGATTTTTGATCGTTAATGACTTCGTAATTGTGTTGCTTGATCAATTGAGATAAACCATCACAGCTTTTGTTAATTTGCATAGGAATGTTTCTCAGGTTCATGTGGGCGTTTTTCTCGTCCTTGTTAATACTCTCTATTTGTGGATTATTCCCACTGTTGTTAAGGGGATAACCATTAGTGTCACATAGGGGTGCTTCATTTGATCCAATCACTGTGATCCAATTGGAGTAATCAAGCGGCTTTTCATGCAAATCAACTCCATAAATGTCATCCAGTTTAATTTCATTGCTACTGCCTGTTTGAGTGATTACGTTGCTGGCTTTGTCCCTAGGGAATGCAACAAAGGATGTTACATTATTGTGAACGTGTAGTATACCCCCAGAATGAGGCTTAAGAGCAGCACATGCAATTTCCCACCCCTGCTCACTGCTGGGTATGAGGCCTAGGTTTACTCTATCTGCAACTCCTTTGGGACACACCTGGAAATATAAGACATATCATCATCGACAAACAATTTTTCAAATGTTTTGGTTGCATGGGAACATCTGCATTTAAATTTGAAAAATTTTCATTCATTTACCATGCACATTAATAAAGTAATGATCATAGTCTAGTTTTCATTTTGTAGCAAACTTCTTCATAAAGAGGGTTAAGCCCCTCATTAAAATATGAAAATCTTCATGCTCATTTCATTATCATGCATGAGGATATGCAAATTAACAAAATATCCAGTTCTCAGGGTATTTTCTGAGAAAAACAATGCTTTACTTAAGAAATCAAATGACCCTTAAATACTGAGTTAAATAAGGGGTACATGTAGTTCATTTTTTGAATGACAATGAGGAGACTGATTTACATGAGTAAATGACATTACTGGGTGAGGTAACCCAAACAAATGTTAATAACTCTGTCTTCCAACATGGATATAAATCAAATTTTGCACAATTAAACCTTTCAAGGTTCTTTCATTCTACTACGTTTCATTGGTCTAGTTCTAATGGTCACAATTTTATTGGCCATTTTACAAAACATGCTCCAAATGCGTAAAAATCACCCAATATGAATCCCTAAACTTTTATCTTTGGAGCTATTTTCAAAGATGTCCACACCTACAACTCTAGAAACATGTGCATCTAAAATGAAACTCCAGGCAGGGGAAAAATTGTACCCCCTTGGTAAATCCTGGCAACATCACGTTAGAAGCATCATAGAGTTGGAACAAGAGATAAGAAGGATGGTTAGACCCATAACAAGATATCTGTAAGTGTGTAGTCAGAACAACTTCACTCCGTACATCAGGCCTGTCAACTTGGGAACACCTAACATGAGTGACTTGGAAATGTTGAACACCTCTCCTCAAAATATGGACACCTTGGTCCAAATCTGAACACCTTGAACGGAATGCGTGACATATACGTAATTCGCGTGAAAAGTCCGAACGAAATGCGTACATTTTTTTTCCCGCGTTCGTATTTTTGCTGTGTAGACGATCTTTTTTGGACATTTTTCGACAGAAATATTTTTGCTTGACAATTACCAGGTAAAATGCGTATTTGCGTGACATTTTCTGTCACGCAAAAATAACTGGCGTGACTTCAAATTCTTCAGCAAATGCGTGACAAATACGCAAATTGCGGGACAGTTGACAGGCCTGGTACATTCAAATTGGCCTCCAGAAATGAGACCAGCATTTTGAGGATGTTTTGTAAAATAGCCATAAAATTGTGGTAATTTGAAATAGACCAATGAAACTTGATAGAATGAAAGAACATTGAACATATAGTGATGATCTACTCTAGAATTCAGTCAATTTGAGTATAATAGCCATACTTGAAGAGATCAGAAAAATATTACAAAATCCCACATTAGGTGGCCATTGTGAGTTTTACAAGGATCGAATCAGAAAAACGATACAATATTTGCAATCTACTTTAAATTGTATTTCATTTGAGTATAATAAAGTTATTCTTCAGAGAGATCTCACAATTAATGAAAATTCTGATGGACTGACTGACGGTTGGACGAAGGGCTTCACTATATCCTTACTGAACTTTGTTCATTGAGTTAATAATTTAGTATGGCACTGAAGATTCGGTCAAAGCTTTAAACAAATTATGTCTTACATTATTTGATAAAGGATGCGATGGGATGAAACATAGCCATTGATAAACATTAATGTAGCTGTCTTTATGAAAACCCATGAATAGAACCAATCTCTGAGACTAACTATATTTAGTAACAGATACTCTGGCACTTAAGATGATATATCCAACTCATTAATGTCAACATTACACACTTCAAATGACATTACTAGATTTTATATACATCAAATTGTACATACAGAATATACTATATATAACATACAAGATACAGATCCTAAATATAAAATAAAGCCCTTTGTATTTAACATAGCCCTCATATATCTTCGTTATATATTCATATTACTGTATTTAGTTCGATATTTGTTATGGAGATTGCCCAATAGACTAACAGCAATGAATATTTCTGTCATATTTCCATTTTAAGCATCCATAAGTGGCTGTGCAACAGGAACTATAGTGATAAATATCACACTTAAAAATCTTGTTATGCATAGAGGGGAAGGGTGATCGAACATTAACGATTGTGATCAAATTGTTTCTAGATCTCATTTTTCCTGTATTTTCACAACTTAAAAAATTCAAAAATGAACAACCTGAATTGCAAAAAAACAAATACAATGAGACCTCGTAATTAATGAGATTACATGGGCATCTGTCAGTAATGCCTTGGTCACATTTGCTCCGATTTTAACTATGGCACCCGGCCGATTGAGTATTTTGTTCAAATATTGACCCAGGCATACGCAGAGGCAATTCCAGTGCCCTTTAAATATATTTCACAGAAAAAATGAGACACCATTACTCCATTACCATTACTTATTAAGTAAGTATGTTTTGGCCATATTATATTATTAGGTAATGTTCATTCTGAAGTAATGTTAGAAGTTTCAATTTACAAGAGAGTGTTAATGGATCAAAGTCATAAAAAACTTTTTACTGAGCATTTTTCTCAAAAAACTTCATTTATATAAGTTTACTGAGCATTTTTCTGAGAAAACTTATATTATATAAGTTTACTGAGCATTTTTCTTAGAAAACTTATATTATATAAGTTTACTGAGCATTGGTAAACTTATATTACTGATCATTTTTATGACTGATCATATTTAAGTGGACACGCTGACAGAATCACCACCAACAAAGCTACTAACACTTTTCTGTAGTTTTTTAAACTTCCGACACTCAGAGTAAAGTAGAATATTGCACCAGAATTTTTAACCATATATGTACTTACTGATAGTCAATGAATGATACCAGCCAAATATATTCTAAAAAATTTAAACAATTTTTTGAAAGGTTCTTGGCAAGATCCAGTTCCGCCTTTAACTAGAATAACCCTATTCTATATATTTTACCCATTCAGAAAAATCCAGATTGACAAAATTCTGAACCTAATTGACTGACTCCCTTTAAAGAGAAAACTTGACGCATTAACACAAATCAAGTGACTTTTAAGCCTGAAGAAAATCTGAATTACTGCTATGCTGGAAAGGAATTCTATTTAGTCAGAAAATAAAAATGATATATTGCATTGATAAATGTCATTGCAATGTACATATTACACCTCTAGAGACACAGAGGTTTGAAATCAAGTTGAAAAATGCAAATTCAATAGGATTATAGAAGTATCATGGGAAATACACAGTTCTGAGATTAAACTTGTGATTTTATGACATTTAAGACTCTAGGAAGGTTGCAACATTCACTGAATTGATGCTTGTGGTCTGTTTTTACTACCCTTTTTAAAAGTTTGATAATGTAACTAAGAAGAGATTCATCTTCACTCTTTGAACATGTGCTAATCCTTCTAGCCTTAACCAATCAGATTTTGCCGATCAAAAAAGTGATCCAATCAGAACGGGAGTCACTGCATCTTTTGCATTCATAAATAGCTGATATTTATTGTCATCCTAAAAATTCCATTACAAAATACATAAAAGCTATTCTGGGGTTAATAACCATTAAAACTGAACATTTATTTGTCCTCCTCAGACTGTAGGAATTATTATTAGTCTACTGGGTAACATTTTAAAAATAATTTCATATTCTTGATATATACATGACACTCAATGAGTGAAATTGACAAGTTATTCTGACTTGTACTTAAACTGGTTCAAATTAATAGGTCACTTTGACAGATGTTATTTTCTCATTGCTATTATCTCATTTGGAAGATTGTTAATATAAATATGAGGGCGATTCATTGCAAGCGAACGAAAATGATTGATTTACTTGAAGGAACATAACTGATGCTTATTAAATTGGTTTGAACCATCATCTCATCATGTTTAATTCTGCATTTTTATGCATACAAATATAAAATAATTGTAATATATACCTTATCACTCCCCCCAGTTTTCTGCAAGTTAAAATGCTCAATTCTGCAAGTGAAATTAGTGAATTCTGCAAGAAGAAAGGGCTAATTCTGCAGAAATTCCGCGGATATTCGCGGCATTTTTTTATATAATATAAATAACTGTTATTAATTTATGTCTTTGTTTAACTTTCTGAGGAGAACAGAAAGAAAAACTAATGCTTTTCGAAACAGTAAACGGGAAAATATCGTGATAGTCAGGTAGTCAGTCACTACATACATGCTGCCATCTAACGGCAGAAATCAAACGATGGCGTTTAGAATTTTCACTTCGCATAATTTGGGTTATTTCTGCAAGGGATTTGACTGAAAACGTGTCAAATTGTTACAGGTAAGACTGACTTTTTAAACTTTTGGAAAATATATGGATTCTGCGGAAAATTCCGCGGAAATTGACCAAAATAGTTGATTCTGCAATTCCGCGGGCAGTGGCAAATTCCGTCCGCGCTCTGCAAACACGGAATCCTGGGGGCAGTGCCTTATTAAAAAAAGAATGTGAAATATGGAGGAAAAGTACAGCATAGAAAAATGTCCACCCATGTTGTATCCCCCTTATCATAATTTAGCTAGTAATACTCAAAGCATTACTCTAAAGCATTGCGGTTCCAATTATGACACAGCATTCTCAACAGTGATTTCAAAAAGTGGTTTAAAACTCTAACGTAATGGCTGTTAACATCTAGATGTAAAGGGAATACCCAGCAAGTGGAAGAGAGACCCATGACACATACATTTTATTTTAATGATACTCCGAACATATTTTTTTTCAGTTCTAATTATCTAACTACATATGAACCATTTCAAGGAATTAGCCAATCAAATTGTAATCTATGAAAAAGAATCATGGTACTTAGAGAGGGTAAAAATGTAAAACTTGTATATAATTTTTTCTCTCTTGTGCGTCCAATAATTGTTGTATTTTTTCCTACATGATTTATCAATTTTCTCGATCTCTTTATTCCCTCATGACCGTTATTTAAATTTCTATTGCCATCTTTCTGGATACAAATCCTTTGTTGTGGAAAGAACAACCCATGGGGATCAAGTAAGAGAATGTTTTGTATAAATCAAATTAAATGGAGCTCTATAATGAAAATAGTTACATCATTTTCAATGAGTCTTAAAAATACAATTAAAAATATGACCATTGAAACTTCAACTAGTATTAGGTTTAATCAATGATGGTTTCAAAGAAATGCAAATATATTTGTAAATATTTAATCTGGAACAGCTGTTGTTAGATGTAAGGTGATATAAATTATTCATGTTAAAGAGAGGCTTGCGTGTAAGGTCAGCTTGCATTCTGTAGAACAGAATCGTAGAAATGCCCAACATTTACAAATTGAAATCCCTTAAATTAAATTCCCTAGTTCTTCGTTGATTGAAGTGTGAAATTCCCCAAACCAATTTTTTTGTTCTTCACTTGTTCATTAGTGCATGTAGATCATTAACAGACAATTTTATTTGAATGTAGTTTTGGTAGTCAGATCTGCGCAATTTTTAGTTAGTCATTTCTCATTTCATGTATCTTTTAAGCTTGGTGGTTCAATGTTCTTCTCTTCAGATTTCACTGAACCTTTAAATATACAGTAAAACCTGTGTAGATTGAAAATTTTTTTTCAAGAAAAATGTTGGTAGGTGTTCACTTCAGAGAGGGTAATTTATACAGAAGTCAGTAGAGTATGTATATAGGAAGGGTGTTCACTAGAGAGAGGTGTTCACTAAGACAGGTTTTACTGTAATTCACTTAGACACACGACCCAGGATTGTTTTGATTTTAAATAAAATCTCTGGCTTTCTAAAACCTGTAATGAGGGAAGTTAAAAAAAAGGAGACACACAGTGAGCAAAATGGGCACCATGTAATTTACCCAGCATGCTCAAAACCTAATCAGATTTTGACACTAGCAGTGCTTTTGCATCAGTATATATTTCAAGTAAAACAGAGAAGTGTTTCTTCCTTTAATTTTAATGACAAGATTTATGTGGCACCCTGCAAGATACATGCACACCTCTCAGCACAAGATTGCAACAATAATGCACTCTTTTCAAAGAAATGAAATCTACTGTACATGTATCTATAATGTCCACGTGGGAAGAAGTAAATAGACAGTTTGATGCATACCTCTCTGTTGTCACCTTTGTGGACTATACACCTATCAGCGACATGATTCAGCACAAGATTTTTCCTCAGAGCATCTACTGCATTCGGATTCCATTCACAAGCATGAACCAGATCTGCTTTACTGTGAAGCAAGTATGGAAGAGTGAAGTAGCCTATACCTACAATACAAAAGACACACTCATTAATAAGGAGTCCATTCACATGCATGTACCAGATCTGCTTTACTGTGAAGCAGGTATGGGAGAGTGAAGTAGCCTATACCTACAATACAAAAGACACACTCATTAATAAGGATCCCATTCAAACGCATGTACCAGATCTGCTTTACTTTGAAGCAGGTTTGGGAGAGTGAAGTAGCCTATACCTACAATACAAAAGACACACTCTTTAAAAAGGAGTCCATTCACATACATGTACCAGATCTGTTTTACTGTGAAGCAGGTACGGGAGAGTGAAGTAGCCTATACCTACAATACAAAAGACACACTCTTTAAAAAGGAGTCCATTCACATACATGTACCAGATCTGCTTTACTGTCAAGCAGGTATGGGAGAGTGAAGAAGCCTATACCTACAATACAAAAGACACACTCATTAATAAGGATCCCATTCAAACGCACGTACCAGATCTGCTTTACTGTGAAGCAGGTATGGAAGAGTGAAGTACTACAATACAAAAGACACACTCGTTAATAAGGAGTCCATTCACGTGCATGTACCAGATCTGCTTTACTCTGAAGCAGGTATGGGAGAGTGAAGTAGCCTATACCTACAATACAAAAGAAACACTCATTAACAAGGATTCCATTAACATCCATGTACCAGATCTGCCTTACTGTGAAGCAGGTATGGGAGAGTGAAGTAGCCTATACCTACAATACAAAAGAAACACTCATTAACAAGGATTCCATTAACATCCATGTACCAGATCTGCCTTACTGTGAAGCAGGTATGGGAGAGTGAAGTAGCCTATACCTACAATACAAAAGACACACTCTTTAATAAGGAGTCCATTCACGTGCATGTATCAGATCTGCCTACTGTGCAGGTATAGGAGACAATACAAACTTGTTATATGTTAATGAACAAGGCATTGGCACAAAAAATGTCACAACATTAATAATGTACATGATAAGTTTTTGTAAATGGTTATAAAAGTGTGACAATGCTGAAACTAGAAAAACAGCAACTCCACGGAGAAGCAAATCCCACCGAACAAAATATGTTTTGATAAATAGCGGCCATATAAAATTTGAGCCAAATCCATCCACTGGTATTTGAATTATCAAAGATTATGTTTTTATGAAACATGGTTGCCATTTTGAAATTCAGCTTTCATCTTTAGATTTCTTCTTTAGCAGACCTCCTCTGTCCCAATGCATCAGCATATAGAATTTAATCCAAATCCGTCAACTGGTATTTGATTTATCTAGGATTACATGTTTAATGAAAAATGGCGGAGATTTCGATAAATAGCAGCCACCTTGAAAATTTCTTCTCAAGCAGAGCTCCTTTATCTCTGGGCATCAGTATATAAAATTTGAAGTAAATCCGTCCAATGGTATTTGAGTTATCAAAGATTACCTTTTTTATGAAAAATGGCAGCCATTTTGAAATTCAGCTGACGCCTTTGAAATTTCTTCTGAAGCAGATCCTCTTTCCCCAAACATCAGCATATAAAATTGGAACCAAATCCATCCACTGGTATTTGAGTTATCAATAACTACGTTTTTTCTTAAGAAAAATGGCAGCCATTTTGAAATTCAGTGGCCATCTTGAAAATGTCTTCTTAAGCAGAACTTCTTTGTCTCTAGGCATCAGCATATAGAATTTGAACCAAATCCATCAACTGGTTTTTGAGTTATCAAAGGTTACGTTCTTTTATGAAAAATGGCGGCCATTTTGATATTAAGCTGCCATCTTGAAAATCCCTTCTCGAGCAGAGCTCCTATGTCCATAGGCATCAGCATGTAAAATTTGAACCAAATCCATTGAATGGTCTTTGAGTTATCAAAGATAATGTTTTTTACAAAAATGGCCGCCATTTTAAAATATGGCAGCCATCTTGAAAATGTCTTTTTGAGCAAGGCTCTTTTATACCCAGGCAACAGCATTTAAAATTTGAGCCAAATCCATTTACTAGTGTTCGAGTTATCAAAGATTATATTTTTTCCAAAAATGGCCGCCATTTTGAATTTGGCGGCCATATTGAAAATTCCTTCTTGAGCGGAGGTCCTACACCCAAAAGGCATAAGTCTATAAAATTTGAATGAAATCTGTCAACCGGTATTTGAGTTATTGCCCGGGCACACAAATGGACGGACGAACGAACGGACGGACGAACGGCTGTTCTGTATCCCCCTCGAACTTCGTTCGGTGGGATAATAAAATAATGAGTGAATGTTGCTTTAGAGATAACAATTAATATAACCCTCTTTGCTATATCCACCAAGCAAGTAGCATCATACGGTTATTATTTGATTATAATACATGTAAAAACATTAGAAAGAGGCAACACAAACCAGCAAACATCCATTACACTATCCAATTCTGAACCTAACTACATCATATGTAACCTACACAATTTTTTCAGATAGTAAAACAGAAAGTTGCTGCCAGGAGGAAAGTCCTTTGAGTTAAACACAACTTTCCATCAACAATGTAATGATCTGAGGGGGCCTCCAAAGAATGACCAATGCTGAGCGGAGAGTAACAAGACAGATACAGACACAAAGAAGTGTGCTAAATTTAATACCCTGTGTGGTTATCGATTAAGGCCCTCAAATCCAAAACCTGATGCTATTCAATACTTGAGCTTCCAAAACTTAAGGTAGGGTAGCTGTGCTTTAGTAGTAACTTGTTATCCAGGGGTTTGTATTCGGTATGATCATAACTTACGATTCTGAGAAAACCATTGTTTAATTTATGAAAAACAATGACTTGTGACCAAATTGCAAGTTACAACAGTTCCAAAAACTGCCCCCAGGGTTATTACAACACCATATTTGGAAGACATCAGGGATAATTTGTTGAACTGTCTTACCTGCATAGAGGTCAACTACAGTCTCTCCTGTACAGTCAAATGATGACACACGCAGTTTTTCACTGATGTTACCCTGACTGAACATGTTCTTGGTAACATCAAATGTGTATCTGAAACAAAACAAGTATTTAAGCAACCATCAGTGCAACCCATAAGTCTTACATCAAACCCTTGTACATGTATATCCCATACTTATATCAGAAATTTTACAACTGGATCAGGAAGAGTGTGATGGGGATGAGAGATATTATATTTTAATGCAAGAATTAATACACAAATGTACATGTAGCTGTTATACCTCAAATAATTTTCCACAAGCTAACAAAAATGTAAATAAATGTAACGTCATATACATATGGGTATATACACACATGGGTATGACATTTTTTAAAGATGGAAATATTTCTTGGCCTACTTGATATGGTTGTCTACATGTTGCACCCAGCCATCATCTCCTAGCAACAGTTTCACCTGGGGTGTCCGGAATCCATCACTTGCTATGCGACACTTTTTGGCGAGTCTTTTACAACCCATTGAATTGGCAACAATCTTCCATATATCTAGCCCTACAAGTGTTTTAATTCTTTAAAATAAGGATAAATTAACTACCATTTAGAATCCATCAATAAGAATATTATAACAAAGTAAAACTGTTCTATAAGTGATTGTTAATGATCAGCACAAGACAATGGCAATATAGTATATTTTCATAGTGTGATAAAAATATATTTATATTGGAATGGTTTGATAACACAAGGATTACAGGTATCAACAAAGTATAAACTCAGTGACTCACCCAAACTTTCCTCCCATACTGGGTGCTGGAATGCTTTTTCAGGCAACATGACAAGATCACCATGTCTTTGCCATCTGGATGGAATATCTTCTTCGATATCATTACACCATAGCACATTTTTAGTTTCCAGGGCTTTTCTTAAGTCACGTATAGTTGCATCACGGACTTGAGAGGGAGGGCACTTGTTTGACACTTTTTCATCAACATCATCCGTTAAGTAAAAATCAATCCCTGTAAAACAGAAAAATCAATTTCATAATATGAATATGTGGCTGTAACCAAAATAGTAGCCGATATTTATTGCAAATTTAATATCTAATAAAATGTATCAATGCCTTAATGCCAATGCCATTGAGATCTTACATGTACATGGAAACTGAAATATTACTCTCAATTCCTGGTTTCTAGACAACTCATCCCAAGACATTAGTCTTCCCTAAGACAACTCATCCCAAGACAAGTCATCCCTAAGACAACTCATCTCAAGACAAGTCATCCCTAAGACAACTCATCCCAAGACATCTCATCCCAAGACTTCTCATCCCAAGACAACTCATCCCCAAAAAAGAACTCTCATCCCCAAAAGAGCAAGTGCTAGATGTTAGGTCATCAAGTCTCACCCCAGAAAGATTCAGGGCTCTATATGTCTTAATCACAGAATTATGCTCATACGAAAATGGGGGTCTTTAAATTGCTTCACGCACAATGGATTTTTGTCATCTTTAGGCAGCAATAATTACATGATTAGAACAGGTAAGGTCCTGAACTTTTGGGAGGTCAGACCTGATTGCCTAATCTGATGCATCTGTAATATTGGCGATTCTAGGTCTTCTAGAATGCATGCTATCAATGCATGAATTTTGCTTAAAAACTGACGCAGGTTAGCATTACTGATATATTAGCACATTCTTATAAATCAATGCTTAAACATCAATGCTTAAACAATTATTTTATCAGAAATTAGGAAAAGTACCATCTCCTAGGTTTTAGAGCATATTGAAAAAGATTTTAAATTCATTTTTCATTTTCAGACAATTATTAACATGGTAGTGAATGAGTGTCAGAAAATGTGGTAGGGGGAACAAATTTGACAATGTACTTTCAACAACTCTAATTGAAAGCCCATGATTTGACTGATATTTTTGTGTTAGCTTTCCTCTACCAGGAGACCAACTGGGCAAAACTCCATCTTGACCCGGAAAAAAGTCGAAAAGTGAAACACCCTAACGTCCATTGAGTAACTGTCAGACAAATGGCTGCACCGAGTGTTTGTACTTTACCTTCTTCTAAGGCCACTGTATCGTGGCCTTCCAGTACAGATATATTTCTGCATGAACAACTGGTCATGTCGTAATCATAAAATTTGAAATCATATGTCCGCCATTTTTCCACATCACAATTTGAATTGCGAGTTTTGGTCTTATTACCTCACCAAAAATTCCAAAACACACACAAAGTGATCAGTGTATTAGTTCACATCTTCTGGATTGCTAACTTAGCATTTACAGCCAGTTACTAATGTCAGACGTTAACGACATTTCGTCCAGTTTTCGAACATCGCCATTCTTGGAGCCATTTTGTTTTAATTTTAGACGAAATCCTGATGAAATCATGTCATATCTCATCAAGGAGCCGAGCTGGGTCCGGTTTGATTAATGATTTATTTATCTGGCGATTTTTAAAATATTCAATAAATTTATGACACCCTGGCCAGCTTTTTTTCAAATAGAGTTCACAGTATTCCAGATGAAATCCCCTCTAGCCAAGTATTGGCTAGAAACTCGAGTAATTTGTACTGTACCTTCAATAATGTTGATTTCATTGAGTTCAGTTTTGCCTTCTGGGGTGACTGGGATTGCCAGTTCAGTTTCATTAATTCTTGTAATTTTGCGTGCTTTATCCAGCCACTTCCTGCAGTTGAAATATTTTCTGGAAATAAAGGAATTTATATTGCACTTTTGGACAACTACTGTAGATTGGGTTAATTTGGCGCTACTTAATTTGGCGATTTTGCCATTTTTGGCATATTGGCGGCTATTTAATTTGGCGGATTTATATGCAAAAAAAATTTTTAAATAACTTACGCGCTGTTTGCGAATTACCATGTAAATGGGCATGTTTGGCTGTGTTCATTTTTTTCTTTTGAGGACCGCTGGCGATATTCATCACGTTTGTACATTTTTGTGAGATCATCCTTTACATTTTGCATCTCGATCGATGCTGCTACTATACCGCGCATTTCCTTTGTAGTTTTCCCAGAGTATTAATGAGTGACTGAATAGTTCTCGGCCAATTTATGAGAGACATTTTTTCATATTTTTGGAAAAAACTAAACAGGAAGTGACCTAAATACACTGGACGAAATACCCTAGATAATTCCCGGGGATTCATTCTAAATTTTGGCGAAGATTTATATTGGCGAATTTTTCAATTTCGCCAAATTCGCCAAATTAAAGCGGGCGCCAAATTAACCCAATCTACAGTATTATTTCTATAACCACACTTCCAAATATAGACTGAACCATTTTATACTCTATTTGGACAAAATATGAATTAAAATTACAGTTATAAAGTTATATTTTCCCAATATTTGTTTGTTTGTTTATAAGCCTATTATCACCCACCAGGTTTTGTAATTGAAGATAACTTCTGTTTTTTACATTCAACGACTATTTTGCGGCTGGTTTGAAGTTGACTTTCAATAATATAATTACATATAAAATTTATTATTGCATATTTGTAAAGATTTGATGTCTTTTACCTGAGAATTTGACCTTTTTGTTGAGAAGTGACGACAAAATATTTTTCCATTTTTTTGGTGTCGCAAAACTACTGTAGGATATTTTACAGTACTGGTATGTTACTTCCATAACGGTCTCTAAATATTGATTATAAGGAAATATTTATAGAAAATCATTATGTTTATCATATCTTTAAATTATATTAATATGATGGAACATAACAGAGGACAATACTAATTTGGAATAATATTCGGCAAAATAATTTCTGAGTGGTGTCTCAAGTTTGTTTTGGTCGGAGATTTTAACGTTTCTCAACATTTTCAATATTTACTGCACTCTTAGCGATATGTAGGTGTTTGTGGACCCATTAAATTATGAAGTAGCAATTTTGAACATACAGCATTTGTCTACGTCTTCCAAGATGACAGAAAATGGTAAGACTCAGTCTACAGTTGGGGACATAAATAAATGACAGGTGGATTTGCTGAAGTGAGGATTTCCCCACATGCTATCTATTGCAAGACTAACGCCTGGTGTAACCGTCACCATGTTATTCGGTGTTTTTTAAGTAGCGCAAGGATCCTGCCATGACCGTGGCAGTGTTATTTTGTAAGCCTGGTATAACCGTGACAACGCTGTATTATATTGCAAGGCCTGTCATGACCGTGAGTGTTATCGTGGAAGCCTGGCGCGGCCGCAGCATTTACGTTTAATTTAAGAATTTTTTATTGTTGTTTGTTAAGTAATTTGTTTACTATCCACTTTTAAATAAATTGTTTATTAGCGTGACACAAATAACTTGTCTTATTCTGTGTAAATGATTAATAATTTTAGAATATGCGGAAATAATGTGAATATAATGTCTAGTAGTAATTTTGATATTAACATAATATATTACCTTGTCACGGTCATGCCAGGCTTTGTAATACACATTGTCACGGTTATAGCAGTAGTCCTAATCATAAATTTCTACATCACCACTTTCATACCTGAACTTGTAATACTACATTACACTGCCACTGCGGTCATACCAAGCCTTGCAATACTATATTACATTGTCACGGTCATGCCAGGCCTTGCAGTACTGTGCCATGCCAGGCCTTGCAGTACTATATGACATTGTCACGGTCATGCCCGGCTTTGCTATAAACATTGTCACGGTTATAGCAGTCCTAATCATAAATTATTGCAAGGCCTGTCATGACCGTGGTAATGTTAAAGCCTAATATGACCGTGACAATGCTTATAAGGCCTGTCATGACCGTGGTAATGTTAAAGCCCCGTATGACCGTGACAATAGTTGCAAGGCCTCTCATGACCGTGGTTGTATTTAAAGTAGCATGAGAACACTGTAATGACAATTTCCTAATTTTTACTCATAAATAATTTGCGAACAAACTATATCTCTACTCTCATTCAAAGAGCTTCGATTCGAAAGCATATATTTTCTATAATGATCAATTAATAAGATTTATTCATAAAAAATACCAACAGCAACGGGTCATTAATGTCATATAAAGGTTGCGGTCGCGCCAGGCTTACACGATTACACTACCACGGTCATTGCAGGCATTTTAATATAATACAGCATTGTCGCGGTTATACCAGGCTTTCACGATAACATAACCACGGTCATGGCAGGATCCTTGCGCTACTTAAAAAACACCAAATAACATAGTGACGGTTACGCCAGGCGTTAGTCTTGCAACAGATAGGGTCTCGATTTCCCATGTTAAAAATAAGAGAATTTACAAGAGGCCATAAATCAGTGGATGAGATTGTACAAAATGTAAAATATACAAATTTTAAGGGATATGTATCTAGACAATATTGGAAATTATGGGCTTTCAGACCACCATAATTAGGAAATGGTGATCGAAAATCGACCTGTCATTTATTTTTGTCCCCAACTGTAGGCTATATTTATTGATCTAGAAATCACACACCCCTTTCAATTTTATTTCATTCCCTCCAATTATTTCTTAGAAGTGAACACCAAATGTAAACAACTTCTATCAAAAGTTTCAAATAAAAATCAATGGGATAGTAATGCAGTTAGGGTAACATTTCTTGTTGTTGTTGGAATCTCGTGGGTAACATTGTACATGTATGCAATTTTCAATCAGATCGAGATCTACTGTACAATGTTACGTTACGTCAAAATAACAAAATGGAGGAACTTCCTGTGTTCGAATTCCGTCAAAGTAACTAGGTTGGGAACTATTTACTTAGGTCCAAAGCCTTCTCTTTATTCTGGCTTTGAGTGAAAGCATCGGCTTTCAACTACTGTAGAAAGCCCATGGTGAAAGTTACATGTACTGTAGTTTACTGCAGCCGTGGTATTCAATATTTGGAAATCATGGTGACACATGCGGTTGTTACGGCATAATAAATGAAACACCTCTATGCATACATTTGCAGACTATCAGCTCATATCTGCATTTCAATCAATTGTTATATAGGATTTAATTTAGCCTAGTCTCAGATTTAGCCAAACGCTGAATGGCTGTATGAATGTTAAGTATGAGGTTCTTTCCGAAAAGAAAGTTTGAAGTATCTACCGTAAATTCAGACAATCAATGGGACTATTTCAATATTATGAATATTCTTCCAAATATTTATAAAAATTATTAAGCTATGGCTCAGTGGCAGAGTCAAGGTTACCAATATCGCTTGGCCCCGGGTTTGATTCCAGGTTCAGACAAGTTTGTTTGTGCGTTATGTAATTCTGGGTGTTTGACTGAGTGGTTCACGACTCGTATTAAAGGCTGTGGTGTGTACCTGTATGTCTGTGTACCTGTGCACATAAAAGAACACACTGGGCTCCCGGGGGGTTCACTGTATATAAACCTTGACGGGGATCCTCGGCCCACATGGGGTATCTTTTTCAGCATTTGGTATGGCAATGGACCCATATTTTAGGATTTGGTATGGGATTGCCCCGGAATATATGAAATCTGGTATGGCAATGGTCTGATTTTTCCACTTTCTGGTATGAGAATGGTCGTGAAAGAGGGGTTCGTGGGATGGATTCTAAAAACAACAACATTTGGTATGGCATTGGTCCTATATTTGTTCATTTGGTATGACATTGGTCCTATATGTGTTCCATTGGTATGTCATTGGTCCTGTATTTGTTCAATTGGTATGGCATTGGTCCTGTATTTGGGCATTTGGTATGGCTTTGGGTATGCAAATTGGTTGGTATGGGAACATATTGAAATTTGACAGATTGGTATGGGAACATATTGTTATCTGAGGGTTCAGCCTAGGACCCCTGTCAAGGTTTGTATAGAGTGAACCCCCCGGGACTGGGCTCCTCCAAGGAGGGGTTTCTGGCTCTGTCTTCGAGTGTAAAATATGTAAAATATGGAATATACCATTGAGGTATTGCTCGCCAAATATGGCAGTAACCATGATATAATAATAATAATTTCTAGGCACGTGTGACACTTTTTTTAGAGTACATACAAAATCAATGAAGTCACATCTAACTGTAAGCTAGAGACTCGAGTCTGGAACAGTGAGTATTATATATAGGCTAGAGGGAAAACCTTAAAATGACTACATTCAAGAGGCTACATGTTCACCATCATGTATTTTCAGTGATGAGGCAGGCAGAGAGTGTTGAAGATCTATTGGAAGCCTCCACTCCACAGTTGAAGGTACCAAGTGAGGATATACTACAGAAGGGTATTGCTCTGCTTACAGGTACATTGTATAGGGAAAGCTTACTTTGATTTTCAAACACTATGTTTACATGTACTGTAAAGTTCATAGATTTTTATTGTATGCTGTTGTAAGTGATTATTGATTTTCTTGAAATAAAATTATTAATAATAAAATGGTGTCTCATATTATCTATATTCACTATTCTATATAGACCTCAAGTTATCATGTGAGAACATTAATAACATTTAAAACCCTTGTTATGCATACTACAATACTGTAAGTCCAATTATCTTTAGGCATCTACATGGATGTATGTTTATTGCTTTATAATTATTTGCTATGTTTGAAAACATCTGCTTACACAAATTACTTCCATTTTCATCATATATTATACATTATACTTACAAGGTGGCTGTGATGTATCTGGGCGTCCATTGATTATGCTACCAGCACGCCACCTATCCATCTTAACGTCTCAGTACCTTGGTGCTATGGTCCCATTCTTCAAACAGATTCTCTGGAAGCCCTCCAATGGATTCGCAATTGTAACTGATCTGACAATATTGAAGAAAGATGGAGTAACTGGTTTTATTTCTGTGCTCAAAGATTTTGAGGTATGTCCATTGGCATAGATTTTATGGTTTGTACTCTGAGAGTATGAGCACTTAATTAACATTAAAAAATACAATAAAAGTCTATCAGTTAAAAAGTAAAACTGAATTTGACACAAATTATAGCATAATCATGAACTTTATCAAGCCATGCCTTAATCTGTAATAATGATTTTGCTGACAAGTAATACCATCCTTCAAACGAAATCATCCATTCTCCAGAATTCCTTAGACATACATGTAATGAATATTCTCCAATAGTTTATGCTTTTATTAAAGAATCAGCATGCTGGGAGCATATCTTGCCTCTATTTGGTGCAGCCCAAATCTAAGGATTCATTGAAGGTCATGCAGAAACTACTAGGCATCAAACAAGACAAGAAAAAGTATAATCCACCAATGTTTGAGGTAAGAAATGTATTTGATATTGTCTTCTCTCCTCATTTACCCCACCCTTTTGAAGCTAATTAAACATTCAGTTGGGAAAATTGAAAAAATAAGCAAAGTCTATTCTGATTATAGTGGCCCAGTCAAAATCACCCTTGTTAGAATTGACTACTCAGTGTTTTTGCACTGATGGAAAACAAATAATTTAAGTTTATTGTCCTTACAAAATCAGGCTTGTAACTTTCAAAAATCATGTTGACATTTGACTCAGCTCAAGGCATTGCATGATTCAACGTGCATTTGGATGACGTTTTATTATTTTGTATTTAGGTGTGTGTTGTTAAGTCTCTAAAGGAGTTGACCATGTACATCTCAGAAGACCAATTGATCAGTGACTTTGGCGGGACATTCCCATACAACAATGATGCATGGATTGTCTTACAAAAGGTAATAGTAGTATAATAGACTTCTTCTACTGTAGTGTATCACTTGTAATCATGTTTCAAAATAATCACAATTTGTTCAAAATTTCTTTGTCTTTATTCAAAGTTGATACAGATTAAATTGGCAAAACTCTTCAATTCTTAGCAAATTGAAAAGTTTTAGCCCCTTTAGAAAATTGAAAAAGATTAATCCCTGTTCTGTTACAGGTGTGACAATTGAACATTGTATCATTGTATCATAATATTATCACCATAGGTGATGGAAGCATTCTCTGGTAACACCAAGGATGTGATGGAGCGCATCCCTGCTGCGGAGGACAGAATACAGATGCTCTCAGAATATGATACGCCTGTCTCCAGCAGCGAACTTCCTGCTGCGTTATCAGAATTGTCAGAGAAATACCACACCATCATGAGGTTAAATATTATATATGATTCATAAAATGAAGAACTATGTACATTACAAATTATATAAAGGCTTTTGTATATAACTTGTATGTACTCTTTTTTAGTGTGAACTTTAGACAATTTGGAAAATTGTGCAAAACTGGAAATAAAATAAAATTGATATCTTAAGTAATGAAGGATGTCAGTTACGATATGAGTGTAGTTTAAAATGATATAGTATAATTAAATTTCAGAGAGCTGAACATTGAGTCAAGCATTGATGAAACAAGTGCCTTATTAGAGAAACTGAAGATACCCGAAGATTTCCCAGTTTTCCGTGATCTCAAAGACAGTCCATTCCTAGAACATTCCAGAAATACAGCAGAGAAATCTCACACTGATCTAGTACGAGCCAGAAATAATCTACAGTTGCTATGGAAACAGGCTGAGGATCACATGACTAGCTCGATAGAGAAGGATGATTTTGAACATGATGCTGAAGAGGTAATTGAGAGTTGGACTACATGCATGTAGATTGTTGAACATTTCCACTTTTCATTAGAGGGACTACTTTTCCTGGTGTCATTTGATCTAATGCCATGTAATTTCATGGCAACAGTTAATACATTACTAAATAATACTTCCCGTAGTATAACTGTTTTTCATTTTAAAGTGCATAAAAAGTGGATCAATTGATTACCTTAAATAATGTAATTTAAGCGGAAGACAAAACCTCTATTGCTACACAAACATTTATGTTTAGATGAGTACTTGGATCAGAGATGTTGGGGTGCCCACCCTAGAGATACCAGCTGATATAGGGGAGAATACGAGTAGAGCTGAACTACTTATGAATCACTTCAACACTGGCTTCTATACAACCGCTCAGGTAATTGTGGTGACTTCAGTTTTCAATCATTGGAGTTAGTGTGCACTTTGGTATCCCTAGCATTGAAGTTATTTAAAAATCAATATTTTTACCAGACTTTCAATTTGTAAAGAAGAAAAACCCCTTCAATGTCTTGAAATGTGAGATACTGTTTTATGAACATTGTTGACATTGTTCCCTTGTAAATTGTACTTCAAAAGTTATGTAATTGTAAACATACACTGACTATTTGATTTATGGGCAATTCTATCTAAGTTGAGAGGCTGTGCCTTGTGGATAAGAGCCCATTATTGATTGTTTTATTACTCCTATACATGTACTGTCATTTCAATTTCAATTTGTTTATTTCACAAAACACTTTATACATATACAATGAGTGGGTGACACGAGGGTTTGTGTATATTCCCAAGATGGAGTAAATTTACAAAATGTGTGAGAGTGGTCATGGGTCTAGCTTTCTGCTTATAATAACATTTTGCCAAGTTTAAGGTACTAATACTATACTAATGTACTTAGAAAATAATGTGAAGAAGAATGTTTTGATAGAATGTATAAAAAACAAGAAAATTCAGGGAAAAAATTTCTGAATTTTTTCACTGAATTTTCTTGTTTTTTACACATTTACAAAACAAATCTTCTCACCAGTCTTTTCTAGGCGCATAAGTGCACTTTTTGTGCAAAACTGGAAGATGTAGACAATGTGTGGAAGGAGTGATTCCTGTTTGAAAAATAACATGTGACTCAATTGAGGAATGCGGCAAAATTCTGAACATGCACCCTGGCCTTAACTTCAAATTTTGACATATGTTAGGGCAGATCTGGTGATATTTTGGGATATCCTTGGCAATATTTATTAAGTGATGCTATTTTGATTTAATTTATTTCCAGAAAGTAATACAGAGTGCTGAAGAGTTGATTTCTAGAGTGGATGAGAAGATCATACAAGGGAGTTCAGAGATCAGAGATATTCTCATATTTTCAAGAAAGTTCCAAACAATGATTGATGAATTTAGGACTAAACTTGAGGGCAGGAGGATTCTATATGCCAACGTCTTTCAGTTTTATACACTCACTGAGAAGGTAATTAAAAGTTTGATACGAATCCAAAGGTTGTGCTACTGTTTTATTTTATTTAATAAGATAAACTTTTGCTTTAGCAAGGTTTGTTTCTTTGGGACTGGTTTTAAAACTTTGTTTTAATATGTCAGAATTTACACATTTATTTACTGATTAAATATGAATACATGCAATATTATGTTTGATAATTTGTTCATAAAACATGCCTTTATTAATCAATTGTTTTCTTCTTATGTTGTCAAGACATCATTTTTATGCCACCACCAGAACTGGTGATATGTTGCGATAGTCCCCAACGTTTTTGTGGACAGTCCCAAACGTTTTTGTGGACAGTGTTTGGTGGTCGGCAGTTGATGGTTGGTGTTCAGCAGTTGTCATCTGTAACAACTGGTTGTGACATTTTGCATGTTAATGCCTTGTTTGATTAAATGCTTTCTTTATTCTTCAGGTGCTCTCATGGTACCACTGTGCCTTGAACTTTCTGACTCAGCATTTCCATAACAATCCCGACCTTGACCCTGAACAATGGAATACTAATGCACAGAAATTCCTCAAAAAATATCCTAGCCCAAGGCTCAAACATCTACAAAAGATAAAGGACAGCATTGTTCTTATTCCATCCATTCAGAACAGAAATCAAGCCAGATTGTTGGTCAATAGAGTGAATATGTTGACCTCACTGTTTACTGACATTGACGCAATGAAAACATCAGATATTGAGAATGTCCTTCACTGGAAACATGATATTATGGCTGGCTTTGAAGACGTTAATTTGAGTGTAGAAGATGTGGCTCCAAAGCACACAAGCAGTGGATCACTTCCAAGTGTGGCCCCAAAGCACCATGCAAGTGGATCAGTTTCAGCTAGGACTTCTACCCCTGGGTCAAGCTCAAATACACCGCCGCTTAGATCGTTGAATAGTACTCCAAACAGCCGCCAACGTCATAACAGAACCCCTAAGTTACGGAGCAAGGAAAACTCAGAATGTGATTCAACAGACTATCCTGTGGGTGGCACGCGGCATAATGAGAATGTTCCACAGAAAATAAACACAAATGCTCAAGAAATAAATGCTAAACATAATAATCATCAGAGATCATCAAGGTCACCAGATAGGAAATCGGTTGAGAGGTACATTGATTTAGGATTGCCTGACTCAAAACAATCACCTCCAAAACATAATATTAAAACCATAACAGGGCAGCAACATCCTGGCATATTAACAGATTCTATGAGGGTCCAGAGAGGCTCCTTAAAGGTTAAGAAAAAGCTACCACCTAAAAGAAAATCTAAGCGAGATTCACAACGTAATATATTCATGCCTGAGATGTCTTACTCACCATATGACAACCCACACTTTTATCCCCAGGGCTCAAATGTTGCGACACATTCCAAACCACATGAAATTACTATGCAGGAACGATTAGATCAAATATACACGAGTGAATTACCAGAGGAACGGAAGCTTAATATGATGGCTTCAATATTCGAGACAGAATTTGTTGATCCAGTTACTGAAGAGAACATTCCTGATATCCAGGAGCATCCTGTTCATGATGCTATCACAGCAGGATATCCCACCAGACAACATTCCAAATATGGACATATCCTGGATCCATTCGCTGGCGTACCACAGCAGGAAAGGGAGTTGTATTATGACGTGTTGAGACGACAAAAATTAGAGGAGGAAATCCAACAGCAGTATTACAATAATGCAGCTCATGTTAACAACAGATTGAATTTGAATCCCATGCATCATGTGCATCAATCTAATCAGTATCAAAAGCCTATCACCTACAATGTGCATCAATATGAAAGAAAAATGAAACGTAGCTCAAGATCTGCTCCACATTTAATGTCCCAAAGCCAATTCTACCCAGGGGACCATGTGTTACCCCATCCGGCCTCTCAAAGTGATCCTTACTTACATCAATCAATGGCAAAACAAAATGGCCGACATTTTACCCAGCATGCACCTGGTGATTTCTATAGCAACACTGAAAGCAGCAGCACTCAAGATGATTTTGGAGTCTATGGGGATGACCAGGATGATACATTATACTCGGGGGTGGACATACACGCTTGGATAGCAAAGCAACAAAACAACTTGGGCAGCAGAAGTAGTGTCACCTATAGTCAGACCAGTGAAGATACTGAAGCTAACTTCAATGTTAATGATGAGAACCTTGAAAGGATTCGCGAAGGAAGACCTGAAAGGTGAGAATGTTTCAAATATCAAGTCAGTTGAATTAGAAGCATATTTAACTCATATAAAATACTTTAGATAAAAGTAATTAAAATTATTGTTTCATTCATACTATAAATATACATTTACAGTTTTTACACATCTTGACTTGGCCCTGAATTCTTCAGAGGCAGATTTTCCAGAATTGGAGTTCATAATCATCAGGCTTCTCTTGTCTTGACTACTTTGCAACTATTTCTACAAGTAATTTATACAAGTATGATATCAGTACACTGACATTTGCTATAACACCGTAATACAGACACAAATCATTACAAAATATTAATACAGTATACAATTGTTGACCTCTCCAGATGTCAACCGGCAAAATTGTATACCGAGACTGTAAACTACTGTTAACAGAGACTGAAGGTCGAGGTCAACAGTAGTTTCAAGGTTTACAGTCGAGGTATATGAATTTGACGGTTGACCGAATGGAGAGGTCTACAATTGTTTTGTTAGTCTGGAAACTAATAATACACATAAAGATGACAATCATCAATCGGCATGTTGTTAATTTTACATTTCTATTTGTATTTTTGCTATACTTGTTGTCTACTAAAGTCAAAATATCACTTTCATCAACGTTTACAAAATGTCCCTCTACCATGTTTTTTCTGTAAACATTGTGACGTCATATTCCCCATAATTCACAAGTGTAGAACAGTATCATATGCGGTCAATAATATGATATCCCATGATGCACAGGTGGGGTACAGGCAAAAGTGTTGACTGCTAATTGACCAATCAGATGCGAGTATTTACACTGAGGTACTAACAATATGTACATTATACTGTATGTATACAATATAACTACAATAAAAGATTAAGTGGAGCAGCTGTGTTGATGGAACATCTCCATTTAGTACTGTATTGCACTCCAATGGTACTTCCAACTTCCAGTTACCTTTAAGTGAATGTGAATTGAATCTTTGTAAGTCGACCATTTCCCAAGTCGAACACTACCACTTTTTCAGGTTTTACTGAATTAACATTGTAAGCAGTACAACATTTACATAAATAAAATAACTGGATGTCTATGTTCACGTTGTTGTGCATTCCAGGATTGACCATGATGTTCGAGTAGAGCATCGGAGACAGGAAGGAGCAAACATAAAGCATGTGGAAGAAACACAGGATAATGTAGCCCAAAGTCTGCATAGATCAGCTCAACTCTTACAGGTACTGAAAACACACCCTATGCTTAGTGAGCGGAGCTAATTTCAAGGGTGATGGTAAAGACGAGGCAAGGCGCCCAAAAACCAAAGAATATTAGTACCATAATCTTTTAAGTCGTATTATTGCAGCATAAGGTGATGATATTGTGATATTTTATGCTGTTTTAGAAATGAAAGATGTTAAACTATGCATACCGTTTGTTTTACATCCAATAAAACGAATAGTTAAGATGAAACAGTCGTTTAAAGATACAATTTGAATTTACCGCAAGAAATTACAACCTAATATTGTCAATATGTCAATAATTCCTGATCGATGTCACATATAAAGATATATGTACCTGGATATGTTTTATTTTTTCATATATGCGAAATAAGGCGGTCTCTAGTTATGTACATCCAATACAAAATGAATGTTTACTAGAGTGTCTATTCGGCGATCAGAATTTCGATGACGAGCAATGGCGATGTAATTTGCGAAGAAAGCATCAGTGCACCTAGTTACAGGCCAGGTTTGGGCGCCATGCCTCGTCTTTACCATCACCCTTGAAATTAGGTCCGCTCACTAAGCATAGGGTGAAAACAGCCCCTTTAATTATAGTGGTATTACATGTTGAGAATAAGGCCCACAACATCAGGCAGCAAGAGAATGCGTATTACATCATATATGTACATGAAGGAATATAACAGTCTGTATTTCTAAAATATTGTAATTATGTCACCACTATAAGTGGCAAAAAGCAGGTGTATTAGTTGTATTTATAAAATATTGCAATTATGCCATAATTCTATTCCTTTTTAGCGAGAAGAAGAAGCAAGAATAGAATGTGTTGAAACAACTAACATCAACCAGAAAAACAGTCCAGTTAAAACACCACCAAGGTCAGTTAATTTTTTTACAATACAAATTTTTTTATTACATACTATTGGCATAGCTAGCTATGAGGCAGTTGAAGCAATTGGCCCATCTTTAACATTAGATTGCCCATATGTAATGAGTAATACAAAATGGATATTCAAAGTTCGATTGGAAAATCTAACCAGATTTCATAATCATGAATTTTTGAATAAAGAGAATATAAGGCAAGTTTCCTTAATAAAATCAGAAACATTTAGAATTAAGAGGTTTAGAGGAAACTACCTTGATATTATGGCAAGGACAACACTGCATTTCATTCCACCACTGCTTGGCAAAAGAATGCTTTAACAGATTCATAATAAAGTATTTGCTTTCCAGATGGGAGAAGGGTTCTAGTAAAGAAAGTGGCCTTTACACGCAGTCTGAAACATGTTTGAGTGAAACTTCACTTCAGTGCGATGAAACAACCAAATCAAATGATATACATGTACTTAAATCTTATGATGAACCCAAATCTGATGGTCAACTCAAAACTGACAGTAAACTCAGTCCAAAAGATACCCCCAAACCAAGCAACACATCAGTCTTTGGTGCCATGTCACTGGATAGCAGAGGGGCTATTGATGACCAATTGAAAGCAAGTCCTATAAAATATAGGAATAAGTTTAAACATAATGTTGATGCACCAGACAATGATGAGAGTTTTGAAGATGATACTCATAGTGAAGAACAAAATGGAGAAAGTGACAAACAAAATGATGTGAATATTGTAAACAAAAAGGATGATGAAGATACTGATACGTCTAAGAGTATTTTTGCTAAGACATACAGTGTAACTGAACAAATAAACAACATTGTGATTGGTGCCAAAAACTCAAATACTGAAAATGAGGCTAGCATTATTAAATCTGATGTTGACATTCAAAGAACATCTATCACACATGACAGACTTAAAATCATCCCTGATAGATCGAATGCTGTAGAGACTTCAACAACTAATGCATCTCCAATTAATCGTGAATGCACAAATGCTCATACAAATCAAGAAATTGAATTGTGTTTCGATGGGTCAATGGAATCGAAACAAAAGGCTTTGGAATCAATTGAGCAACAGTTGACGCCTCATACATCTGGTACAAGTGCTAGTTTGGGATTACAAGGAATGGATGATACTCAACAGTTTGGACATCAACATCCTGCTAAACTTGAATTTTCACACAATTCCGCATTTACTCAAGTAAAAGGTACAAGCAGTAAACCAATCCCAGCAGTCAATCCTGTAAGTGTAAGCTCCCCCAATGGAGGTCCATCCGTCCCATTGGCCACAACTTTTAATTCAAGGGCACCTATTTTATCGACTTCTCATGTCAAAACAGGCTCATCCGTCCCGGTTGACACAAAGACCTCAACAATGGATTCAATAGCAACGGATGAATTTGCAGATTTCATTTTGGACAATTTATCATCTGGTACAGAATCAGATTTTGACTCCGATGATTTACCAGATATTCTCATGACTGAGATGGATGATAATTTATCTAGAAGAAAATAAAAATTAATGAAGATAGAAACGAACTTGTAAAAGAACATAATTTAAAAACCTGTTTTGTATAAGGTACTTTACACTGTAGTATTAGGAGCAGTATTTTCTTTTGACAATAAGACTATCAAAGTTAATTCTATGTTTAACGTTCTGACAAATGGCCAAATCTTGGGTATGTAGGAGGTGTAAAAACAAATGAAAAAAAGCCCTAATCAATTGTATTTCTTTTAGGATTTTTTATCATACAATTGCAAAAATACCAGAACATCTACAAAGAGAACAATTCATAGTGACTCACCCAAATAAATTGACATGAACTTTTTAATGAATATAATGATGAAATGTGGGAACTCTGAACAATAGCCTAACATGTTTAATATGTTTTTGAAAATTTTCCTAAATCAGGGGATGACGTCAACTCTATAGTTATTTTGCAATGGCCTAACTTTCAGATTTACATTCCACTGATGACACATATGCTTTATATAGTAAGTCATGATATAGAAAACAACTAGTTTTACATAACTACACACAACATGAGAAAGGACCATGGGATAGTTGTATGCATTAGATATCATAATATGTGTTATTTTCACTCATGCACCGAACCTGATTCACGGGGACTATCCAGGCCCCGCTGTTTGAAGGGGGGCCTTTAGCGATATGATAAAATTGAAATATAAAATTTTTCTATGAAACTTTACTAATGAAATTCAGTACAACTTTATTTCATAGTACAATGGCTATTTCAATTGTAGGGCAACGACGTTCTTGGCTTAAACTATAACTGTGAATATTTTATCATACATCTCGCATGTCTCAAGGTCCGATTCTAACATGAGCTCATTGCTCTCGATGTCAGCGGGAACTTGCTCGCGATATACGGGGCCTGAATAGTCACCGTGTGATTTGTATAAGAATTGATCTTAAAGGCAAAATAATGATGCAGCCAGTAATGGCATGGACATTCAGATAGATGCAAATGACAAATTGTCAACAGATAATGTTTCAAGCTTCCAAGTATTGACACATACAATATATAATATTAAATAACAAAATCAATCTTGTACTTTTGGATAGGGTGAATGACCATGATAAGGAGCACCAAGCAGCATTAAAATTTAACGTTTTCATCATGATATAAGAATAAGATTTACCAAAAAGTCATGATTCAATATTTTGTAATAGCAATTTATATTTTTGAATATTTTAATATATGCTTTTTTATTCTATGATGTAGAAATGAGCATTGTATTTTTGTAGTATTTTTGTAGTTGTAGTTCACTATGATTTCAAATACAATTTCACATTCTACAGGCAAAGCATGTAGTATCGATCAAATAAATGATGACCTTTATATGTAACTAGACTGAGGTAGAATATTTATAGCTAATTTAGTAATTATACGTAATATTCATGTATGTTATAGCTAGTTATCAATCAAAATATATACAGAAATGAACCTTCACATCATTCAATGTTTATTGGCATTTTATTAAAGAATCTATAAATAATTAAATGTGACATATGGGTGTATATGGTTCTGACGTCTGATATGCCTGGTCCACATTTGCTTCAATTCAATTACAGGCGCCCGGCCGATTGAGTATTTTGTCCAAAACCGAATAGAATTTTGAACAAAATACTGAATCGGCCGGGCACCGGCCGATGAATCGGAGTAAATGTGACCCAGGTAATATGAAGCAAATTACACAAACGTATTTTTGTCGTCCTTATCTTTGAAATAACAGGTAGTTATTTCTAACCGCCATTATTCTTACTGGACTCCGGAGCGTTTCTCTGGATCAGTACGGTGGTCTGCCCTCTAACAGCAATTTGGTTGTACACCGTGTCAAACTGTGCATTTCAAATGTTAAATGAACATACCCATACGTATTCAGGTACTGTACATTGAATAATGAGCCACTTCTGATATTTACATCAAGGTCACAGTGTTACTGTAGGAGTTTGAACTTTTTTGAGATAGCGTGTTTGTTTGCAAGTGCATGTTGTTGGTCTGGTCATTGTCGGCTCTTGTTTAGAACAGAAAAATGGCTACCGATTGCATGAAGCGCACCTCCGGGGGATATACGGTGTACGGTAAAGATTATTTCAAGGAAGGGACGGGGTTGTTCCCCTTCTTTCATCCTGCTGCATTTACAGATGAGTGTAAAAATCTAGAGATTCGAGACGATGACTTATTCTTCTCAGGGTGGCCTAGAACAGGTAACAACATTTTTGAATAAGCTTTTATTTATCTCCGTGATATCAAATACATGGGGGAGAGGGAGGGGCACATTCAAGTCAGCCCAAAAAATTGCGGAAAAGGGCTTTGGGCCCCTAATAAAAAATTGGGCCAAAATTTTGAAAATATAAGGCCCATTTTTGATAATTTGGCCCAAAAGGAATATTTTAGAGTCCTTACAATTTTTTTTACAAAAACATTTAGGGCCCTAAATTTTTTCTGGGCCCTCCTCAGATGCCCCCCTGGATTCGTCAGTGTTGATCTGTATTTGTTTTAGTACTAGATTTCGATTTTCGAAATGAATGAGTATTCATCGTATCCGTTCTCCATGTTTCATTTTTTGCCATATGACCTAGGACCTTTGTCATTTAGATATTTTCTATTACAGGGAATCACGTTTGCATAGAGCTAATACAATGTGTGCAGAATAATGGCGATTTGGAATGGTTGAAGAATACACATATACATGATCGCATGGTTATGTTAAGCATGGATAAAGCGTGTACGTACGTAAATACTAGGTGAAAACTAATGCAGGAAGTACATTTTGGATTTATGCAGAAGTTCTGTTTATATGCTCATGATTATATGCTCATGTTTGGAGTATTTATCAGTGTAATTCAGTGTAATTCAGTGTCAATCAGTGTAAAACAGTGTAAATCAGTGTCAATCAGTATAAATCAGCGTCAATCAGTACAAATCAGTGTCAGTCAGTGTAATTCGGTGTCAATCAGTGTAAATCAGTGTCAGTCAGTGTAAGTCAGTGTCAATCAGTATCAATCAGTGTCAATGATCAGTGTAATTCAGTGTCAATCAGTGTAAAACAGTGTAAATCAGTGTCAATTAGTGTAATTCAGTGTGAATCAGTGTAAATCAGTGTCAATTGAAAGAGCTGTTTAATGTAAACTCTTTTTGCTCGAGTTAAACCAGGATTTATTGATAATAAAATAATACATAGACACATATATTTCTGTTTACATGTAGTTTTTCAGAGCAAACTTGCAATTACGGAATATGGGGAGAACCCGCTCATTCCTCTAGCAAAATCCTCATCTCCTCGTTTCATATGGGGGCCTCACCATGCTTATGAATTTTCTCCAAGAGGATTGCAAAAGCCTAAAAAATGTAAGGTAATTTTACAAAAGAATACTTCATCTTATGTATGTCGAGCATTACACCCCCTCCATAATTAATAAGTTTGGCAACTGGAAGATATTTGGATCACCATGGACTAGTTCTTTCTGTAAGTCTTGGCCGTGGAATCACCTATCAAAGCAATTTTAAACGAAGATTCAATCGATGACCATATAGTACGTGTTTTTCCCATTCCACACTTTACCTTGGTCTTTTAGGTAATAATTGGCTACAGAAACCCCAAATCATCTTGCTACAGTAAGTATTTATTCATGCAAGAATGGGTGAAATCCGGTCTATTTTCTGAACAATTCTCTTGGGAGGACTACATGGCTGTTTGCCTTACAGGAGACAGCATCAAGTGTAAGTTGTTCAATCTTTTCAAACTATTACACATTAAAACAAAGCACTATAAATATTAGGGAGACCTCGAGAATTAATGTAATAAAAATGATTGAATGAATGAATCATATACTGTAGTCTATCCACTATTTAAATATTTTATTCACTTTGGCTCCGTTAAACTGATCTTCAATCCGCTCAGTAACAAAATGGCGCATCCTAGAAGGCACAATTTTTCCATGAGTTCAAGGGATGAAGGCAAAATCTTCACGACCGTCTGGCATGTTGGCGAAGTGCAATCACTAGTGAAAATGAAGAACTTTTCTTACGTATTTTTCTCACTCGAATTTTTAAACATTTTCTTGTTTAAAGGCCCCATATAAAGTTTAAACCACTTTGGCTTATATTGTAGTCTTACCCAATGTTATCAAAGTGTGATATGTGAAACTTTTTTTTTTAATTTCAAAAAGTGGTTTTTGATAGACTTTTTGTTCCAAAATTTGTGAATTTATTTAAAACCAACTTTTAGAGGTCACTCATATCTTCTAATTAGCCACAATTCATACCAATGTATAGCATTCATCCTCCCATGTTTTTTGCCGAAAAAATTAAGAAAATCAGTTCATAAATAAGCGAGAAATGAACTTATCAGTGCATGAAAATGGTTCTGAGAAAAATGCATTTCAAAATTTCAGTTCTCATAGAAACCAATGGTACAGTGATATCTAAAACATTATTTATTCTTCCTTTTAACCTGGTTAGACAATCAACATTGTTTTTTTTGAAAGTCTAACATATTTAGAAAAGATTGACATCGAAAAAAAAATTTCAATTTTTTTCAAAAAGTTTTTGGTACCTTAGTGACATCACTAATGTTTCAAAATATTTTTGATATGCTAAAACATTAAAGTGGCCCATTAAATATGGCATTTTATTATTGAAATAGTGTGTCCTTTGTTCAATCTTTGCATTGGTGTAAAAAAGATAATCTTTTTTTGAAATGAATTAAGAAATATTTGATGATTAAGAAATTTCAACTTTTTTTGAAAAATGGCGGGAAATTTGAATATTTGAGAAGTGAAATGCTCACAACTTTTTTTTCAAAATTTTTTTTTTGTTCAAAAATCTCTAAAATCACTTTTTAAGTCCTGACAAATAGTAAATGAATGATAAAAAAATATTTTCAAACTTTAGACGGGGACTTTAATGTTTTAGACATTTTTTCGAATATATATCAAAAATTGTTTTATTAATAAATGCAATTCATCAAATGTAGTTTATGAACATTGAATTATGAGCCATTTCTGTCGCCAAATGATAAACTGATTAATTGCCCGTGGATTACAACCGCATCCAAAATCCACTGAAGCTTCGGGATGTGTACAATATCCTTTGGAGAACTCTAGTCTCCCCCGGAGAATCCCAAAGGCCAAGGGTTCCATATAAGTCCGCCTGTACATTGAATTTGTTGTTTTCAGATGTTGGTAGCGGCGGTACTTGGTTTGACTTTTACAAACAGTGGTGGGAAAATAGAAACGAAAATATGTATTTTCTTTGTTTTGAACGGATGATAAAGGTTGGTGTAATGTTTTTTATGTGTATAGTCAATGAAAAATATCATTTGTAATGATTCTAGCGCCTTAGCTTTCGTTATACTCGAGGAAGGAAATAAACCGTCTCATATACAGGGTGTCCCGAAAGTATGCCCCCCCGCAGGCAGACATATACCAATGTCTCTATGGTATGTGTCATATATCATTTTAAAGCTTATCCAAAGTTACATTGATTCGCCTAGTATCATGGTTCAACTCACAAATCACGGGTTACTAGAGTATCCGCGTATATTGAGTATGACCGGTTCTAAGCTTACGAGTGTGACCGTATTTCTGTTCCTATAAACAGACGAGGTGAGTACTTGCTTTTTATGAACACTTTCGAACATTTTCTTTTTATCCTACTTGGTCAATGAATGATACTTGGTATACTTATAATGCCAGGCTTATCACAAGGGGCCTAAATCTAGAGAAAACGTATTAATATTAGATTGAAGCCGTAAAATCCTAGTTTCCAGCATCTTTGATCAGTTTTTGTGTAACACAACGCAACTCCGAAGAGGATGACACATCTTATGTATAATATATAGCTAGATCTACGAATTAGTCATGAATATTTTAAATAATTTAGCCTGCTCTGTCCAAATATGATACTATAAGTTATTCAATGATTCGAGTGAAAAACAGAAAATATTCTTCCCGAGAAGGTTGTATTTCACGATGCGCTAGCAGAGTGAAATACAGTCGTTCAAGGGAAGAATATTTTCTGTATTTCACGAGAAATCATTGAATAACGTTTTTATTCCATGATTACCCATATAAAGCTCGCCTAAATCAAGTCCATTGGCTTGGGGCCGGAGAAACAGATCAACCTTCTCACCTCAGAGATATTTTACATCGATATTCCTTCAAAATCTATATAGCCTTGTTGTTTGCTTTTATTGTATTATACGAGACGTTTGATTTTCTTTCTTTTTTCTTCAATTTCATTAGCTGGAAGTGCAGTGTAGCGAAAGTTTTTTTCGACTTTCGTCTGCCATATTGGATTTAATTTTTTTTTTAAATATTGATCTTTTTATATTCACAGATGTGTGTTTTTTATTATAAAATTATAAATTGTGATGATCACCGTATCATTTCCTGATATTCAAATCAGATATTTCAAATATTAGCATGCGTTGGTGTAAACTGATCACCATTGATTTTTTCAGTAATAGTCATATCCTGGATGGAAATCTAGGGCGTTGGGATACTAGACCGTATCCCAACGCTGATGTCATTTTCACGCTGTATCCAACGCTTAGTGGAATGTGCGTGTAAATACAGGATATATCTAAGTCACGTGCACCAATCAGATTGCAGGGAATTTTACCATCATGGAATAAATCTTTGAATTTTTGAGAATACGAATGGACTGGTGCCCCATTAGAATACGGTTGTGAAATGTCAGTGGGCCGTGTTACACTCGTTTCCATGACATTTCACAAGCGTATCCTCTGGGAAAAGATAAATCCTTCTCTTGCTCACTCTACGGGGGATCATATAAACTGAGATTTGGAGATCTTGTTCAGGTTAGCCATAAAAAGGTTTGGGATTTGTTTTTTCTACTGAGATATTAATGATTTTTTTTTTTTTTAGGTTATTGTTATTTATTTCTATAATATTCAACATAATTATTTACATAGATTGTGAGGGGCCGAGGCTACATAGCATTATTGGCCCCCCTCTAGAAAGTTAAAAACATATAATAAATCACTGGAGTGTGTAGGATTGCAACGGACAGACGGTCGTCCACCAGGTCTTGCCCATGATGATGTATATGAGTGTTAATGAGAGATGATGTGAAATGAGGAGGATGGTCATTCTAAGATGTTATCGATATAATTTGAAGATAGTTGAAGGCATTTTGTATTCAGTTCACTATTTAAATTTTCATCTCCATAAAGTATAAATTCTATTTTTTGCTTTCTGTTTTTTCCAAAATAGCACATAATATCAAGATTGTCTAACTTTAGGATGTTCTGTATGTAATCATTTCTATGTATGGCGGTTAGAGGGCAGTCGAGTAAAAGATGAATCTTATCTTGATTTCGGTGGCCGCAGGGGCAAGAAGGATCAATGATGTTCTTGAAATTATGTCTAAAAAAGTCACTTTTAAGGGCAAGGTCGCTTAATGATTTGGCTCTAAGGCGAGAAATCTGTACTTTCTGATTGATATTCCATTATGAACAGTTACATTGCTAAAATAGCTCATGTTTAACATTTTTTTGTTACATTACTATTAAATACAGCATAAACTATATTCAACAAACACAATTTCAAAAAGGATTATATAGAAGTTAACCTTTATTTTCCATTTTTAAGCAGCTGTGCCTCTCATGACTTTCCAAAACAGGTCATATTCGTAGCCTAAGAACCGGTCATACTCCATACACGTGGAAACTCTAGTAGCCCGTGCAAATGGTAAAAAGTTACAGGCATTTCAAAACTTAGCGTTTCGCCAAAAATATAGTTCAATTTAGTACCCTGGAAACAGCCCTGACCTGAATGTGACCTAAAATATGGGTGCTATTGTCGAAGATAGGATGGATATTGTGTTCAAAAAGAGGATGTTGGGGGTATACACTCCAATGACTCTCTTCTAAAATGCCTTAAAAAGGTTTTATAAGGATTTCAAAATGCCACATCCCTATTTGAAGCGCATTTAAGGTCATATACATGTATGGAAATCATTGCTGCTGTTAACATGGCCTAGGGAGACAAATCAACTGTTATTTTGGTGTAAAACTGACTTTAATTTTGGCTAAACCCTAAATTTTCAAATACCTGTAACTTCTTCCCATTTGTGAGTTGAACAATGATATTTGGCAAATCAATGTAACTTTGAATATCTTAAATATTCTACAGGATTGTCCTACAGTTATAAAGGAACTTGCGAATTTCTTGGGGAAATCACTCACCGATGAACAAGTGAAGACGATAGCAGATCATATCAAATTTGACAACCTCAAAGAAAGTGATGCATTTGGAAACGCATTTGAACAGATAAAATCACTTAAAGAAGGTCAATCTTCACACATGAGGAAAGGTTAGGAAGCCTATATCGACATCGTTCCCATATTTTCTATTGTGAATTCATGTTTATGTTTATCTTCGTCTTCGTCTTTGATGTGACTTTTTGGGGTTTTCATTGTTTACTTGTTTTACAATTTCTAAAACTGGTTGTATATTAATTTGCAGGTACCATCGATGACTGGAAGAATAACTTTACAGTGGCCCAAAGTGAACAGTTTGACAGGCTGTATGAAGAGAAAATGAAGGGCATTGGGTTTCCTGAACAAATATACGAATAGGACTAAATTGATTAGTTGTCGCTTTAACTTCTACGTTGATCACGGACTAAAAGAGACGCATATGTATATTGCAAGGTTGCAAATGACAACTTGTCTCACTTGAGACGCTTCATTCTATCTTTATAACTTTTAATTATGTGACTAGGATAACTATACAAAATTATTGTTTTTGTGAGACACATAATATCTTTTTTTAAATTCATGTATGTATTTCTGTTTTTATAACTTTATTGACATCATTTTACAATACTACAATATCTGCGAAGAATGATATAATTTTTGAAATTGTTACAATAGTTTACAAATATAATATACCATAGTAGTTAGTTATTTAGTCATTTATTAAGTATAGTTAGTGTACAAATAGTGACTGCCATTGAGGTAAATAGTGCAAAATATTTTTCCTCAAGGGAATATCCTATCCACTGACATGTCAGTGAACAAGTCAGTGGACAGGATATTCCCGAGAGGAAATTTTTTACACTATTTCCCGAAAATGTGGCAGTCACTATTTGTTTTATTATATACCTGATAAGTACTCTGTAAACAAAAACAAAATGATAAGTCTTTTCATTTCAATATCAAATGTTCACCGGTTCTTATTGGCATTAAAATGCATTTTACCTTTCAACTCCAGATCTCATCTATTCCATGTCATGTGACCATGAATAAGCCAATGAGCATCTAGAATACATTTGAGGTATATAATAATGTCTTATACCTTATAGCCAAAGATCGGAGTTTTTTTTATACCTTTTCAATCTTAATTCAATCTTAAAATGATCTACTATATAATTTTAAAGTTGATTGATTACATTAATTACTTGATGTGAAAGAATAAACGTTTATAGTCTTCTACTTGTCCGCGATTACCACACTTAATCACTAACACTTATTTTCCATCTAAGAAGTATTTGTTTGCATGGTAAAATGTAATGTAAAAGTTTGTATTTAAAATTGGCCACTTTTTTACTCTTGGATTGCTTTATGAGTATCCAAGTCTGTAGAATTCCACAAGTATTAATCCAAAATAATTCCAAATATGCTTAAGTTCAATGTCTTTAGAACGTGCATGTTTATCCAAGAATCTATAATTTTTCAATTTGCTATCATAGAACCTTAGATTTATGTTTGTATTTACATGTGTACATTTACTTACATCACTAAATATTTTAACTTTATAATGAGATGGCACAGACTGTTTACCCTACTATCACACCAAACTAGTTCCCACTACGTTCTCGAAAACGGGCTTCAACTGTGTACGAACGGACTGGACCTACTAAGGACCGTTTGGGATCTATTTACAAACTTCATCGAACGTACTCGAACGGGTAGGTCCTTTAGAACTTAGACACTGCTCAAAATGTTCTCGTGGTCGTCACGTTCTACAATTAGAACGAGTGACAACGTACTAACGACGAGCTGGACGTACTACGAACGGAACCGTCGTACTTCAATCCTACTAGGGACGTTTTAACAACGAGTTGAACTGTCTAAGGACGTGTTGAGAACGAGGTAGAACTAATTGCAAACGGATTTAAACTGATAAAGAACGTATTTAACACTGCTTATTAACGAGTTAACAAAAATATAGCTATCACACCAAACAAGTTGCCACTGCGTTCTTCAAAACTGTGTGCGAACGAAATGAACTTTCTAAGGTCTATTTTCGAACTTTATGAACGTTCTCAGACGGGAATGTGATTTTAGAATTTTGAATCGATTCAAAATTCGATGGCGACCATACCGTTCTATAATCAGGTCATTATGACCTTCTAGACTAAGGGACGCGTTCTACGACGTTGCACACCGACCTGGTGCGACCTGAACGAACTGCGAACGAGATGAACGTATTGAAGACTGTTTAAGAACGAAGAAGCTAATTATTTCAGACATATTTCCCGACAAAAGCCAGATTGAGCCCGTTTTACGACGTTTTCGTAGGACTGGCAAGAACGGGTAAGAACTAGTTTGGTGTGATAGGGGGGTTAACAGTTATAAATTCTGCCATGTTCTGACTGAACATTTAAAGTCTATTAACTATTTCACTTTGGGTAGGCATTACGTCATTAAAGTTATTATTAGTATATGTAGGAATCTATCCAATTTTTAAAATACAAACATTTGTTTTTAGAAGTAGAATTACTAATTAATATTCTCAAGTTTTCCATATGTAGATTTAAATATCATAGATTTAAGTATCTGGGAGTCCAGTTTGGAGGGGCTCGGAGGGAGGAAAGCCAAGTTTCCCTTCACGGAGATCGGACTCAAGAGACGATCGGTTGAAACTACCAGCATCAGAGGCAGATCCTCCTGCACTCACATTCACCCACAGAAAACGGTAGTCCACGACAATGAGTCCCAATAGTACAATTAAGAAGAAGCCCTTATAGTTACAGAACGTATTGATTTCCTGAATTTGTTTTCTCAAGTACTAAAAAAGCTTAATTTTGCCCATCGCGCCTTGAGCTTGTTCTAAGGTCTTTTTTATTTGTACTAGTATTGATGTTTTTGATTGAGAATGCACTCATGGAACATGTTTTGTCTTATGATAAGCCAGTCTCTGTTTAGGTCAGAATGAATTGTCCATTTTCAAAACTATAACCCCCTATCACACCAAACTAGTTCTTACCCGTTCTTGCCAGTCCTACGAAAACGTCGTAAAACGGGCTCAATCTGGCTGTGGTCGGGAAATATGTCTAAAATAATTAGCTACTTCGTTCATAAACAGTCTTCGATACGTCCATCTCATTCGCAGTTCGTTCAGGTCGCACCACGTCGGTGTGCAACATCGTATAACGCGTCCCTTAGTCTAGAAGGTCATCATGACCTGATTACAGAACGGTATGGTCGCCATTGAATTTTGAATCGATTCAAAATTCTAAATCACATTCCTCGTCCGGGAAAGTCCATGCAGTTCGCCAACGAACGTTGAATCTACTTTCATTTAGTTCGCACACAGTTTAAAACCGATTCGGCAACGTTTTGAAGAACGCAGTGACAACTGGTTCTGGTGTGATGCTATTTTTGTTAATTCGTTCATAAGCGTTCATTCGTTAATTTTTTTAATTCGTTCATCTCGTCTTTATTCCGTCTGCAGTACAAACGGATTAGATTGGGGTACTTACGGCTGCAATTTACGCCTGACTACACAACGTCGTAATACGCCCCTAGTAGGATTGAAGTTCGACACTTCCGTTCGTAGTGTGTCCCCAGTGCTAGTTTCATGAAGTTTGTAAACAGATCCCAAACGGTTCTTAGTGGGTTCTTAATACGTCAAATCCGTTCGTGCACAGTTTAAGCCCGTTTTCGAGAACGTAGTGAGAACTAGTTTGGTGTGATAGTAGGGTAAGATAACATCGTTTCAAGACATACTTTAGGTTTAGTTACGTAATACGCAAGGCTTTGGAGAGGAGGAAAATGAGTTCAGAAATATCTAGGAAGGTAATATATATTTTACAGGGTATGCCAATAACAGGAGGTGGTCAATACCAGCTATATGACAATATTTTTCAGATTGGACAAAGTGATTATAAATGTTGGCACCACTACAGTAATTTAAAAGAGTCACAGTATAAAAGACAATATCACCGAATGTGTGTTGATATCGTAACTACAAGTTGATAAATCAATGAAGCCTGATATATACACGGATGAGTCAATATGGATTATTTAAACAAAAATACACAATTAATCCATTGAAAAGTACATATCTAGAGCGGTGAACTTTTGTAACATAACATATGCATGACTGAATCCATTTATTTCGACTAGCCAGTTTATGTTTATGCTTCTTTATTTTCCTCCGTGTTGGGGAGAGCATAAAAACCCAAAAATCGGTTTTGTTGATTTGTTGTGAATTTTCCAAAATTGATGCTTCCTTCCCTCTTTTATTCTTCTATCTAATGGCTCTATTTTTAGTGGTTACGGGGGGGGGGGGGTCGCAACCATCACACCCCCTCCATCGCTACGTCTATGCTGTAAGCATTGAATCAGTTTGAAGCTGAACAGCTAAGTATTACTGATATACTAGATGTATTTCTAGTATTCATGCTTGTGTAGAAATGATATTCAGATTGTATTCGTTGGACTGGGAGCGATTATTCCAATACTCTCTGACCGTGCGCTCTATGGATTTCATCTTGACCCTTTTTTCTCGAGATGGTTCCACAGGGGACGCCCATAGGTACTCAATGACTTGTGGAATAAAGGTCAGGATAATAGTGGACACCAAGTGAACTATAAAGGCCAACTCGGAATTTCTGTTATACATTTGAACAGCGGTAACGCCCATGACCACGAAGGAAATGACAATAAGCAAATAGAGAAAGGAAAGCCAAAAATGCACTCTCAATGGCTCATATATTTCTACAATTTTAGAAAACAAAGGTTTTTCAACTCCTGGAATTCCATCATTGTTGTAATGGACATACTTTAAAGGGAATTTCGAAGCTACGTCATGAGTCGCAATGGTCGTAATAGCGTTATCCATGACGGTGTAATCATCCAATGACGATCTATTGATTGGAGAAGGGTTTTCAGCGTTGTTTCTTATTGATTCAAGATCTTCAGATATTTTGATAGTTTTCTCCAAGAGATCAGCATAAACATTATTAAAATGATTAACCACTTTCGAGATGTAACCAATAATAGCTACTATTAAGATCACGTAAGAGAAGGATTCGGTTGGATGCGCAATGGCACCAATGAACGTGAAAGCAAGAACACTGGTGATAAATGTGGTAGACGATCCAAAGATTACGGTGGCGCACCCCAGAATGTAAAGGAAGGCAAATATGATGCAAATGATCAGACAACCACTAAGACAATACCTCACAACTATCCGCTTCTTAAAACGTTCTGCACTGAAATCTAAAGCTAAAGTTGAATAGTTAAACAAAACTGTTTTTACAAGAAATACAAGAGGGATCCCATAATATATCAAACACAGAAAAATATGGAGGATAAGCACAACCAAGAAGACCAACCAAAATGGAATCAGCAACGCAATAAAAACAATTTTTGGAATAAACTCAGGTCGTGTATCCATTATACAATTTAGTCTAATATCAAACCAAACTCGAGAAAAATGTCTCCAAAACTTCCAATTCAAAACTGTAGTAAGTCTTGACTTGAGGGCCTCGGAAAACTTTCCGAAGCTCACGGGTAAATGGGTATACCTTATTCCTAGCCTTTCTATAGTTTCAGGGTTAAGGCTCAGTACGGTTGAGTCATCGCCCTTAGAGTTAACATTGAGTCCAAGACAAAGAGTTTCGGCGATGTTTGACAGGCACAGTATTGCTCCACTCACGACGAAAAATAGTCCATAAATCACGTAAGGACCCCCCATGAAGTACTTAAAGTTGCGATTACTTGCTTCAAATCCAAATGGCATCGAGTTAAATCCCAACGGAACATCTTGCTCAATCCTTGCTTTGAGATCATTCTTCAGGAAATTCATATAAAGAATCATCCTTAGATAAATGACGATCGGAAATATTAATGTCAAAAAGACAAGCTTCAATAAACCAGCAATGAGTTTGGACTTTCTCCCTCGTTTAAGAAACCATTTAATGGGAGTTTTCAGTGACTTAGGAGGCCCATCACTAAGATATAGAATTACAGTTCTAGTTGGCTTTGTTGGATTAACGTTTTTGCTGCATTCAGGGTTGGAGTCATCAGCAATCTTAAGACTCGGCATGTCAAATGCAAAGAGCAATAAAGGGATGTTGACGTAGATGAAAATACCGACAATTTGCAGAAAAACGAGATATCTGGTCTGACGCACGATCTCGTCAAAATTCCAAGGATTTCTGAGTGCATTGCTACATTGGAATCCCGTTGAATCCCGACTTACTCCTTGCAAATGAACCATAACATTCCACGGCCACGGGATTGCGAATTTGATCCCATAACACCACACCGACGTGTCTCCATGGTTTGTCCTATCGGACATATTCCGTAATGCGAAAAGTAATTCTTTGGATGTGTTTTCTTCACCCCACTCTCCGGAACAGTTTTTGGGATGTACCTGTACGTTCAAATCGATTTGGTCGAGTTTGTGCCAAGTAAGAAATCCCAACGAAAGGATGGACGCATCATATGGAAAAGTTAACAACGGATAACCCGCACCCGGTTTCCCCTTGTACGTCCATACTAAATATCCCGGTGAGAAGAACCGATTGTCTTTTGGTATATAGAGTTTCTGCGAGAAGTTAACTTTTATTTGCATATAGTTAACGCTTTCGTTTTGAATCAAATGTCGAAATGCTTCAAACGATTGTTCATCTATATTAAATTTACAATCCATGTTACTTTCGCTATCATGTGATTGCTTTTCTCCACATGTATCATGTGTCATAATTGCATTTCCAAAGAATTGTTGGAAAACAAAGAAAAAAACTATTAACATAAGTGCTGCCATCCTATTAAACGCAATACAAAAATGACTAGGAAAATATGATGCCACTGCTTGCTTATCACAGTATTTTATACCAATGACAAATCTTTATGACCTACTCATAGATAAATATGTGCAACCGAGATATTGTGTGTTTGGACGTTAATTTGGATTTAATGATTTACCTTTCCTCGTTTGATATAAGTTCAGTGTTTTTTCCTCATTATAGATTTAATGTCTGGATTCATTACTATTGATTTATCAACTCACATATCATATTCGTCACTCGTCGCTTCAATGGACGTCATCTTAAGAGGGTAATATGTTTTTATGTACATTTATCAATCATTTGTTATCTTACCTATCTTACCTGTTATCAAACAGTTCCTCATTATTTCCGCTTTATATTAAGGTAGATGGTGTTTAGGATCAAGGAAGAAACTTTTGTTATTTCTATCAAAATGTATTTTTACATGGAGGAACAATCCGGAAACTATTTATTCTACTTCAGATTTTTCAATTTTCAACCCGAATTTGCAGAGGCTGTTTTGGCCCTCCCTTTCAAGTCTCAAATTACACCCCAAGCAGACATATCGCCTAAAATTACATTGGTATGATGCGAGACTTGACATTCAGCAGGAAACTAGAAAGATTTTGCCACCCATAAAGCAAATTAATTTTTACTGATAAATAAATGGTGAATGGCAGTCACATTAAGTATGAGAATAGCATGACGTTTTGATATTCCAAGCTAAGGTAACTCGTTCGAAAAATGATGACGGTGATTGAAATGACGATGTAAAGATATAACCGCAACGAAATATGTGTAGATTTCTTTAGAAACCTAAGAAATATACATCATATATCGAATTTATCAAAACAGAAAAACATGTATAAATAATAAGGCATGCAGGACCATTTCCCCCTGTAGCCCTGGTAATATTGTTATCGTATATGTCATACAATTAATATTTGAAACAAAACAATGATTCGAACGTATGAACGGACATAAGTATGATGTGTACTTCAAAGTAATAAGTAACGTCATACTTATGTCCGATCATGAGTACGAATAATGGTTGTGTTTCAAATATCAATTGTATGACATATATGAGATCAATGTTAATTCTACCGGGGGAATCTGACCTACATGCCTTACTATACATATTTTTCTGTTTTGTAAAATTCGATATGTGATGTATACTTCTTAGTTTTTTGAAGAAATCTTCAATTGTTTCGTAGCGGTTTCATCTTTACAACGTAATTCCAATCACCGCCATCATTTTTCAAACGAGTAACTTTAAAGTATCAGATCGTCATGCTAATAGGGAGTTTAAGAGCTTGCAATGTTTTTCACAACCTAAACTTAAACAGAAAATATCTAAGCGACGCATTTGTATGGGCGATTAATACGCATAGGTTGGCGTTTCGATTTTATATACAAGCTTAGACGCCCTATTTTCATACTTGTAGAACTTAATGTGACTGTCATTCACCATTTATCAAGATGTAAAAAATAATTTGCTACATTAGTGACAAAATTTTTCTTGTTTCCTGTTGAATGTAGAGTCTCGCATCATACGAATGTAATTTTAGGCGACATATTATGTCTGCATGGTGAGTATAAGGGAGGTTAACCACTATTTTGAAGAACGTGGTGTACGTGAAACATGTATAAAATATTGACCCTCGTTTAAACCAGGGATTCTTGGGGTCATAATATAGTGCATGTTTACGTTCAAGTTTTCACAAATGTGTAGAAATTAAGCCAAATGTACTGAAGAAAGAAATCGAAATACGTGAACTAAGAATCATCATTGGTGACTAGGGCAGCTTGGATCAGAATCAACCAATCGTTGGTCTTGGTATATTGTATTTCAAAAGTAATTTCAAAACTTAAAGTTACTAAAATAATCATGACCAAGACATATTGTTTAGAAAATACGTTTTATTTATGTACAGATTATTTACAGATCATTTACATATTTACACGCAGTTTACAACTTACTTACATATTATACATAATTGCATTATTTTGGGAAAAAGTAAAATCAGAAATAAATATAAAAACCGATGGACCTTGACCAGCAAGTTCTAAACTTGGATTATTTAAGCATTTTAGACTACTCAGTTCTAATCGTTCTATACATGATATAATTATTTTACAAAAATAAATACTAAACTCTGTTCATATTAGATAAAATAAACAAATATACAAAGAGTTGTTCGATTAAATATCACGGAAATATGTACACCCTAATTATCGCTCCCCCGACTTTACACTGGTTTTCTCATTTGATTAATATTCACCGGCTATTTTTTTAACTTTCCCAATTTTCCTGACCCCTCTCCAAATTCTAAACTTCCCCGATCATTTAAGGTGTCTTTAAGAAAATTCCAGGGTAGCCATATTTTCCCAGGTCAGGGAGAGCCAGTTTTGTTTTTTAGATTTCCGTGACTTTGGGAAGTTGACAACCCTTTCTCAGATGAAGTTCAGAATCTGGTTACGTCGGTTTTTTTAGAAGATAAGGCTGCTGTGAAAACCGAAGTGTCTGATGAATATGGGATTTGTGAAGGGGTTACAGACGTTTCATTCTCAAATGCAATATTGTCATAGCAAGGTGGCTCACTTAAAGCATCCATTGCCAGAGCCTCTTTCTTTGCAAGTTCAATAGAGTCTGCTTCACTATCTGTTTCCTCTTCCACTCTGGGTTTACAGCATTTACAGCAAAGGCAAAACCTTGTTATTAAATAGTCGTATGGTTTTAACGAACGTAGGGGTAGGGGTAAAAAGTCCCATGTTTTCAAAACAGCGGGAAGATATTTAGGCCACTTATGTTGGAAGAGATTTATAACGAGTACGATCAATAAGATAATAATAAGAGGTGCTGCAATCCCTACTAACCATTCCCAACCTGCAATTGATAAGCCAAAAATGCCACCGGGGATAATTAGGAACATGAATATCAAATACACAACTGCAAACCATCGATAATCAGCTGTTATATTTCCTAAATTTTTGGCAAGATTGATAGGGGCTTTTCTCATGAATGGAACAGGGTAAAATATAATAATACCCGAGATATTGAAAAATAAATGACAGAATGCGATCTGTAATGAGTTTTCTAACTTGTTGCCTGTCGCTGCAAATGCTGCTAGTATGGATGTAACGGTGGTACCAATGTTTGAGCCCAATGTCAAAGGGAACATTCTGTCTAGGGAAATTATTCCCATGCCAACAAGTGGTGTTATCGTCGACGTAAAGATGGAGCTACTCTGTACAAGCACGGTGAGACCAGCACCAAGTAGAATCGCTACGTAGCCAGTCAGGAAGGCAGCCTTTCCTGGGAAGTCCGTATTGATGATTTTTTTGATGATATTTGCCATTTGACCTTTGAGGAGCGAGTTGAGGACCTTCACCATGGCAATAAGACAGGTGCAAAGTATCACGAGGGACATCACGAGGAGAATAGCACCAACTGCCCCTTCGGATAAATTGGTCCACCGGAAAAGATACTGACCTGAAAGATACAAGGCACATAATAATAAATTTTCTTTTGAATTCATGCATACTTTTCTATCTTATAGGAGAATTATACATATACAGAAGATCGTGTTCCACTATTACGCCAAGATTCCACCACAAGAAAAGTTATTCCAAAATTAAATGGTTGCAATTTTGCTTTTTTGGGTCACCCTGTATTATGGTTTATACAAATACAACTTACATGGTGTCCTCTCAATGAGAGGGCTCGTTATATTGTAGAGGAATGTGCGAGTGCCGTCGTCATTATCTATTTTTCTATAGTCGTATCCTGCAGATGTTAAGTTGAAGATAGTCGTATTTACGTTTGCCTCGCCTAGGAAATAAATTAAAACATCAATTGAGACATAATTGTTGCAGGGTTTCCGAATTATAATAATCATGCACTTATTTATTAGTTTTTCGTTGTACGTGCGTGGTTTGAAAAAAGTTGTAATTGTATTTTCCGATTTGTATTATTCAGAAACATATACAGATAGATGCAGATGATTGTCTCGCTATGACATCGGTTCGTGGCGTTTTATGTAATGTTTTGAACAATTTTATAACTTGCATTTTAAACCAATGGCAATTCGAATAAAATATCCACTAAATAATGGAATCTCCTATCTGCACTGTACATCATGTGAAAATATATATTATACATATTTGTTCAAAGCGAATTGACATCTATTAACCAAAGCAAGATATAAGGGCGACAATAGAAAAGCCTTCTTGTTTTATCGGACCGTCATGCTTCAAGGCTGTGTGTCCATGTACTTCACTGTTGAATTGGAAAGGTTGAGTACACAAGGGGGAGGGGGAGAGTCTTGATTCAAGAATATATAAGGTATGTTTTACCTGTTGTGTAGTTATGCTGTCGTGTTTCATTGCCAATCGTGCGCTCTCTGCACCATTGTTTCAACATTGGTTTTGAAGCCCCCTCTTCGTCCCCTCTTGCAATTGCTTCAATCACTTTACTGTCCAACTGAAAAGGAGCGAGATGAATGAGGTACTTAAAAGGTTCTTAGTCCACTCGGACCTTAGTCAACTTGGCCCTTTGCAATTTTAGATGTTTCTTTCCATAAATTGAGGATTGAATTGTTTGTTTGATTGTTTGAGCATCAAAATGAATCAGATGTTTTGAAATATTGATTTTGACTAATCAGAAATATACATTAACATAATTATTTAAAGATTAAAGATTTAAAGACATAATAAATTAAATCTTGAACGATTCGAATATTCTAAATATTTAGCAAGTTAATTGATTTCACCTCTTATATTGCAAATTAAAATGCCTCTGATCTATTTTGAATAACATTTAACTAGGATGCAAGTTGACTAGGATCCGAGTTAACTAAGGTCCGAGTTCACCAGATACCCTTCATAACAAGATATGCATCGCATTGTTGTTTGTATGCCGTATGAACAACATGCACACCCTTGTGCACACTGCATGTTACTGTTGTTGTGTCATTATGTCATTGTATTGTGCAACACTTTGGCACTTTTTGCACGAACATGTTCGACATTTTCACGAGCTGTGATCATGGATTGATCATGAGAGTCACAATGATTGATGATTGCTAAACTTAAAGGTTGCTGCATTGTTGGAATTCAAACGTATTTATATAGTTTCACTTACACTCCAAACGTATTTATATACTTTCACTTACACAGGTTAGATTGTATGGCAGAAAAATTGGAGCGAAAATAGATTCTGTGGACTAATAATCGTTCAACCTGTTTGAGTATGATATAGTAATACATAATATGAAATGTCAACACATTATCATTTGTTCAAGATTATTTCTCTCCATAATGTTACTCACCTGTACAATTAGATCTGTAAATGGCACTGTGATAACTTTGAGAAAATTCACCTTGGCTGCCCCACCCTGTAGGTTCATACTCTTGATCACAAGACCTGTTAACCTGGTAAAACAGGAATATACAGGGTGGTCAATTAATGGGACCATAATATTAAAATTCAGATTAAATGCTAATGTTTATCTGTCATCTCATAGCCTTTTCCTATCTTATTAAGGAATACAGAATTCACAAGCCTGTCTATGCTTGAATTTTTATCTGGTCTCTCGCCAGATGTAATAGAGGGTACAAAGGAAATGTTTTTCGATATTGACATTTTATCAGCATCAGACAGAATAAGATGTTTTTGTGTTAGCGCATCTGGACAATTAAATTACTGATATGTAAAAGTACACTATTTAGATATAAAGTTGTCCTCGTACCTTTCTAAATATCGTGTAGCAAGTTCCAGAGGCAGTAGTATAATCACGCTCAACCAGTTGAACATGTCATGGATTGTGGCACCCCCAAACGCCCGCCGGAACTCATTCCTGTCTCCTGATTGGGCCATGGCCACCAGTGTATTGGTAACTGACGTCCCTATATTCGAACCCATAATAATAGGTATAGCCGTGCGTACATCAAGGACTGAAATATATTTTAAGGTTTAGTTATATTTTTTTCATAACAAATCAGTAAACAGTACATTAAGACAATGTGTCCTGTGATAAGCACTGGACTGACACATGGTATTGCTAGATTAAAAAAATGACAATATATTACCAATTTTCTCGGATTATGTGATATCTAAACTGTTGGAACTTTGATGGATTATTAGCGACGTATCATAATACAAAACATGATTAAGTGCAATAATACAAAATTAATGCATGACGTACTTCCTGAGGAAACCATAGCAACAGTAATGGACGTAGATGTAGACGAACTCTGAACTAACACAGTTGCGAGGATACCAATCATCAGGCCGGCGACAGGGTTACTTAAAACAGCATTACTCCTAAATACAGAGCCAGCAACTCGACCTAAAATGTGGAAAGAATACAATCAATATTCTTTGCAAAAATATAGATCATAGCCTTGTTATTAAGACAATAAGAATACTTAGAAATAATTAATATTCATAAAATTGAAATGAATACTGTGTAAGTTCAATGAAAGAAATCTGTTATCCCTTCTCTCAATGCATTTTAACGACGAAAAATATCAACTCAAATGATATATCAAGAACTGAAATGACGTTTTCAAAACGGATTCACTCCTTCAGTTTGTCAATTGGGTGTCTCTATTGGCACCGTTTGAGTCTGGTTATGGTTGAACCATAATTCTGTTTCTCAATTACTATAGATCATAAGTTTTGTTTTGTGGTAGAAACAGTACCTTTCGGTAGCCAAACTTGTTAAGGGAGTGTATATTATCGATTATTGTTTCTGATTCAAATATTGAACACTCGCCTTACCTGCAATCAGTCTGAACGCCGAGGACAACAGGTTGATGGAGCATATGAACATGTACAGAAGTCCCAGGACTAAGATTCCTTTTAATATGTTGATTGTTATCCGCTTTGTCTTCTCTTTTGTAGTCATATCTAAAAGAACATTTTGAAACATGGAAGTAATTTTTTTTGAAATATGGCACCTGTTTTTGACGTTTTTACATTCTTAGTATCGCCCCATTGAATCCATTTAGATTTTCCATAGTACACCACTGTATATTGGACAAAGATAATGTAAATGGTTTTAACATTTTTACTATCAAACACCAAGAACCAATTTGCTCGCAATAATGCAATATGTACACTTTGGTCCATAAATTTCGCATTTGGAAGTTTGCATTGGATTTCCTGTCAATGTTTGAAACTTTTTATTCTTTACTCACAATATTCGAATGACTTTGATTTTTTTTTAATAGCCAAACATAAACGAACTTTGAAAAGTGATCCAAACCACGCTTGGCAAACTTGTGGAGGAGAGTGTACATTCGTGTTCATTAGAGTACTAAGCTCTTACACGGCATTGTGCAGTTCTTTAGAGGGAAATGACTTACCGCTCCATGGTTTCCCAGTGTCTATATCGGTCACAATAGCCCAGTGATCAACTTCTTCTTCTGTTTCTCCAGCCTCTGCAGCCTTGGCTTCTTTCGTGTTGTCAATGACAGTTGTCTTGGTAGCAGTTGGGCACATTCTGTAATGGACAGACAAATCAAGTATTGTTGTCGCTCTATGATAACTTTTTATGTCATTATTTTGAGACAACATCAGAATAATTTTTGTCAACAAATTGCAATATGGATAACGATAAACTGTTGAATGCAACTGTTACGGATGGATTACTTTACCACTTTCTAGATACTCGATACATTAACTTAATTCAAGTAACAGCAATGTAAGAGATAGAGAATTAGTTTTAAAAAGTTTGACGCTCCCATCAATCCAAGGGTTTAAGAGTTGCAAACCAAACAAAAGCCCCGAGAAACAAACAATTGAGACCCGGCTAAATAGCTCTCATTCTTAATGTTTATGACACTTGTCGAGGCAGAATATGTACTTTGGTTTTGACAATAAAATTTAAAAATTAAGTCAAAATGACGTTTATTTGCAGGCCATGACAAAAATAACTCTCTTAACCAAAATTGTCATTTTCGTAAGAACATGTAAGGGCCTTGTCCGCTAAAGAGTTATCTGAACTTGAACAGGAGTTTATCAGTGTTAAAGTGCTTGATAAGAAATATAGCTACTTGACTTTGGAATTATGATTTCACTGATGATTTGACGCATGTTCAAGAAAACCAGACTGTTGATAACATCAGTGAGAATTAAATTATTTAGATCTATTTTTATAAGCACTTATACATGAATTATCAGACGTTTGTTGACTTTTTGAAAATATTTTCTTTACATACGAGAGATATATCAATACCAGGAACGATACCGTACTTGTTCTTAATAGTATCACAACAAAGAAAAGTTATGGACAAATAATGAAAATAAAAAATACATCTTTGAAAAAAAGAGATTTTGAAAATATTGTAAATATATTGTGTAAAGTGAAACCATTGAAATAAACTTCTATAATAAAATTTAAATTTTATGAAATGCTTTATAACTTTTTGCCAACAAAAAGTATCCACACATGTGTGCCCTACAAGAATCTTCACTTTGCACGTTCTGCGGAAGGCACATTGAAACTTTTTAATTGACCTTTTTCCATATAAATGAAAGGTAACTGGTCAACTCGTACCCAAGACAACTCGTACCCAAGACAACTCGTACCCAAGACAACTCGTACCCAAGACAACTCGTACCCAAGTTCATGTTTTGTTTTGAATCAAGTGTTGGGCTGGGAATGGGTATAGATATACATATTATAATGGTTACGTACAGTTCAGAATAGTTTGAAGTATGTAGAAGAGTTTTTGGAAGAAATCGATTGAAATTTGTGACCAAATAAATTGGTCACAGATTCAGATGTTCGAAGGAAGAGATTTATGTTTATTCCACATATTCATAATCATTGTTCACAATATTAGTGGTATTTTTGTATGTTTATGAGTGTTTGGAACAAGTATCAGATCTAATTCATCTTGAAATATGGTATTATCAAAAATATAAAGATTTTCAAAACTTGCGCCTATTTCTTATTAAACAGATAATCTATTTAGGATTTCATATTATCAGATTAAAGAATGATAATTCTAAGAAGTCACCTTCATAAAATTAAGCAATAAAAAATATTCTAAATAATATGAATATCAAATATTATTTTGATACTTATTCATACATGATATAATACACTTTGCATGCATGTGTTCAAATATAATCCAATTAAGTTCAAAATGGAAAAGAAATTAACAGATTAAAGTTCCCTTATTAATTTTCTCTGAATGCACTAAGCTAAATTAATTGTTTGATTCATTTGTTGAAAAGTTACTGTTGTAATTATATTCATTTATATATATGTATTACAAAAAAAGTAGAGAACAAGCCCTTCAAAGCACTTCAAAGGTAATCCAAGTAAAAACAAAATGCTTTGCTTAATCCATTGAGAAAAAATGTCTTCTAAATTCAGAAAAAAATATTGAGGCACATTATAACATTAAACATTTTGACACAGACTCAATTTGTTTTCTTATATGCACCCATAATACAGAAAATAAACGTGGGTACGAGTTGTCTTGGGTACCAGTTGACTTGGGTACGAGTTGTCTTGGGTACAAGTTGTCTTGGGTACGAGTTGTCTTGGGTACGAGTTGACTAGGAAGCAAATGAAAAAAATAGATGGCATCATGGGTATTGGTAGAGCTTGGGTAGGGCTAGAATACATGTAAATGTATTGCCAGAGTCACTTAATTTCTTGATTTAAGAACTAATTCCATTTGGATCAACTTAAAACATCATTGGAATGTAACTTTATGATCTTATTGACATGTGGATTGTGATTTCACATTAAAATTGTGATCCTTGGAAGAGTAAATGAACTTTTTAAGGTTTTTCAGCATTGTGTCAATGGGGATTTAGCCCGACCTTTTTTAGACAACCAGTAAATCATTAGAATTTGAATAATGGTAAATTACAGTGCAAATCAAAGTTGTTTTGATTGAGAATTACTCACAGAATTCAAATATGCCATCAGATGGAAGAAAACATTAGTTTTTAATGGTTAAAAATGCAGATCTCCTAAAATCTCATTAAAAACAAGACCTTAACGAGATTTCAAAGCTATATGGAAAAAGGACCATTGACTGAGAAATTACTGAACGATATCAAGAAATGGCTGCCAAATGAGCTAATTTGTGTTTTATGTGTCAAGAGAACATTTACATTGGGTCCACTTGCAAACAGAAAATCAATCCTGTTAAATACGATTTTCTGCATTTATAAAATATATATTTTTCTCTGCAAACGAAAAGACGTACTGCCACTTTTCAGGTTTCAAAATAAATACGTGCACGAAATTCATCAGCTGAATGAAAAGTTGGGGAAAGGGAGAAGTGGAGAGAAGTCCAACATATAGTATGTATATTTGAGTAAGTTCTGGTGAATACGTTAACCTTTTATATGATTCATTATATAATATACACACCCGGTGATCGTGAAAATGGGACGGAGGGGGGGAGCAGGCAATTTCCGCTAGAAAATTCAACAAATCTGGTAAAATTATTTTTTCAAGACAGAGTTTACGATTGAATTGCAAATTGAATAAGCGCACGGTATGATAGAATATGTTAGGTATTCTAGGATTATTTTTCAACCGATACTCTTTTAAGATATAAGATCTATTAAAAAAGGCGCAACGCAACCAACGTGCAAAAGTCAAAGTTTTTGCTATAAATCAAGCAACAATGGACTACACGACCTGTAATAAATACTTGTAAGTGATGTTATCATAACTAAATTAATGTCATTGCTGAATTTATAAAATAAGTTTCCATACGTAAAATAAAAAATAATCGAAAATAATTAAAATGGGACGGAGGGGGGGGAGGGGACGGAGGGGGGGAGTAATAATTCTATAAAGTGAAACAACTTCACACGAATTCTTGTATTTGAAAAATTAACTCATTAACTTAGTAAGAAACTGGATGATATACCCCTGGAGACTGAAAAATGGAGACATTTGGAGTAAAAGGACTTAAAGTCGCGAAACATCTCTAATCATGTCTTATATACATATTGCTCCCCCCCTCCGTCCCCTCCCCCCCTCCGTCCCAAATTCATTATTTTCGATTATTTTTTATTTCACACATGGAAACTTATTTTATAAATTCAGCAATGACCTTAATTTAGTTATGATAACATCACTTACAAGTATTTATTACAGGTCGTCCAGACCATTGTTGCTTGATTTATAGCAAAAACGTTGATTTGTGCCTGTTGATGGCCTTGCGCCTTTTTTAATAGATCTCATATCTTAGATGCGTATCGTTTCAGAAAAAATCCCAGAAAACCTAACATATTCTACCATACCGTGTGCCTATCCATTTAGCAATTCAATAGTAAACTTTTTCTTGAAAAAATAAATCTTCCAGATTTGTTGAATTTCCTAGCAGAAACTGCCTGCTCCCCCCCTCCGTCCCATATTCACGATCACCGGGTGTGATATATACATATAACTTATGAGGTATACTTTAGACTTATCACGAGGAGAAATTATATTGTCTTCACCTGGCAAACGGGTTCTGTAGCTAAAACCCTGGTTGATGTATTCCCTATGCCAAACATATTTATTTGTAGGTTATTTGTGTATTTTCGAATACAGTATGTTATAAATTGTAATATTGTAAACGTTCTGTTGTGTAGTTCTTTGCCAATATAAACATGTATTGTACGTGAATTTTTAAGATAAAAATATCAATCAAACAAATCGAAAAATTATGAATAAGGACCCCATGTCAACAATTTTTCAATATGTTGAACCTATTTACTCGAAAGAAGATCTCCTTTTCTGATTTTTATTGCACGAAGAGATTATTCAACAAGGGTTCTATATCTTCTTCAAATGTAGAATGGTATTGAAAGTCTAGTTATGAAGATACCAATTTTCGATGACCAAAATTATACCGAAACAATGGATAGGACGAGTTTTCCCTATGGTAAAATAAAATGGGATATGTGGTTTTTAACTTTAACGCATTTCAATACCCATCCCTTTTCACTATAGTGTAGAAGAAACTTTCGATATGGTTAAATTGCGAAAAACAAGATCCTCTATTTAGAAAATAAGCCTAACATTTTTCAAAAAGTGCCAAGGTGGGGTCCTTAACCTTAATTATTCAGAGAGATTAGATTGATATTTTACTATCAAGGGGACTTCACTTGAAAGAAAACATATTGTTTAAAAACAAGTATTTATTATTTGTTGCCAGATATTACTCATGGTGAAAGACATGGCCGTCTAAAATCACTTGCCATACTGCGGATTCCCCTTTAAAAGATTCCCAAAATGCCAATCATGCATATTTTTTGTAACACTACATGTTGTAATGAAACATTAGGGACATCATTTGTATAAAGTAAAATAAAACGTGAAAAACAAGTTAGTTAGAAAAAGGTGTATACATTTTTGATAAAGTTGCATTCAATATTGAAAGGAAAACCTTTTTCATAGACCTGCCATACAGACATGTAGGTTTTTGTGATGTTTTCAACATTTTGCAAAAATAAATTTATAACTCATATTTAATATATCATTACATTTAATTAGTATTTCTAGTTCGTATAGGATAATATTACTTCTATGCTTTATAATAAAAAGTATTGACCATTACCTTTTCGTTCTCCTCAATGCCGTCTAGTCAAGGAATGCCAAATTGGAACAAGTAAAACTGGTTCCAGCTCCAAAGACGATTGAAGATTACTTAGAAATAAGATGAAGAATTTGATTGACCCTTCCTTTTATACATGTCCCCATGAGGTTATTTGAAGTGCAATAACTCAAAGAGTATGTTTGATCAAACTATGATTGGGTAGCTTACACAGATCAGGAGTGAAGATAATAAATCAGAGAGGAACACTTCTGATATTCTGATCAAGTCGCGTGATCAAGTGACACTTGAAGTATTTCAAATATTGAATTAGTTTTTGAGTTACAGTCAACATGGATAAGAGCTTTGACATTGTAAGTTTCAAACAATACATGTACTTGAAAACCACTCTCTCCAATCTCTCCCTCCCTCGCCCTCTCCCACTTATCACTTATCGCTCAACCCTCGTGCATTTTGCCATTATGAGAGAATTTTCGTAATTATCATGTGATTATATTGTTACAAAAGTGCTATTTTGCTTAGTATCTACCGTCTCCCTATCCAATTATACGTGTTAATTAAATTCAGTAAATTAAGGATATAAACCCTGGACACTTGCAATGTAGAATGACCATTCCTCGAAAGTGCTGCTTTCCAGCACGAGATCCGCAGCATCGAGTGTTAATTTTAGGGAACAACGCCCGAAAGTTCCTGAATGGTTATTCCACGATTCATTGAGTTTTGGGTTTTAAATTATTTTCACAATTTGCAAAATATTTCCTACCGTGTCACTTAAAATCACTAACATTTTCAATTAAACTTTTTGCAAGGGTCAATGTGGCAAAGCATCATTTTCAATCTGTAAAGTCAAGTTGTCACCTTGACAACTGCAGAAGGAATGACCTTGGATCCATTGAAGTTTCCTTTCCTGTGTTGATGATACATTGTTGTTGGTACATTGACGGGCGTTTGAGGTAATGATATTTCAAGAATAATTATTTTTGAATCAAATGCACATGTAATTTGGAATTAAGACACATTGGTGTACTGTCATATAATCAACATTTAAAAAGAAATACATTTCGAACATATAAATAATTAAACTATTCTGTCACTTGAAAATGTCAAATCCAGCGATATCCTATTTGTGAACTATAACTACAAACACCAAACTTGTCTCAGCTCGTTTACAACGAGATAACAAAACTAGATAAATTGTATTGCCAAATTATATAAGATGCTATTTTATTTAAAACAATATAACTCTTTGGAAATCCGTAAAGAAATACGAAAAGAAAAATAACGATATTCAAATTTTTAGCTGATAATTAATTTGAAAGATAGGAACACACATAGGTAAAGCGGGTAAAACTGTGAATTAAGTATAAATACACCCTATGCGAAGAGATCAGACCATTTCCGTGGTTGCGGTAACCATGGACATATAGGTCCATGCGGTAACAGACGATAAGCGGCCACAAAACTTCACTTTATTTATTACTAAGCATCCAGTCGCTTAGGCAATACTGACAGTGATTGAAGACCAATTTATTTCCGGCACGCCCACTTTGTCTAAATCTAAAGTTTTACCTTATTTTTTATTTGATGAGAGATCATCATTTTTCGTATAAAGTCATGTAAAAGTTAAGAAACGTTAAAAAGTAAGCAGAAAGTTTACGACCTTGACATGTGCAGAACATCTGTGCAGTAGCTTTCAAAATTACTGAATGCCTATAAAGAACAATTCCTTCATTCATTATGGACTTTTCTTAGACAATATTAACATTTTTTCAAAATTTTTTTTGCATAATTTTTTTACACAATTTTTTTCAATTTTTTTTCCCGAATTTATTTTTAAATTTTTTTTTTCAAAATTTCTTTTTTGAGCGGGTCATACGATTTATATGTCCCGGAGCGGGACTTACGAAAAATATTTGCCCGGATATGGAATATATTCCCGGTTAATATGTCCCTGAAACCTCATCAGGTATGGAATACATAGGGGTTATGCACTCGGAGGTTTTGGATACAGGGAATATCCCGAGGGATATACAATATGTATTGTATATCCCAAGGGATATTCCATGTATCCAAACCGACCGTGCATAACTGGTGTATCTCATACTTGAGTGGGTTTAGGATAGATATAACCTTTTCCACCTTTTTCAAATGACAAGATATTTATATTTAACATTTTCGTAATATTCTTTTTGTTCAATACAATGAAATTGTAACATTTTTTTTTGTAAACTTTTTTAAACTTTTGAAAAATTCCCGGGAGCGGGATGGATATATTATATCTGCCCGCATTTGGCCTGGAGCGGGACATATACAATATATCCTGCCCGCTCCTCAGATACGATATATATTCCCGGGTGATATCTACCCCAAACCCACTCAAGTATGAGATACAGGGAGATATATATTGTTGTGACAGCCTCACATGAGTTGCCAGAGCTTCTGTAAATTGTTTCACACATAAAGTTTCTTTTTGTTGCTTTTGTCCGATATGCAGTATTCAAATATTTGAAATAATCAATGCGGCTTCACACTTAGGTAGACAACCTGTCTATTGTGATGTATAATAATCACTCATAAAGTTCTCATAATGTATTCTTTATTTAAGAAATATAGACCAAAGAGCAGGGTTTCTAGTTTCGAATAACACCCAGGTGGTCTCGGCACAAACGTTTTCTGTACCCCGAACGACCGAAGGGAGTGAGGGGTTCGAAAGCTTTGTGCCGAGACCAGCGGCGTGTTATTCGAAACTAGTAACCCTGCTCTGAGGTCTATATTACGATTCGAACATGAAAATTCACCAAATTGTTTCGAATAATTCATCATGATCCGCCATTACTACGACCCACCGTTATGACGTCACACATTACACGTTTTAACTGGGTTATTATACTCGAATATAACCCAGCTGAAGCATTGACTTTGATTACAGTTTATAGAAGGCGTGAATACAGTCATGTTCGAATTAGCTATAGACCCTGCACACAGGATAGGGACAGATTGAAGTAATTACAAAGGTTAATGTTTAATAAAGGCTTTGTTTAAAAAGAGGTACTGTCATTGTTGATAACACTATAATAGCACTATCAAATATGATAATCTATTTAGTAATATTTTTCTCTGTTCTAGATGTATTTTGTTTATCAATTATCAAAATACATGATATATGTTGACCATGAGATGAAGTGTAGAAATGTACATGTACTTCAAAAACTCCCTTCATATAAATTAGAATTGTCTGATTCTAAGACCGACAGTTTGGTATCAACACGTCTAACAATGGATCTAGACCTTCCAAAACTAGTACAGCATCACTTGAAGCGAAAACTAGACGATGCTAAATGTATTGATCATATTAATTTTTCAGGATTAAGCATAACAAGTAAATTGAAATTCAGAGATGGTGCTAGAAACGAAGAAACGATCCCAAAGGTATATTCAGAGAGCTCATTTATCAACGGAAATAATGAAACTAAAACCATAGAATTCAAGGATGTTGTAACGTTGACTCATACTTGTAATGTAACTCTACACAACGTACGTGATATTCCGTTACAGCACACCGTGGAGTTACCCAAAAGTAAAACAAGTCGCACAACCTTTGAGTTTGATATATCTAAGCTCCAACAGACTGAGAGAAATGACACTGTCGGTATTGACCTCAATGAAGCGACAACTGAAAAAGTTGGAATACAGGTCCCAGTACCAAGATTTACCAAAACAACCGTACATCTTCGAGGGAATATACATCATGAGGCATTTGATTTTGATATCGAATTAAACATCTCTGGTGACATTGAGGTTGATATCAAACGACAAGATGGCCTTAGAGAGAAAACAATAGCGATTAATATAAAAGATCTGGCTAACAAAGACAAGGGGATAAAGAAAGCGAAGAATGGAGTTTTTGTGAAGTTATCTGGAGCGTGCTCCTTTTCTCATGACTTTCTTCACGTTCCAACTTGGCAATTCGAAGGTACAAACCGTATGTTATCATCGCCTTCTATAATGGTAAATCCGTGTGCGCGTGGAATAGAAATCTTAATGTTACCCTCATTACTTCACTAATGGCCTATATAAATATTAAGGTACTACTAGTTCTATTGATTAATGATTCCACGCCTTTTTCTTTTTTAATACAGTCATCTGTGAATGCATCTCGCAAAATCTAGTCATATCAGTTGATGCTTTATCGGTTAATACAATTTTATAATTGCATTTTTTGTTGCAATATGTTCTTGACGTTAGTGGCATGGATTTAAACAATATTACTTGTAGCATCTACCGACGAACTTTCTGAATACATCGAAGAATTGATAGGAGAATCTGGTAAAGAACTCAAAACACATGGCCGAGCTTTGCTTGAGGAAATGACTCTTATTAAAATCCATGCCTCCAGCAAGACCTGTAAAGGCGTCCCTAGGAAGTTCTTACTATTCAATGACATATTGGTACATATTGCAGAGGAGAGAAGCAGAAAGGTGACTAATTTTATTTAGTCTTTTTCCATATGTGTGAACATTTATGCAGACGATCGTGATTTATTACATTCGTTTTTCGTCCATAGTTTCACCTACAGTTCACTAAGTTCTGGGTTTAATTCTTATCTTTGAGTATTGTTTTGTGTTTATGTATTTTAGTCTGCCTTGAAAGACGTTGTTCCACTAATAAATGCCAAACTTAAAAATCTCCCTGATTCCAAAAGTAAGTAATGTTGTATTTTTATAATGATGAAAATTGTGCTTCACAAGGCTATTTATTAATGTTTTAGACTATTACATGCAGTTCATTGTTATTTTATTTCCTATTCTGAACTATTGTAACTTGTTCCTTTGTAATGAGGTCATGAAACAAAATGTGTAACGCTGAGCAACGGAAATCTTTGAAATACAGATTGTTTTATCTGAAAGGTTATGTTTTTGTCCCTCTACATTTGTCGGCACTTTGTTTCAGATACTAGTCATACTTATTTTGTACACATGTTTGTGTATGTCCTTTGATTTTCTTATTGAAAAACCGAGCTACTTTTCGTATTATCGTCTATACTGTGATTATATGTGGTTAATCCACGTTGTTTCTTTTAAAGGTTTAACAAATGCCTGGCAAATCCAGTGTCCAAAGAAGACAATCATACTCAGTGGCAGCTCAAAGGAAGAGAAACTGAAGTACATGAAACTCATTAAAAATACTATTACCAACTTACGGGTACGGTACACAGAAGATCAAATAGGTGATCGCAATTGTTGTAATCGTAAATGGTTACTTGAATTGTGATGTTATGATTTGCATATTTCGAACCTTCAAAGTCCTACATTAGAATAGTTAGAAAGCGGTTAAAAGTTATTAAGATAACTAGATGTTGTTTTCTTTAAAAACGTTGAAATGCCAAGATGCCTTTCTATTAACCTGCATCTTACAATGTTACAATAAATCTATCGGTCGATCTCTGAAGGGATCAAAAGATGTATACTACTGATGATAATGTACAAAATGTACCTCAGGTCAAAAGATTGCAAGATGAGGTTGATCAAACGGAGCAGATCATGCGAGACCAGGTGGAACGTTTAATGCGAAGACGGGTGAGTGTGGAAGAGCTGAATCACAGGGCTTCTACCCTTAGCGAGAGTGTAAGTTAGTCTTCCTTTCATTGCCCCAACGATATCACGTCTTTGTAAATATGTTATATTTTATATAATAACATATATAAAAACGCACACATGTTCTTTGGATATAAACTACTTATATACAGGGTGGGCCAAAAAAAACCAATACCCAACTTTAAATCAGACTGAGAATAGCTATGTTCAATATGATACACTGATTTATATATCATTTTAAAGGTTATCCAATTTCGAACAATTTGGTATATAACACTATGTCATGAAATCAATATTAAAGTTTTATTATGCTTATTTGGGAGGCCGGGTCAGTATTTAAGGTATCCAGATTTGAGGGAGAAAATAGTAAATCTGCGGAATAATGTTAATTTTTTTATTTATAGAATATCATTTTGTTAGGTGAATAAATGCTTGTATATTTGCATATTGTGTGACTAAACTTATTGTTTATGAATTTTAGTGTTGTTTATTATCAATTAGTACTCAAAGGGTGTCTGTTAAAAGACATTAAACGTATATGTGACGAGGATTTTATTTTCCAACAAGACATTGCCTCATACCATAGATCTCAAGAGACATTGGCATTCCTTTGCAAACAAGGTGTCAGTTTGATTGATCTCGATGCTTGGCCACCCAACAGCCCCGATGCTACATGTAATTTGTTTGATTACGATACATGGAGCCATCTCGAGGAAATGGTACAATCAAAAGCATCCAATAAACAGCTTTGATGTGCTGAAACAGAATCCTAAAGTGCTGAAATGAATTGCAACAGAAATCTCTCAATAATGTTATTGATAGATTGCGCTACCACTTGAAGCTTATTGTTGATGCATAGGGGAGGGGGTGGAGGTATATTGAGCAATTGTGAAAATTGTTTAAATAAATAAAGTGTAAAATGTAATTAAACAACACTGAAATTCATAAACAATAAATTTAGTCAAACAATGATGAAAATATCAGTATCCAAGCATGTATTCACCTAACAAAAGAATGATATTCTATAAATAAAAAATTAACATAATTCCGCAGATTTACTATTTTCTCCCTTAAATCTGGAGACCTTAAATAGTGACCCGGCCTCCCAAATAAGTATAATAAAACTTTACTATTGATTTCATGACATAGTGTTATATACCAAATTGTTTGAAATTGTATAACCTTTAAAATGGTATGTAAGTCAATGTACCATATTGAATGTAACTATTTTTATCCTGATTTGAAGTTGGGTATTGGTTTTTTTTGGCCCACCCTGTAATTATATACATGTTGTGCAACAGTTACCAACACACATAAACTGAGTGGGTGTCCAACAGTACCATCCATTAAGTGCACATATACATGTACATGGTGTCCTACAATTGTACTTATTGCAAATATACACATGTCCAACATTAAGTGCACATACAGGGTGTCAAAATGCCACGAGATGCATATATGGGGTGTCTAGCAATATATTGATAATTGCACATGAACGGGGTGTCAAACAATAGAACTAAGGTATTGCATAGTTCTTCACGCCATGTCCGATTATACCATTTAAAGATGTACATGGTAGTACCCTCAGTTTATCCACGAAACCATGTACCACCGGAATACTAGATTAGTATACTTCACCCATGTGTATCAATGGTGTTATGCTCTTTCTAAAATGCTTAACCTCCATTAATTACAGTCACAACAATTTTCCATGGTAGCTGCCCATCTACATTACCAAAATTTACCTTGTTGGAAACGTTTCTGCTGCTGCTGTTGCATACCTAAAAGACTTCGAAAGGCAGGAAAAAGTAACAAGGACATGGACGACATGGATTATTTTGAGGAATACAAGAATAAAATAAAGGGACAACCAGATGATGTTAGAATAGTCACTGCTGTTTAAAGTGTCATTTCCACATCATTAACATTTTGGAAAGTCAATCTGCACGATTGTTTAAATGGCATATATTTATTGGACACAAATTCAGCAGTCAACAAAGCTAGTTTAGGTGGTATTTTGGCAGTTTTGATTGGACAGATCAAGGATCATGGTTTGTGAATATGAATATCCGTATTGTATTGCTTATACCTGTGGCCACAGCCATATAATATATGACATCTTTGTACATACTTTTTGCCCGCGAGCAAGATTTTAGCATATTTTGTGAAAGGTCAATGGTAACTCAAGGAAATGCTGATATTTTAAGAAAATGGCTGCCTTTTTAACATTACAAATTCTTTCAAGTTTCTCAACAATTCTGGATTGCCATTGATCTCTTACAAGATATACTTAAAACAGACAATGATATGATACTTTCCTGAAAATGTGCAGGCGCAGCACTTTTTTCAAAAATGTTTTCGTTCCACCAGTACCTTCATTCTAGAAGTTAAAATGCATATCACTCCCTATCCACACTTCTCGACGCAGATATAAGCTAAGTTCTTTTGGATTCTTATGAATCTAGGTATTTACGTATTTTCTATCTTACATAGAAAGTGTCAACAAATTCCCGCACGCATCGTCCAAAAATGAGCTCAAATCACGACGGTAACCAGAAATTATGTACAAATATACAATTGATTTATTTTATGTTTGATATTGGTCAAGTTTGAGTCTTCCATATCCAGTTTTAGTTAAAGCCAAGAGAGGTATTGAGAGTCCACATGCACCAAGTAATGTCCAGTTCATCCACGCTACTCCTGGAACAGAAAAATGGAAAGTTTAAGTGCAGATTGGAGCCACTTTGAGACATGTTTGCGCATTTCGTCAGAACAAATGATCCATCATGGGCAAATTTTTTCAGCATTTGTCTAATCAATATATGGTTTTGCCAAGAAAATGTAAAATCTCTTGAAACTTGCAATAGGTTAGTCAGAAAATATGATTCTGCAGTGGAACAATATTACTTTTCGGCTCATAACGTTATATCTCACCTATATTTGGTATTTGTAACATAATCAGGAAGGCGATACCAAATAAGTTGTTGGCCAGAGTGAGCACCCCTCCAGTCACTCCTTCTGCTACGGGGTAACACGTTTCACAACCGATCTCATAAAATAACGGAACAGCTCCATTTATATAAAAACCCATCAGAATACTAGATGCATATAAAACAGCTGAAAGTATACAATGTTTCATTATTTTAAGCAATTGACATTTTTCCATATAAACGGAAAATAGATGGCATCATGGGTATTGGTAGGGCTAGAATATGTTTCACCAGAGTCACTTAATTTCTTGATTTAAGAAGTAATTCCATTTGGATCAACTTAAAACACCATTGGAATACAACTATATAATCTTATTGACATGTGGATTGTATTTCACATTAAAATTGATTGTGATCCTTGTGAGAGTAAATGAACTTTTAGTTTTTCAGCATTGTGTCAATGGGAATTTAGCCCGACCTTTTTTAGACAACTATAAAATCATTCGAATTTGAATAAAGGTAAATAATGGTGCAAATCAAGATTGTTTTGGTAGAAATATACACACAGAATTCAAATATGCCATAAAATAGAAGAAAATGTTAGTCTTTAATGGTTAAAAATGAAGATCTCCTAAATTCTCATTAAAAACGAGACTTGAACGAGATTTCAAAGCTATATGGAAAAAGGACCATTGAATAATTGCCCAAAACTGGGTCACTTTTCATGAAATATTACATAAAATGTCATTCTTTTAAGAGTAGATGCATCATTCACAAGTGACATTCAACGAGGCCTGAATATCACATTTGGAAGAGGAGCAGGTATACCTCGTTAAAATGAAATATTTGGTATTATTCGTTCTGTTTTTAGTAACATTTGTGAACTAGTAGGCGAACTATGCTGTATGAAATTATTATGTACCTGAGCTAAAAGGAATGTACTGTAGCCAAATGAGTGTATACCATACCACAGATGCTACCGACTGGACGCACAGTGCAATAAGTATCAATTTCAAATGACCAGAAAACACATCCGCTAACCTAAATAAGAACAACACGATTTATTTACTCAGTGAAAACGGCTGAAACTTAACATTCTTTTTTAGCGCTTTGGCACACATCGTCGGACACACATCGGGTGGATAAGTGTAGCTTCGATCTGATTATTCGAACATCTCTAGGTTTTGATAATGAATGATACTACAAGACAGTTGAGACTGAATTTATGTTTTATCAGTAGTGATATTCATTTACCAACCTAGAAACTAATAGCCCAGAAACACACCCAGCAAGAGTACCATAAAACCCTATCCAAGCAGCTTCATCCTATAAATACATAATATATATGAGTAAAAACGATACTCTTTAAAATAGGCCTTCAACAATCAAGCCACTTTTCAAGGTATACAAACAATATAAAGAATAATTTGTAGTTTGCATTCATGTGCCATTGTGATCATACTGTGCCTGGTGGTTGGTCACAGTCTGAAGGTATACCACAATATTGACTAATACAAAAACTAATACATTAGCTGGAATTGACTCATTAAGATATAATTACTTGATACAGGGTATCACTTTGGCAGGAAGACTGCAAAAACACAGAGTTACCTGTCCAACCCCGATTGGATTCAGATTAATATCAAGAACGCTTCCCCATACCGCGAACACGCCTACCGGAAGAGCGTATGCCATCAATATCAACCAGAATTGTTTCATTCTACAAAACAAAATATGTTTTTAATATGACAGCAATTTAACAGTACTTGGCATTTAACGTTATAAATACCATTTGTCAGTTCCAATCGGACAGTGTTCATTCAATTCTGGATACTAATTATTTGAAATTTAATTGGAGCTTTGAAATCACCTTTTGCTGAAGTTGTTGTACATGTGATGGCCTCCATGTACAATATATTAATACAAACCTGATTTTATTGTTTGGTTTATAGGTATATGGTATTTTAAATATTTATTTTCTTATGTTTGTTTGCACCTTGATTTGTGAGATCGTCATACCTGACCAAATGTAGAAGACCATCTTTAAAGTCCAGTCTTTCTACGCCAGCACTAGCACTAGGTGGGCTCGGGGGCTTTGATGGGAAATATATAATCACAAGAAGGAACAAGAAGCAAGAAAATCCACACTCTAAAAACAAATTGTGACCTTCGATATATAGATCCCATATGGTTTTGTGGGAAATGGGATTTCTCTCGAACTGAAACGTCAGATGTTGAAGCAATACATGCGATGATTATAATTAATATTGTGAAATGTTATGGTGTAACTGATGTTCAAGTTTCAATATCATTGATCACTGTTCCACAGAATTTTAAAGAAAACGGCTTCACTTAATAAGAATGACTCTAAGTGTTGATCTACATAATTACGTCATCATCAACTTCAGTTAGAGTTATTCTAAGTGAATCCATTTCTTTAAAATTCTCCAATATCGCGGTTGTTTAAGCATTCATTTTTATCGGAGGTTTATCGAATACGAAAGAATTTCTGTAACCATCTTGAATGAACCTAACTGCAGTTAGAGTCATCCAGCTGTGGAACAGTGATTGATGGAATTTTGGGAATTTTCAGTGATATTCTCACCTACATACATCAGGCGCATCATCTCACTCCGTTCTTTTATTAGAAATGACTCTTCTACAAAGAAATGTCAAGTCTTTACAATCAAAGAATATACATTCATTTGTAATACATCGATAATGCGAAGCTACATGACATATTTGACTGAGGAATGGGAATGGCATTCCAAAGGGGAACTAGAACATGCTTGAATATCGGTGTGAGGTCACGTCAATTTATTTTTTATCTTTTTCATTCAAAGTCTCACTAATTGAAATATATTGGATAATAGCCCATGATTATAAGTAAACACCACTTGACTTACCCCATATAATGCTAGTCCCGTTCATCCGGCAATAGGAATTATTTCTCACCAACGTACTGCAAAACGATAAAGATTGCCCCTTAGACATTATTAAAATGTAATATTGTCACAGTAAAAGTAAGCACGTTTTAAAACTAAGATTGTTTTAGGTATAGTACTTACTTGTTTATAAATGTGGAGTTGCAATTTTTTGGTGGTTGGGTTACAAGTTGAGGCCCTAAATGAAAATAAAACATTTGGAATACGTAAATAATCACAACTACATGTACAGGCAACATCTTCATTTCGACATACGTTGAACAGAGAATAATCAGAAAAGAAAAATTAGGCAGGTGAAGTTGAATTTTGGATTTTTCGTACCTATTATGAATGAAAATGCTACTCCAAGGTATGCAAATATGGTTGCAATAGCTGTTGCTGTCGCGCGTTGTGAGGTTGGGAACCACAGGGAAGATATTAGAGGTGGTGCGGCGGAACCAGTACAAGCAGAGATGCCGCTCAAAATGCTGTTAACGATAGCAAGCCTGAAGATATATATCTTGGCATTAAATGATTGAAAAGACTAGGTGGATAATTACCTATGTCTGATTCTGATGTGCATAAATAAAGGAGCTACCCATCCAGGATAATTCGAAGAGGGACGGGATAAAATTAGATGGAGGTGGAAAATAACTATATGACAACTAATATGGAACGATAAAGCGTAGTTTGTGTCTTCCCGATTTCTCTGTGCATGCAATGATCTGACTGACCTACAATGAAGGAGAAGGCCATGCCGAGGTAGTTCATGACGGTGGATATAGCTGTAGCACTGGCCCTTTGGTTGGCAGGGAACCACAGAGCTGAGAGCAAAGGCGGTCCCCCGAATGGCACAGTTCCGGCTATTCCATTGAAGACACTGCCAATCAGGACCAACCTAAGCACAATGAAGACAGGAAGACATTTCTTATGCAGCCTAAGATAAGGGACCATTGTGTTATATGCAGATACATTTTCTAGTATGTTATTTAAATGTTTTTTTTTTGTAAATTGATTGTTTTTCTAAAATCTTAAGATGAATAAAAAGTGCCAGAAATGTATCTTTACTTTGCCGTTAAGCAGAACATATTGCAAAACATTTTTCCTCTTATCCACCCTTGGTATACGCAGCTAACGAAAATTGACCGGTACGGGTCGAAAGCTGGACCGGTACGGGTTAACTGTTTTATTTGAATTTAAAATAGCCATAACTTGCTCAATATTAATTTCCTCGTGTCTAATTTGAAATATATGATGCCTCCCGATGCTTTTAAGTACCCCAATTTTTACAGATTTTTAAACGGACCAAAACTCTCTAAATGCGCATTTCAATGACGCGCGTTTGATTTTATAAAAAATGCCAAACTTTGTGACAAAGAATTTCATCAGCTATTGCCCCGAACCGGTCCGTCTTCTCGTTGCAAGCAGATTGCCCAGAACCGGTCCGTCTTCTCGCTGCAAGCACTGAGGATATTCTTTGTCACAAAGTTTGGCATTTTTTATAAAATCAAACGCGCGTCATTGAAACTCACAAGATGTAAATAGCATGTCATTTACATCATACCTTGATGGAGAAAAATAGATCTTATATGTTAGAAGTACTAAATAAAAGTTATCGTGAAAATGAGACAGTCGTTCTCGAGAGAAAAGAGCATAAATGCGCATTTAGAGAGTTTTGGTCCGTTTAAAAATCTGTAAAAAATTGGGGTACTTAAAAGCATCTGGAGGCATCATATATTTCAAATTAGACACGAGGAAGTCAATATTGAGCAAGTTATGGCTGTTTTAAATTCAAATAAAACCGTTAACCCGTACCGGTCCAGCTTTTGACCCGTACCGGTCAATTTTCGTTAGCTGCGTATACCAAGGGTGTTATCACAAAGGCTTTTGTTTTGCGGTGTCTGGTGATGAGCGTTTCATTATTGAATGAAAAATCACTGGAGCAAATATAATCCAAAAACATCTGACATTCAATATGTCATGTAAGACTACATCAACCTGGTGTTTTTTTCAGAGTTAAAAGTATGGATTTAGCATAGTTATAATATTATGAATCCACTTTCTACAAATACACTAATTATATGTAGCACTTGTCTAGTCAGGATTCAAAACGCCAGCAATACCCATGTGCTCATTTTTTTAATTTGAATTCATTGTTACAGTGACCTATACCATGTACACACAGTTTTCGCAGTTTTTGGCAAGCATTTCCATATAGCATTTGAAATATTCTAATGACGCCCCCCCCCTGTAAGCATTCGTATGTAATCCAATGAAACGTATCATTCCTTCTATCATTCATTATATTCTGGTTTAGAATGTCAAATACAGCTCCATATACCACTGGATATCAAGCGTATTAGAAAAAAAAAATGATTGGCATAATATGTACGCTGTTATTGTATTTGTCTGAAAATAAAGATTACATCAGTTACATTAAGCAGTTCACAAATATACCATTGCACTATTGTACTCGCAGCTAGTATACTACTGACTATCTTAGAATTGGTTTTGGTATAAAACCAGCAAATTGTTCTGTTTATATCAGCTTACTTTCCCGCGCCCTGTACTATTGAACAATTTTCATTAGCTGTGCCTGTTTTGATCGAACTTTAAATTTTGTGCCCTTGTATTGAGGCATATCAAATATTTGATATTTATAAAACGAAATTATTTATATTAGTTTCTTTGTACAGACATATCGTTTTGAATAAGTTATACTACACTAATTTACCATTGGCCAATTGAGTGAATAACAATATTGACTAATTCCTTAAGCAACACGTTCTAAGCTTTCTAAGTTGCAGTCGATTTACTCAAAAGCGCCCTGGACGAAAATAAAAAATCTCGCGCATGCTCGATCGAGGTAGGGTAGTGTATTTCAGCTAGACGAGCTTACATATTGAGCATAGAGATTTATCTAATTTGCCCACGTGTGATAAATAGAAGATATCCTATGATTAATGAGTGATATGATTTTTATCCACGAATGGATACGAGCGTAGCGAGAGAGTGCAGATATCAATATCCATGAGTGGATTAAAATTATATCACGAGTAAATCATAGGATGTTCTTTTTATTCCATTGTTAAAGTCATCATCAGAATCGTCGGAAATTAAGTGATTTAATTCGAATTTTCCAAACGATCGGGCGATGTTGACGCTTAACCTCGTTTTGAGTCTGAAGTAGCAAAAATCCATAATTCATAGCATATGGCGCTGTGTGTCATGGCTTAAACATGCTATGGTTAAGTGAAAATTTGTCAAAATATCATATTTTACCACTGATTACAAAAACACCTTTTTTATTTTGACATGTTTTCCTATGAATATCATGCTAACTGTGGAATAAATACGAACATTATATAACTTGTAATAAGGAAACATTGTACTGATTAATAATTGTCATGACGGGGAAGTTCGTCTATTTTTCTCTGTAAAAATCATTACGATTATCATCTTGTCATCATGGCCATCACAAATTAAGGATATAAATTGGCCAATGTTTGAAGACGTTATCTCTATCCTTCAAAAAGTGAAACATTACACCCTTTCCTCTTCCTATATAGAACTTAATTATCATTTAATATATTTCCCCGTTAGCATCAACAGCTGCAATTTAGATATGTTGTTGTGTCCATCTTCAAACGTTTAAAGTTCCAAATGAATTGGTCAACTTGACATACCTTAATAATGAAACCATGTTATAGCCCTCCATCTTGATTCACAAGGTTTCAGTTGTTCCCATTTTACCGCTCCAACTGCAAACTAGTATGTTATAACTTCCTTGGAAGTAGAGGACGAAAGACTTTTGAAAAGCTTCAATTAAAATCAGTTGCATAAAAGCCCAATAAGCATATACGTTACCATGTTGCAGCAATAGGGTCAGTTGTAAAACATCTGAAGAGAGTCCCAAGAAATAACAGTCCTGTTGCACCAACCATTGCCACTCGCATTCCTAGGAAATATACGAAGCATTGATTTCTACAAACTCAACAATTCCTTCATCATTTTGACTTTATTTTGTGACTTTGTGACTTGCTTTTAAGAGGAGACTTTTTAGCCTGTTGAGCATGCATCAGACATTGAAGATAATTATTTTCATATAAGAATGACATATGCTACAATTATGGTATATTTTGGAAAAAATGAGTCTTAATGTGTTTATAGAAATGGAGTGTCATCGTCAGGGGTCAACTATATAAATGGGGTCTTATTGCGCATCCTCGACTGAATGTGGCTATACGGCTAAACTGATTTTGCCCGAGTTAGATATTGCTCAGCTGTTTATAAAACAACTACAAAGAAAGACCTGGTCGAATTCACGAAGCTTTAAAAAAATTGTTTAGATTTTCCCCAAAAATTTGATGATAGCCAAAAAAATTAATAAGCACATTTATGTAATTTCACTAATTAACCACTGAAAATTACATTGAGGTTATAATTATTTTATTGGAAATATGCTTAGTTTAAGGCCAGAGTGCACTTTGGATTTTTTGCAATTTTGAAAAGTAAACTACTGATTATATGTAGTTATTCAAACATTCTGAAGAATTATCAAACCCCAATTATAGTCTAAAGTACACTAATGCATTTTTTGTGCAGAAATGAAAGATATAGAATAGATGATGTGTGGAATGAGTTATGTTTATCTGAAAATAGCACATGGTCATGAAATTTCATCAAAGTACACACGGACCTTAACGTCTTAGGTCTTATAAAATGTGTAAAAATTCGAATGAAAATTTTAACTTTTTTTACCACTTGTAATGAGAGACATATTTCGACCAAAAAGCCCGAAGTTTTTCAGCAAACGGTATTTTAAAAGAACCAAAACATAGGGACCTCCTTTCATGTCACAGCGCTATATTGTGCTATGGATTCTTCATATTCCGGAATACTACTCTGTTGTTTAATTACGTTTAAACAACTAAAGTGTCGCCATGGTTTACAGCTGTATGTGCAGGCCCGTAGGCAGGATTTGCCAAGGATTTTTCAGTTTTCAAAAATTTCCAGGAGGGGTTCACATTTGACAATTTTAGCCCAAATATATGGCTAAAATCACTTGAGAAGTGCCCAAAATGGTGAAAACTGCATGATTTTGAAAGAATCTTTGGCCAGGGGGGGGGGACCCTGCGACCCCCCCCCCCCCGGCCTGATGTGCATAAATTCAAAGAATGATAAAACCTGGGATGAAGTAAAGAAACTTACCTTTTACGTCCATGATCCATGCTCCAAACGCCACAGTGAGAATATAAGCTATATTACCAAGTGCAGGCAACAATGCCAATACAGAATCTTCCCATTGAAATACAATCTTAGCAGAATCTGCTACAGGTCCAAATGTGTTCCATACTGCTGCTTGTGTAGCCGACACGACCGAAAACAACAATAAAATATACCACCGCCTGCCATATACCGTTTCTGTTTTGTTTGTGGTGTTTGGATCCTCATTGCCTGTGCCGATATTGATATTGTACTTGTTAAGAAGTGGTTGTTTGTCATTTTCTTCGGATATGTAATCTTTAGTCATCTTACGTTTCTTTCAGTACCAATTGTGTGCAACATTACATAGTCTTAGTGCCGTTTTAATGAAAAGAACGTAGGTACACACGTGCTTTGACCCTATACATAGTTATGTGGTCTACATGTGTACTTATAATATGAGATTATGAGGCTAACATTGTTGACTGTCAACAGAAGTGAGCTTGACCTCCTTGTGGAGATATGTACTATCTCTGATCTCTCCCCATTGTTGTGAATACTATCCATCTATCATTTATCGGGTATAAAGAGTGTACAAGTAATCATTCAAAATTCAAATATTATATTTAGAACGATATCTTTCTTATTAATACAATGATATGAGGTATTTATAAGCCAAGCCTGAGGCCCGGGTATACTGTCATTAATAAAAAATCAGTCTTATTCTTATACATGTAAGTAATCTAGTAACTTAGTCATAACAAAAACAGCCAGGAGAACTTCCATTGGCACTTAGCTCTTGCACTGATTTTTGCAATTTCTGAAACTTGGTCCAGAGCCGATTTTGACCCACCGTGTAAATGGCGTGGCGTTATAGTACATTGAATGAAATTGTAGTCATCACTAGTTTTGTGATTTTACGAGATAACTACTTGTTGCGTTTTTTGATATACATTTTAATATGTAAAACTATGGGGGGGGTAAGCGTTTTATAGTTGATCACGAATGTCATATGTGCAAAGTATTGTTCTGAATTTTCGAATTTGGTGTTGGATTACGGTACTCACACCTGAATTAAGGCCGTTGCTCGGTTACATCCGGGCAACTCACGAGACTTCGCCTCCAAACCTCATCAGAAGTTTCAATTTTGTGACATCTAATGTAAATTCTCAAGTCTCGGAAGTTAATTTTTCTGTACGTCAAAATGCATTGCGCGTTATCTCTTTCTATTCATCTGACACAGCATTGAAAACAAATTATGATAGTACGATTTATGACATATGATGAGGGGAATCAATTCTGACAAATAAATTAAGAATTTAGTATGTAAGCTAGTATAGTATGTATCTTAGGATGAAACTGTAAGTAATTGAAATCAAAATAAGCTTTAACAACGTCATCATGATAAACCATGACATCTCAAATCTTCTCAGCCCTGAGATAGGTAGATGGTTACATGATAACAATCACACTTTTGACAGTTATAACTTTACCCATCTGATTTGCTCAGATCACAGAATATGCCTCATAATAGCAGAGATGCTATGAGTATCAGAATGTAACAACAACGTGTTGATGTTCAGTGTAATTTTGATTTATTGAATTTGCCTACATATACTGTCATACCAGCTGTACCATATCTCATACAAATGTCAATCATTCTAAGCGACAACGGTGTTTGAAATTATCCAAAGTCCTTAATTTTCAGTTGCATGAACATGTTCAGCAGTATATTGATATTGTAGTTACAAATTCGTTATGTATTCAATGTTAACAATGAGAAAACAATTCAAGAGGAGCACAAAACAAGATGTTAAATGGCGCCGAGCGTCCATGTCTGTTGGCATTTTACTATGCGTCGTTCTTCTTCGGGGTCAGTCATCACATAAATCTATGAAAGGTGAGAATAAATATTTCGTTTTGTCCTCTTATTTGTTTTGTTATGTATACTATAACAAAGTAAGTAACAAGAAACGTATATATATATATCGGTATATCACTGTAAAATAAAATGATAACCCTGGGACTACTATCACACCAAACTAGTTCTCACTACGTTCTCGAAAACGGTCTTCAACTGTGTACGAACGGACTGGACGTACTTAGAACCGGTTGGGGTCTATTTACAAAACTTCATAGAACGTACCCGAACGGGTAGGTCCTCTAGATTGACGCCAAGCAAGTTGCCACTACTTTCTTCAAAACTGGTTTTAAAGTGTGTGCGAACGGAATGAACGTAGCTACAATGTTCTACGTCTGTTTACGAACTTCATGGACTTTCCCGGACGGGGAATGTGATTTAGAATTTTGAATCGATTCAAAATTCGATGGCGACCTTACCGTTCTGTAATCAGGTCATGCTGACCTTCTAGACTAATGGACGCATTAAACGACGTTGCACACCGACGCGGTGCGACCTGAACGAACTGCGAATGAGATGGACGTATTGAAGACTGTTTATGAACGAAGTAGCTAATTATTATTTTAGACATATTTCCCGACCACAGCTAGATTGAGCCCGTTTTACGACGTTTTCGAAGGACTGGCAAGAACGGGTAAGAACTATTTTGGTGTGATATAGGGGGGTAATATCACAAATCAAAATGAGTCCTTTGGTCTGAAGTGTAGAATGCAACATACAAATCATTTTAATTCAAACGTAGTGAACCTTACATTTTGACGCAATTCACATATTGAGTCCCTCGCTTTTGTTACGTTGACGATCTTCATGAATATTTTCACATTGGCAATATTCACGAAGATCGTCAACGTAACAAAAGCGAGGGACTATGTGAATTGCATCTTCGTTAATGTACCAAACATAGAACCGCCTGGATATTCTCAAACAAGATCATCTTCCTTAACTTTGAGCCAAGTTATTGTCCAGAACTTGACTTATAAGTGGTGTAGAATCGAGAAATAAAAATATCTTACCGAAAACGAGGCACAGAAGTTCTTCCATCGTGTTACGCTGACGTATCGTCAGCGTAACTAGGTGAGTACCAGCGATACATGGTTTGTTCGAGTTTGCACACACTGTGTAAGTAAAATCACACCCTGTACATGCGTATTTGTGTATGCACTGTTTAAAAATGGCATCGAACTGATAGTACACAAGTCGAACAAATGTTTATACGTCTCGCACAAACGTTTTTCCATTCACAAACCATGATATGAAAATCACACACCTTGATGTAACATAGGTTGGTTTCTAGAGACACTCGACATTTTGTTCGCGATTTTTTCAAAATCTCGTGTGACTTTTGACTTTCTATGGAGGGCGCAGTATTGTAGAAACCAGGATGTAAATGACATGCGACTTCAAATCTCGCATCCTGTATGTATGAGGTACAACTTATTTGTGACTGCCAATGCGAGCGGGAACCAGATCCTATTGGAGTTTGAACTCAATGGGTGTGTACAATTGACACGTTCGTTCGAAATTTACTTTTTATTATTTTAGTATGCTACTTATAGCACGATCCGTGTGACATTTCAACATTGCATTGGACTTTTGCAAAGTGATTCAAGTAAAGTGTAACTTTTTGTGTGACACTTGATAGAACCAGTGTGTGTGTGAATGAAAATAAGTTATGTAAGAAAATTAACTGTTGGTATAACATGGATTGAAAATCGCATACGATGATGCGAGTTTCGCATATGATGATGTGTATTTCGCATCTTATGATGCGAATTTCGAATCATATAGTTCGAGTGTCGCATCATATGGTTCGACTTTTCACATATATCGTTTGATACAAAATAAATTCCATAGATCTCTGCACGGTTGCCTTCGATTATCAATATGTTTGTAAACTCGGTTCAGTCAAATCGCTTACACTTTGCCCATTTTCTTGTTACAGCTACCTCGCATGAAGTGTGCCTGCACAATGTTTCCCTCTCTGGTAGACAACATTCGTCTGATGCACAACATATGGTTTTTGTATTTGGAAATGCTCCACTAAAATTATGGACGTCAGTTCTGAATGGCCTTCAGAATACAAATACGAATGTTCCTATATTGCTAAATTTTATTGGACAGATACACGAAGAAAACATACGTAACTTTTCAGAAACATACACCAAACTAATAAATAGAGAAATATTGATACTCAATTCCCATTGGGAAAGGGGGCAACTTACAAAGGAAATTTCTCTGATGAATTATGTGGAAGGACAAACAGTACACATTCACCTCATTCATGCTAACAGGGGAATCACAGACCCAGTTGGATTTGTAAAATCCGATATAGAATCGCATATTAACGTTTTAGAATTAGTCAAGATAGTTCACGTCAAGTCATTGAACTTATATGTACATGTGCCGCCACCTATGAACGACATTAGGAACCTCTTGCAATTTGACCTGCGATTCTGGAAAAAGGTACAAGGTAAAAACAAGTGTAAAACGTGGTTGGATATGAACGATCTTAGTTCGGTGTTCCTTAAGAGTATTGTAATGTACACCAAAACATATGGGTCATTATATAATTTACCAGTTTCTATCCAGTTTACGAAATAAAACAAAATAGTAAGCTACAATATGCTCATGCGATCACGTTTATTCAACCCATTTTCAGATTTACTGAAAAAACTCCAAAAATGAAAATTAACTTTGTTACTTTGATCAAGCCCGAAAAAATTCTAACAAGTTTTAACATGATTGAACACGTTTTTAAAAAAACAGACAAGTTTCGTGAAATATTGACATGGGCAATTTAGACAAATATTAATATAATATATTAAATATTAATAATGATCGAACAACTATAAAATCCATGTTCAATTCAATGATTGCTTTATTACATTCTCATCATAAAATAGTACATGTGTATAGCAGTTGGTTAATTGGGTTAATCCATTTGCTTCCATGCTGACAAATCCAGTTTTGGTAATTTTCTGCAGTCCACTCTTTCATTCTTTGACTTACCATAGAGGAATCTAATTTCCCTTTTGACATGATATGAATTTCTGAAAGAACACAATAACATTTACATTACTTTAAGATTTCCTACCTGAATATTTTTGTTTAATCCCTCATAATTGTTAGTCTCACAAATCAGGATTATGCAGAGTTTTAACAATTTTCATAATCTTCACAATGGGAAAGAAGTAACAAAACCCGCTGATATCGAAAATCATAGAGAAATAGACGAATAAACATGGTATGACTAACTGGATTGTGCATTTATGAAATGCAAGGTATGAAGATGAACGACTTTAAAACAAAAGTATGACCTCTTATTTTACATGGTACGACGTTCATGCATACGACACGACGTACCTCAAATCTTTTGGGATCTCGCTATACGGTAGAAGGAGAGCCTTTGGCTGCATGAATTGAATGTCATCGCTGGTTTCACACATAATTCTCGCCAGAGAGGATCCTTTGTCAAGGGCAGTTAATTGGTCTAGAATGTAATAGAGGCTTGTTTATTTGAAGCTTGACTAAGTGTCAAACTCTCTCATTTTGAGAGAAATAAGGTTCACGGTTAGTTGGTTAGTTGGGGTACTTAAGGGACGCACAACAGACATACTCATAACAGCAGATAAATGGTACCGGTGATTAAATCAGTTTTTGAAATACCTTGAGAAAACATGCCCGGGCCCATATTCTCATGCCAATAACGATCTCCTTTCCTCAAGTTCTCGAATTGTTTGCCGAGTAAACAAGCAAATGTTGGACCAACTGCCCCATATGGCACAAGGACTTCAGATATACCACCGGTAAATATATCTATGTCATCGACATGCCTGGAAAGATATAGTGGCATGGAAGAAGATGCATATGCATGTTCCTAACGGGAGTGCCATAACTCCATAAATCTTTCTCTGTGTTTTAATCAGGTTATGTCAAGTGGTGTACGCTTAGAGTATTTTTTCGAGTACAAAAGGAAATGGATTACCAAAACTGCATTTTATTCAAAAAGATTAGGTAGGTAATTACATTTCGTCGTCTTGGAACGTCTTCTAGTACTTCTTCACCTGCGAATGTGTTCATTGCGTTCCCATATACATCGGGGAAACATGCAGTTGTTACAAATTGACACCTTAAACTCTAACTCTGTGGGGTTGACCTCTCTAAACCTTAAACTCAATGGGATTGACCACAGAATCTTGTTTAAAATCAAAATAATGTTAACCCCACATTCTAAAAGAACTAGATATTGCTGTCGATTTATAATAACTGGATGCTTTCCCGATGTACTGGGAACACGATGAGCGTTTTTAATAATGTAGGTAAGGAAACACTACAAAATATTCACCTAACCGTACCTACCCGATTTTCGAACGAACAAAAACCCAACGCGTTTCTGTCCCTGGTGAAGTTCAAACAAAACTATATACATACGTGTAAATAGAAGGTAGTTTTCCCCAGATAGCTTCTGGTATCTCAGCTGGTTTCTTTTTCCAGTTTTTTATTTTTGGGAGATTGCAATATTCTCTCCATTTATTGTACCCTAAAACAAACAACGACAATGTACCAGATGTTAAGACACTTGTTCTACTTTAATTTACATATTATATTTCCTTTTAAATTGGGTCAACTATGATTTTATCAATATGAACTGATACAACAGGCAATTATAATCAGCTTCAATTTATGAGATCATTTCAACCAAAATACCAATGCATGTGCTATATATACACTGCCTTCTACAAATCTAGTAACGGGAAATCCCATGGAATAGCTAACGTGTTAATAATTTCCAAACTTTTGGAGGGGAGTGTATGTTTTACCTGGTAGTCCATGCTCTCTTCCTCTTTGTATATTAAGTGCTGGTAGATCAGTTCCCTCGCCAAAGGGTGGGTCTTTTGTAAACATGTGACAAGACATTTGTTCGGTGAAATAGGCATCTGTGTTTTGGGAAGGTAGATGTACGTGTCCTCTAACGATTGTATCTACCCCTCCTTTATCGCCCTTCCCATACATTGCCGATGGTCTAAACTGATGCTGTTGGAAAAGTAACAAGGTAGAATCATCAGAACTAAGTTCACCAGTTGAGGAGAGTCGAAGTCTAGGTACATGTAGTTATACAAATCATTTTAACATGTACGTGCCTAAAAGATCGCCATGGTGACATATTAGTGTTAAATGAGTTTCTATAGTAATTGGGTTTTATGTCCTGTTGCAGAACCCCTGTTTTCAAAACTTCGAAACAGTACAGGCCATTTTTTGCAATCCCTTGGAGTTGATTAAAGCGGAGTTAATCAGGGGTTCTTTTATGAGCAAAACTCCTAGGAACAAGGTACAGACGTGAACAATATCGTACCTAAAACACAGCATTGTGGTCTTGTTGACCAAGAAAGCAAGATGGCCGCAGAAGAGTTAATCAGCTCTAGAACTTATCACTGTGTAACATATGTAAAAATTTGAACGGTTTGGCTGGAAACCTATAGACAAGTCTTAAAAGTGAAGAAAAGTCTTAAAAGTGAAAATCCAAAATGGCCACCTTAAAATTTACCCAGAATGCCCAAAAACCAATCAGTACTTGACGTTGATATGTAGAAACATCCCTGAAAATTTCAGATGAATCCCTCAAATGGTTTGGCTGAAAATCTGTAGACAAGTCTTGAAAGTGAAAATTTTAGGACAGAAAATCCAAAATGGCCACCTTAAGATTTACCTAGAATGCCCAAAAACTAACCAGTTCTTGACGTTGATATGTAGAAACATACCTGAAAATTTCAGATGAATCCCTCAAATGGTTTGGCTGGAAACCTGTAGACAAGTCTTGAAAGTGAAGATTTTAGGAGGGAAAATCCAAAATGGCCACCTTAAGATTTACCCAGCATGCCCTAAAAACTAATCAGTTCTTGACGTTGATATGTAGAAACATCCCTGAAAATTTCAGATGAATCCCTCAAATGGTTTGGCTGGAAACCTGTAGACAAGTCTTGAAAGTGAAGATTTTAGGAGGGAAAATCCAAAATGGCCACCTTAAGATTTACCAAGAATGCCCAAAAACTAATCAGTTCTTGACGTTGATATGTAGAAACATCCCTGAAAATTTCAGATGAATCCCTCAAACGGTTTGGCTGGAAACCTGTAGACAAGTCTTGAAAGTGAAGATTTTAGGAGGGAAAATCCAAAATGGCCACCTTAAGATTTACCCAGCATGCCCTAAAAACTAATCAGTTCTTGACGTTGATATGTAGAAACATCCCTGAAAATTTCAGATGAATCCCTCAAATGGTTTGGCTGGAAACCTGTAGACAAGTCTTGAAAGTGAAGATTTTAGGAGGGAAAATCCAAAATGGCCACCTTAAGATTTACCAAGAATGCCCAAAAACTAATCAGTTCTTGACGTTGATATGTAGAAACATCCCTGAAAATTTCAGATGAATCCCTCAAACGGTTTGGCTGGAAACCTGTAGACAAGTCTTGAAAGTGAAGATTTTAGGAGGGAAAATCCAAAATGGCCACCTTAAGATTTACCCAGAATGCCCAAAAACTAATCAGTTCTTGACGTTGATATGTAGAAACATCCATGAAAATTTCAGATGAATCCCTTAAATGGTTTGGCTGGAAACCTGTAGACAAGCTGAAAAGTGAGACGCCGCCCGCCCGCCCGCCCGCCCGCCCGCCCGCCGCCCGTCAAGCTGTCTACAATATCGTACCTTTTGTTAGGTACGATAAAAATCCAATTTATAATTGATTCAGTCAGTACAGAAGAGCCCTTGATTCATACTCTCTTTGAGGCAACTACACAATTTACTACGCTGCTATCTTTGGATTTGTAAGGTTCTTGAATAATGTATTTTATGTGAAACCTAGATACCTCTAGAAAATCGCCCCTTCAAACTTCAAAATACTCTAAGCGATTTGCCTAAAAATAAGAATAAAAAAATCAAAGAAAAAACTACATGTACAAGATAACATATTATGTTCATTATTTCTGACCATACTTACTGATGTTATATGATCGTCTATATACTTCTTGAATCTGTTATCACTTATGAACCGTATGAATGTATCTATTTGGGAGTGACCAAATCTAAAGGCTGCACCTTGGAAGACATTGGATGCTTGAGCATTCGTCCATTCGTCGTATTCTTGAAATAAAATAATTGAAATAACTTTTGTTCATCTCACCTCACCATAAACAAGGGGGTGGAGTAGACGGGACACATGCAAACTAAGTTATTCATCATAGCAGATGAATATGTGAATTTGCCAATGCTTCATAATTACAATCTGACGGAAGTGCTGCTTCACAACTAACTTATCAATGTTATAGTTTTTTTTCTAGAGACCATATGTTTTTTTCATAGTAGTATAGTTTTATAAAAATTCAATGTCACCTGAGAAGTACCCCTTTTTGAACTTTTTTAACAAAGCCAGGTCGTATCTTTTATAGTGCGATCCCATAACAACAGGAAGGTATTCTCCATATATAATTCTTTGCCACAATGCTATCAAAATACGCCTTGCCTCCTAAAAGTAAAGTCATTGGTATTCTAACACACTAAACCGCTCAAAGTGCGAAAGTATCTGGAATTACATGGTGTCTATAAAGTTACACTTTCACATACTTTGCAAAGATACTTTACGAACACCCTGTGTATTGACCTGATTGCAACCTTTTTCTCATTCGGGTATGTTCAAGATTTCAAGATATGGAATGGGTGGGTGCATTATCCAGGGAACCGCAAATTGGTTATCAGTCGTTTGTTCGTACTTCTAGAGAGCGTACGTTTGACATTCTTCATAACAGAGCAACCATATCACGAAGGATAATCGATCGGAAACAAAATTCGAACCACATTAGTTTACACTATTTGTTGCAATAATGTACACTCCCCGAAAAAGTTCAGTAACCGGTAAAAACCTTTATGATCATGTAACAAGGCCTTTTAATATTTACGATTTTAACAAACTCAGCAAATAGCCCAGTAGATTCAAACAATAGCAGCCCTTAAAGTGGTATTCAGTTGGGACACATGGTTGCAACTTATGCCTTGGTCACATTTGCTCCGATTTTCACTACGGCGCCCGGCCAATTGAGTATTTTGATCAGAAATCAGCCGGGCGCCGGCCGATGAATCGCAGCAAATGTGACCGGGCATAATGTTGGGATTTATACATAACGTACCAAAAACAACCTGTTGCTTTCATTTGACCAGTCAGGATTGATCCTCGCCAGCTCATCTGCGATTCTGTTGTGTTGCCTTGCAAATATAACGTGGAATGAAGTTAATCCAATCCACTCGTTCGCCCGTCCATCTCCTAAATGGAGATAAGTTTGTAAGACTGTTTAAAGTTCAGGGAATTAAACAAATTAAACTAATACTCTGTTTACAGAAGAAGTATCATACGACACAAACATATAGTCATCTATCTGTTACGCAGAATATGGCATTCATTCATGGTTGTCGGTATTTGTGATACGGGTGAAAATGCCATACTCACCTGCGGTATATGACATATCCCAGAGGTGAGTACAGTGAATACACGATACTCACTGTGGAATATGTCATACTCTCCTTCCTTCCGAAGGCACGCTATTTTCTATACAATGGATTGGATAAATTCTAACGATGCCTTCCCAGGCCAACCTGCTACCACAATTTTGATGCACCTGTATGAACATACTCTTACCTGTTCTCATGCATTTGACGCTATCATTTACGTTCGGTTTTACGCAATCTTTAGAATCAAAGGGAGGAAGCAATGGCTTAAGGTCGTGATGTAATGGGTTGGTAGACATCAGCATTCTGCCACTGTTGTTATCTGAAGTCATAACCGCATATATGATATGTATTACTTTTAACCATGCCTCTCTAAACTTCATACAAAAGGGGGTCACATTACTTTGAATGGTATTTTATTTATAACTTCCAAACTAGAAAAGTTCATAAAAAATAACATTTTGAAATCATGTGTGTGGGAGATCAAAATGACGGCTAATGTTATGAGTGATATGACAATTTTAATGAATATTTTTAGGCAGTATGAACAGTCTAAATTATTGTTAATGGCAATTTCATCAATAGTATAGTAATCCTATAGTCAATAAATCGTTTCATCGATATTTTTTACCCCCACAATCTGACGATGCATTCTTCATGCAACACCCGATTTATAAGTCTCTTTATAAAAATGCATTTTGGTGTGCCAGACTCTTATCTCCGCTTACCGTTTGGAAGGATAAAGACAAATGGGAGGGGGGGGGGGGCTATAGCTGGCATATAGGTGATTAACTTGAATACTACCTCTATTTGATTTGATACCCTCTGTGTAGGGTATTGCATTTCGAAATCAATCTAACAATAAGGACTCACGTATACCTCATTACTCCTTGAATTCATGCTTTGTCGCAAAAATACATGTCAGCAACAGTCAAACAATGCTGATTATGTGTTGACATACCAAGTTATGTTTGAAAATAGTTTTTTAAGAAGTCTAGCAATTTGTTTTGGACGCCAATCGCCACCTGCAGACTTCGAATGCAAAAGTTGGCGAAAACAATATGTCAACACTTCTTGAATAGAAATAAACCTATTTATCCCATACTTGGACGTGTTACAGGTACATAAAGCCAGTTTGTAAAAACTTATATTTTCATCAGCGGGCAGATATAGCTTTACGTCCCGCTCCGAGCGGGCAGATATAGTTTATCTGCCCGCTACGTCATAATCGCCGCTCGCATATTTGTTCATAATTTGTAACGTTCGCGTAATGACTGTAAACGACAACGGCGATCTGTTGATGGTTTAAAAAATGGAAGGAGCATTCACTTAAAAAATTCGAGAAAATAAATGTGGGAATATTTGAGAGAACAAAAAATCCGCCCACGGCCAAGAAAACAAAACTGGACATGAATATTCTAGAATATTTCCACGATTGAACAATGTGAACCAGATGACCAGGATTGGTATGGGATAAACATATTATCCTATAGTCGGTTCAGGATATTGGGATGATCCCTTGGCCAATATAATATATTTTCCCTCGGGACCTGCGGCCCTCGGGCAAATATATTATATTTGCCTCGGGATAATCCCAATATCCTGAACCTCATATAGGATAATCTCTATGTATCTCATACTTAAGTGGGTTTGGGGTAGATACCACTCGGGAATATATATCATATCTGAGGAGCGGGCAGGATATATTGTATATGTCCCGCTCCAGGCCAAATGCGGGCAGATATAATATATCCATCCCGCTCCCGGGAAATTTTCAAAAGTTTAAATATCAAAAGTTTTAATTTTTTAATTTTAAAATTTAAATTTTTTAAGTTTAAATGTTACAATTTCATTGTATTGAACAAAAAGAATATTACGAAAATGTTAAATATATATAAATATCTTGTCATTTGAAAAAGGTGGAAAAGGTTATATCTACCCTAAACCCACTCAAGTATGAGATACACCAGTTATGCACGGTCGGTTTGGATACATGGAATATCCCTTGGGATATACAATATATCTTCCCGAGGGACCGAAGGGACCAAAACCTCCCAGTGCATAACCCCTATATATTTAACATATGTAGGCCTACTCTCATAATAATGATAGGCCTAAAAAGTATGACTATTAAATAAAGCAATATGTATTCACCTTCTCTCAATGACATTACTTCTTTTTCAGAGTTTCCATACACAAAAGAGCAATCCAAATATGATGATATCGTATTCAAATGTTGACGGGGCATCGTCTCTGAAAAACATTAGAAATCCTTGTCGATATAGTAATAATTGTTTCCAGATTTTTCCAAAAAATTGAAGCATATTCAATCTGATTGGGTAGACCAAGAATTATTAAATATATGTATTACATGTATATTCCTATTTCTCGGGATCGCACTTACTCAAATCACCAAGGCAATTTAATTCTAGTACAGGTTGACTTCTAATGAACTTTAAACATTTTGTCTTCTTGAAGCACGAGTCTCCTTCGGGTACCTTTATTGGTAAACATTCTTCCATGTTCGAATAATCGTGACCGCAATTATCCTCGCCACATGTAATGTCAATCGGTTTACTAGGATCTGAAAAATATTTAACACAAGTGCGTTTGTTCAAGTGGTTAGTTCGATATGCGTCTCACACAATAGTATAGTTTCCATATAGCTTTTGAAATCTCGTTAAACCTCGTTTTTCGTGAGATTTTAAGAGATTTGCATATTAAACCTCTAATGACTTACATTACCTTCTTTTAAATGGCATATTTGAATTCAGTGAAATGCTTTCTCCTATAATAGCTTTGATTTACTCAGTTATCTAATTTGAATAATTTTCTGTGACAATTTAAAAAAGCTTGGGCCAAATGTCCATAGATGCAATGCTAAAATTCTTTAAAACCTTGGATCATTTGTATGTCAACCAACATTTGCATGTTTAATCACAACATGTACATAAATAGGGTCACCATATGGTATATCATTTAAGTTTTATACAGATTCAACCAACACTCTTTGATAAATCATGAAATTAAGCCATTTTTCCAAGATTTTAGCATGTAAGTGAATGGAACTCTAGCCCAAGTTAAAAGCTGAATAAAAGATGGCAGCACTAGATTTCATTGATTTTTCTGCTATCTAGAAACTATCCTATTAGCATACATGTCTCTGTCTGGTTGCAATAATCCAAGTGTAACTATGTTTTACCGGTTTTACGGATGCTGAATACAAACGTTGATGCCCTCGCTCACAGAACCCCGCACAAAAACGATGGATGCAACAAACAATATTTCAACTCTCCTTGGTGGCTACTGTTAATGATACTAGATTAGTTCTGATTATAAGAAAGCACATGGTAGCACACAAGATCTTTGAGAAGAAAGCAAAACCATATAGTCAGAAACGGATTTAAAATTCTCAAGTATCAAAATTAAAAATGAGAAAATATCTAAAAAGAAAGCTACTAATGATATTACAATGAGCACATGATCTGAACTTCGAACCTTGTGGATTGGGCAATTTGGACTGGGCCGTTTTGTCTATGTCGTGATCTAGAAGCTGGCCTAGTGTCATAACCGTCATAGATTGTACAGCACTGGGCTTGTTCGCTTCTTGGTGGATGGTTCTGCTCACAAGCCGTGCGCTTGGAAGAGGTGTACGGTCTCTGGCGACCCTGGGCTCCTTTTTACCTGTGTTACAAATCAATCCATGTATAGAGCTGTTCAACACTGCTTATAAATAACTGATAGTGATACATTAGGTGACATTTGAAATATAAATTATCTTCCTTGGCTTTAGAAAATAAACCTACCATCGGCATAGGCATTCGTCAGAAATCTTATAAAAGGTGTTTTGGCCCGTCCCCAGAGTGGATTCCTGGCGTTGTTACAGCTTCCGTCAAATGTTCTGAACTTTGCAAAAAGATTGCATTCAATGTTCGGATTGAATGACTCGAGACACTCGGGGGTGGTCACGTGGGGTAAACCATCCGTGATTTGGGTATTGTTAAACGCCAGGAGTCTTCCCATGTGTCTCAACCATTCGATTAGTCTAGGTTTGGTGAGTGCATACCTGTTTGAATAATTAAATGGGGTAAAGGGACAATAGAATATATATTTTTGCTCGCATCATTCTTCTGTATATCATTCCTCTTTTCTTAATTTCAACTGTTCTGATAATCGTTTTTGGGTTATGTGACAAAACTTGAATAACATGCCCCCTACACCTCCTTGATTTAATTTCCAATGAATTTGGTCATTTTTAAATTTCTAACTTCTATATTTGATATCTCAGTACTTTTTCATAAAATAAAATTATGTTGTGAGCGAATGTTGGTATAATATTGAAAATATTGCTAGTTAAGCGTGACAGTCGAACGAGCAGTGTACGGTACAACACGAGGGTGATGTAATCTTAGCAAACTGATGTTTTCATCGTTTCAGAAACATCGCTGTGAAATTCACCGTCAAGTTCATGATCACTGTCCAGGATGTTGTTACAGACATTTACATGTAAAATATCTAAAAACTAGACCACACCTTTCTGAAACGATGAAAACATATATTTGCTCACATTTTATAACCCTCGTGTTGTACCGTACCCCACGCGTTCAACTGTAACGCTTAATTTGGAACGTACCCTGTAATATAGAGATGAACATCGTCTCTGATTGGTCAAATGACGAAAACATGATGGTGGATTCAAAATCTTCTTGGAATCGAATTAGATGTTAATTCCTGGCGTGTTAACCAATGTTATAGCTTGTTATTTCGCATTAAAATAAACAAGGGTGTGAGGAGTTTTTTTTACATCGATTAAAACATCACATCGGAGTGTGGTATTCGGAAACTGGACGATGGACATTGGGACAGACGTACACCCTGTAATTCTGGTAACGTACATATAACAGAATCTGGATTAAAAGTGAGTGAAACAAATTTTCAAAACAAAATAAAATATTTACCTTTTTTTAATTTCTTTTATGATTTCTAACACCTCCAAGTACGGTAACGTGACTGCTTCTACAAACTCTTTTCCACCTCCCATTGCTAAAACATATCAGTACTCTGGATCTAAAATCTAAAACTAAGTGGCCATTTTGTGATATAAGATCGTACACTAACTCGTGGTGGACAAATTAAGGATCTAATACCCCAGTCACATTTCCTACAGCGACCGTACGGTCTATCATTTCTGTGGTCAGTAACATTTCTACGCTCGCCGTAGAATTTCTGCAGTTGGATACATGTACTTTTGCAGTCACATTTCCTACGGCAGCCGCACAGCGAATTTTGAAATTACTGTTGATAAACGTTAATGTTTATTTGTATTTTATTTATATCAGTACAATTTATAAATGTTATTTATTGTGCTAGGATAATATCGAAGAATAAAAAAGTGTTGATTGACCAATTGTTTAATCTTTTGTAATATATGTTGCTACATGTTATCAGTGACCTTACATCAAACAGTATACCCATTGCGTTGTGATCACATCAAAGATATGGCAGTAAAACCTGGCCTAAAAACTGTTTCCAAGGTACATAATTAACCCATCAAAACAGTACGGCAGACGCAAATCAACGTAAGCCCAATATGTAGCAACCGTTGAACCGTTCTGCAGTCTGGCAATAGTCTGGCGATTTCTACGAATACCACAGAAATGAACAAATATTATAACTCCAATTAGAGATATAATTTCTACGGCTGCAATAGTCTGGCGATTGCTACGGATACCGCAGAAATGAACAATTATTATAACTCCAAGTAGAGTTATAATTTCTACGGCTGCCCTGCGACCGTTAAGAAACTGGATACACTGAGCAGAGGCCACAAGGCGACCGTAGTTTTTCTACGCTTCACTGAAATTCACTGAATGATTTAATTGACCTGCGGTCGACGTACGGTCGCCGTACGACAAATGTGACTTGGGTTTTAAGCAGTCTTTTTTAATCAAATTTGAATTACATATCTAAATCCTCCATTCATAATTTACATTCACACGTACCTAGGCACAGTATATTGCTTTCTGGCAAGAGAATATTGTCACTAGTTTTTAGCAGATGAATAGTTGATAATTAAAACAGAAATAAGGGAAATATTGATATTGTGTTAAAATTGTATAAACATTTTAATAGTATCACAATGATTAGACAAATAGATACTTGTGAGGGTAACTTTTTACAACCTTTTTACGTACCAAACATCCCAGAGCGTCCTTGTTGTGAACCAATTTTACTAAATAAGGCAGCTATTCTTTCATTTTTTATTTCTTCGAGTGCTTTCTTTGCAGCCTGTTTGAGGGTGTCAAGATCTTCTGTAATGACACGGGGGAAACACAAAGAAGATACTTATACACTGCTCACTGGCGGATCCTGCCTCAGAAAACATCATATTGACAATCGGGGTGTCCCCCTCGGTCAATATGATATTTTCCTCGGCCAATATCACATTTTCCCTAAAAATCATATTCCTAAATAACCTCAATGTAACAAGTGGAAAAAATCATATCTTTAGCAAATTCTCACTAAACCATGAATTGAATAAGGCTTTTAAATCATAAGACATGACGTCACGCCGTGTCCGAAGTTTGACGGAATTTGCTCTCAAAATGGCCGTTTAGTCGTTTAAAAAGTATTTCACAGTAAATACTGTAGGCCGTTTGAGAAACATTGAAATCAGCTTCGATCTGTGAAAAAGAAGATCTTCGGCACTTAGCCCCAAATACTTTAGGATAGTTCAATATGTCTCCCTAAAACTAGAAAAATATTTTGCATAAAAAGGCAATTTATTTGAGTTTTTAACAATTTTCAATAGATTCCAAGTACACAAGACCACCATCACCGAAAGTCAAATATTTTAAGTAAACCAAATCATTTTGTCGTAATTTTTGAAAAATTATAAACACATAAGATGAACAAAATAGAATATAAAATCTGTACATTTTTATTGGTAATTTGGTTCGGTGAAAATATATAAGCACTAGTGCCAAAGGGAAAGGACCAAAAGTTGTAATGGAACTTAGCAAGAAAAAGCAAACTCTAAGTGCATACCAGTCAAGAAAAACAAACCCCATATAGCCCAAAACCATGATCTAACGTGAAAAGAAACAATGTCTAATACCCCCTTTCCCTCCACCATTCAAGAATCAATATCACAATCCAAGACTAGAAGACCAAGGGACATTTCATTCATACTGAAGTCATTACAATACATGTTGAAGAGAAAATTAGAAATTGATAGCCAATTGATATCCAATACTCATAACCTCAAAAATTGTTGTAGATATAAGTACTCATACAAGATAGAGCATTCAGTCTCAAATGATGTGGGATAGATAAAATCCAAAACATTGAGATGCTGTATCGCTTAGTTATTGAGTATAGCCATCAAAATCATTTTTAAATTAGTAAATGAAAGAATAATGTTTCAACTGATAATACACAATCCTCCTTTGTGTTTTTTCTCCTAAGTATTTGCGGAAGATTTTCAAACGAGAAATTTCAATCATTTTCCAATATTTGTAACTCTTTATATACCGGGTGTCCCAAAAATGAATCCCTTTTTGACAAGTGTTTTCTCAGCAATTGATAACTTAAATTCATTGAAAATCCCCAGGCTATCATTAGAAAGTTGTAAAAATATAAAAGAGATTTTTGCTCATAAGTTTATTGACAGTAACACCACTCTAACTCTTGCCCTGAATTTCTTTATGATTGGTCTTCCACCAAATGGTAGGTTTGCCGCAAGTCACTCGACAGAATATCCATCCATCCGAGTCCTTGCAAAAAATACAAATTAGGTTAGCAATTGAATTTGCAAATTTCATTTAACAAAGAATCAATACGTTTCTACAGGTTCAACAACGTTTCAGGTTTTAAAGTCAAAATTGTTTTTCAAAAAACCTCTCCCATTGAAATAACACAAGAGAACTGTGACTAAAAAATGACTTTGAAGCTCTGTAACTTTAGTATTCATCAAGTAAATTTTATCACTTATATTAGTGTACAAAAAAGTTAGACAAATTCAATTTTCTATATAAAAATATTTTTGCTGACTATTTTACTGAATCGATATCCTGATATCTGATTTGCCCCGAACCCACCAGTTCCCATTGGTTTACATGGCAACGAAGATTTTTAAAAATTCATCAAATTTATCATCAATTTTCGACCTTTTGTAATTGAGGAAGAAATTGTGAACTTTTTTGGAGGTATTGAAAAAAGTCAAGTAACGTCTCCATTAATATCATAAGTAATTTCATTGCAGGGTAAGTAAGTAAAAATTCAAATATAAAGAGGCTTTAACACGTACTTCAATGGCGGAGCTTTGGTTGCCAATCTTATGAAGGAGAGTGTATGTTATAACATAAAAATATAGTAAAATCAAGATAGTATCATATAATGTAGAAAATGCTGAATGTAATATGATACCTACATTACTCATTTTTCCATTTTTCTTTCCTTAGTGTATTCAATTAATTTAGTTTTTTCAAATCATAAGATTCAGCAAGAAGTAATGTAATGAATAAGCCATTATTTTATTTTATTGTCATTAAATGTTTTATATATCCAGGAGGATATCAAGCTAATTAGTATACTGTATTAATGTATGTAATATTACTGCTAAATAAAAAGAAAAAAACTTAGCCTTATCGCTTATAACTTAAAGGTATGTTTATCCCTCAAAACTAAATTTTGGGACAGAACATATTTTGGAAACAGAGAACAATGAAACAAATCAATAAACCTGACGGACAAGCTGTTTTGAGACTGAAACTGATTGACAGATTCAATCACCTGATAGCAGGCACAAATGCTCTTAGGCTCATTGCGCAGCTCTGATATTGGATTTTGACATGCATTTTTTATTTTGTCAAGTCTCTGCTCTTTGATTAGTTCATTCACCATTTTGCTCCACTGTTTTGAAACACCTGCTCCACTCAAATTTTAGTGAGGAGAGTGAGTCTTTTTTGACGGAGGATCATGGCATTACACTGAGGGCACAGTGAGTCCATTCACCTGTAGACACTATTACCTCACTAGCTTGTTGCTATGGCAACACATTTTAAACAAATAACTGTCATTTTCAAAAAAACATATTCAGTTTTTTCATTAAATGCATGTTTCATTTATTGAATTTTTAAGGTGCTCCATGGAACCAAGTCTCGCTGTTGTCATGGCAACCAAAAATTCACTTGTAAGGAATTATAGTTATATTGATGTATACTCAAGATATTATGTATATGAAACATACGCTGAAAGTTTCACATAAATCTGTAAAAATAAAAAAATATAAAGAAAAAAGAAACGAACTTTTCAAATGCCCCTCGTTAATATATTCCCACAAAGAATATTTTTGATTCAACTTGATAAGAACTGTGCCTTCCTCTAAAAAGCTTAATTTAATTCGTATAGCTACCTGTATCTGTTTCATCGAGTGATTCGACCGTACACGACATAAGGCCTACTATCACAAACATCATGAAGCGACCCATCTTTGTGTCTCCTCTGCGATTTGTCACTGAAAAACTACCAAGCATCGTTTTATAACGAGGTGTTTATCTAACTGATATTAAACGTACACTTCCTTCCATATGTTTCCACAATTCCACTTGTCAATCACATATTAAAACCTGTTTATTTTTGGTGTTTTAAAAAACAATCTATGTCATAAATTTCCGAAGTATCGTATTTAAGGATGAAATGTTTGATTCGAACGTTGAGAGCCTCTGATTCTTATGCAATGAAAACCTCCGGATGCAAGACTTATGGATGGGTGTACAATTATAAATGCGTATATATATTAACCAATCATACCAATTATTTCTCATCACTAATAAACACGAGGTAACGTTCAAGTATTAATGTTGACATGATCAATAAACAGAAGTAAGCAATATAAATTTTTTAATGCGCCAGATGCATAAAAATAAATACAAGAACCGATTAAACGGACGTTTCATGATATGAATGTAAAATATTAGTTGTATCATGACACAGTGTCGCCAGTATGTACATGAATCCTTTCACAAAAAATGAATGGGAATTAATATTGAAGTGATTAAAACAAAAAGTATAAAGAGCTTACTTAAACGTATTTCGTTGACACAGGTGTAAAGGTCGCCTATATAGGAATATGATATATAGGTGCTATAATTAAGAAATATAGACCAAAGAACGACCGAAGGGAGTGAGGGGTTCGAAAACTTTTGTGCCGAGACCAGCGGGGTGTTATTCGAAACTAGTAACCCTGCTCTGAGGTCTGTATTACGATTCGAACAGGAAAACTCACCAAGTGTTTCAAATATTCATCATGGTCCGCCATTACTACGACCCACCGTTATGACGTCAAACATTACACGTATTAACTGGGTTATTGATCTCGAATATAACCCAGCTGAAGCATTGACTTTGTTTACAGTTTATAGAAGGCATGAATACAGTCATGTTTGAATAAAGAATACGAAATGGCTTCCAGAGTTTACCTTATATTTGTCAGATCATCTTTAATTCTGTGATATTCCACAACATCTCCCATGACCAAAATCTTCATTTTTAGTGTCACAAATTGTCCTTTTAAATATTCTTATTTTCCTATGTACCAAGTTATCCAATCAAATTATGCATTGGAATTACAATTACAACAATTAGAAGTTTCATTACTTGAAAAATGCAACTAAATTTTGAACTGTCTTTCAATTTTTCAGGGTAAGGGACTGACTACAACTTTGATACTTAAGGATACGGAAAATGATGAGTTGAATTTAAAAAAATATGTTATGAATGTTAGTGTGTAAAATTTTCAAAGACCGGTTCATTACGCAATGGATAAAATGTATTTCAGGGCAGATAATTGATATTTTCAAAATCAGTTGTTCTACTAAAGCCTGTGTCGTGTGTGTTGATACCAGTGCCATTTGATTTGTGCTATTTTAAAGTCATCACAACTGGCTCTCATAATCATGCGATGTATACTGAAAATATTACTTATTATTTTTCAAAAACAGCTTAAATAATGATTTTTTGTCAAAAATACAATATATAATATTTTGTATCCTCCAACACACTGTTTAAATTAACATTGCTCAAGCATCATTTGTTTAAGATTTCGCCCTTAAGGGTTACCTCTTAAATGACAGACCATGAAAACATCAGACAAAATATAGTTATTTTTGTGGCGGATTTAGTTTTTTCTGTCCAATAGTTTGTATCCTCCAAACATTAAGATTTCATCAATAAACATAAATGATTTCAAAGAGTTATTTTTAGAAATGATACTTATCTAATTTAGTATTTAAATGATTGTTATATAAATTCTCAATCATATCAGCTGATAATATTTTGTACAGTTACCCCAAAGAGATTCTGGATTCTCAAAATGGTTTATTACTGAGGGTATTTTAAGGAAAGAATAGCCTTGAAAAATACCACCAGCTAAATCTTAACCCACAAAACGGGAGAGCGCCTTACCTGTAAAATGACTATGATTTTCAATACTCACGCATTAAGTTTTTAGCACGGGCTGGTAAGTTTAATCTAAATGCGGAAAAAGTAAATGGAAACATCTTAATACATCCATCTCACCTCATTGTAATTGGTGTCCAGATAAAACCGAAACTATAGAGCACAGAGTGGTTTAATGCCCCACATATGAACAGCTAGAAACAGCTTTAATTTGGCAATGGAAAATCAAGTCCCTAGTCAAATTCTAGAAGCATATCTTAATTCAGAAACAAGCGATAAATCAAAATGGATAATAGGCGATGAGGCTAGGAATCTAGGTGGACATGATATTAGTGTCATAGTTGAAAGGTTAAGCAAATTACTTCTGAAGAATTTTTTATCACCTTTTTATAATGCACAATGAATGTTTTAAACATGATTTTAGTCATACTGTATTACCCTTATACCATGTTAATCATAGAAATCCATGGACTGTAGACGCACCCAGCGATAGTGCCACTGATACAAATAGTGTAGAGTCTCAATAAATAAATAAATAAATATAGATAAATATCTATTGTAAATAAATTGAATATGTTGAGCATGTGTTGGGAATACAAAACATATGGACATTATAAAACGTGTTATTTTTGATGAAAATGTAATCAAAAAAAAACTTTTGAGAGCTGGTCGGAAACAATTTACACTAACCAGTTAGAAATTATCGACGGAATCGATGCATTATTTGTTATGTTGTCCGAGTTTCCAAGCAAAATTGGTTTTGTAAAAAAATCACCATTAAAGCTGTTTTAAAGAAATAATAAGCAATATTTTCAATATATATTGCATAGTCAGGGTAAACAGTTGTGTTGACATCACGATAGCACACATATCAATTACCGTACATATGCCCTTCAATAGATATTAGAAAACAAAATCAAGTAATGTTGCTATGTTGGAGCCCTAATTGTAAATTCAATGTTTGTAGATTTGTGGCATATTTTACGTATATGATTAGCATGAACTGCTGCTGGAGTTTCTTACAGTTTCCGGTAACGTAAGCATTCTATTTAGTAATACACAATTTAGTAATAAACCTCCATGTTGGTCACTTTCAGTAAACTATACGGTAAAAATTCGACTGTTGAATATTGGAATTTAGTTGATTCCATTCAAAATTGGAAATAGAATAAAACCACACATTTTCTTATTTACTCAGACACATGTACACGCCCGGTGATCGTGAAAATGGGACGGAGGGGGGGGGGAGCAGGCAATTTCCGCTAGAAAATTCAACAAATCTGGTAAAATTATTTTTTCAAGACAGAGTTTACGATTGAATTGCAAATTGAATAAGCGCACGGTATGATAAAATATGTTAGGTATTCTAGGATTATTTTTCAACCGATACTCTTTTAAGATATAAGATCTATTAAAAAAGGCGCAACGCAACCAACGTGCAAAAGTCAAAGTTTTTGCTATAAATCAAGCAACAATGGACTACACGACCTGTAATAAATACTTGTAAGTGATGTTATCATAACTAAATTAATGTCTTTGCTGAATTTATAAAATAAATGTCATAGAACAATGGAATCTTTATGGTGTGTTCCTATATATTTTGGTTACATTGTGTGAAAAATCACTAAGAAAGGATAATAAAGGCAAAAAAGAGCCAAGGGTACAGAAATTTCTGATCACCCCTCGTAGAGGTAAAACAAGAGCTCATGAATCTAATATCAAATAAAATGACAAGCTTCCAGATGTAAATATGTATCACCTGTTTCAAAAACAATAAACAGCTCCCATATAGTGTTTCAAAGACCATCAAGGCAAATCATTCGCAATATCAACCATTTTCGACCAGAGCTTATGGTTCCAATATCAAGTGAAATACGTCATACTTCATTTATGAGAACTTCCAGGTGAAACAATGCAAGGGCAGATGTATTGTCTATTGTAAGAACATAAATCTTATATATAGCGTACCAATTACTATCAATGTTAAACTAAATTGCTCTCAACAATTTTGATGATCCCATTAAACAAAGGAGCTTTTGCATGATCTATCTGACAGCATACAAAACTTGTTTTTGTCATTTTCATTATTCCAACAGTCTTGGATTTTTTTAACCATGCTTTGGAATAGCAGCTTCATGTCCAGAGCTGCAAAATAAGCCCATTTCGTGTCTGGTCTTCACTTGTAAAGTGTATTCGTATTTTATCGCTGATGAATTGTTGAAGCAGAGATAAAGGCATCAATGAGAAACTTTTATTTGGCGTTATGAAAAGAGAATTCAGATGGGATAATCGCATGATGTCTGATGTCCCATGATTTGATGATGTCTGGGCACTTTAAAAGTGTCTGAGACAAAACACTAAAATAAATTTAGAACTTTTCCATTGTTTTGTGGGGGGGGTGTGAGGGGTGGCCAATACCCCTAGAAAATTTTACAATTTTAAGTTGCTATTTGGTGCTTTCTGGGTACTTTCAAAGTGTATGAGTCCATGAAAAAAAATTACAAAAAAATATTTTGGGGGTTGACAAAGGGGGGTGCGGTCGCACCCATCGCACCCCCCCCCCCCCATCTGACGGCCCTGGGATTGCTACATGCAAAAATTTAACGGAAAACATTGAATCATGAAGCCAGTACCATGATATCGAAGTTTGGTGAAAAATGAAATCCGAGACCAGATTTTTGAGAAGTATGGAGCTATATAATGTATTGCATATCGTAAATTGAATTCCGTTCTAGTTGATGAATATGTGATTTAGTACTTTTCGCATTTGGAAAAATTAATAAGGCCAGAAACAATGAAATGCTACAAACGTTTACGTTTGTGGTTATTTTGAATAGTTTTCCCATGACCATCTCATTACATGCCACAACAGCCTTCAATTTATTTACACAGTTCTTTTATCGACGTTGTGCAGATCATGATATACCAATAAACATAAACAGTTAAATTAAAAAAGAAAGTACTGATCGATCATACAACCAAAGAACTCGTGAAAATAAGAATTCGATATAAAGATATTTTAAAATGTTAACTGTTATATTTCCAAACTGCTTCCAAATCATTAAAAGATCTTGTTTTATCAGTCGTTTATTAAATAGTATTATTATTAAAACATATTATTAAACATTGTTTTCATTAAAGTTCTTTCCATGGCGTTAGATCGAGTTTTCTGATCTCACTACATCGCACCCTTTCATTCCTGTTGATAAATCCGGACTTTTTCGAGGAGGATTTACTTTTAGAAACACCATAAAGATACTTAAATTCTTTTCTGAGGTACTTGGTCATCCTGG